TACTGACAACAACAAGCCTCATTGCTCTGTATTCAACATTGACTGGTCATTATAACTATCGGAGAGTCTTTATAGAAGCCATATGTACCCACAGATGATATAAGTACATGGATNTGAGGTGGTTTGAAGAAACTACACAAGTGTCAAAAGTGTATCGAGGACCTATTCTGTATCGAGGACCTGTAAAAGACTGTATACAAGTTGGACAACTACAAAGTTCACTGATACACACAAAGGTCAGACGTAGACTACAAAGTTGAATATAGACTATCAACTTTAATAATGGACTACAAAAGGCTAGATGTAAAGCTGTTTCATTGTGTAAGTGTTTATTTGTATTTGATTATTGCTATTGTTATTTTATAGTAGAAGCACATATTCAACATATCTCTTGTAAAAAAGACTATGTCATTTGGGGCAAAATTGAATGAGCTCCATACATTTCATTTTCAGGCTATTTATTTGTATTTAACTTCACTTAGTGTCATTTCAGAATAATCCTACAGATACAGAGTTCATACTGCAAAAGAAACTGTGTCATTTGGACCAGAATTGGCATGGCTACATAGGAATTTTCATTTTAGATAAGAGCAATTATTAAGCATTCAACATGCACAAACAAATTCACTGCATGCACAGTCAAACTGTTTGTTTTTGCTGTAAACTATGTGATATCCTGTGGGTTCAACTTCAGTATACAGAAACCAAAGTTTACTGATATACCACAAAATTTAGTTTCAGACTATTTATTTGTATTTACCTACATTTATCCTCATTTCAGAATAATCCCACAGACAAGGAGTGGATACTGCAAAAAAAACCATGTCATTTGGATCTGAAGTGGCAGAGCTACATAGAAACCTTGGTTTCTGCCAGCAGAGATTACTAAGCATTCAATATATACAAACAGATCTACCGCACGTGTGGTAAAGCTATTTGTCTTTGTTGTAAACCATGTGATATCACATGGGTTCAACTTCAGTATACAGAAACCAAAGTTTACTGATATACCACAAAATTTAGTTTCAGACTATTTATTTGTATTTACCTACATTTATCCCCATTTCAAAATGATCCCACAGACAAGGAGTGCATACTGCAAAAAAAACTGTGTCATTTGGACTAGAATTGGCAGAGATACATATACATCTTCATTTTCGCAGAAATGATGACTAAGTGATGTAGGACTGGGCTCGTCTGAGCCCTATCAGACGCAAAAAATCTCAGATCTGGAAATTTCGGCAGTTCGGCGATTTGGCGATTCACCAATTCGGTAACTGCTGATTGCTCGACGTTGTAAGTTTTCCCCTTCCAATCTTCCATGCTCAGTGACAGGCCTCCCTCTGAGTGCTTCGACGCCATGTCTCACATTTCCTTACGCTGCGTCATTAGTATCGTCACTTGCACTCCATTGAAACCTTTATAGCAGACAATGCTTTGCAATTTCTCCTCCCCATGTCTTCCTCATTTCCCACTGCGAACTCTCTGCATGCCCAATCTCTCTCAACGTACAACATTCAACGTTTAACTTTCAAAGTAGGTCTCAATGTCCTTTGTTCAGTAAGTGATATCATCCCCCCCCTTTCCTGTTACTAAATGATTTCCATCTAGTTTAATGTCGCAACGGCTCATCATCATCTCTTTTCTTTTTCATCCTACCCCCCACATTCTCTTCATGCCTCAGCAAGATCCCATGGAACATCACCTCCCACCTATGCCTCCAACCGAACTTCCTGTAATTAACTCGGATTTAGGAGGACTTTTTTGTAATAATTGTGGTCGGTTCACTCCGTTTGTGCCATGCAAGAGCAACAAGAATGAGAATAAGGGTGTTCCCTTTGCGATAGTACATTTTTTCTCTATTGATTCATGAAGTCATGGGTATTAATGTTTAAGTACTACAGTGTCGTGGCTCTAACGCGAAAGGTGAACCATGCAATTTTTTCCGAAGGTCATCGAAATTGCCAAGTGTGTCACCCACACTCTCCTCCCAGCCAACCTTCACTGTACCCTCGCTTCCCTCAGCTGTGCTGGCCCCTGTGTCTCAAGGAGCTGGCAAGTGCCTCATTGTGGGTTGTGGCCAATCTCGCATAGCTGATGACTGTTCACGTAGAGTCTGCTGAAAACATTGCATCGAGATGGGTGGATGTTCGTCAAAGAAACACAAGACGCCAGCCATTCCTGCGCATACTCCGCTGCTTGTTGTTCCTCCGCAGGCTCCTCTGGTGCTGCCCCCACCACCATTTGTCATTCCTCACCGCCTTTCTCCGCCCCCAGCTTCTACCCCCCTTCTTACCTTACCTGAATCCTCTCAACCACCATTATCAGAAATCGTTGACGCAAGACCTGACCCCCGGTTCACGTCACACCTCCACCCAATATTCACTGAAACATTGGCCCAACAACATGAGCTCAGGGAGCAGAAACGGAAACTCGACTCTGAGCGTCAGGCTCATGCAAAGAGGACCAAGGAGCGCATTGCGGTTTATGCTTGGACAATGGACGACACTCCTCCCATAGTCCATGTGGTTCAATCCGGCTTCATTTGGCCATACTTTGTCATTTCTTCTGCTTTACTGACAACGTTAGGACTCTTGGAGGCGGGTAAGCAAGGGGACCTACAGCTGTATGATGAAATGGACTTCGCGGATTGGGTTGCGGTGGAGATTGGACACACAGTTGAGGTTCAAGAAGGACACCGGCTTTTCCTCAAATACCACTCACTTTGCAAGTGCATCGACCTCCAGAAATGCCTCAACACACCTTCCCAGGGTTCAAAGCCCCATCTTCACCTCAATTTACCTCATGAGCACGCCTATGTTCGTGAGATGCTCAACGCTAGCCCTTCAACTTCCTCCCAACCGCAAACCTCCTCTCCTTCATCACCGCTGCTGCTACATGAGACCACTCATGATGAGCATTCACCACTCTCACCTTCCTCCTCACCTCCACCTTCAGCCGAAGAAGTCTCGCGTGCTGATACGGGATCCCTCAACAATCCCATCATAGTCGGTGACGGTAACGAAAGGCGCTGGCCAAGTGATTACCATGTCGTTGACATTGCTGGATGTCTCCGTGAATGCAGTGGACGAACTAGCCTCAAAAAAAACTGACCTCGCACCCAGAAAGCCATCTTTGAAGAATTCTTCCCCATGGTGCGTTTCGTTCCCGCAACGTTTACCGATCAGAAGAAGCTCTGGCAATCGGCATCTAATTCTCTGAGGGATGAATCTATTGAGGCTGGTCGAATGAAGAAGGGTCTTTGGTCATCGTTCGCGCATTGTGTGCGTGCCGAGAAGAAAGCTCTTTTGCAGGAGGTGGTTGATGTTGATTAGCCCATTTCATACTCTCCTTCTTCTGTATACTAGATTTGTATGTTTTTCCCTGTGTCTCTCCCTCGTAATGTTTTATTGTACACTCTCAATGTAGGACCATCCAATGCATTAATTTATGTTAACAAAGGCCAGGTGCCCAGCATACAACCCCCCTTGTCAAGCTTTTCCAGAGTCATGATGTTTCGTCTTCGAATCATTTTGTCAAGGAAGAAATTGTAATGATGGACCTGCATCTCATGGCAGATAGCATGATACCCACCCAACCAGCCATTTGTTTGCTCTGCAATTGAAGAATTAAAGTACCACTGTTTCGTGCCTTCACCAAGAAGCTCAGGATATGCAGCTGGATTACAGTGATCTTGACAGAACTGATCCTTCTTGCTGTGTTTGCATTTGAAGTGAAAAATGTCAATGGTCAATCCAACGTTCCGAAAGAAAGGGTCTTTCTTGACGGCCTTGGCAATGGAGCAGTTATTGTCAAAAAATATGTGATTGGGCTTTGTGCTTGCATTACGGTATGTCTGCTTGATCATCTCCTATTGGTACCTCAATTAAGCCGTCAATTGGCTGGTTTAAAAGGTCGAAAACATACAACCACACTATAAATTACCTCCGCATGGTAAAAGGTTTCACGGGCGATAATAATTCCGCACGGGGCAACAATCAACTGCTCGTTGTGAGTTCGTTTGTGACCAAACTGGGCACGAAGCTTCTTGCGTGTTGTATGTTCTTCGACAGGAATGGGTTGACCTCGGCCATCAAAACCAAAATCTTCTTCGGCATAGTCATCGTCAACAAGCTCGGAGACATTTGACACTTCAACAGGAAGTGCATCATGTGGGTGAGCAAGTTGTGCACGTCGGAGGCACTCCTTCAGTTGAAAGCGAGCCTGGCCACGGTCGTTGTGAACAGCCTCAACAGCCTCATGGTCGGCAAGGGCACAGGTTTTCCATCCAGGAACCACTGGAAGCGAGCAGTGAACAACTGCACAAATTTGATCGAGGCGCGCGTGGGTAGGGCAAAATCTGTCATGATTATTTGCCAGGGGAACCTTGCAGTTGGGTTCGCCACAGCACGGATGGCCAACTGTCACCCTGTCAATCACAACCATGGAAACTTTCTTTCCTATGTCAAAATGTAAATTAATATTCGGTTAAGAGCTTCGAAAATAAAGGAGATGTACCGGAATAGAACCGGGTGCATTTGTTACAATAGTGCAGAAGTTCTGGTTGACTGCAAAGCCGCAAGCGATCATTTCGTGCACATACAGCCTCCATGAAGTGGTCCTTGGCTGCACCTCCATGCGGAACAACTAGGGTTGCTTGCTGGGTTTGACAGTCCTCGAGGAGTGAAAGAATGATGAATGCATCGTAAACCTGGTCGGAGGTTACCTGCAATTTAAATTGCCAATCTGGCCAGTCATTTCCGGTAAACCCCATGTTATAGATCTGTGCGCAATTAGTGGCTGAAGTCCAGGACAGCAACATCATCATAATCCACAAGCCGATAAGCTTCCGTTCAGTAAATTGATGTTCTCCAACCTGTACTATATCGGGAATCTCATCATAGTAAATACGTCGACCCTCATGGACCCGAAAATTGTGGTGGTAGTTGACCTTACAGCCTATAATAAAATCAAATAACAAATTAGCCAATGAGAAACAATAGACAAATGAAGTTACATACACTCACAGTAGAGATGGATTGACCAGACAGGGATGGGACCTCTATCCATGGTAAATAAGACTGCTTGCCGTGCTTCGCATTTTTTGAGCATCAGCCGTTGGAATCTTTTACAACTCTTGTTCATGCATAGATGAGATGGAGGGAATATTGTACGAAAGGCTGTTGGCTTTGATGAGAATGAGAGAAAAAAAATAGAGATAATACATCTTACTTATCCCTCAATGATAGCCAAATTTTTCATAATCGGAAAGTGATGGAGAAACGTTGAGATCGGTGTTCCATATCATTTGTGCGAGTATCCCCCAAATGATAATGACAGATGGCAACGATATCAAACAGGCTTCCAAGAGGAACGCTTGAATAGTCGGAGGCAGTACAGGGTGCCTATCACCAGCAAGATTGAATGTAGCAGGCTGTGCAAGAAGAATATCGTTCTTGAGCCTTGAGGCAAAGGCGATGGATTTAACAAGCTGTTCAAAGGCTACAGGTGGCTGTCCTGATGAGGAGAGAAGTTGTGAAAGGTTCAAGAGTTCGGCCATTGTGAATGGCAAGTGCGATGGGGTCCAACGTATTCATGCAGTGTGAATTTATACTCCTCATCACCATTGCCTCATTGCGTTCAAAATATAATCCATGTAATATTGCAGAATGTGGCAACACACTCAATTTCCTGATAAAAAGTGCCAACACCTTCATAGAAGCCGAGACCACAAGTAGCTGCAGCTTCTCCGCAGGTTTCTCTGATGATGAGAACCACAAGATACCAGCTGCAGTTAGCTCTGACCACAAATGTAGGTCATGATGCTAGATACAACAGATAAGACCTTGCCCCTGTTCACCTTCCTCTGAGTCGTGTCAGTCAATTGCCAGTGATTTTGCTGCCGGACCTTTCTCAAAGCTCAATCCACATGGAGATGAATGAAAAAGGGAATTGAATTCAAGTAGATAGGGAAGGCGTCAACGAAACGAGTGAACTGAAGCTTCCCAAAGCCCTTGTGTCACTCAGAATGGATCAAGGGCAACCGTCTTGTCTCGACGTCTTGTGTTTATTTGTCTTAAGTACGTCTATTTGTCTTGTATTTGTCTTGTATTTACCTGCTTGTCTTGTGTTTATTTGTGGTGGTTGATCATTTCGGCGAATCGACAAACTGCCGAAATTTCCAGGTCCCAGATGTCCTCATCAGACAAACCCGGTCCTACGTCATCACTTATGTCATCGCTGCAGGTCATATTCACAATTCTGAAAGAAAATACTGTAACTCTATCAGATTTACTCCAAATTACATAAAATAAAATGGAGAAAAAAGGTAAAATTCCCTGCAGTCCGATTACATAAAATGTAGCAATATATATTACATAATTGGTGTCACATCACCCAGGTTCTACCAGTGATTCTGAAGAAAATACTGCAACTCTGCCATATCTACTCCAAATTACATCAAATAAAATGCAAAAATCTTTTAAATTTGCAGGCCATTTAATTACATGCACTGTAGTACAATGTATTACATAATCAGTTCTCAAAACACTACTGATGTATTTACAAGAAAAGCTGCAATTTACTAGATACCATCTACACAAAACTACAATATTGAGTGAGAGTCCACACCATCACCAGAAACTATCAACTACAAAAATGATGGCAGAAGCCTATAAATAGATAGAGTACCTGAAACTCTGAAACCCTGAACATAGAAGACTACAAAAGGCTAGAGACCCTGAAACCCTGAATATGGGAAACCTTCAATTTTCGTGGGAGAAAGGCAAAGTTCAGCGTTAGAATGCTGAAAAATTCCTTGAGATCAAGGGTAATAAACAAGTCTCTTCGTAAACTCAGAGGACTCATAATCTTCATTTGCAGCAAAGAAAAAAAACTGGACTTCGCTGTATTGAATTTTCTGCTCCTCAACCTTGATCTAATTTAAAATATAGTTATGAGTCCTCTGAGTTTACGAAGAGACTCGTTTATTACCCTTGATCTCAAGGAATTTTTCAGTGTTCTAACGCTGAACTTTGCCTTTTTCCCACGAAAATTGATGGTTTCCCACATTCAGGGTTTCAGGGTTTTGGGCCTTTTGTAGTCTTTCATATTCAGGGTTTCAGGCACTCAAGCTATTTGTACACTTCCATCATCATCTTTGTAGTTGATGGTACACAGTACAAGGTTTTGTCTATTTGAATTGGTCCTGTAGTGCTGTAGACAGCCATGCATTTGTTGAACTTGATTGGCAGACAGTACTAGGAAATGTAGACATATCATAGAAGTATTTTGAGCTAGCTTCAACAACATTGTGTATGTCCTCACTCATAGTTGCAGTCTGGTTCTTAGATCTATGGTATCAACTTAGAATGTTAAGCCTGTAGACAACAGCTCACTTTAAATGTAGTTGGCTGGTAAGTATGTTGAGTAATTTTGAGGAGTTGTTTGACAGTCAACAAAGTGTATCAAAATGTTAGTCAAATCAACTACCCATGGTAGTTCAGTAAGTGGCGTTGCTGGGTGACGTTGCCTTCACATAATGGTGTCAGTAAAAGGCAGGGCAGTCAGGACTCACCTAAGACAACGAAATCATGTCATTCGTCATCTCGTTGTCACATCGCCTGGCAGCAATGTGGCAATGTGTTGCATGCTGTTGTGAGCACTCGTTACTGGGGAGCTGTTGTTATGGGGCAGCTGGTGTAGGGCATCGGCAGGTGGATGGCACAGGCCATGGCCTTTGGTGACGTTGTGTGAAATAGCCTATGTCATAATTTGGTGGGAATGTTCAATGCAAATAGTAATCATCATATGCAATCTGAACTACTGTGTGCGGTAGTTCAGATTGTCTTTGTTTTCAACGTCATTGAAAACAAAGACACTGTCTTCTCTACTTTGTTTTCAATTGACTCAACACCATGCACGACGACACAAATATGATGCACGTCAACTCCCAATGCATTTACGAGTCCTCTGAGTTTACGAAGAGACTTGTTTATTACCCTTGATCTCAAGGAATTTTTCAGCATTCTAACGCTGAACTTTGCCTTTCTCCCATGAAAATTGATGGTTTCCCATGTTCAGGGTTTCAGGGTCTCTAGCCTTTTGTAGTCTTCTATGTTCAGGGTTTCAGGGTTTCAGGCACTCTGGCTATTTACAGGCTTCTGCCATCATTTGTGTAGTTGATAGTATCTGGTGATGGTGTGAACTCTCACTCAATATTGTAGTTTTGTATAGATGGTATCTAGTAAATTGCAGCTTTTATGGTGAATACATTGGTAGTGTTTTGAGAACTGATTATGTAACACATTGTACTACAGTGCATGTAATTAAATTTCAAGCAAATTTAAAAGATTTTTGCATTTTATTTCATATAATTTGGAGTAGATATGGCAGAGTTGCAGTATTTTCTTTCAGAATCACTGGTAGAACCTGGGTGATGTGACACCAATTATGTAATATATATTGCTACATTTTATGTCATCAGACGGCAGGGAATTTTACCTTTTTTCTCCATTTTATTTTATGTAATTTGGAGTAAATCTGATAAAGTTACAGTATTTTCTTTCAGAATTGTGAATATTACCTGCAGCAATGACATAAGTGATGACGTAGGACCGGGCTCGTCTGAACCCCAGCTAGGGCTCAGACGAGCCCGGTTCTACGTCATCGCTTAGTCATCATTTTTGCGAAAATGAAGATGTATATGTATCTCTGCCAATTCTGGTCCAAATGACATGTTTTTTTTTGCACTTTGCACTCCTTGCCTGTGGTATTGTTTTGAAATGAAGATAAATGTAGGTAAATACAAATAAATAGTCTGAAAGGACATGTGTACTCTCAAGAAACATTGGTTTCTGTATACTGCACTTGAATCACATGATATCACATGGTTACAAACAAATGCAAAGTGACTTACCGTGCACGCGGTAGTTCTGTTTGTATATGTTGAATGCTTAGTAATCTCTGCTGGCAGAAACCAAGGTTTCTATGTAGCTCTGCCACTTCAGATCCAAATGACACAGTTTTTTTTGCAGTATCCAATTCTTGTCTGTGGGATTATTCTGAAATGAGGATAAATGTAGGTAAATACAAATAAATAGTCTGAAATGACATATATATTCTTAGGAAATGTTGGTTTCTGTATACTAAACTTGAATCCACATGATATCACATGGTTAAAAACAAATGCAAACTGACTTACTGCACACATGGTAGAATTGTTTGCACATGTTGAATGATTAGTAATCTATCTTGGTGGAAATGAAGTTTTATATGCAACTCTGCCAAATCTGGTCCAAATGACATGGTTTTCTTTTGCAGTTTGCACTCCTTAATTGTAGGATCATTCTGAAATGAGGCTAAATGTAGGTAAATACAAATAAATAGTCTGAAATGACATATGTATCCTCAGGAAATGTTGGTTTCTGTATACTGAACTTGAATCCACAAGATATCATTTTTAAATGAAAAATAGCACTAAAATAGCAGAAAAATCAGGCAAAATCAGAGGTGGTGCTCACTGTTGGGAGGTTGTTTTCAGGGTCCAGAGGGCATGTCTAAATTAGGAAATGTACGCTTTTTCAGATGTAAAATGACAATAAAATAGCAGAAAATTCACAAAAAATTGGGGGAGGTGCTCACTGTTGTTGATGATGTTGGAGGTTGTTTTCAGGGTCCAGAGCACATTTCCATATATGGTAATTTAGCCAAAAATAACCACAAAATAACCGAAAAATCAGAAAGAAATGGAGGGTGGTGTTCACTATTGGTGATGACATTGGAGGTTGTTTTCAGGGTCCAGGGTGCATACCCAAATATGGTAATATAGTAGAAATAGCCTAAAAAAAGCCAAAAAAATTAGAAAAACTGGGGGATGGTGCCCATTGCTAGTAATAATGTTGAGTAATGTTGTCAGGGTCCAGGGTCCAGTTCTAAATATGGTAATATACCCAAAGATGGCCAAAAAATACCCAAAAAATCAGGAAAAAATGGGAGATAGTGCTTATTGTTGGTGATAACATCAGGTAATGTTGTCAGGGTCCAGGGTCTAGTTCCAAATATGGTAATATATCCAAAAGTAGGTGGAAAATAGCAGAAAAATGAGAAAGATATTTGAATGATGTATAGAACATCAGACACTGCCTTCAGAGTCCATTCCAGAAAGAAAATATCTCCTTGTTTGACAAAAAAGTGAAGAAAACCAAGAGAAGAATAATTTAAGCTATCAGGGTCCATGTAATGGGATCTTGGGATGATGGTCACATGATCAATTATGAAAAATGGTGAAAATGAAAGTTGTAGCCATACACTGTAGCTTCTTGAGTCTATGTGAGCTATATTCTGAACTGCTTCCATTGTCAAGATATATGTAAAAGACTTTCCAAGTGTGACATTGTTTTTCATTGCTGGTAATGATGCTGGGGTACTGCAAGATTCAAGTAGAAAATGGTACTTGTTTGTTATGAGTCCTTACGAGTTTATGAGTAAGACTCATTCTTTATCAACTGAGGACTTAGGCAAATTTTTCATTCATTCATTCATTTACCTTTCATCACCGCAGGAACCTTTTCCCTTAAACAGAAAAGCAGCCATAAAATCAGGAAAAATGGCAAAAAATATGTAAAAAATCAGAATATTGCTTAGTAAGTTGGGGAGGCTGTGTTCAGGGTTCAGGGTCAATGTCTAAATATAGAAACCAGCTAAAAGTTGCCAGAAAATCACAAAAAAAATACTCAAAAATTAAGAGGGATCTTCTCTGTTGCCATGGTGTTGAAGGGGCTGTGTTCAGGGTTCAGGGTCCATATCTAAAACATAAAACAAAGTGAGAAAAATGGCTAGCAAATCAGAAAAAAATGAGTAAAAAATCAAAATGATACTTTTTTGTTGCCATGATGTAAGAGGGGCTGTGTCCAGTGTTCAGGGCCCATATCCAAATATGAAAAATTGAGGCGCCTATGTAAAAATATTATTATATTATGCAATATGACTATATCATCAGACCAGCCTTCTTGCTCTTTCAGATATTAGTCAAAAATGCATGACAATTTCCAAAAAGTGTCCAATTTTTTCAGTATTTTGTGTTTTTCTCAATGAGGAATGGTCTGCATGACATTATTTGTAAAGGTAAGGAAAGGGGCTACAATTTTTGTTAATGGAGCTAAGTGAGAGGCTGTGTTTCTGCTACCATGGGAATTTTAACCCAAAAAGGAAATTTACCACAAATATATAGAGCATACTATTATAGGTTACAAAATATAACTGACCATCTTCTTTCTTGAGATATATGCAAACAGGACTGTGCGAATATTTTACCATAAACAGAAAAATAGTTATAAAATTGGGAAAATTTGCTATAAAATCAAAAGAAAAAGAAAATAAGAATAGTACACATTGCTGCTAAAATACTGATGGCTAGGCTCAGGGCTCAGGGTCCATTTGCAAGTATAGAACAAAACTCAGAAAATCATAAAGTCATTACATGACATTGCAGCTGATGGGATGTCAGGAGGATGGTCATATAATCAATTTCCTACAAAGTCCACAGGAAGGACTCATACATGCCATGCACAGCACTGGCCCACACCCACAATTTACTACTTCAGGATTGAGGAGACGTTTTCTGAATTGTTGTTTAACAATTTATTGTATTACATTGTATTAATCTGCCTACCCCACAAAGCACCATGAATTGATTACATTGTATTCTGCCTTCTGTAAACCAGTCACTCAATCCTTAGGACAGTTCAATGTGCAGGTGTATATCACAGTGCTGTCCATGAGGCGAAGAAGCCCTGTGATAAAATGTTGAAAACAACAGTGTTGATCCACTTGCATTTGCTTACCATGTTGAGCCATTGTGGTGTCTTCCCATGCAGCTTTGTGTTTTAATGCTGCAGGATCATGTCTACCATGTACATGAGGATGCATTTGATGTTGATGGTGTTATGCACCAGGGGATGGGTGGCAACTTTGTATAGGTAGTGGAAGCATTCATTCTAGTGTTCATTGTAGACGAGACATCTGCCACCAACCACAAATCACTACTTGACTTCTGGTCCATTGGTCTGAATCTTATCCACAAGATATGTTGGAGGTGTTTCAAGGGTCCCAGGTGCATTTTCTCAAATGAAAATTTATCTAACAATTGCCAGAAAATAGCACAAAAATTAGAGAAAATTGGAATATGGTGCTCATTGTCAGCAATGATGTTATGAGTCCTCTGAGTTTATAAAAACACTAGTTTATTACCCTCTTTTCTGAAGGATTTTTTTACTACCTCTAACACTATTCTCCCATAAAAATTGATGGTTTGATGATGTAGAATAATGAACATTTCCTGAAAGGAAATATAGCAATAAAAATAGAAGACAAATCAGAAACAAATGGGGGGCAATGTGCACTATTGATGACAATGTTACATAGCATATTTTCAACTGAGGTTATTTGCACTTTTTGAGTTAAAAATAGCAATAAGAAATTGAGGGAAAGTTACTGCTTGTGCAATATTGGGGAGCATGGTCAGAGTCCAGGAGAACTTTCCATATGTAGTAATCTACTTGAAATTAACTATAAAAGACTGGAAAAATTTAGAGAAAAATGGAGGATAATACTGGTTGTTGCTTTCAATGTATATGTAGGTACTCTCTGTAGGTAAATGGAAATATACACTTTATCCAATGTAAAATAGCAATACTATATATATATAGTTAAGGGGTATAAATCTGATGGGCTTTCAGGAGGTGGTCACATGACTAGTTTCCTAAATAATCAAAAATGTGAATGTTGTGGTGCTGAATTGTAGCTTCCTGAATATAAAAAGGACTCGTATCTGCCATGCTTGCAATGGCCCTCTTGCACAAGTTAATAATTGTAGGTTGTATAGAATAAAGAGCACTGACTTTTACATTTCGAGTTACATGGGTATTTTCAGTCTTTCCTTTCCTTTTTGTCTCTAAATAGAGGCTTCAAGCAACTTGCCCATTAGGGAGGTTTAACCTGGCCCATTGTCGCACTCCCATCATATGGGGAAATTCTGTGTGGATTGCAATCCATTCAGGCCCTCCATGCAGAGTACTTGGATACTTTTCACATGGGGCAAGAAGAAAATATCCATCACCAATGTCATCACCAATTGTGTGAAGTCTGGCATCAGGGTCAAGTTCTGGGCAAATTATTTTGAGTGTTATGAGTCCTTATGAGTTTACGAGTAAGACTCATTCTTTATCAACTAAGGACTTAGGCAAATTTTTCATTCATTGATTGATTGATTCATTTACCTTTCATCACCGCGGGAACCTTTTCTCTTAAACAGAAAAGCAGCCATAAAATCTGGAAAATTGGCATATAAATTGGCAAAAAATGTGTAGAAAATCAGAACATTGCTTAGTAAGTTGGAGAGGCTGTGTCCAGGGTTCAGGGACCATATCCAAATATAGAAAGCTGTCTGAAAAATAGAAACAGATATGCAGAGAAGCAGTAAAAAATAAGTGAAAAATAAGTATGGTATTCACCATTGCCATGATCATGAAGGGGCCGTGTTCAGGGTTCAGGGTCCATGTCTAAAATAGAACAAAGCCAGAAAGATTGTGTAAAATGATTATAAAGTAAGCCAAAAAAGGGAAGAAAAATAGGAATGATATTTGCTGTTGTCATGATGTTGAAGGGGCTGTGTTCAGGGTCCATATCTAAATATAGGCAGAGCAAAAAAAACAACTGATAGAAAATAGCTGGAAAATGAGGAAAAAGTGAAGAAACTTGTAGACACTAATGTCTTTATCATTTTCTAGCTATATTTGGGCAGATTCCCATATTTGGAAGTGTATCCTGGACCCTGAATACAGCCTCTCCAAGAGTTTAGCAACATTAAATATCAGAAATATGACTATATCATCTGACTAGTCTTCTTTCTTATGCAGATATTGGTCAAAATACATGACTATTTGTAAAGCTAAGCAAAGGGGCTACAATTATTGTTAATAAAGCTAAGTGAGAGGCTGTGTTTCTGGTACTGTGGGAAATTTGACCCAAAAAGGAAATTAGTTACAATTTTATAGAGCATGCTGTTATATTTCTCAATGTGGTCACAAAATGTGACTAGTTATTTTCTTTCCTGAGATATATGCAAAGACACCTATTTATTCATGTTTTTTTATGTTTTTCTCAATTATGAGTCCTTAAGAGTTTACAAGTAAGACTCATTCTTTATCAACTGAGGACTTAGGCAAATTTTTCATTCATTCATTCACCTTTCATCACTGCGGGAACCTTTTCCCTTAAACAGAAAAGCAGCTATAAAATCAGGAAAAATAGCAACAAAATCAGCAAAAAATATCTAAAAAATTTGAATATTGCTTAGTAAGTTGGGGAGGCTGTGTTCAGGGTTCAGGGTCAATATCTAAATATAGAAACCAGCTAAAAGTTGCCAGAAACTCAGAAAAAAATACCCAAAAATTAAGAGTGATCTTCTCTGTTGCCATAGGGGCTGTGTTCAGGGTTCAGGGTCCATATCTAAAGACAAAAGAAAGTAAAAAATGGCTAGAAAGTTAGAAAAAAATAAGCAAAGAATAACAACAATATTCTTTGTTATTACAATGTTGAAGGGGCTGTGTTTAGGGTTCAGGGTCTATATCCAAATATAGAAAATGTATTACATTATGAAATGTGATCATATCATGTGACTAGCATTCTTTTTTATTGAAAAGTGTCCAATTTTTTCAGTATTTTGTGCTTTTCTCAATGAGGAATAGTCTGTATGACACTATTTATATATAGTTGTAAAGCTAAGCAAAGAGGCTACAATTGTTGTTTATAGAGCTAAGTGAGGGGCTGTGCTTCTGGTAATGTGGGAATTTTGACCAAAAAAGGAAATTAGCCACAAGTATATAGAGTATGTTGTTACAGATCACAGAATGTAACTAGCTATCTTCTTTTCTCAGATATATGCAAATAAGATGGTGGGAACATTTCACCATAAACAGAAAAATAGTCATAAAATCAGAAAAATTTGCTAGAAAATTCAACAAAAAAAAGGCTGAAAAATAAGAATAGTGCCCATGGTTGCCATGATATTGAAGTGGGTATGCTCAGGGATAAATTAGAGTCCACAGGAAGGACTCATACATGCCATGCAAAGCACTGGCCCACACCCACAAGTGTTAGTTTGTGTGCACTGGAGGGCTATTTGACAGAGGTTGGCAAATGGATTGGATGGTTGCCAAATGTCTCTGCCAAAGTCTCCAATTGTGTGCTCCATCGTAAATTGGCTACTATAGGTTCTGGGTCCAACATGTGTGATTTCAGGTGCAGCATGCAAAAATGTGTGAAGCAAAGGTTGACAGAAATGGAGCTGTTCAGGTCATCGCTGGTAGTATAGATTTTTGTACTCTTCCACAAAGCAAATGAGAAAGAAATGAGCTTCCCAGACCTGCTTCCCAGTGGTACTATGCTGCATAAGTATCTGCACTCCCTGAACGAGTTTACAGAAATTCTTCCAGTATTTCTTTGGCAGAATTGGTCTAAAAAAACCAGGTCCTAATCTGAATATGTAGAGGTAATATTCAGTTGCCTTGTAGCCACTTGATATTTTCTCCACTGGATTTCGGGTTGGGCAGTGGAAAAAAGATGGAAAATATTGTGTCACATTGGCCACAAGTTTTCTGTGCTCAACCCGAGTTTCCCTGATGAGTTTTACCCAGTCCCAAGTCCCCTTGTTATCATTTGGCTCACATTTTAATTGCCTGTGCCAGAGAGGTATAACAAGTTCTCCAGTATTGATGCATATGAGATGCAACAGATCAACTGAAAAATAGAGTGGGACAGGGAGCATGTACTTTCTGAGAAGTCTGCTGATGATGGATGGTTTACTGATCCCTCTTTCCTTTCGCTTTTTCTCATAGTCAGCTTGATCTGTTGCAAGAACAACTTTTTCTAGCTGTTTTTTGTAAATTTCAGGGGAAGGTCTTGAGAGGTTCCTGATGTCGATGTCAGGGTGATCACAACCAGAGCCTGCATATCCATTTGGACATAGATGTGCAGCATAGTAATGCCTGCTTGATGGCTTATGCCTTCCTTTCATATCACAACCTAGCCTACAGCCTTGCGCACCATGGTGACCAACACAGCCATCGAGTTCTGTTAATGCCACTGCATCAGCCATGTTCAAAATGACAATCACATGTGAGTTGACAGTTTCCTCTTTGAGTCCATCCCACACATGAAGACCTGCCCCATTGTTCTCCCACTGTAGTGCAGAAACATGATAGAAACTCCGAAACAGGAAAGAATCAGGATTCTTTCGTTTGTTGGGTCCAGGGACAACCACTGCAGGGAGGATGTGTTTCTTTTTGTAACAGGCACCTGGACTGTAATCATCTACAACCCATATACCAATCCACATGTCAGATTTCTTGCTCTGATAAAGTTGTGCACCATCAAATGAGTAGACTGTAGGATACAGTGCTGTCATCACTATTGAGCTGCACACTTTTGATGAGATTGAGTATGTCAAATCTGGAAAACAGATCATCATAGACAAAGTCATCTGGGTCGAGGTTTTTTGTGGGATCCAGATTTTCGAGAATTTCCTGTGTTTTCTTATCTCGGTAGTGCATCGCTTCAGAACCCTGAGAAGATCATTGCAATGTTTGAATTTGTGGGCCCAGGAGGATTATACATGCCTGCTGTCATGGTGTTCTCTTCCCAGTAAGCCCAAATTGAACAGGATCATATTGAGGCTCTGAGCAAACAGAACACGTGTCGAGTTGTGCAAATGGACCTGTAAACATGTGGCATGAGTTTATACACATATCATCTCTTACTGAGACAATGCTGCTAATGTTGGCAACAAGTTTTTTCATGAGGTGATAGGAGAGAATTTCGGATTCTGGAAACTGTCACAGAATAGCTTCTTGTGCAGCAGTGTAGGTTTGTTGGGGTGAATTTTTGCATGCCATGAAAAGGTTGAGCGAGAGTCAGATATCGGGATCAGAGATGTCCACAGGGCCTTCCTCAGGATTCCTCAAACACTCAATGGTGTCAGTGTCCAGATTTCCATTGTTGAAGGTTGCAGTGTAAATTTCATCAATAAATTGTTGTGCCAATTTGATGTGTTCAATCTGCAACTGTGTGAGTGCAGGAAACTTGTCCACATCCTCATTTTCAGGGCCTGGGTTTGGTTCATCCTCAAGAAGCGCATGCAAAGTTTCAGCCTGAGCTTGAAGCAGATCATCTTCACCTGGGCCATCCCTGAGAGGATTTTGTCTGTCAGGTTGGTCTAACTCAGCAGGGTGTTCTCTGTGGTTTTCATTGTGAGGTTCTGGAAAGTCAGCTTGCAGGTTCTCATTGTCAATATCCCATTGAAATTCTTCCTGGGGTGCCAGTGTTTGTTCCTTTGGTGAGGCCAGACAGATTCATCATTAGAATTACTACTTTACATGTATAGGGATCTCAAACAGAATACCTCTTCATTGAAAGGTAGTTCAATATCATTGCCTCCATCTTCTTGTTTGACAGAAATCGTCTGATTGTTTCTTCCATGTGTATTCACCACTTCCTATCAGAGATATCAGATCTGGTTCAATACATAGTACTACCAACACATAACACATAACCTAGCTATGTGACATATAATATCAAATATAGATTGACTTACTGAGAGTTCTCCGTCTAAAATCCTTGACCTCTTGATTGGCCTACCTTGCACTTCAGGACTGCTGCAATCCATATCCGAGCCACTGCTGTCAGCATAGGATTGTTCGTCAGAGGACTTGTTGTGCCCTGGAGTGTTGTTGAGTCAGCGAAAGATCCAAAATGGGCTGTGGACATGAACCTATTTGATGAGACAACCCACTCACCAGTGTTGGATTATAGTGTAGCTGTGACTTGTGCAAGCAGACAGCTCTGGCACTCATCATAGCTCCCCTACAGATGGTACAAGTACATGGGAGCCTGCTCTCTTTCTTTTGACCTCAAGGCGGCATTTTGAGAGTTTTTTTCACACAACTTTGGCTTTGCATGTCACTGACTACATCACAGTCCATGTGCCAAGAATGTTTTTGCCACAACTCAGATTCAAACAGTGCATGCCAGATATCAGCAGCAGAGCTCATATTCTTGCACAGCTCCTCAGAACTGCTCTGATCCCATTCTCACTGGGCCTGAGGCCGCATTTTTGGGTCTTTTTCTCCAAAACTCCACCTACAGCTTCCTTTGATGTATGCACTCATCTTTCATTGGGTTACTATCACAATTTTATGTCAAATTTGTCTGCTAGCAGGCAATCTTTGCTCAAATTTGCTCAAATTTTCTCAAATTGACCTGGACACGGCATCTGAGGGCACATTCAGGGGTCCTATCAAGCCAACACATGTGTAAATGTTTTCTGAGAGCCATTTATGTAACACATACTGAAATTTTATGTAATTATGTGGACCTTGGCCCACAACTCCACTCTAGTATCAGTGACCAGGAGTTTGATATGCTTCAGGAGTTTGAAATCCCTGTTTTCCCAATGTTTTCCTCCCTCAATATACGTTAAAAAAATAAAAAATACATTCATGTTCATGAGATACACATTCACAACCCCACAAAATTTGGAGGCCCAGAGTTAGGGACTGTCATGGATATACCCGGGTATTAACCGTACCCGATCCACGGATTTTCCCACCCACGGATCAGATAAGGCACAGTACGGATATATCCGTGGGTAAACAGCCTGGGTGACCAAGCAGCTATATAAATGAGTGTATCTCGTTCATTTCCTGTCCATTCTTTATGAAAAAAATTGTGTTAGAAAGCGAAAATTCAGGAGAATTCATATTAAAACAAAGGTCATTCATATATTATCTAAATTGAGTATATTGAAACTAAAGTTATTTATATATCATCATCTGAGGTCTTTCTCCTTGTATAATGCTGCTGTAACTGAGCCTTGATCACAGAGAGTGTTGGGGGTGTGTATTAGCATGCCTTGGCCATCTTGAGAGTATTTATTTTCAGTTTCAGAGAAATGCTTTTGAGAACAACTGATATTTAGGTTGGGTAGCAACAGAAACAATGAAGGAAATGGGAGGTTATATGATGTACAGGCACAATGCATCACATTCCCGACTGCAACTTTCATGAATGGGTTCTGATTTCTGCTCAGCCCCAGGTAAGCAGCATTATTCACATTTATTTTCCTTTACTTTCAATGATTGATGCAGCTACTTCTGTGGATGCAGAGTGGGCATTCTCCACTGGTCACAATCAGATCAATTTCACCCAGCACAATATTAACTTTCAAACATTCAGAGCAGAAATGGCTCTTAGATTCTGGATTAAATTCCCCTTCTACCCAGCTTCAATAAAGTTACACAAATGATTGAAAAAAGATGGACAATGATTTCTTTTCTTCTTAAATAGGTTTTTGTAACACATTGTGTCACCAAAATTGTTCTTTCAATACCTCTAGGTTCATCAAGGTAAGTTTGAATGTTCTCCTGTTTTTTTATTAGGGCATATTGTGATTGCTTTCACTAAAAATTGAATTCATTAACAGGATTTCAAAGATTTCTAGTGACAAGCTTGGGTGACAGCTAGGAACAAAGCCCAGGTCACAATTTGGACCCCTTCCACAAGCAGCATGGGCCAGGAAGTTGTTGTGATAGCATTCTGTCATGGTGGAAGGGAGTTGGGGGTACAAATAACACTCTTATCTATTCCGGGCACGTATGCTCAAAATATCTCAAGAAGGTCTAAAAATATCTAATTTACCCACGGATACCTGCGGATAGTAGGACCCCGGGCAATAGCAGAAAAGGCCTGATCCGGAAAATTGGGTTTTTGTCCGGACGCCTCTGCACCAAATTTGTCCGGACTGGACCTGGCCTACCACACCCCAATCTCAAAAATTTGTCCGGACGGCCAGATCAGGGTAAATTTTTCTCTACAAATGTCCCACAATTATGCCCAAATACCGGCTGGGAGGCTTTTTTTTTGACATCTCGTCGATTTTGTCCGGACTCTGGCTCTGGGCAGTTTCGAATTTTGTCACTTTTTGTCCGGATTGGCCCCCAGCTGTAGGGCCTAAAATCCACATTTTTTGTCCGGATCGGGACCAGGGCTTTCCTGCTATTGCCCGGGGTCCTCGGATAGTCCGGGTACTTACCCGAATCCATCAGTTGAGTCCAAATATGGGTGGATTTCGGGTTCACCCGGGCTTTAGCTATCCGTGACAGTCCCTACCCAGAGTGTAGTGGTTGTGGCATAATATAGCCAAAGGTCAAATCATTTCAAACTCCTGGTCACTGATAGTATGTATCCATTTGAGAGAGGGAGCAAGTTACATAACAATCTGAGAACTATCTAGGCCAAGTGCATGTAGGAACAAATTTACATTCGCCAACTTTGTCTGCCGTTCGTTCTCGTCGGCAACCCAGCCCTTATTCACACTAAGAACATTATCAAGGACTTTTTCGCGTAGAACGGTAACCAAAACCTGGTGTTGCTCGACAGCGGCGTGCAGAGCCAGTGCGGCAAGGAATTGCCAAACAGGTTGGTCAGCAATGTCTGTTGGATTTGGAAGATCGGGATGCCCAGAAATACTAGTTTGTGCGATGCGTGTTGATGGGAAGAGAAGCAAAAGATGAGGTGCAAGGAGTTGGAATAGATGATCAAACATAAGTTTCCTTCGAGATAATGTATTCGTCAACAACACTACTGTCAGTCACAGATATGGACATACCATTGTTGGCTCTCCTCAGTGGATGGAATCTCAGACATATCAGGAGCGGTGGCAGCCATCTGTTTTATCACCTCCACGCGACTAAGAAACAGCGTCAACAGAGCTAATCCAGGCTGGTGAATCACCTTAGCACTACGGTCAAAAACATTGGTAAGAGGCGCACCCTTGTCTGTGCAACCGCAGCAATGTCGCTACGATCAAGAAGCAAGCCAAGCAGACCAGTTGCAAGGCGCAAATTCGCGACTGACACTACTGGAAGAATGCTTTGCATGACACTGCCCAAAAATGCCTGTGTCTGTCGCTCAGCATCGACGCGTTCGGTAGAGTCCACGAGAGAATCCAGTACGGGAGCCTGATTGACAACATCCAGTTGATGGAAACAAGCGACCAGAAGAGTCAACAATGTAAGCATCCGCGCACTGCTCAAATGGCGAGTGAGACGCGGCAGAATCTTTTTCCCTTTTGTGGGATACAACAGAGAAATGAAGGGGTGGGGATCACTTGATGGGTGTATTGAGACGAAAGGCAGGTAATGCTCAAAACAAGCTGACACACCTCGTCTCCAAAGGAATCATCACCCTTAGCTCCTCCCACACCTGATCGACAAGACCGTCATATTCTGTTTTCCTGAAAAAAATGCTCACTACCATATGCCAATTAATCCAGAAGATGTGCAACACACCATTGAAGGAACACTTCTTCGTCTTCCTCTGGAAGCGGTTGATCCCTCCTTAATTGCTCAACACTCAAAATCAAATCATAAAGCTTTTCGAGGATGGTCAAAACCTGTCTTTGAGACAGAGGGTCTTGTCGAACTAAGTTGTGCGTCTGCAAATTCAACAGTGTGAGAAGATAATGAAATTGTTTCACAACAACTTACATCCGCAGCGTTGCCCAGAGCCTCACGACCAAGTTTGGCTGCCTCTTTGGCTGCCCCCTCATGGTAAACAGAAACTTTTGATATATGAATGTGGGCAGGCGACAAGGTTGGCGACGGGCTTGCATTGCCAGCATCAACTTGGAGAAGCTGGCGAGGCGCAGCTTTGTAACTGCGTCCCGAGGTCTTGCCAAGAGCACCTTGCAAACTGTGAATGGCTAATACGTTCTAAATGAATGCCTCGCAACGCCAAAACCATAACGAACATACAATGCAATCCCTTTTCCTCTTCCCTTTTTCTCGCATTGCTGACAATACGTTCAACCTGTTGCTCCATTCGTTGCATTGCGCTTGGTCTCCTGTTGCCGCCCTTTTGTGCCAGTCCCAAACCGACTCCGCCGCCCGAACCAAACTTGATAACCCGTTCATCCTGTGATTGCAAGCCCAGTCTAGAACGCAAGATTGCGCCATAGACTTGGGCATAAAAATCGTCGGCATACGGATCTTGAGTGACGAGTTGAGAGACCTGAATTCTCGTAATGAAGTCCTTGTCGGACTGGGTCATAAGATCGTTATATCGCGCCTAAAGGAAATCCATGAAATTGAAGACAGAAACCACAGAGTAAGTCCACTTTCCATGTGCGCTATTTTGGCTGCTTTTTTTCTTCGCTTCTCTTCCATCTTCTCCGCCTCGACAATTTTGCGCATCGCCTCGGCCCGCAAAGCCTCTTGATCTGCCTGAGAGACAGCCTGAAAATCTCCAGAAAATTCGGCTTGGGCCATCTCCGAAAGGAGGCGTTGCTGAAGTTGGACCTTGTTAGCATGATGCTGCACACTTTCTTGCAAAATCTGATGATTTCCAATGGCCGGTGAACGTGAACGTTGGCGACGTTGCTGTTGATGGAAAGCTTGAGCGGCTTGAATCTCAGCGAACGATAAATTGGAAGCTTGTCGATGAAGATTGTTTTGATTTCCATTCTGGGTTTGCTGCAAGGTCATCTGGGCAATCATCCGCCGCTCAAGCTCCTCAAGTCGCAGCTGCTCTTGAAGGTCTTGTAAGCGTTGCTGCTGCTGCTGCTCTTGTTGGTGTTGCAACAATAAAATTTGTCGGGGATGTTCCAGAAACCTGGGAGACTGGGACACGGGCATCATGCGTGGGGGGGGAGTTCGCTCCTGCTGGTGTTGAAGAAGGCGTTGGAGCTGCTGCTCCTGAAAAAGACGTTTCTGGCGCTCTTGTTCCTGCAAAAGCCGCATGTGCTGTTCCTCCTCTAGTAGCTTTCGCTGTTGAAGCATCAAGAGCTCTCGTTGGCGGGATTCTTGCACAGCGGCGAGCATTTCTGCTTCTATCTCCTGTAAGGTACGAGCCCTTTGCTGATTGTGACCAACGCCATGTCCGATGGGGTGTTGGTGGCTTATTAAAGGAGATGTACCAGCGCCGAAAGGTGAAAATCTGGGAGGGGATGGGGCTGGTGAATTCCGCTGATGCTCTGACATGCGGTTGGCGCCGTTAGCTCGCGGAAGAACAGAGAACGGAGACTTGTCGTCCCATATCGCTTCAAGAGAATGAGAGGTGGAGCGGGCTGCAAGAAACGAGTCAATAGCTGCTCGGCTAAGGTTGATGGGAAGCTGATCGTACGAAGTTGAGTTGGTGGAGGGGATTGGGTTACTTCGTTCCGTGATAGCTGCCCCTTTATCGATGTAGAAGGAGGGATTGATTTTGACAGGAAATCGTCTTCAGGCAATGCTGAGGCAGAGAAGTCGAAGTCTTTGCCTGAGGCAGAAAATGAAGACTAAGGATTGTAACTCCAGAAAGATACTCACCGATAGAACCCACAGCGCCAAAAGTTTCGTCATTTAGATCATCGCCTCCCTCCTGGAGGGCATCACCCAAACCGTCGTAACTCTCCTCTCCCCAAGTGTAGACTGCGACACCGTCCGGTTCGCGCAGCGGACCATGACCAAAACGTAGTTTTTCGTACTCTAAATCGTGTTGGGGTAAACCGAAGAATGACATAAGGGCATGAGAGAGAGAAGAGTGAAAAGAGTGAAATTCAAGATTTGGAGAGAGTTGGCCACAAATAGGACTACACAAGTTACACAGTTATCTAGTTGTATTATAAGTACCCAAAGAATCATTCCATTCTATGCACAGTCTCCAAAAAGTCCAACAACGTACTCGCACTCCACGCCTGCGTATTGCACGAATCCGAACAATATCCACCATTCTCGTTCGTCAGCTCGGGGAGCCCAGCCCATGCATCTCTCTGAACATAATCTCGAGCCTTCACCAACATCTGGTGGAGATGATGGAGCGTCTGGTTGCGATCCTGCCACCCCACTTCAGTACCATTCATCAAACCACAAGAAGTATCATCACTCACGTCCTTTCCGGAACCTACCAATGTGTCGAAAAAGAGATACGCTCGCAAGAAGTAACCTAAAGGCCAACCCCACTCCGGGCCCTAACAAAGGTCCGTCAGCAACGCGCAAAGAATCTCCGCTTTTACTACCTACATTATGATAGTTCAGTCCCTTGGCAATAGCTGGGTCACTTGAATCATTGCTATTGTCGTACACCGGTCGATATTGCAAGTCGTTTGGATCCAGCGTCTTTATACCAAGGGGGCCCCGCAGCACTTTGTCCACAAGCTGCAGCGCACCAATTGCGTGGCGTTCATCAAATAGCTCAGGCGCTACGGTCATCGCAATCGGAAAATTGGGTCGGAACTGATAATCTGCCCATTCATGCCCAGGCCCTGATCCGTAAACATCCTTGTATATCCCTCGTCGGTTGACCAGTTTCGAGTTGATTGCATATTTCGCGTCATCGGATGATTCTACCCCCATCACCGATCAGCTCACGTCCCTTGAGCCAGCAACAGTATGCTTACCAAGAGGAACATAATAAAATTTTTCAAACGACGATTGGAGAAGATCAGACCACTCCTTGTATGTCACTAACCTCTGGCGACCTTTGACTGCCAACAGTGATTCAGTAGCCATATGAACGACAAGTCACGGCACCTACTGGTCGCTTCCACCCCCTTGAAAGGGAACTTCCCACACCCAGATAACTCGTTTAACCACCGCAGTGTGCTCTTCAATAATCCAGTTATTTCTACTGGGGCGCCGTCTCTGGGTGTCCCAGGCACTCCCTTGGTCCCAGCCTTCTCGGACTCTCCCATTTTATCCATCCAAGTTCCACAGTTGTGCTGATTTCCGCCAAGGATGAACCCCGTCTCCCAATCCACCTGGATATCAATGTTGAACCCTTCATCCTTCATTTGCATATCAAGCTGAGGACCCGCATTATATTCACGGAAATATATTCCATCCACATGACGTTGAATAATTTCTTGGACAATCTCGGCCAGCGAGGTCGAGTAAGCATATGCACGCGGGTCGTCCCAGGGAACCCACGTATCGTCTTTGGGGAACCGACGTTTCACAGGTTCTGAAAGAATGGCAATTCCTTCGGGCGCGCTATTCACGTAGTCCTGTATATTCTGAAGCATCCACCATGGCGAGTCACGCGAATTATACCTAAAACAAGGGCGAAAGTTAAATAGCTTTCCGATTAAGTATTATGTATGGCATACCTTGGATTTCGCACTGAATCCAATAAATTCGGAATTAAACCATGTTTCAGGGTCGACGCAAACGCGAGGATGTGTTTCCTGGCCTCTTCAAAGTTTCCAGTCGTCAGGAAGAGCCCTCTCAACGAGATGAAAACGTCGCGACCCCAACACCGTGCCCAATTCGTGGCGAAATGTGGCAAACCAGCAGCCAGAGACGGGGTTGCGACGCCAGGATTCAGGGAAGCTGACTTTACGAGACCAAGCATCTGCACGCCACACATGGCCAAATCCTGAGTGAACCCATGCCCTGAGGCTACAAATTCAGAGCATTGTTCCATCCCTGCCCTGCGAGCAGCCTTGTATGCTTCTGAGATAACCAGCGCGAAGAACTTGGGCCGCATGAAATTCGGAACGGTCGCTTTGACGTGATCGAACCTTTCCTTCAACCATAGTGCGGGTTTCGCTAGATTTGGGAATTCCGCCATTTGACTACAACATAAATAGGGAGTGACTTTTGAAGAACCGGATACGCACTAGCTCAAACGTTGGTGGACGTAATCGAGTGCCCAACTGCCCTCTCTCAAGTGACCGCACAGGGGGTGTCCCAAGTCGTTATACCGCATGATATGCTTCAGCGGATGCATCCAACCCTCCAAACCGCAGTATACCATCTTACCCAAGTTGGGCACCTCATATGCGCCAAAGGCACCTCCAGTCGCGTCCCTCTCTTCGACATCTGCACGGTGCAAGATGACATTCAGATCTACCAAGTTGATGTCGCTGAATGCTTCTTGGACACCAGATGCACAGAAGGCCTCAAGCGATGCATCGTGAGCCTGAAGTTGGGTCTCGAAGAGCATGATACTGCCAGGAGGAAAATGTTGGGGAACAACGATTTCAGCAAAAAGCCCTTCGTGATCAACGCCTTCTCGTGCAACCACACTCTCCGTTTCAACTAGCTTTGCCGGCAGACCTTTGAGAATCTGAGAATCCTTAGGTCCGTCATAGGACAGAATGTCGATGCTCGCCCCAAGAATAAATTTTGCCCTCGTTCGGCGTAGCTTGATCGGGGCGACTGAATAACTGTCAGACGGCGCAGTCAAGTTCAAGGTACATACGCACTGAATCCACGATCCTTCGATCCCTTTGAGAATGCTGTGTGTGCGACAAGTAAATACCCCTTCTGGGTCTTGGGCTGAACGCGATGGAGGACAATATACTGAAAAGAAAGGACTTAGTGTAGTCGCAACAGGACTGCCAGGAAAGAGTCACTTACGTCATTTTCCTGATGGACGTGACCTTCCTCGTACCCATCCACCACCATCTCCAAATGAAGTTCGTTTAGAACCCTTTTCACTTTGGAAATTCCACTCTTTTCCCCAATACCAGTGGGTTCATATGTCCTCTTCTCTTGTACCAAGTTCAGCAACTTTGGGTATAGGTCATCAAATCCTTTCACACTGCCGATTGCGCTGTAACTAAAAGTCACGAGTGCGCCCGTGGACAACGCGTCTTCGGCGGACCGCTTGTCCAAAGGTGACTCATTGTCGTGCGTTTGATCGTACAGCAAGGCGTGCGGGAGCGCTCCATTGAGCGGCGTCACCACGGCATTCCTCGTGGGTCCCTTTCCAGTCGGGCTGGGCAACTCCTCCCGTGTCACCATGCAGGCATTATCCATAGATCCAATCGGCTTTCCTAAGCCGTGGCGGTACAGCAGTCTTGACAGCTCCTTGGGATCCCACGCGTTGCCGCTCTCCCTAATCAAACTATTGATGCCTAGCTCACGTACGAAAACCAAGTCCATCTCCTCGCTTCCAGTGAAAAGTTCCGCACAGACGTAGAGGTCGGGACGCACAACACGCGCCGCATCAAGCATGTGCGTGCCAACTTCAAGGGGAGTTGAGTGACAATTGTCAATTCTGAAACCGTCGAAAGTATGTGCCAGCGATGTAACGTAGGATGTCATGTACGACCAAAGCCATGGATTGTCGGTTGGCGATGACCCGTAGCGCAACTTGACGCAATCACCCCAGACGATAACCTCCCGCCGGAGATATGCTTTGGATGGAAGAAGGGCGAAATTCTGCAGAGGATCTGCATCCCAGATCCAGCCGTTATTCGCTAGCGAGTACAAACTAGGATCGGCACTGGGTGATGGTTTCTCCAGACGCGTGAAATATGGCTCTACAAGCGGATTTCTGAGCGCAAGACCAGGTTAGATCAGATATAACAACGAAGATGGGGAACTTGCGTCTCAGAGATTTCGCCCAATTTTGGTCCATGCGGATCGAGCCTGGTGTATTTCACTCGGTTCTTCATGTTGTCCAACGCAACCCTCTGGTCCTCCTTCCATTCCTCGTACAATGGGACGTTGATCACGTCGACAACATTCTTCCAGGCTTCCGTCATCGCATCAACGTCCTGCGATGCCCCGAGAGCGGCCTTGATAATACCAGCGGCGATAGTGCTGTCGACTTTCACCCCAAAGCGTGATGCTAACCCACCTAACCCCTTCACCTTTTTCTCGGCCCTCAACACTTCCGCCAATTCTGCCGCACTTTTCCCACTTACATTTGGACCAGCCCATGGTACATCCACTTTTGATTCAAGAGCCGCTTTTACTGATTCGGTCTCCCGAGCTGGGTCAAGAACATAGTATTGCCAGAGGTCCAGACCTTGAATAACATCGTGAAAGGCTGAGATAAGTTTTTCAACGTCTTCCCCTGAAGTGACGATGGTGGGAAGACCCCTGGCAGCCAGTGAGCTGGAAAATTCAAGGATTGCCGTGTCAAGTTCAAGTGCGGGAGTGAGATGGGGCGTATTTGCGGGACTGAATCCTGTAGTCGGATTAATCAAAAATAACTGGAACGAGTCTTGAGGTCATACCTGCTTCAGGGTGATCCACCAGCCACTCGCTGTCATTTGCGGTGTGATTGAGGACTACATCCGTCAAGCTTAAGAGTCCGTATTTCTCTCGCGCAAGCTTCAGGGTATCTTCCACCTTTGTTCTCCCCGCACTACTGGTCAACTTGGTTCCAAAAAGGCTAGAGTCGTACTTCATTTGATCGCGGATCGAATATGGGCTGTCACTGCTTCCCCTCTCTTGCAAAGGCGTGTAGTGCACCATGGTGTAGCCTCGCTCTTTCGCCTCATCAAAATATTTCGCCCACCCTTCCAAGGGCCCCATCCACTTTGACACAAGAGTGAGGATGGACAATCCGTCCAACGGCAGGTGAATGTAGTCGTTCAGAACCACGGCACCTTCGCCTTGGGGTAGGACTTGCTGTTGATCATTCAGTATCGGTGATCTCGCCTTGATCTTGAGAATCGGGTCGATATTAAAATACCCAGAGCGTCCTTTGACACGCTCGCCGTTATGTCCATCATATTCGACCCAGTAGACAAAAGCGCCAGCGTGCGAGATGGGTAGGTCAACCTGTACTGGTTTCGAAAAGTCTTGCGGTAACCTAGCCTTATGAACATCTGCACGTATGTAAACGCAACAAGAACTGACTTTCTCTTTGCATAATTTTCTCTGCCAAACACCCCACCATTGATGGGGAAGTTGGTCTTGAAGACACCGTTTTTCGCTGCTGGATTGCCCGCTTGGAGTGAAACGCGTAAGATATACGGCGTATATGCTGGTGGGAGACGGATGTACTAGAATTTACGGGCAATAAGTCAACAGGAGAGCGTGTCTGAAAGCGCTACTGACTGAGAGGTCCCTATGGGGCCCGCCATCAGGCTCAAGTCGAAGTTCATAGACGCGTATTGGGTCGTCCCCCGACTGAGCTTGCGCCTGGAAGAACTCGATGGCTTCGTCAGCGGGTGTCTTTGGAGTAAGAGGGGAGGGAGAGCTGGAAGCAGAGGGCGAGCGAGAACCTGATTTCGAGCCCGACTTTGGGATGTGGACTGAGGGCTTTGATTTACCGTAGGCGCTTCTGCGGTTTTTAGTCATTTCGTAGCTGGGGGCGATGGTGGGGAAAAAGAGGGAACGGGGTGAACGACGCGACTCCTCGCGACACCTTTTATGTATGTTAATTTTAGATTATCAATATCGTCGATCCGACATCCGATAACGGCGATGATGTCATTCAACTTTTCCCTAAGTGGTAAACTGCCTTCCATTTAAAGATAATAAAGAGTATATTATACAGTAGACATACATTTAAAAGAACGCATCAAACATTCTGCCAAGTAAAGAGCGTCGCGGACTGTCCGTATCTCTGCCATTCACGGTTGTCTCCTCGCTTGCCTGTCCTTCGCTACTCGTTCCAATCACCCGTCCCCGCACATCACCGGTAAACTCTCCGGCAACCTTTGCTCGTTGACCAGAAGGTATTTCTCGTGGCACGATCGACTCGTTACTTTCGTCATTGCTTCCATTCTCCCGTGGGCTGGTCCAAACCACTCGACCGCGTCCATCAGTCACAAAGGGTGGCTCAGGCATCGAAACTGTGGTGGGAGGCACAATGGTCGCGGCAACTTCCTCGTCGTTCGATCCTTCGTCGTCCTCAATGTCAGTGTTCACGTCTCGTTGTTCTTCCCTGTCAACAACCGTGCTAAATCGACCAGTGCCTCCATCTTGAATTACTGTTCGCTGCGGGTCCCTGTTGAGAGTGCGTGAAGATGAACGGCCTCCATGTCTTGCTGTTGCCTCTTCTGTCCGTAGACTACCTGCTATGTCAAACATGAGATCATGCGGAAGAAAACTGGTGCCGCTGTTGGTGTCATGGGTTTCTTCAACATCTTCATCGCTCTCGTCGTAATCGCTATCACTTGAGTTGGAGACGCTGCGCAGATCAGGCATACTGTCGTCACTTGACTCTGATCCACCAAAATCTCTCTCAACGCCAAAAAGCCCCTCGTCTGGTGTTAGGCGTGGCGGTCGAGTTTCTATCGTAAAGGTTTCGTTAATAGGCTCTAAAGGGGGTGGAGAATCAGAATGGGCTTCATCCGTTTCTGCGTTCTCTCGAAGGAAATTGATGGAAGCAAGCATCTGATCTGCCTTGAGAGAACGTAAGAAGGAAAATATCCTCATTTTTTGGAAAATGTACCAAGGTTTCTAGCCTCTCCATGACATCGTCCTCCTCAGCATCCCGCTCGATGGCGGCATCTTCAGCGGAATTCCGGCGGAAAAGGCCACCACGACTTCCGCCTCTCTCGAGCCTCGTAAGCCCCATTCTCAGAGCCTCGACGGCGACATTCAAAGTTTCCAGCGTTGCGCCCTCCTGTATAGCGTTGTTCAACATCTCCAATGATCGGCCTACTTCTCGCAACCTTCCCGCAGTGGTAGGTAATTCTGAATCCTGTATTCCAACATTGAGACGCCGCAGACGCTCCACAGTTCTTCGTTGACGGTTGCGGGGAGCGCTAAAGTTGAGACGGTTCATTGCAAGATTTACTCCTTCAGTGCCAAAAAGTGACAAAGAGTCGATATCCAGGGGGAGAGGAAAGAAGGAAGGAAGAAAGTCGTTGTCTTCCATCCCGTTTGCGACACGATACCTCTGTTGAGACTATCTTGAGAATGGCCACCGCATTAACAAAGAACAAAACATACTCGCATGGAAACATCAACACCTTCCCGGAACAGAAAGGGAGTCCCATCCTCGTTGACATGTTTGTAGAAACAGTCTTTACCAAAAGGACAGAGAGGTTTGTTCTTGTTCTTGGCTTGTGACGTTTGGAAGTAACTTGGACACTTGGTAAGCTAATGTCATTGAAGGAGAGGACGTGTAGAACTGACCGACACGTAACCCTGCCCATACTGGCCTGGTAAGCCTTGATCGCGTCCGCCTTTTCTCCAGCAATGCAGAATTTAGATGAGGGAGTTATGAAGCGGGAAGCGGTGCGGCACATGGGACACTTTTTGGTATTACCAGACTCGACAACGTCCCCCGGCTTTCCTGACGGGTCCCTCCATTTCTTTATGCACTAAACTGGATTGAGCGGCATCCGAATGAGAGAACGAGGGAAGGTACCCCTATACAAAAGATGTGGTTGCATCCTTCTAAAGTGGATATGAGAGCTATGCATAAAGTTTGTTGAAGAGCGCACCAAGCAATCCAAACGTAACAGGCTTTTCAAAACAAACGGAACACAACTGATCCTCTTCCTCGAGAATATTGGTTTGATGTGGATCGACATGTTTGAACCAGCACAGTTCTCCCCGCTTGCAAAAACCTAAAAGCTTGAAATTGAATTGATTTGGGAGGGGGAGAGCCTGGAAACGCACCATGCTGGTAGTATCGACATTGCTTGGCCTGGTCATAGGGTGTCAACAACGGCTGAACATTTTGACCAGGTTCCTCGCCGTGAAGAAACTTGCAGCTATCCCCTGAAAAGCAGCCTCTTGGAGAGTTGTAATATTTACAGATACCCCTTGACTTTGAGGTTACAGGGCGAGGGAAAGACATGTGAGGAAGTGAATTGGATTACAAAGATAATTATAGACAGTACCGTCACATGACTGTTACTTTTTTGGTTGCCCTCGCTAGCGCCTGCGTTGCTACTTGACTTGTTAATTGTCTCTTCACTGGTCAGATTATTCTTCTCAAAACCAAAAAACTAACGATAGTCTTGCGAGCTTTTTTGCAAGTTTTGTGAGGCTAAATTACGAGCCTTGGGACGACTTTTGGGACTAGCCTCGCGACCATGGCTCCAAGTAGTACTGGCGGACATGGCGTACACAGTACACCGAGCAGAGATCGCGAACGACTTCCATTTCCACAGTCAGCGAATCCATCACCAGGTCCGCCTATTCGCCAATCTACCAGCTCTTCAGCATCGTCCTCGTTCTCAACGATACCCTCCACATCCTCTCTCCCTTCATCCGCAACCCCACAACCCGCCATTTCTGTCGATGCTCTAATCAGGCAGCATTCCTCAGCCGCAGATCCCATGGCCGCTGCTCTTGAACAAGCTGTGAACGATCGCAACGTCCTTTCAGCTCAAAATACACAGCTTTGGAAATTGATCGAAAAACAAAGGACCGGTTACAATCAAATCATGAAAGAACTGGAGAGGATAAGGAACGAGCGTGACACCTATAAAGCCAAGCTTTCGATGCTCAACGGGGGAAATACACCATTTCTCGAGAGGCGGCAAAAAAGTGGTGATCGGACGACTAAACTTAGTTTGGCTGAACCACCCACCAGCCAGCATAACAACATATCCTCTTTGTCACAGGCGAGGCAGCCACTTGGAAGGCATAACTCTGACGATACTGGTAAGTTTTTGTTATAAAGGCCAAACCTTCCAGTGGCTCTGACCCGCCTTTCCATGTCCAGCAACGCCACGATCTCACCACCTACATTCATCGAAATCATACGAACCCCTTTCTGCAAAAGTAACTGAAAGTCCTTTGCAGTCGAACACCAGTCAGTCGTTTCCCAGTCCTACGCCATCATCCAACCCCGCGCCACCCGCATCCGCGCCCTCTCATCTTATGACCTCCCGAAACTCTAAACCATCTCCATCTCCACTTGTTATGCCATCGCGACCTGACAACGCTACGACGCTCTCTTCAGCCGTATCTTCCACGTCAAATCATACCCAACACTCAAGACAGGCTGAACCCACCCCATTGACAAACAACGGGAGCCACTCGAATGCAATGACGCCCTCACGGACGGTTGTTCTGCCGCCACGTAAAGCTAGCCTTGCTGAGAGCGTCAGTAGCGGGAGCAGCATGAGTGCTCCCTCACCTTCCACTACAGCGTCGAGCATCATCCACAGCTATGGTCAAATAAACCACCCAAGTACCCCTGCCCAACCCCAAACACAGACCAGTTTACCGTCTCCATTGGTATCAAATTCCGAAGCATCGTATACACGCCAACGCTCTTCAGCATCCACCATCACGCCAGCAACTCCCACTCAACCTGCCACTCCTCAGGTCATCCCACCCACCACGCCAGCTGCCACCTTACAGCCCCAATCCCAGCAGCTTCAATTGCTTTCCACTATTTCTGAAGGCCGCGGGCATATTTTGTCCCGCGACTCACGGATCTCCTTGCCAGACGAGGCTAGACAGTACATCGCCAACATGACCGACTCTCCGTTTCCTAGTCCAAGAGTTGACGTTTTCGCTACCAGATCTAAACTTTCACCAGTTCATGCAGCGTCTCGAGAAAACGAAAAGAATGATAACGGGGAAAGCGAATTTTTGGATATGGACGAAGAAGATGAGGATTCTGAAGAGGAAGATGACAACTCTGGTGAGCTCTTTGATGTCTGCTTTGTGCGTTGTTGTTCTGAAAATCCTACAGCTTCCATTGATGATTCCGAAAATCAGCACAACCAAGTTCCCCAGATCATAATACCCGTCCAATCAACTTCAAAGTTTGACAGTGAGGTGCATGCTCAACAAAACTTCTCACCCGAAGGGCCTCCTTCGGATCATGAGTACGGGATACCTATCGCTAGGCGCAAAGAGAAACCCCGTGGTGTTGTAGCAGAGGAGTTCCCACTCCCTCCACCGTCGAACATCTATGTTCACCAACACCAAGCTGCCATCCCCCACGATCCACAGCATCAGTACCCTAGTCAGCATGCGCCACAACACGGACAAGCACCCACAGTCTCGACACCTGGCCCGTCAACGTCAAAGCATGCGCGAGCAATGCCTGATCAATCCTTTGGTTCATCGGCTTGGCCGAATCCGCAGGATTCAGATTTGTCCCTGCCGGAGAACTCTTATCCTCAACCCTCTCATCGACAAAATCCACAGCAGCAGCAGGCACGGGATCAACAAAAACAGCAGCAGCAAGCGGTCCCTGCGTCCTTCCGTGCTCTTCCGCTCCTTCCGACTGATCTTCCACATACGACCATCAATGTCTCGCACTCTTTTGTGCGTCCAAATGATCGAGGGAAAGAAGTTCTTTCTTTTATCGTCTATGTGAGCCCGGGACTTAGCAAGGAGGGCTGGAAGGTCGAAAAGCTGTACTCGGACGTGCTAAGCCTGGACCAGCGAATTCGAAGCAGCGTGGGTAAGGGGGTTGGAAAAAAGATCGCCAACCTACCCGAAGGAAAACTTTGGAAGGATCATGCTCCTGCTAAGGTTGATCAACGAAAGGTACGTCGAATGTTCGCCATGTATTCTAGAGCTAACCCTTTTACGGAGTAGGCAGTCCTTGAAAACTACTTGCAGACTTTGATAAATCTGCCTGTCAAGAACAATAACGAGGTTATCGCGTTCTTCACGTCCGACATTGTGCGGGAGACCAACCAACCTGTCATGCAAATCGGACACAAGGAGGGTTACTTGACGAAACGTGGAAAGAACTTTGGTGGGTGGAAGACGAGATTCTTTGTTCTTCAAGGACCAGTGCTGGAGTACTACGATTGCGTAAGTGTCATTCGTGGTAGTTGATTTGAGCCCCGAGGCGACAAGCTGATGATGAAACATGCAAATAGCGTGGAGGCGCCCATCTTGGATCGATCACGATTACAGGTGCCCAGATCGCCCGTCAACACCGGACCGAGCGACTGCCAGCCACGGACGACGAAAAAGAATACAGGCACGCGTTCCTCATAGTCGAAGCGAAGAAGGGTCCTGGAGGCAACCACCCTCGTCACGTTTTGTGTGCCGAAAGTGACGAGGATCGAGATAGCTGGGTCGAATTGCTTGTGCGCTATTACACCGGCACCTACAGCGAGGAACTTGTTTTCAATTCAAGCTCTGGCTTGACCGCAGTGAACAGCATTGCGGCTTCCATAGCCGCTCAATCAGGCGCCACTGCACATCCACGGTCCAGTACAAGCTCTAATGACTCGCCAATCTTGACACCTCGCAAACCACCTGTTCGAGGCATGTCAAGGGACGAAGCCCTTGGTTCGCAAATGCCTCTCGATGCGAATGGAAAGCTTTTCCAGCCGCCACCGCTTACACTGGAAGACTATGTACGTTCATCGAGCCCATCCAAGTCCGTCGACCCCTCTCCCATAGACCGCCCGGGGGGAGTTTCTTCTGATCATCAGAACCAAACTACGCGACGAACGATGGAACGCGGGCTGGGCCTCCCGTCAAGCCTTCCTGATTCATCACCGCTGTCAGCCGCACAAGCATTCCATTCTGAACCAACCCTCGTGGGACAACGTGCCAACTCTGAACTCGGACATTACCCAGATATGCACGACCCACGCAGTGGTCGACATCAACGGCAGCCTGAACATCGGTCAGATGGACGAAAATCATTCCATCCAACACTGAATACGTTGGCATCCGTCCCTTCCACTCCAGCTGGCCCTGAGCGCGCGTCCTCTCCAGAAAAATTTGATGTCAACGGCAAGGTTAAGATCTCTGGTCCACTTAACGGTGCACCGATCCCATCAGGTTTTAAGTTTGGGGGAAAGGACGCCCCATCTGCGGAAGCGACAGCAGCGGCCAATGATCGACGAGAAAAGGCAAAGTCTCGATCCTTCTGGGGCTTTGGAAAAGCGAACGGTAAAGGGTCAACTAGCTTCCTCCATAAACCCCTGGCTGACAATTTTGGATTGAAAAAGGTGATAAATCGCATCCTCACGTGACATACATTTCTCGAGCCGTTTTTGGCGTGGCCTTGGAAGAGGCATTGGAGGTTGCGCAAATTTGTAACCTACCTGCGATTGTCTTCCGCTCGATTCAGTACCTGGAAGCGAAGAAGGCCGATCAAGAGGAAGGTATCTACCGTCTCAGTGGAAGCTCTGCTGTCATCAAGAGCCTCAAGGATAGGTTCAACAATGGTACGTTAGCTCTCATTTTGTCTTTTGACAAGAAAAAAATCTGACCTTCTGGCTTCAGAGGGCGATGTCGATCTTCTCGCTTCTGATGAGTATTGGGATCCACACGCCATTGCTGGTCTTCTCAAGAGCTTCCTGCGAGAACTCCCTGCAAGTATCCTTACTCGCGACCTCCACCTTCGTTTCCTCTCTGTAATCGGTACGTATTCGAGCTGGTGTCGCGCACTTCTCGCAAGTGACCAAACATTCCATGCAGACTTTGTAGATGCTCAAGAAAGGATCAAAGAGCTTTCACAGTTGATATCCGCGCTTCCAATAGCCAACTACAGCCTTCTCCGCGCACTAACTGCACACCTGATCTTGATTGTGCAAAATTCTGGCGTCAACAAGATGACGATGCGAAACGTTGGGATTGTGTTTAGCCCCACCCTTGGCATTCCAGCAGGAGTGTTCAGCTTGATGTTGGGGGAATTCAATCGCGTATTCAACGTGGATTCGGACTACGACGATTATGAAAGCCCCCGTGGCGAACAAAGTGGTGAAGCACTTTCACAGCAAGCTCCTGAACCCTTCCGGCGCAACAGTCGACAGTATTCGGACGCTGCTGCTGATCAACTCCTCGGGTTATCAGGACGCACTCTGACCAGTACGTCTCTTCTTTCATTTTTTATCTTTCTTTTCCTGAGTCTTCTTCTTTTAGCACCCGCGGAGGAGACACAGTCTGATGGAGATGATTTTTCACTTCATGATGAAAGTGGGACTGAAACAACTGAAGGCGAAATCACCATCGAGTCATCAACTCCGTCCAGTCCAATCCAAAGCGTCACGAATCTAGGCCCGGACCCTGCCATCCGCGTAACGCCCCCTGAGACGCCTACTGCTTCGAAGACGTCGAAAGCATCCCACGTCGCCGCGAGTCGAGGTCTGAATGTTGCGGTGACGACTTCGGAACGCGGAAACCGACACTCGAGGATGATGGGTCTGCCTTCATCTCCTCGGCCGCAGAACTCTCCGTCACGACCACCAGATTTACAAATGTCCTGAGAGACGTTCACTGGCACGTTATGTATCACAGATGTGTTTTTGGAAGATGCATCGATTTTTTTTCCCCCCGTATATACCCCATTCCCTATACCAATTGTACAGCTACTTGTAGTCTGTAGTTTTGTGCGGTGTTGAATTGATACCCCGTGCAATTGTAACTTTAAGTACACACTTGGGAACGACAAGCATTCGTTCACACGACTTACACGAAGGGTGATACATACCCTACCCATACACCACAACCATCATCCGCTTCTTCCAACTCCTTCATGGGCTTCAAGCAAGCGGCCGTGCTCGCACCTGTGTCCTTCTTTCTCGGTGAGAAGAAGCGTTGAAAATTCTCAACTCGGGGCCCGTATTGACCATACGTAACAGGTGTTCAACTCATCTGCCTCAACGTAGATCACCGAGTGTTGTGGAGTGAACTAACAGAGGATGTGATTCGTGACGGGTTTCAGTTCTACACAACGTTTTTCAATGCGCCGCCAGCTATAAAGGTGCGCTCGCTGTTCGACTCAATGAGCTTTGAACTAACTGTATTGGGAACTTGCAGGCGCTCCTCCACGGATTGGTTGGGGTTGGGTTGATTGGATTGGTCGCAAAGCTTCACAATTGGGATGAGAGTGCGATGTTTTTTGATGGAACGAGTCTAGGTGCGTCCGACTTTTTGTTCAATTGTTATTGGACTGACAAGGGTTTGTAGCGACGTATGTATTTGGAATTGCGGTATATCTGACGGTGACGATACCGTCACTGCGAACGATAGTAACGCCGTTGGAGCAGGTCGAGAACAGAGGAGACCAGGTGGATGCTATGCGAGTTCTATCTGCAGGAAATATCATCATCATCATATGCCTGGGCCTCATTCTCGCTCTACAGGTACGAGTCTTATTATTGATAATGAGGGCTCTAATAATAATGGTCCCAGGCTGGACAGGAATACGCTCGACGTAAAGAGACAGTAGCGTTAGAAAAAAAGGAACAGTGACCATTGTACTTTTTTCTAAATGGGACACGAGGATCTGTGCTCTAGAATTGGTGTAGGAGAGCCGAGCGCCGACGTTGTTCTACTGCATTCCAAATAGAAGCTTGATCGATCGTAGATCGCCATTCACACACTGAGGCGTGAGATGGGAATGTGACTGGCTGTGACTATCTGTGACTGAGCTGTGAAATTGGATCTGAGATGAATGCTTAAAAGTACTTAAACTGGGCCCTGTCGACAGTTTACAACCAAAATGGATACTGGGTGACTTTCCGTAACTCAAATCTATAAAAATGAATAAATTTGACCCTTATCGGAGTTTGAAACGAGAATTTCACAGGAGAGTTTATTGGAGTGAATAAACCGTAATGCCAACTGATTAGATTCTATTTGATGTATTTGCTTGCCTTCACTTCCCTCCTGTCTGAGCTGCTCTGAGGTCGTGTAGGCCCATGGATGGGTTTATTATACTGATTATTCATCCACCCTGCTGTAAAATTAGACCACACACTGGGTGAAGCCCAAAAAATCCCAAGTTGAGCTGAACATGGCTGTGGATCAGTGAGTTAGGTGTCAAGAAGGGTGTTTGTAAAGGGAGCAACAGTTTCCGGGAGGGGATTTTGTAGCCATAAGACATTGACACTTCTAATAGACTCTGTAGTGGCTTTGAACTGCAACGAGAGGGAGCAGAATGCCCCAGCCGTAGGAGAGTAGTAGGGGATGAGGTAGAGCTGACTAAGCCATGTGGGAAGGAATCGTACCCAGGAAGAAAGGGTTCCCCCTTGGCAGGGTGGTTCCCAGCGTTTGAAATCTGTTCGAGGGGTCTGTACCCTCTGAATAGATTAAGGTTTGTAACTGGGTTCCAACCAGGGACTCCATCAGAGTCGAACCCTTACAAGACTCGGCATCCCGGCAAAGGACCCTAGATTTCGTCGATTTATTCAAATCTAGAGAATTTGTGTTACGGAAAGTCACCCACTGACTGGTGCTTGACTTGCGACAGACATACTGCAAGTATTTTTTCAACCCTCTGTCGTCCCCGTTCTCATCGTTTTTACAGGAGGGAAATGGCCCTTATTGCTCATTCAACTGCAAACATTTGGCTGGGCCAGACGACGAGGAGAACAATTCCGCTGCTATAATAGCATGGGCCTCTGGAATTCCTCTTGGACCAGCTGGAATCCCTCGTGGACCACCATCTCCACCTCCTTCTCCTCCAGTCCATTCATCGTCCTCTTCCACTTATTCATTCTCCAGTTCTGCTTGCCGACCGCCCCAACTCTTACGTCCACATCGACCCGTCCCGCCCACCCTCTGCATGACCACTCCAACAACTGCAGCTCCCCCGTCCTCAACGATTCCCATTCAAACATCTCACAAACCACTCACTTGCCCTTCAATTCTCAGTTTATCAGAATTCAAGAGTATAGGCAACGTCTCCGTCTTGTCAGGCGCCACTGAAGCTTCCCTCGCCACTCCCGCATCCGCTAACCCTATGCCCATCTCTGCCAGCCGTAACAAATCCTTCATCGGCTCTATCGCTTCTCACGTCCGCTCCTGGGTGTCTCCGTCACCCGCATTCCTGTTTTCATCTCAACAGAAAACGTCACAATCTCCACCTCGCGTGGACACCGCAAAGTTCACCGTCCTCTCCAAGAAGCACCATCTTTCTCCCCTCAAATCCAAATCCCCCTCTTATGACGACGACGACGACGACAATCTACCCGTCTGCTGGATGTCAAGCACCGTCCTCGTCGAAACCAACAGTGCTTTCAACCAGCCTAAACATCCACGAGGCCGCAGAAGGACGTCTGAACACAATGACGATCATCCGTCATTTAGGGCCAGAGGGCGAAAAACATCTCGCGCAGTTGACTGAACCACAACTGCCTTAGCTTTTCTCGCTTTTTGGCATTTCTCCCCCCCCCCACCATAGAATTTTCGTTCTTTTTATTCCGGATATATCTCCCCAAGCGACAGCAAAAAAAAGCCAACAACCAAGACTACCTGTCGGACTCGCTATTTTGCATCACAGCTTTGCACTACCCTCCCTATCCGTTCCATTTCCTTTCTTGCATCATCCAGCATCATTGCATCATCAGCTCTCTCTTTCTCCTTGCATTATCCCCCCACCTCATCACCCAAACAAAAACGAGTCACTCACGTTTCAATCCACATTCACTTATTTTCGCCTCGCATATACGCCGCCCCTTAGACACGGCCTCCAGATCTATGTACGTTCTACCTACTTACAACCCCATGTGTAACACTATCTACAATCAAAACCATTACGCGAACCCAAATCGAATACAAGCGGCCAGGCATCTAAGTATCTAAGTATCTATCTATCCGGCCGTTCCATCGACCTCCATCTCTTCTTATCGAAACCACAACACAAGGAAACAACGCGCTTCTTCTCTATCTAAGCACATACACAATTCCTATTCAGCACCCGAAGACTTCCGAACTGTGCGTTTTTGCCCAAAACGCGCACCCTCGCGTCATCCTCTCTCTCTATGTGCACACCTCGAGGATACCTTCCGTCCTTTCTGCTTCGTGGAAGGAGCACCACAACCGCTCCACTTTCGGCTGGCCGTTTGTGAAAGATTTCCGGTCACTCCACTGCCTTGCCCGATTATCCCGCTGATTCCTATTCTATGTGTGTTCCTTGACTCCACAGTATGTAAATAAAAGGTCATACAGACTATCCCTAGTATAAGCACCCCAGATTGCGCTCCCGAACCTTAGCCTTAGTGTAGCAGTGACCAGTAAGGTATCTTGAAACGCCCGTCCACACTTCAAATTACCTCAATCTTACGATTCATTGAGGCGGCAGCGAGAAACAATAACTGGCATTGTGACAGAGTGAGCATAATGACAGGAGTCGGTGTACGCAGCGATAGGCCCTTTTTTTAGCGCTCAATGCCATTTCGGTCTTTAGTCGCTCCGAGAACCAGTAAGAATCCAAATAAAAAATAAGAGGTGGGTCCTAACTGACATATGTATATTGTATGTATATGCTTTTGGCAAAGTCTTCCGGGAGATGGCAACCGCACAGGTGTCTATTTTTAGGTGCTCACTTGCAGCACCACCACATACCCGGCTTGATTTATGTTTTAGACAATACAACTGCGTCAGTCTTCTCTATCTAGTATCAAGTTATCTGCATCATCGATGATCGAATGAACGCACCGATCAGGTATCGAAAATAAAATTTTCATCTCAGTGAACGCTCAGCGCACTCCGTTTTCCTTTATGCATTTCAATGCTCCGTTCCATTCGATGATCAAAACTGCGTATGTACTTAGGTGCTGTAAAGTAATATGTCAGCATCGGGCGAGAGTCTGGTCACCGTGAGGAGATCGCGATTGTCCTAAAGATATATGAGCTCCCAATCAGCGACGTCGGACTCGATAATGGAAATTGCGCGCTTGAAATGCGTTCTGACTGTCATTCACACCAACGTCCAGTCCGCACCAGGTTCGCACCGATATGTACCCCTGGATCGAAACACTCAGACTAGCCTTTTTGGACCGAAGAACAAACAGCATATACTTACCACTGTTACCAGGTCGGAGCCGCGACTACCCGCGATTTATCATTTACTAATCCAAGCTGAGCAGTGGCGACAACAGGCGACAACCTGGAGAGTTAACAATGAGTGTTTTGGATTACCGGCGACCGGGGCAGAAGCATTCATATCAGAATGTCCGCAGCTCACAACTTTGGCTGATGCTGATTGGGTGTAACTTGGCTGCCGTAAGTACTGTGTGAAATCAAGGTCGCTCGACCTGGCAGCGACATGGGCGAGAGTCGGAGGCCAGACCGCCTTTTCCACCCCCTCTAGATCCTTCCGCCGCTTTAAATGCCAATTTACTGAGGCAAGCGGATAGGGGAGGCCTGTCCGCTGAATGGTGATTGATAACTTGCATTGAATACCAAGGGCGTTATGGTTATCTTTCTTTCTGCGAGCGGAACTCATCCGGTAACTCAGTTGCGTATGTGTGCGCAGGTGTGCGCCGCACTCACACTAAAAACTTGATTCAATAGAGGGCAGGGACAAGGAAGTAATATTAGAGTGCATTTGACTCACCTAATTTGTGAAGGATGCCGCCGCCGGATTACCAACAATACAAAAAAAGAAAACATACCGAACGCGTTGACATCAATCATTAATCAAGGGACGTATACGGGCATGCTGGTCACCATCCATTATGGTCGCAACAAACAACCATTGAAATGTCATTTGTGGGGGCACCTTTGAGCTCATTGTCTCAGTCATACTTACGGGATCAAGGTCGTTGCAGGCGAGAGCGGTGGCGTCGCGCGACAACTCATCAACTGCAACACCTGATACGTCAAATTTGTCACCCTCCATTTCAAAAACTCCACACACAGCTGGGCTCTTTCAGGGTTTTGAAATACGGAGGTGTAGAGAACTGTGGTGGCGAATGATCGTCCAGGTAGAAAACTGGATTGGTCTTAGTGCGAAAGAAGTAGCCGAAGGACCAGAGTAATGTTTGCAACGATCGCTCGCTTGAGCAATGTCCGCGGTCGGCAAGATGACACCCAACGTCAGTGAGCTCCGCTTATTTGTTACTTCAGGGACATTGCACAACACCTGTTGATATCGCGAAGATGAAGCTTTCGTAAACTTGCCAAACTGCACCAGATCAACTTCGTTTCCTGGCATATGACGCCGAAGGAGAACGGCTATGGGCCATCGGATATTGCCATATATGCAAGCTGCAGAAGGGCCATTGCCAGAAGTTGAGGGTGGAACAAGATGCATTGCGCACAGCAGACTACAAGTACCCATATTTTCTAAATGCACGGGTGAATACACGAAGATTGGTACTTTCCTTTTCTTTGCCACAATCGCTGCAAAATTACTGATATCAAAACAAAATACAAGCCTACTTTCACTGAGGCGGTTGGAAGCTGGATCAACAATCATTTCAGAAAAAGAAGCAAGGAAAGTTACACTTCTTCGACTCACCCAGGAGGACCTGGGAAACCTGGAGGAGGGGGGAAGGGCATGCCAGGAGGGAAACCTGGAGGCCTGAAACCAGGGGGAGGACCTGACATGCCAGGAGGAGCGAAAGGCATTGGTGGGCGTGCTAACGATGGAGCTCCCACTACCAACAAATGGTCAGCAAAGCTTCAAAAACTGCAGGGTGAAAAGGCACGAACTAGGCGGCATCATACCCATGCCACGTCCCGCAGGCATGCCGCGACCAGGACCAACAGGAAGCTATAGATTCATCAGTATCAAGATCGACGCTGATCATGTTCTGAGTCGCGCACCGCGTTCTTTTTGTCCTCATCAACGATAGGGGGTGGCCCCTCAACGCTTAGGCTGACCACTGTCTCCCCACGCAAGATCACAAGCCCAAGTGTTCGCTTCATTTCTTGTTCAGGTGCCGTCTCCTCCCCCGCCTTTTTCTTGGGACGAACTCTTCTAAATTCCTCGCAATCGGCCAAGACCAAGTTCATATGGCGATCAAATGCCAGCATTTGTCCCGTTAACGCGCGCCCATCGTTAATCGTGACTTTCAGTCTCCAGTTGATGAGACTGAGCATTTTTCCGCCTTTAGATTTGGGAGGAGGCTAGATGCTACATAGTTAGTTATAAACATCGTAAAAATCGTATAACTTTGGATGAACTTGCCATGATGGGCGGTGTAGAGTGGTTCGAGGTGACTCGAGGCAACGACAAACGCAAGGCTACCAATTTTCTTACAAACAACAACAAAGACAACCTGTAGCTAGTTCGCGGTTCACCTCGCTCAGATTTCTGGTCCAACCATTTTCTGTGTGTTTCTAGCAATGTTCACTCAAAAAGTATACGCTATGCTATAGCCGAAATACCGATACCGAATTGACGGAGCGAACTTTGTCAGTTGTATCATTGGTCATGACAGGGAGATCTCGTGCAATTGTCCATCTTCAATTATGACTCTCAACACCAAGCTCACTCAACTTCTAGGTGTCATTATACGCAACTATCATCTTTGGACATGATTAAATGTTACTCTAGGACTTAAAACCCCCATCGTCGCTGCCTCAATGGCGGGTGCGAGTGGTGGTACGTCATTGACGCATACCTTGCCCCCAGGTGATATTGATTAGCCTTGTAGGCGCCCTCGCCGCTCAAGTTACTCTGGCGGGAGGCTTCGGCTTCCTTGCAGCGGGTATGTCTGTCGCTCCTTTCACAAACCATTGTAATAAGTCGCTTTTCAAGGATACGATTCCCCTGAAAAGCTCCAGTCCGAGATAGATATAGCTCGATCCCTTCTTAAGCTTCAGCCTCACGCCCTCCTTCCCGTAGGCGTGGGCTTTCTGGCGTGGCAATTGGAGTCACCAGGAGCTCCGGCAACGCAGCTTCTGTCTGTGGCTTTGGATAATAATGTTCGTGCCATCTGGTTAGCTTTTGGGAACAACATAAAACACTGGGTGGATTACATCCACGAACATAATAACAAGCGGGGCCATACGGATCGCGTCTTAATTTTTTGTCCTGTCTCCTCCGTGGAGCAGGCATCCGTAGCGGTCAATGAATGGTGTGCCGACGTTATCATTGTGCAAGGCTCGGCTTCTGCATTCTAAACATTAACTCTAGCTCTTATCCCCTTCTGCAGGTGTCGAGGCTGGAGGGCATGGGGCGTCTCAAGGCCTTCCACTTCTAACCCTTCTACCTCTAGTCACTGCTGCCATCGGACCAAACGGACCACCCATTTTAGGTGCTGGGGGACTAGTCAATGGAGCGCACGCGGCAGCACTTCTCACTTTAGGAGCTTCTGGAGTTGTTCTCGGAACCCGCCTTTTGCTTTCTCCTGAAAGTCTCTATACCGATGCCCAGAGACGTGCTCTTATCGAGGCTGATTCCTCCCTATCGGTCCGAACGATGGCTTTTGATTACGCTCGAAATACGCTAGGTTGGCCACAGGGGGTCGACGGAAGGGGTTTGCGAAACGGTAAGAACCTCGTAGCGCGAATTTTGCTGTCACCCTATTTACGTTCGAGAAAAATAGCTACCGTCGAAGATTATGAGAGAGGGGAAGACATTCAAGTTCTAAGGAGCAAACTCAAGGAAGCGAGTCTCAAGGACGACACCTCCCGCATCGTTGTCTGGGCAGGCGCCAGCGTTGGCTTAGTAAACAAGATCATGCCAGCAAGGGTAGGTTCTCATAGAAGCGAGCAGTGCACGCTGTCATCCTGATCTGACCTTGTTTCTCAATAGGAAATTGTCGAAGAGATTCACAAGGATTGCGTAAAATATCTCCGGTCGTCCGCCCTTCTTGTCTCTAGTGCCTAAGGGTCAACACTTTGTTAACATCGGCTGCTAGAAGCCCTCTTCGTTGTTCTCCGTTCATCAAGACCCTTTTTTCTACAATATTTCGAAAGGCATCCAGCTTGGCAGATCCCAGCGGCAAAGGCCAGACAGGCGCACGTTGGTCAATGTAAATATGTAACAGAGCCTAAACTGACCTGTCTTCACAAAAAGAAAAACTCTATGTGCATACCAGACAGTCGTCCTTCCATGGTCTGCAACATACCAGTCCGTCACTGGACCTCAAGCCAGTTTAGCTCTTTGCTATTCATCTCCCATCGCAAGTGCATGTTAACAAATTTCGGGGCATCAAGATTTCAGTACCTTGGCGTCTTTTCCTACTCGGAAAGTGGCTGAAGTTCATCTGATCATCATGAAGACCGCTTCGACTCGAGCACAGCTGTGTTCACAAGCCCTATCAGCGGCACATTAAATTTCACGGACAAGTGAGCAAGGTCCCGCTATGTAGATGACATGAACGTCAAAATAGACGGTGGGTGGTCACACATGGACAGGTGAAAGATTGATCCATCATTCGCTTTGACATCATGAGAAATTCATCCGTGTTCCCTTCCTGGAAAAAATCCCTATCTGTACAGCAATTCATTCTATAAGTATAATGGCGCCATCGATGTCGTTCAGTGTACAATCTCCACTGTAAGATCACCCTGGTTGATTGAGTCCCCTTTGGAACAGACGCCTTAGTTCGGCAGCAACGATAAGGCAAGATAAGACAAGTACCTTCGTGAACGACAACACGTTTGATGTGACCCGAAACGGGAGCGGTAACAGCAGATTCCATCTATCAGACGAAACCAGTCAGTTAGAAATCATCAGCATAACAATCCAAGTTACCTTCATCGCGCTGAGAACTACACATGCGTGCATCAGCTGACTACTGGTTATGGGATTTGAGGCTTCCAAAGCTTACCGCAAACGGGGTCACCCTTTCTGATCTCCTGCCCCTCTTTCACTCTGACTTCAACAACAACACCTGACATCGGGGCACCGACAGATCCAGGGTCAGCAGTTGCCTTCTCCCGCGAGACCGTTTCCACAGCTGAGTTTTTGTCCTCAACTGACACCGCACGGACCTATTGTGATGAGGGTCATATAGCTTGAGCCAATAGTGAAAATAAGGTATTGATGACGTTTTTACCTCTCCGTTCACCTCAAACCACACATCACGCTGGGCACGACCTTCGACAACGGGTCCCACCGCCATCAGACGGATGATGAGGGTCTTGCCTTTCTCGATCGAGATGTGCATCTCCTCTCCAATATCCGGACGGCCAAGGAAGTACCGGGTGGGAATAACACTTGATGGTTCTTCAGAACAAGCACATGTGACAGCAAAACCCGAAATGCGCACCTCAAGTCACCGTACTTTTCAATGAAGCCCTGGTATTCTTCGAAGACCTGTCCAAGTATGTTAAGATATCGTGTTACGCAATGAAGACGTGCTCGGCGGAATACCTTGGGATACATGACGTACGAGGTAACATCAGAATCTGTGATGTGCTTCCCAAATTTGCTTCGTAGTTCCGCCTTGATCTTCTTGAAGTCAAGAGGTTGCATAGTAGTACCCGGACGTCCATCAATTCTAGGCTTATTTCTAATGATTTTTGTGCGCAATGGCTCTGGGAAACCGCCAACAGGCTGTCCAAGGTAACCTTGGAAAAACTCAACAACGGACGATGGGAAGTCGAGCTGTTCAGCGCGTGCCAAAACATCCTCTTTCGAGAACGAGTTGGACGTCATCCATTGCGCAAAGTCACCAACAACCTTTGATGAGGGCGTAACCTTGATGATGTTTCCGCACTATCACGATTTGATCAGCACTATTCCTCATTCTTGACGCGGTAAGTGCAACGCACAAGCTCGTTTGCCTCGATATACTTTTGCTTGATAACTGATATTATTCATCTTTGTCAGAGAAGTAGATGCATGGGACTTTCTGGGAAAGCGTACCAGTCCATTGCGTACCAAGTCCCAGCTGAGAGGCTTGGAACTTTGAAAAATACATGCCATCAGACAGTGAAAGGAAGGAAGAGAGGCGACGGTGCAAACCATCAGATTCGTGTACTGCCCTCCTGGCATCTCATGATCGAACACACTAGAGTCCGAAGCTCTGACATTGGCCTCAAAGCAACTGTACAGCATACGAACTTGACTCCAGTAAAGGTTGAGGGCTTGGATATCCTCGTAGCGGATACCAGTTCCCAGAGCGGTCTGCTCGAGAGCCATGCATACGGCACCCATAGATGGTTGAGAAGTCAATCCCGACATGCCTAACAATTCCCATAAAATGCGATGCGAAGAAAAATGAAGACGTTTACATACTGTCGATCGCAACATCAACGACATCTGCGCCAGCCGCCGCGCACGCGAGCATGCTGGCTGCAGCAATGCCTGCCGTGTCATGGGAGTGGACGTGGATGGGAAGGTCAGGGTGTGCCTTCCTAATGGCGCCAATGAGACTATGGGGGATATTGTATGAATTTTATGCGTCGGAGATGCATGTAGGACTCACAGTGTAGCAGCTTGAGGCTTCAGCAAGCCAGCCATATCCTTGACACCCAAAACGTGGATCCCTTCCTTCACAAGTTGGTCCACAAAGTCGAGATAGTATTGGAGCGTGTACTTCGTCTCATTGGGGCTTGCAACGTCACCACTGTAGCACACCACTGCTTCGCAAACACCACCTGCCTTCTTGGCAGCATCAATCCCGAGCTTCATCTGTTTGCAGTTCAACATCAAGATTTTGCAAGGAATCTTCCAAAATCAGCTGACGTACGTTCTCTGAAAAGGAATTTCAGCAAATACCGACTCAAAAATTCAAGTAACCTACCAAAGTAATTCAGGGAATCAAAGACTCGGAAAATGTCAAGCCCATTTTCCACGGCCTTCTTCGAAAAGTCATAGATGGCATTATCACTGAAAAAGCCGGGAGATCAACTACAATGAAGGTCAAATTCAAAACTGAGACTCACGGGTAGCTAGTATACCCGACACCATTGGCCCCACGGACGAGCGCTTGTAACGGGATATTGGGGACTAATTTACGAAGCGTGCGCTGCGGATACAAGTCAGCATCAACATCTAAAAATCACAAAGCGACACTCACCAGACGCTCCCAAGGATCTTCATACAAGAAGCGCATAGCAACATCAAAAGTTGCTCCACCCCAACATTCAAGACTGTAAGCATTGGCCAAAGCATAGCTGGTCTCTTTGGCGATGTTGACCATATCTATAGTTCGCAGACGAGTCGCAAGGAGAGATTGGTGGGCGTCACGCCATGTGGTATCCATAATGAGGGTGCCTGGGTAGTCGCGCACTGCTTTGGCAAATGCTTCGGGACCTTCTTTGACGATGATGTTCCGCCATCCGATGGTGCAAGGCAGGGTAGTGTCCAGGGGGGGACCATTAAGCGGGTCTTCGCGGCTTTGAAACTTGGGGATGACAATGTCGGTTTTGAGGCCGGGTTCGCCCTGGTTTTACCATCAAACGACAGCGAAAGCAAAATAACGAGCACGAACGGTTTGGCCTTTGATGGAGCTTCCATTGACCGCCAGATCACCGAGGTATGCCAACAGTTTCTGAGCACGGTTTTGGCTCTGCACCAGCTTGAAGAGGTCAGGAGTATCATCAATGAACTATGCATAGTCGGATGAGAACAATGCGTGTGTCAACGAAGGTTGACGTCACGTACTGTCGTCCAAGTCTTTCCTTGAATAAAGGTATCATGAGTCAAGAGACGGAAGAGGAAGGGAATGTTGGTCTAGAACGCAACTCAGTAACTTGGCCACGCATGAGATACGAAGCAACGAACCTTGACACCGCGAATTCGGAATTCAACAAGAGCACGCAACATCTTGCGACGCGCAACTTCATAGGTCGTGCCACTGACTGTACACTTCACTAACAAACTATCATAATGGGGCTTATAATTCTGTTAGCTGGTTCCCAGGCCACTGCAGACAAGCCACTCACCGTGATCTGTGCACCAGCAAAACCAGAGCTTGCGTCGAGACGAACACCATTACCTCCTGCGCTACGATATACCTCAATCTTCCCTGTATCGGGCTGGAAGTTGTGGGCAGCGTCTTCAGTGGTGATACGGCATTGAATAGCAAAGCCTCGTTTCGTGATGGCATCCTGGGTGAGACCAAGTTGCGGCAGAGTCGCGCCAGCGGCAATTTGGATTTGCGCGGCCACAATGTCGATTCCAGTAATTTCCTCTGCAGCAGGACGGTGTCAGTTATTGTCGTGCGCGTCTACTGCGTACGTACCAGTGATGGTGTGCTCCACCTGGATACGAGGGTTGATCTCAATGAAGTAATGCCTGCCCATCTGATCGACCAAAAACTCTGCAGTACCAGCGTTCCTGTATCCGACGCTCTTCGCCAACTTGATGGCGTCAGCCAAAATGGCTTGCCTAACTTCTTCCGGGAGGTGAGTGGCTGGTGCAACTTCAACGACTTTTTGATGTCTCCTCTGGACGGAGCAATCTCGTTCAAAAAGATGGATGGTGTTTCCAACAGCATCAGCAAGGATCTGGACTTCAATGTGACGGGGGCGCTCCAAAAAACGTTCGATGAAAACGGTTCCGTCGCCGAATGCGGCCTTTGCTTCGCTGACAGCGCGTTGGAAGGAGGTTTCGAAGTCGGATTGTTCCCTCACGACGCGCATTCCTCGTCCACCACCACCCATAGCGGCCTTGATGATAACTATGGAGCACATATGAAGATTGTAGCAATGTGAAGGGGCGCACAAATCACAAACCTGGGAAACCGTATTCCTGAATGAATGCTTCTCCATCCTTGTAAGTATCGACAGGTCCAGGAGTTCCGGGTACGACTGGGACGCCGACCTTCATCGCTAGTGGGATAGATCATCAAGAGGGTGCAAATGAATGTACGAAAAAAAGGATTTACCCAAGGTCCTTGCCTTAGTTTTATCACCCAGTCCATCAATTACTTCAGGCGACGGACCGACAAAGGCAATACCAGCTTGTTCGACCTTTCTTGCGAATGCGGCATTTTCGGACAAGAAACCGTAACTGCGTTATTGGGTGGTGAGCTGTGGCTATCCAACCCCCCATGAAAATTTTCAAGGACCGACCCTGGATGGATCATGTCAACGCCATGCTCAAGTGCAATTTTAATGATATCGTCTTGAGCAAGGTAAGCGCCGACTGGGGTTAAACCCTTTCCGACCTGATAAGCTTCATCGGACTGGGAGTGTCAAACTAAGATTAAGACGACCCTGACAGAGATATGATGCCAACCTTTTGACGATGAGCTGATAATCGATCCTCGTAGGAGTAGATTGCTACGGTATGCATAGCAAGCTCATGGGCAGTCCTGAAGACACGGATGGCAATTTCCTGTCACTGTATAAGAAAAGGGGGGGAGGTTGAAAAATGGAGGAAATTACTGACACCACGATTAGCAACGAGAATCTTAGTGAGGGGACCACCATGTCCTGCAGCCTTTCTCCTCATAGTTTGGATGGAGTGTACAGGGGTGCCCGGGGCACTGGGAGAAGTGGCAAAGATGGGAGCGAGCCTCGCTGGGTGCAGCGATGTAGACTGCGAAGCCATGGTAGATGATGATGGTGGTGTTCAAGAAAGAAGAGAACGAGGGGAAGATGACCTGGGGTAGAGTAGAAAGCTAATCTTATCAAGATGATTTTTTTGACCCGCGTTCTGAACTCCGCGTAGTTACGCGCATATACGCAGTGTTCAATTAGTCTATCTATGGTTTCCGACTCGCTAATGGTATAATGGCATCTGCCTGCAGTCGCCCTTCCGTCTTTTTCTGGTTGTTTTTCGCAACTGCATACACAATTCCTGCAAAGAATCCAACCCCAACAGCTGACACTGACCCAAACGTGACCGCATCCCCAAAAAATAACATCCCCGAAGCGGCGACAGGCAGTTTGTTCAAAGCACCTACCATGCTGTCACGCCACGTCAATCACTTCAATTACTCCGAGTTTAACCGTGACCTACCTGTACGTTGTACTGCTTGTCGTGCGAACACACCATGCGGTTGTATATGAAATGCCAACTGCCGCGGCTCCGGAAAATGCAATAGCCGTCAATAAAAAGCTACGCGTCTCTGCAGGGCTGTAGCGAGCTTCTGAGTATTAATCGCTCACTAATGAATGGACCGAAAACACGTACAAATTACGACCGAGATTCTCTAAACCCCAATCTTCAACCACGATGGAAAATATGGCAAGGACTGGGATACTGAGCAGATTGTTGTAAAACATTGAATCCCAGTCAGAGAACCCCGTAACCTTGATTCTTTTCCGCATGGCTAGAACCTGAGGTAAATGTCATTAAACAGATACAACTGGGTCCAAAAACACGTGGAAACTAACATATGCGGCGCTCGTCAAACAATTCACAAGCATCCAGAAATATCCAACGTTCAGCCCACGAACTGCACCTGCAATCGTCTGAAGAGCGTTCAAGCTGACCCCAGTGCTAACAGCAGGAACGGAGCCAGAAAGTCCGCTTGAAACATCCGACCATGCCGCAATCATTGATGATATCACCTATGTCCATCAGTCTCAATACGATACAAGGACTATTAGAGGGCGTACCATAAAGATGAAGGAAACAAAGGTCAAAGCCGTTACTCTACCACCGAACCAAATGACTTCCCCATAGGCCTAATGATAAGATATTGGTGACACGACAGTCGAGGATAAAAAAAATGAGGTACTCACGATAAGTATAATCGTGAGGTTCTTGAATATCGTATAGACGGGAATGCTGAGGAATTGCTGGAGGCATTTTTAGGTAACGCGACGCCACACCGTCAAACGAAGGAACCCACCAAACTTTTTGAACCTGTATAAATGACGGTCACAAGCAAGAAACTAATGGGAAACCAAGCTTTCGCGTCTTGCATATCGAAGGAACGAAAAGAGATAATGCCGAATTTCTTCACTGTTGCCACGCAAACGACGCATACGGTCGACTGTATGCATAATAGCAGAAAATTCATTGAAAAGTGCGCGCCTGACACAACGAACTGGCAGGTGCGTCAGAACACTAGACATTCTTCAACTAAAGGAGTACCTTGTTCACGACTGTCATGAGGATGGATGCACAACAGTAGCATAGTATTGGAGGCACTTTGCTCCAGATATCGTTATTATTCAACATTTCCAAAGTGAAATGGGACTCACGAGCCGAAAGGGAGGCCTCTTTCGTCGATGCGCCTGTAGCAATTGCCCTTTTCATCTCTGCAACGTCTTTCTCTTCTGTTGGGCCATTTCCATGTTGTGAAGCCATGACGGAGGGAGTCAACGACGGTAATTGATGGAGTGCACGCTGAATAAGGACCGTCTGGTTTTGAGCAGAGTACGCCAGTTGGAGACTCAACGAAGTTTGAGCTTGAGTTGAATGTGGCAGGCACCGTTGAATTCACTTCTGTGGTCACGTGTTGGCATCTAGAAAAAGGCCTTTTACAAACTAAACTCTGGAGATACTTCAATTTCTGAAATAATTCTATGCATATGATGGAATACATAGGCGATTTAACGGCGATTTTACGAGCGCAAGAGGGTACTGGACGTGCAACAGTATTTTGGTGCTGCGTTGCCGCAGGTATTAGGAATGCAACACGGCCAAACAACAATACTTGCCTTTGCCCTCCTTCAACCACGACGTCGCATCCTCTCATTTTCCCTTTCCATGGCCGCAGTGGACTCCTCCAAGCCCATCGCATTCTGCGAGCATCTTCAACTTTCAAGTTTGGGCGTTCAACCAGCCTCCATTTCATTCCAGGTTCGTTGACGCGACACACACAACTGCTGACGTGCATCCACTGACGTTCCACGCATGAACTTCCTTACCCTTGGCAGGTTGGTACCTTTTCTTCTCTCTCATCTTCGTGTTCTTATATATTCATTTATGAAAGACTTTGACACTCGAATCTGATCATTTCATTTGCGTACGAGAAAAAATCAATGAACAGAACCAAGTCGTCATCATCGACCTCGCCGATGCCAACAATGTCCTACGGCGGCCAATCTCCGCCGACTCTGCCATTATGCACCCCTCACAAAAGATTCTTGCTCTGAAAGGTATGTATACTCCCTCGGCGCCCCCCTTGTGCTTCTTTTGAACGTCCTCACTTCCAGCTGCTCGCACATTGCAAATATTTAACATTGAGACCAAGCAAAAGGTCAAATCTCATGTCAACAGCGAGGACATCGTGTTCTGGAAATGGGTCAATGAAACTACCATTGGCATGGTCACCGAATCATCCGTGTTCCACTGGACCATCTCCGACCCCACATCCCCTCCTCAGAAGATCTTTGACCGCCATCCTACTCTCGCTGGAGCCCAAATAATCAACTACCGCGTCACATCTGATGAGAAGTGGCTAGTCCTCATTGGTATCTCTGGGAACACAACAAACCCATCCGCATTCAAGGTCAAGGGCTCAATGCAACTTTACAGCCGGGAACGCGGTGTCAGTCAACCAATCGAGGGACACGCCGCTTCCTTCGCCGAGATAAAGCTAGACGGCCACCAAAATCCCACAAAGCTCTTTACATTCGCTGTTCGCACTGCTACAGGGGCAAAGGTAATGAATCTTTTTTCTCCTTTGCCTGGTGTTATATTCTGATATCATGCATTGTAGTTGCACGTTGTCGAGATTGATCATCAATCCCCCGATCCTCCGTTCACTAAGAAGAATGTCGATGTCTACTTCCCACCCGAGGCGACCAACGATTTCCCTGTGGCTATGCAGGTATCCAAGAAACACGGCATCATCTTTCTGGTCACGAAGTATGGATTCATCCACTTGTACGACCTCGAAACTGGTGCTTGCGTATACATGAACCGGATTTCTGGCGAGACGATATTTGTCACGGCAGAACATGAAGCTACGAACGGCATCATCGGTGTCAACAAGAAGGGTCAAGTGCTTAGCGTTAATGTTGACGAGCAAACGATCATTCCTTACATATTGACAACATTGAACAACACCGAACTAGCATTCAAGCTGGCCAGTCGTGCAAATCTTCCTGGTGCGGATGATTTGTACATTAAGCAATACCAGCAATTGTTCCAGAGTGGACAGTATGGCGAGGCCGCCAAGGTCGCCGCTAACTCACCCCGAGTATGTTCATACTCAATATAATGCTCGTTGACTGTCTCACGTTCCATATCAGGGAATCCTACGCACAGTCGCTGTCATTGAATCATTCAAGTCGGCACCTACGCCACCTGGTGGACTCTCCCCCATCCTGCAATACTTTGGTATCCTCCTCGAGAAGGGTGAACTAAATCATCTAGAGTCTATTGAACTTGCGCGACCCGTTCTCCAACAAGGAAGAAAGCAACTCTTGGAAAAGTGGTTGAAGGAGCACAAAGTGAGCGAGGTCGAACGCTACATTCTGAGACCGACATTGACAAATTTTCAGTTGACATGCAGCGAGGAACTTGGTGACATTGTACGGCTTCATGACATGAACGTTGCCCTCAGCGTTTACCTACGTGCCAACGTTCCAAACAAAGCCATAGCTTGCTTTACCGAAACCGGTCAGACTGACAAGATCGTGCGCTATGCAAAGACAGTGGGATATACACCCGATTATGTTGCCTTGCTTCAACACATCATGCGCACCAACCCTGACAAGGGTGCGGAGTTCGCTGCTCAGTTGGTGAATGACGATTCTGGTCCCCTGGTTGACGTCGAACGGGTAGGCGTTTTCATTAGCCGATTCTGACTATGTCCTAACTTATTTATCTCTTCAACAAGGTGGTCGATATCTTTATTTCTCAGAATATGATCCAACCTGCAACTTCATTCTTATTAGATGCACTCAAAGACAACAAGCCCGAGCAAGGTCACCTACAAACTCGTCTTTTGGAGATGAATCTTGTCCACGCGCCTCAAGTTGCTGACGCTATTCTCGGAAATGAGATGTTCACCTACTACGATAGGCCAAGGATTGCCAACCTTTGCGAGAAGGCTGGTTTGTTACAACGGGTATGTATTCCCCTATTCAATCACTATCCCCCGCACTTACAACGAGAATACAGGCGCTTGAACACTACGAGGATATCGCGGATATCAAGCGTGCCATCGTTCATACTACTGGTCTTCAACCTGACGTTCGTCTCTTCCTTTCATTTTATTACTTCTCCATACTGAGACTTTTCCTAGTGGCTTGTCAACTACTTCAGTCGCCTGACCACGGCGCAATCCATGGCCTGTTTACAAGAAATGCTTCGGGTCAACATCCGTCAAAACCTTCAAGTCGTTATCCAAATTGCCACGAAGTACTCTGACATTCTTGGACCAGTCAAACTTATCGAGATGTTCGAGAGCTTCAAGAGCTTCGAAGGCCTGTATTACTACCTTGGCTCTATAGTCAATCTGTCTGAAGATCCAGAGGTCCACTTCAAATACATCCAGGCTGCTACCCGTACTGGGCAGATCCGCGAGGTCGAACGCATTTGCAGAGAAAGCAACTTCTACAACCCGGAGAAGGTCAAGAACTTCCTCAAAGAGGCGAAGCTTACCGATCAACTCCCCCTTATCATTGTCTGCGACCGCTTCGACTTCGTTCACGACCTCGTTCTCTACTTGTATCAGAACGGCCTCACCAAGTTTATCGAGGTCTACGTGCAGCGCGTGAACTCGGTCAGAACTCCCCAGGTTGTTGGTGGTCTGTTGGACGTTGACTGCGATGAGATGACCATCAAGGGTCTCCTCGCCTCAGTCACTGGCAATTTCCCCATCGACGAGCTTGTCCATGAAGTTGAACAACGCAATAGGCTGAAGTTGATCCTTCCTTGGCTTGAAACTCGTGTTCAAGCTGGCAGCCAAGACCCAGCGGTGTTCAATGCCGTAGCGAAGATCTACATTGACAGCAACAACAACCCCGAACAATTCCTCAAAGAAAACAATGTACATTATATGCATCTTGTCCCTGGAAATATACTGACTTTTGTTCTAGCTTTATGAACCTTTGATTGTTGGAAAGTTCTGCGAAGCTCGGGATCCCTATTTGGCGTATATTGCCTACGCGAAAGGTTTCTGTGATGAAGAGTTGATTTCAATCACAAATGACAACTCCATGTTCAAGCAGCAAGCACGTTACTTGATCAAGCGTCGCCAGCCCGACCTTTGGGCACAGGTTCTCGTCGCGGATAACATGCATCGTCGGGCTCTTATTGATCAAGTTCATTTCTTCCGTACCATGTTTGGTTTTGCGTTCTCATTGTATTTATTGACAGATCGTGGCGACTGCCCTTCCAGAGTGCACAGATCCTGACGATGTTTCGATCACCGTTAAGGCCTTCTTGCAGGCGGATCTGCCGATCGAGCTCATTGAGTTGCTGGAGAAGATCATCATCGAACCGTCACCCTTCAGTGACAACAAGAATTTGCAGAACCTTCTTCTCCTCACTGCTATTCGCGCAGACAAGGGCAAGGTTGTTGGTTATATCAACAAGCTCCAGAACTACGACGCTGCCGAAATCGCTAAAATTGCGACGGAACACAGTCTCTACGAGGAGGCTTTGACAATTTATAAGAAGCATGAGCAGCATGCGATGGCGATCAACGTGCTGGTTGAGCATATTGTGTCGATTGATCGTGGGCTTGAGTATGCCAACAAGGTCAACCAAACAGAAGTCTGGAGCAGACTTGCCAAGGCGCAGCTTGATGGTCTGCGTATCAAAGACTCCGTTGGTTCGTCACAGATTTAATGTCTCTTCGAGTGCGCTTTCACTAATAACATTTGTAGATTCTTATATCAAAGCACAAGATCCCTCTAACTTCTCAGAAGTGATTGAGATCGCCAATCACGCTGGCAAGCACGACGACCTCGTTCGTTACCTTCAAATGGCACGCAAGTCTCTTCGCGAACCCAAGATTGACACAGAACTTGCCTACGCATACGCCAAAACCGACCGTCTGCATGATATGGAGGACTTCCTGGGCATGACCAATGTCGCAGACATTCTCGAAGTCGGAGAGAAGTGCTTCGAGGATGAGTTATACCAAGCCGCCAAGCTGTTGTTCACCAGCATCTCGAATTGGGCCCGTTTGGCAACGACTTTGATTTATCTCGGAGAGAACCAATCTGCTGTGGAGAGTGCCCGCAAGGCTGGGAACACACAGTGCGTATCTTCTGACACTGCTCTGAAACACATTTTACATGGGGTTTAGGGTTTGGAAACAAGTCCACGCTGCTTGCATTGAAAAATCCGAATTCCGATTGGTCAGTTCTTATGTATCTACAAACGAATATACTCTGACATCTCTCACAGGCTCAAATTTGTGGTCTACACATCATCGTTCATGCTGTAAGCATGGAAAGCCTTTGAGGTTTGTCTACTACTAACGTCTTTACAGGAGGAACTCAGTGCTCTCATTCAACTTTACGAACGTCGGGGTCACTTTGAGGAAATCATCAGCCTTCTGGAAGCCGGATTAAGCTTGGAACGCGCGCATATGGGTATCTTCACCGAGCTGTCGATCCTGCTCAGCAAGTACAAGCCAGCGAAACGTAAGGTAGTATCTCGCTTCTGGATATCTGCTCACTAGTCATATTCCAGTTATGGAACACTTGAAGCTGTTCGTTTCTCGCATCAATATTCCCAAGGTTATCAAGGCAACGGAAAAAGCGCACCTTTGGCCCGAACTCGTGTTCCTTTACATCAAATATGATGAGTTTGTGCGTACTTTCCTTTTGCGCATCATGGTGGCTTCGACCAATACAATTCAAGGATAATGCTGCTCTGGCCATGATTGAACGCTCTTCTGACGCTTGGGAACACAACCAATTCAAAGAAGTCATCGTTCGGGCAGCAAACGTGGAGATGTAAGTGATCTAATAAAAATGTGCGGCGTCTCGCTTGCTGACAAAAATATTAAAGATACTACAAGGCATTGTCGTTCTACCTCCAGGAGCAGCCAACGCTGTTGACAGATCTGCTTAGCGTTCTCATCCCGCGTATCGATCATAGTCGTGTCGTTCGTATGTTCCGCCCAATGGACCACATTCCCCTCCTTCGTTCGTATCTTATCGCCGTACAACATGTGGGTACTGCTCTTTCCTTGATCTGCAACTATCTAATTTATCTCTCAAAGCTCAACATTGAAGCTGTCAATGATGCATACAACGACCTCTTGATTGAGGAAGAAGATTACAACACACTCCGTGATTCTATCGACAGCTTCGACAACTTCAACAACATCAGCCTTGCTAAACGCTTGGAGAAACATGAGCTTCTTGAATTCCGCAGACTTGCTGCTCATTTGTACAAGGTTTGTAATCCATCCGCACCTTGCTTTCCTTTTGCTGACGACTAACCTCTAGAAAAACGCGCGATGGGAAGAGTCAATATCGCTCTCGAAACAAGACAAATTGTACAAGGATGCAATGGTCACCGCCGCTGTTTCGGCATCGACAGAGGTTGCCGAGGAGCTACTTTCATATTTCGTGGACATTGGAAACAAGGAGTGTTTTGCCGCTCTCCTATACGTCTGCTTCGATCTCCTCCGCTCCGACATTGTGGAGGAGCTCTCATGGCAACACGGCCTCACTGACTTCTATATGCCTTACAAAATTCAAGTGCAACGGTCGCTGGTGGAAAAATTGGCTCAGCTTGAGAAGGAAGTCAAGGAGCGGTCGAAGAAGGATGCACAAAAGGAGCAGACAGAGTCTGAGGCTCCCATCATCAACCCTGGTGGCTTTGGTAGTACATTGCTGTTGACGAACGGTTTCGTTGGTCAAGCTCCTCCGGTGAATGGCATTCCATATGTAAGTATTCTGTCTGTAGCTTCCGATCTCGATGATGGCTGACTCACCTCCTAGGCCATGACTGGGTTTGGTCATTGATTTCCCCCTCGTCATATGTGTATAGCTGGATGTATAATTTTGTTCCCTTCACTAATTGGATGCTTTCGTTTTCGACTCACTGATCCCGACAAGGTCGTCGCTGAAACTTGATGGTAATTTATTTACTACGAATGAATGTCCAAAGGCATGAATAGATGACTACATAACAAGACGTGTGGGCTTAGGTATCAATGCAAAGAGAAGTCGCTGTGTAGCAAGGTAGGTATAGTGGGATAGGGACGAAGGCCGGGCCTAGCTATATATGGGCGTTATAAGGACAGATTAGTCGAGGGTATACTAATACAACAAAGGTGAGAGGGAGAGAAAGGGAATCTAATGACAGTCGGCAGGAACCAATGACAAAAACAAAGACCATGGTACGCTGTCCATCTATCACATCACAATGCAACCCCCGTCCGAGCCTTTCGGCCGGGTGCTGAGTGATACACGTGCGGCTTCGTAAAAGACCTCCGCAACGCCACGATTGTGCTTCGAGCTACACTCTAAAAAGAGCATACGGGATGTAAGAGTGAGGTGGTTAGGATGGAAGCAGGCACACTAACCAAGATATCGAGATGCTCGTATTCGTCGAGCGACGGCAAGGCCTTCTTCGTATTGCACCGTATGCGTTCCATAACGCTGTAGCCGTTCTTTCACTGCCCGGTCGTCCCGTAGATCACATTTCAAAGCTAGAAGTTGGAATCAGTTGCGACAGATGGGACGCTTTGCTCCTGCGCACCGACGAGAACAAGCTAAGAAGGGGGGCCATGTCAGACAGGAATTGCCATAAAATCGAGATTGTGACATACTTTTACTCCAGGACAGTATTCTAATATCTCATCTAACCACTAACCAAAAGGATGAGCCTCCTGCGACTATAAGCTGAGCAGGTAAGCAGACCTTCGATTCGACATTCTCGAGCGACGTTGGATTGTCCACAGAGAAACAAATCATGATGACATGCGTTTCCGCGTACGACAACGATCGTAACCTATCAAACTCCTCTTGACCTAGGAAGAGTGTTGAACAAATTATCTTTCAAGCATCGCGCAAACAATGTGAAGACGTACCAGCCGTGTCCCACAAGCTTAGCTCCACTAGTTGTTCATCGACGTATAGATCATGCACGTAATTCTCGAAGACTGTTGGTTCGCTGATAGGAAGGGCAACATTGATGAGTGACATCACCCTGGCTTGAAATGGCTACCCACTATACTTGAGTAAAGAAACCACGCGTGAATACGTTTAGTAGTGACGTTTTTCCTTTAGACAGTATAGTGTAAGTAAGACTGCGGCACGGAGGAAAGGAACGAGAACTGACCGCATGCGCCGTCTCCACACACAACGACCTAAGTTGTTCGCTGAGATGCACTTTCCGCGTACGTGGGTTTGTAAAATTGATGCGCACCTTTCTCTGAATCTGAAAGTCCCATAAGGTGTGATAGAGGCAAATGTTGGAGTAGCTAGCACTCACGGGTCTCCCTCGGCCGAACGACGCCCCCTTCGTTGATGAGCCACACGGCGACATGGCCGACGTTGAGTGCACTTGATGATGAGCACAGGGTGGAGACTGTAGAGGAAAGAAGGAAAGTTAGTTCTGAAGTCTCTTGTCCAGAGCCTCAACTATTTGGTTCGTGACCGAATTATGAAGCTTACATAATTATTCTCAACTACATTACATGCCCAAAGTATTTACAAAGTCCTGCCAAGTCGTTTGCATCGTCGCCTCTGGTGTCCCAGAACCTCTCCTTTGCTGGCCTTGCTGTCCTGGAGCGGGATTCTTTTCTAACGTTGGCACATACCCACCAACACCATTTGTTTCGTTCCCCATCGTCGCATGACCATAGTCAAACACCGGAAAGTATTGAGGGAACGACTGCCCACTTTGTTGACGCTGCAGATCATTCGGCTGATATTGCTGCTGGTGCTGATGACCCAACATCTGCATTGAAGGTTGCTGCATGTATGACGCAGGTTCACTTTGGAAAGACGGCGACGTCGGTATCGCTGATACCCCGTACATCGACACCGGAGAAAGCTCCAAATCCGAATAGGGGCTTTGGTTCAGTGTCGATTGGGTGCGCTGCTCAGAGTACGATCCATTCTCCATCATCAATGACGCTTGGTGATTCTGGATGCCGTTGGGAGCTTGACCAAAAGAGTGTAGATACTCCACAACACTGGGATGCACTTGGTGCTGCGTTGTCGGAGACAATGGCAGAGGAACGATAGGGTTGTGAGATGTGGGCGAGCGCTCCAGGTGAGGCGACGAAGATTCCATCTTCACGAGCCTTGTTTTGCCCCCCAGAATGGAAAGCTCATCGTCGTCATCTGCAGGCGAACGCCCTGTGGGAGAGGATCCGTACCGTGCCGAGGGCACACCCAGACCCCGACGGAACTCTTCCAAACTTGTATGAGCTTTTTCTTGCAAGTGAAGCATAATATCCTATATTTTCAACGTAAGGAACGATCCTTATAAATATCAGACGCAGACCTCACCAGAACTCTTACAGCGCGGAATCCACGCGCCGCTTTTGAGAACAATTCACACGCTGAGTCAAGCTGCACCAGCGCCGATGGGGCTAAGCTCATCGAGGGACATCTGGTGACGATAGATCCAAGAACAATCTAGGCGCCCTAAGATGAGGATGTCACAAAAAGTAACATTTTAACACGCACAGCACACGAGAACATATGTGTCCACAAAAACCAGATTCGTTCACTGGGCTCTGGCAGCTGGGTGTGTAAATTCCTCATAAGCGCGACGAGGGAGCCAGCGCTACGATACGCTGCGATTACGGAAGTTCCGTAAGGACTACCTAGCGGATCTTTAGGATGATCGCTAATAGCCCTGGCGAAGAAACTTCGATGGAGATAGAGCAAATCTACAATTTCTATCAGCCTCTTCAAGTGTGAATGTCTGCCCATAGAGACATACTGGTTTCTCTAATGGCCAAGACGATGTGTCGCTGCAAGGTGAGCATGATAGTATCCGGATGTGCACTTTGACGCGGCTGAGAGCTCCCGAACCCAGCGATTTGTAGTATCGGTGGGACAGGGAAGGCTCTCAGCTTGCGATCCAACTGGAGCACAGTGGCGTATGTTGGCATCTTGGCAACAAATGCTTGATCGTGTAAAGAATTCATACATTCCGACGTAAATCGATGTTTCCAAGCATGGACTGACGCCTTTGTTTCAGATCTTGGTCGACGCAATATCATGCGATTGACACTCACAACTATTCTCTTCCGAGGTATCATTCAGGAACGGCATCTTGCAATCGATGTGTGGCAGAGCAAACGACGGCGGACGCCCAAACGTCAAACACTGCCAAGAATCATAGGTGAACAGTTCCCAAAACAGTTCGCGGCGCTGCTGAGTTTCCTGAGGGTCAACTTTCCAGCGGCCGCTGTCCCGATCTTGTCGGTAACAGGTGGTCAATATGCCAGTCGCACAATTCAGCTACCTTCACTCACGAAGACCAATCTACAATAAGGATCGACATTAATGAAAACGCCACGGACTTGAAGATAACATAGCTTACGCTCTGTCCGACCTTTACGGCGATACCCATGATAGCCCAGCGAGCTCCTGAGCTCGTCCCATGTCGATCGGCCAAGAAGAGATAAAACACCATCAAGTACTATGCGCGTATAAGCTCGGGTCAATAAATGAAGAAAAAGAAGAGAAAAAAATCCCTTACCAACGCTTGAACGGCATTGATCGTAGGTTCATCAAATATAGTTGTGTTGAATAAAGCGGCTCGTGCGAGCTGGTGGTACTTTTCAGCATCCCGATTATACGCAGGTATAGAGGTGTTCATGAGCGACCCAATCGCAAGAACCATGAACATTAGCGAGAGGCGATGGGAGTGAATAGGCTCGTCGGTTATCGTTGTGGGTCCTTGTGCGTACAACGGCGTGAAGACTTGGGTATCAAACGCATCGACGCTAATTGGATTGTACCTGATAAACAGTCAGAGAAACGCGATGCTCAGCACGAATCGAACTCACATCCACGCTGCGTGCGAGAAGTAAGTCGAACGCAATGCAGTAGCAATATCAGAAGGGGGGAGATACCAATACAGCGACTGTGCGTTAACGTCGTCGTTGTGAGACGTTGAAGAAATTGGAAATGCAGATGCTCGAGTAAGAATTTCGGGAGAAAGGACGTTGGATAGATCTATGAGAGCATCGTCTGGTTCCCCATCTTCTCCGGGCCGTAACTCGTTCTACAACAGATATAATTAGATCGTACAATAACACGCCCGGATGAAAACTAACTTGAAGGAAATACTGTGAATCGAGTCATAAGCGATCTACATATGTTCGGATCAGATATAAAAATACCCAAGAGTTGGCAATTTGCCCAAAATATTTCGATTTTCCAGAAACGCTAATTTGCAAAGAACCAAACGCGTCGACGACCTCAGGATCGACCTCTTCCGTTTTCACTGTTACGGCGTTTGGGTCTCGATTTGAAGGTAATTCACGTTGCAAGGGTGCTTTGATTTTTAATAGTTCTTCGGTCAACAATGCATGTTGCTCCACTGACAGACGCGAATGAGAGGAGCGAAGCGCATCCTCCAACTCCCGGACGCGAACCGCCAGTTCTGCGATCTTCTCGTGCAGCTCTTGCGTAGAAGCTAGGACGAAACTGGGGGAAAAAATCGTCTCAATTAAAGAAACCTCTTCATTTAATAGCCAGAATCCGCACCGATTTCCCTGGCCAGTTGTCAGCGACCCCTACAAGCAATAATGAGAAATGTTCTCAATTTTCAAATGCACGCTTAGAATCATACATCGGGGCAGATTGCTCCGCATCCACGTTTTACACATGAGCTGCATGGAACCGCTCGATCGCATCTCAACTTGAGCCTGCGACGAGTGAAATTGAAATGAGGGATGCGTAAGCGATTATAACTGTGTGGCGCATATACCTTCGACACTCAGCGCAACTGAGGCGTGCTGCACCTTTTCTACGTTTCTTCGCTGGGCTGTCTTGACCTCCTGAGTCGTCTCCAGGCCTATCGTACGGTGTGGAGCAAGACATGATGGGAGTAGAAGATGAAGGGGTATCGTGCCCAAGCTATCAACGTCTCCATCTTGTCAATGTCCAAAGATAGCCGCAGTGTGACCATGCGAAGATATCCGCTTCGGCTAATTTGCTTCCGTCACATAACGTGGCAGTGCAGTGTACACTCTCAAAATAGAATTTCGCCCTCAAAATCCTGCAACAATGTCCAGAAAGCTCAACTCCGCAGTGGAGCACAGCGTTTGCAGTGAACTTTTGGTGCTCATCACACGGTTGTTTAGGCAAGATTTCAGGTCAACGATTCGCTGCCTGTGAAGCTTCCCTGGCCTCAATTACCGTCCAAACGCCTCCAGGTGGATAAATATGGTCGTCACGAGGTGTTATCCTCCCTCGGAGATTATCACCTCCCGAAGGGGGCTTGATATCTTGTTTGGCTACGTGATGAGGTCACCGTCTGTCCTATACCATCTCTTGATCAACGATGGAACGCATCAACGTTGATTCAATCAAGCTGTAAAAGATAGCCAGAGTATACCTAGTATCGAGTAAACTCCTCAGTGGGCTTGTAACAGTGGTGTTGGGCCACACCACACCGTGTGGCTTGGCGTTTCCCATGCCGTCAAGACTCGTCTCGTCCAAAAGTTATGGTTGATGAGCCTCGAGGACTCTTGTCTATTTCCTACCAGACTTGGACCCCAAGGCAATAAATAGGGCTTCCGAATTTTGGTGACGTCATTTTCGCCTTTTCTTACAAATACTCCTGTGGGACCTAACAAAAGGTTATTGGGACATAAGTAGAACTCTTCTCCCTATGTTTCTAGTCGTGCTATGTAATTTCTTTCGACAAATGCCAACCGCTCATCCGTCCAGAGGATCAGGGACTCTTGGGATGCATACTCAATCTCCCGTTCTCCTCGCTCGATCCTTAATCGGTGTCATCGTAATCGGAAGATCTATTACCCTCGACATCTATGGATACTCACTCGAAATTCCTCAACGTCAGAGCTCTATTCGAGTGTAAAGCACGGTAGGAGCGGAAGAGGGCGTTCGTCCTGGTTCCTCTCTTCAAGTTCTCCTTCCCTCTCAAAAATATGCAACATACTATCTTGAAAGCGTTCACAAGGAGGCATCTTCTATATTGTACCACAGCTTTCCCCAACCAAATATTACGGTTATCCCTCTTACACAGCTGACGTCGCATTTCGTACCGTAGTCGTCCTGGTTCGGAAGGGTTCGGACCGTCTGGCTTCTCATCCACTTGAGATTAGTTTGTTCACGCGATGCCATAACTTCATATTACTTAGACGCCCAATGGAACCTCCTTGTCCTCCGTGATGAGATCCTTACGCAAAACCCCAATCAATGATTTCTGTTTGAGGAACATTCCTTCCCAATTTCGGTCACCATATCAGGGTCAATGTCAAAACTGCATAGTGCGCGTGGTGGTGGTGGAGGTGAACATAGATACAAGGTATCACAAACCGAGGATAGATACAGGGAGATAGAGATATGAGGGAAACATGTAATAAGGCCTGAAGCCAAGATAAGTTAATGAAAGGCTGAACCGATATGGGCTTCTTATTTAGTTTGCGTTAAAGTCGTAACCGTTCCGTAAAAAAAGGAATAAAAGGAATAAAAGTCTATTGAAGTCACCTCAGCTCAATTTTCAGGCTTCTCGTCTCCGAGCCAGCATCTGATAAATTGGTGACGTCCCTTACGACGATATGGGTGCCCAGACCATGAATATCGCTTCCAGGACTGACAGGTTCAGTGACCGACGAAGTGTCCGAAAAGCTGTAAGTGGAATCCCGAACTGTATTTGGCTGCAATGCTGGCAATGACGGCGACATTGAGTGTGTCGAAGAGACACTTCCACGAGACCCAAAGAAGCCCCCTAATTTACGCGACAGTGGGGCTGTAGCTGGAAGGGTTGGCGTTGAGGTGGTGCAGGGAGACGCGACAGAAGCCGGATTAATCGGCGTCGCTGTGCTAGATTTAAGCGGTGAATCTACCCCGCCTCCCCAAAGTTTGAATCCCCATCCCACCGCGCTGGCTTTACCTGTCCCTACCTCGTCACCGTTTGCCGTGGGAGGTGGGAGAGGAAGTTTGACTGATGCCCCAATATTATTCTCTGCAATAAATTCGCGCAGTGCCTTGACGCATGTATCTGAAGCCTCCTTGGCTTCGTTCGCCTCTGTAAGTTCAACCTGGGAGGCGTCAAGCTCGTCTTTCACCGCTTTCAATTCCTTGCGAAGCGTTTCAAGTTCCGCAGTGGTAGGGTCTGGCATGTCGACCTGAGGCGGTGACTGCCTTCCAAAAAGTCCGGAATAACGGCGTGAGTTGGGTGGCAGTGCGGTGTCTGGTGGAAAGGCGGGTGTCTGCGGATTCGGGCTAGGTGGTTGGTCCAGATTTGGCGAAAGGAAGCCACCTTGCGTAGTATCAGAAATGGATGAAATTCGCCTGTGTCCCGGTCGACCAGCAGATGTTCCGGTCAAGGGCGTAAAGGAAGCGCGTTTCGAAGAGGGCGGGCCAGCAAACGCCGACAGTGAAACAGTACGCGAAAGATCAAGCGGCGCCATACTCTGGCGACGGTTTTCTGTCTGCAATCTCATGACCCCGCGCCTAAAATCAAGCAGAACGGAACTAATCAGGACAAAACCGCAGACAAAGAAACGACTTCTACTGACCTGCTCTCCTCTACTTTAGCACGCAGACATACAATCGCCTCCTCATGTTCCTTCACTTGCTTTCTCGTCTCCTTTAGCTCTTCATCCATCTGTGTGGCCTTATCCGTCATGAGCTGCAATGCATCCTTCGCCGATGCCTCTTCCGCATTCGCCGTTGCAAGCATCTTGACCAGCTCGTCCCTCTCCTTCGTCACCTCCAAAAGCGAATGTCGGAGCTGCATAACGATATGGGCGAGTATCTCTGGGTCAAGTGCTTCATGTTTCTGTCGTGTCTCGCTAGCGGTGACATCGTGAGCTGGGGTGATTGGCGGGGATTCCATGTGTTCTAGCTGTCGCTCCAATTCGAGACTTAGGTCGATAGAAAAGTGTTTTTTCTCCGTGATGCCTCCGGGGGCGACTTCCGCAGACAGAGGGGCGTCGAATTCGATTTGGTGTGTGTTCTGGTCGTAGTCGTTAAAAGTAGTCATGATGGTCGTGAACGAAGAGAGTTGCTAGAGATACAGGGGTTGATAGATAGGTCAGGCCGGGGCCACTTCGGTCTTGTACTTCCGTGAATTTGAGCGTGTAGTAACGCGATGAGAATTGAAATCATGAATGTTGCCGTAACATCATCACGTGAACGCTCATATCTCTTTGCAGTCTTTCGCTGACATCGAGTACATTCTACATTCTTTTCGCAGATACACTTCGTTGTCTATGTCTACATCCAAAACTCAGTACGTCCTTGAGAACATGCTCCAACAGGGACCTCTAAGCAATAAACATTACCACGGTGATCATGCCTGTCACAATTCTCATTCCATCCTTTCGGAAAGTCCCACTGAGTCTGGGGCTCGTAGTCGCCTTGCGGAACGACGAGGAGGTAGCACACTCGCACATGTGGCGTTGAGCTAGCCTGTCCAGCAGCCACCTTCGTGGTCTTCTTTGGCGGCGGGTCCCCCCTAAGTTGACTCTTCAAGTTCGCAATAATGCTGCGGATCTTCAGATAGCCTCTCGCCGAGCCTGCATGCAATCGTGACGTGGTGATCTGTAAGACCCACAAGACGGCTGACTTCGTTGAATGATTGATGTCGACGGTGAAAGAATCAAACAACGGGAAGTTTGTGTCTGCGGGTATATAGTATATGTTGTTCTCCATGGAGAGGCCAGCAACGGAATGGAATTTGACAATCTCGCGCTTGATTTTGGGAAACTGTACACCACTAGAAACGGAATCTCGGAGCATGGTGAAAAGAGGTGGATCAGCGTTGTTAGAGGCCATGTTAATAAGAGGCCAGAAGCTGCCCGTAGAGTTTGCTATAGAATCATGAACGAAAGGCTCGAGGAACTGTCCCGTCAATGACACTGCTTTGGGATTCCGTTGAAGGATGCGAATTTGATGGCGAAGTGCGTCGTCTTCAACTGCACTCATTTGCTGAATCACATTCTTGCCAACCCATTTCGACTTGAATTTAACTTCCCAACGGATTCTCACAAAAGGGGCTGAATCAACTGGCCAGAGAGCAAGGATCCAATGGGAAATATTGTGATCGGCATTTTGATTATTTGGGAGGGCAGATGCAGCAGCTTCAAAATCTGTGTATGTGATCCTGAAAGCTTCCTGGTGGCACTGGGTGGACGAGTTGTAGTCGAAGACGGCACTGAATACATCATGAGCAGAGTATCCAAAACGGTCAATCGCTGCTTCCAGAAGGTAGTGGAGGGCATCCTCGGGTGACAATAGAACACTGTCTTCTGAGAGAACAGCATCTTCTTCACATTCCTTAAGGACTGCACGAGCACCAGGGAAGACATCTAGTGGATCCCTCTCTTTCTGAGCTGGGCTTGCATAACCCTCACGAAGTGCATCCAACAGGGATTGGTAGTTTTCCTGATATGGAAACCTGGGAAGTGTGTGCTCAGCTGTGGGCAGAAACATAAGATTGGCAAGGCGTACCCTTGCATGAGCTCATCATGGGTCCATAATGGCAAGCCAGTGAGCAGAGGAGTCCGTTCCTTTTCCCAGGTCCTGTATTGGGATGGACCCAGTGAAGCTGTCTGCACTGGCATACATGGTCGCTTGACCAGGAATGTCTCTGGCTCGTTCCTGCCTTCAATTTCAAATAACGACCATAGAAAGACCTCAGAAGATAACAACTTGGGTACAGGCAATTGTTCTGCTGGTTGTACGCCAACAAGTGACGCTGTGGTGGTCATATAAACCCCATCATGGTAGAAGAGCCATAAATGCTCGCCATCCATTGTAAAAAGCACAATTTGTTTGTGCTGCAGAAGCCGAACAAGAATATAATATTGGAACATAGTTTTGCCTTCAAACACAGTTTACCTTTCATGATAGTGAAGTCACAAAGTAAGTACGCACCAATGCCAGGCTGACCAGTTATGATAGTCCCTACCTCACCCTCCGAAGACATTGCTTGTGCCCAGACATGGTCAAACGTAGTCAGATAAGACTTTCGCACGAGAATTGATGGTGGAGCACCATCGAACCGGGTCAGAGGATCAAGAGACAGAGGTGTAGACTTGGGATCGACCAGTGAGGCACACTGGGAAGTTCCGTACCACTTGGTTTTGAAGCCTTGCCAATTCTTTGTGGCCAATTTCCATACAGATCTATCATTCCACTCCCAATTAGCTGGATCTAGTCATCAAAGATGGCATGAAGGTTATCAACAATGATCACATGTGGTGATTGGGCTCACTCACCAGCATTTTGAGCTGCCAGTTTGACCATTCCGGCATACTGTTCTATCACATTCCAAGAGGGCAAGGATGTGGAAGTCTGCATATTGAAAGGAAGTGGGTCTCAAGCCAAGTGTTGTGATTTCGGAGTTCGAATCACACCCAGATCACGACTTTTTGCAGCACGTCCCACGCCAAATCACACTTTTTTCCAGGACAAGTCACAAAACGGACCCGCCAAATCACAGTTTGGATCACACTTTTTGGCGGGTGGGAGACTCGACTTGTCCTGGAATCACACCTCCCACCCAACACTTGTCCTGGACCCTGAGGGTTTTCTCTCGTGCTCATACCCTTTCCGTTGCGGCCGCTCATACTTAGCTCTCCTCTCCCTTACCTTGTAAAATAGATTACCAGGTAGAAGCCTCGTTATTTAAATAAATGAACTTCAGTTCCACTCAGCTCACAAGTTATTTCCAGCATCAAGGTTTGGTAAGCCCACCTCCCGGAAGACCTACAAAATTTACTCTGTGAGTTCTGGCTCAAATTTTATGATCTTGGGCTTTACTTGATGCTGACTACTACAGGGAGCGCCTCCCGAGTTTACGAAATGGAACGCCCATCCGTTCAATTTTGGCATTCGGTTTTGTGGTGAAACCATGCCCATAAGCAGAAATTGAGATAGCAAAGTAAGTTCTTGATCAATTTTTACGTTCTTAGGCTCTACTTGACCTGAATTGCTCCAGGAACCACCTCCCGAGTTTTCGAAACATAGCGCCTAGCCGTTCAAAGTCGGCGTTCGGTTTTGCGGAGAAATAAGGTCTATTACCAGAAATTGAGACTTACAGGTAAGTTCTCGCTCGATTTTTACGTTCTTGGGCTCTACTTGACCTAAATTGCATCAGGAACAACCTCCCGAGTTTTCGAAACATAGCGCCTAGCCGTTCAAAGTCGGCGTTCGGTTTTGCAAAGCAATGAGGTCTATTACCAGAAATTGAGACTTACAGGTAAGTTCTTTCTCGATTTTTACGTCCTTGGGCTCTACTTGACCGGAATTGCTTCAGGAACAACCTCCCGAGTTTTCGAAACATAGCGCCTAGCCGTTCAAAATCGGCGTTCGGTTCTGCAAAGCAATGAGGTCTATTACCAGAAATTGAGGCTTACAGGTAAGTTCTTTCTCGATTTTTACGTTCTTGGGCTCTACTTGACCGGAATTGCTTCAGGAACAACCTCCCGAGTTTTCGAAACATAGCGCCTAGCCGTTCAAAATCGGCGTTCGGTTCTGCAAAGCAATGACGTCTATTACCAGAAATTGAGGCTTACAGGTAAGTTCTTTCTCGATTTTTACGTTCTTGGGCTCTACTTGACCGGAATTGCTTCAGGAACAACCTCCCGAGTTTTCGAAACGTATCGCCTAGCCATTCAAAGTCGATGTTCGGTTCTGCAAAGCAATGAGGTCTATTACCAGAAATTGAGGCTTACAGGTAAGTTCTTTCTCGATTTTTACGTTCTTGGGCTCTACTTGACCGGAATTGCTTCAGGAACAACCTCCCGAGTTTGCGAAACGTATCGCCTCACCATTCAAAGTCGATGTTCGGTTCTGCAGAGCAATGACGTCTCTTATCCTAAATTGAGGCTTACAGGTAAGTTCTTGCTCGATTTTTACGTTGTTGGGCTCTACTTGACCGAAATTGCTACAGGAACAACCTCCCGAGTTTGTGAAATATGGCGCCCAACCGTTCAAGTTCAGTGTTTGGTTCTGCAGTGGGGAAATAAGGTCTCTTGCTGGAAATTGCGGCTCACACGGAAGTTCTTACTCGTATTCTATGTTTTTGGGCTCAATTTAACAGGAATTGCTTCAGGAGTGATCTGCCAAATTAATGAAATTTGGCACACCCTTGTTCAACTTTAGCATTCGGTTTTGTAGAGAAGTATGGTACATATTACTAATGTGGCTGAGTACAGTATGTGTGTATGACCAAGTAACTGGGAACGATTATAAGACAACGCAATAGAGATTATTCTTGAAGATATTTGTATGCTACAGTGGATGAGAGGCTCGACAAAAAAAATGAAGAAGTAAAAAGAAAAGACAAAGAAAAAAAGTTAATGATACAACGAAAGCATGATTAATTTTTAAGTGGCCATGATGACATCCCCAGAGGAGGGAGCACTAGACTCAGGGCAAGGGCCACCTACCTTGCCCTTCTTCTGCCGCTTTGTTTGGAGTTTGCGATGAAGCTGCGGCATTGAGAACGTAAGACGTGTATCTTCAAGAACTTGGACAGCTTGCGAGGCCGTAAGCCCAGTGCTAATGGAGGTCTCTATTCGACTGATGAAAAACTGAAATTGAGACCATTTTTGACGGGCCTGAAGAGGCAGATTAATGTTGTGTTGAGAGGTGAACAATGTGAAAAAATGTTGGAATTCCGGGAGCTGTGCGAGCATGTGCAATGCGCCCGATACCCGGATTAAGGTACATTTATTGTTTTTCCGGGCATTTCATCTGTATCCCCATTTATTTCATACTCTACAGTATATATAGGAGAGCTTGTATCGTAGTTACTCATCTGTTTGCCTCTGTCACCTCCAGAGACAACCGGAAATCTTACTCCCCTGTTTCTCTTGATCACGAAGAATTGACGCTTGCTGATTTGATTTCAACAAAAAAGACATACAGTGGTGTTTTGGCGAGGACGCCATGCAGCATGGTGTCCCTTGTTTGACTGCTTGTCCTTGCGAGAACCCCATTCAGTCTCCACCATCCGCAATGGAGGCTTGCGACCAACTCCCTCAATAGCCGTGCCCTCATCCCAGCACTTCCAGAGAGAGCTGACATCAGAAAATTCACCCAAATTGCCTGGGCCCCAACAATCCCAAAGAAAATCGGGATGGACAACCAGACTGAACAGAGCCTGCCATCCACATGATGACACAGAAAAGTCGGGGTAAGCAGTCATTGTAGTCTGGTCAGACACAAATGCTGCTGCTGGGGGAAGAATGATGTCGAAGGGGGTGGGCGGCGCCAAGGGACCAGGTGAGAGCCGTAGCACATGATACTTAATGCCTTTATGGTTCACAGACACCACATATCGTGACGCAGCTCCCTGGGAGTGAACAGAAAGCAGCTCTGGATCGACTACAGGAGGTGGTAGAATAACACTTTGCAGTGGTGAGGTTGGTGGGATTTGACTTGGACTGGCTGCAGTGGCAGCATGGAGTGGGGTACCCACACTTGCCACCATAGTCTCCATCGAGGGAGGCTGCGGCGACAAAAAGTTGGAATGTGGCCCTGTTGGGCTGGGGGTAGCTGAACGAGAGCCAACAACGGCCACATGAGTTTTTACACTACGTGATGGAGAGAGCGGCTCAGTTCGACGTGCAAGAACTTCAAGCAATGAGTGGGATGACTTGACAGCTTCCGACAGCTCTCTTTGTGACATTGAAAGGGAGAGGAAGGCGCTCTGTGTTGCGACCTCCTTAAAGTTCGCTGCAATCTCGGTATCTACTTGGAAGTGGGCCTCAACTTCTTTCCGAGCATGAGGCCATCGTGAAATAAACTCGGAAGCCAGGGACGACTTAAAAATTGGCATGCAGCTAAATAGCAGTGAGTCAGGAAACTTTTCGTGGATGGCAGCACTAGCCTAGCAAAGATTGAGACAGTGAGAATCAGTAAAAACTAAACAGAGCGATGAGATGTAGACGCACCCGCCAGAAGAAAGGGCGAAGTTGTTGCAACAGCTCAACAAAATTGACCAAGCCCTGGTTGACACGTGCCTTCCCTTTGAGCTCAACAAGTACCCTCTCCACAAAAGGGAACAATTGGGTTTGGAGCTCATCGGGAACAGCAACAGTGGCCCAGGGAACATGATAAGCCTCCCCAACGTAGAAACCTGCCAACGCCGTAACCGCCTAATGACTAAATGAGTTTCCCTCAAGGAACAATTGGCCTAAAGAAAACTTACAGACTTCGGAATCTTGGCGGAATAAACCTCACGTTGAACGGTACTTGCCCAGTGTCCGATGGCACCAATTTCATCCATTGTAACACTAAAAATGATGAGCAGCGGCTGGCACACAAATAAGTCATGACGTACCCCATCTCTTCAAGGTGGGTAGGGATAGTCTTGCGGGCGAGGTGGAGCTTCTTTTTCGATTTGATGGATGTCGATTCAAGGAATTTTGTGTACATTTTTCGGAGGGCATCATCACCACAGGCCTTCCCCACTGTTTTTCCAAACATAAGCTTTACCTGATAGTTTGGTTTAGTAAGGAACAACATTGATTTCAGATGAGGGCAGACTTGCCTTGCGCCAGGTCAATGGGTAAGACCAGTCCCAACCCTCAATCTTCTCACACACATTCTCCTGGTCAAATATGTAATGCAAAAGGATAGCAAGAGCTCCAACAGAGCAACGAAGCGGATTGTGGTGTGGCAGCACGAAGTTGTAGTCCAGTTCCTGCTTCTGTTATCCTCATCTCAGTAAGATATAAAACCAACAATACAAGTAAACTACAGACTCCTGGCTTCGAGACCTTTGTCTCATGATAAAGGGAAAGTACACCAAAATAATATTTACCGACACCGCAGTGTCGCCCGTCAGGTGTTGTATAGTTAGGAACAAGCAGGGAGTGGGGTTGAAAGCAGCTGAGCAGCAGATTGATGAGCTCATCGCCACGGTTGAGAGTGGTGCACTACCAAGTCCAGCTAAAATGTGCTTTGATGACTGATGGGACTAGTGAGATAATGTCGTTAGCGATGGTAGAGAAGACATGTAATGGAACTCACGTTGATCGAGCTTCGTGAAGATAGCGGATGTGATCTCCTCGAAGTGCACGGCATGCAGCTGTGAGTCCAGTATCGTGTTTTCGCTGATGTCGAAAAACTCGTCTCTGGAAAGTATAGTTATGAGAAATGGAAGATGTAGGTGGGGAAAACTGACTTACTCAAGGCGCAAGCGTTGGGATTCTACCATAAGAGCCTTGTAAAAATCCTGGCTCCTCGATGTAGATGTGGGCCGACGTGCTTGCAGGGTAGGGTCGTTGTCGCACTGTCGCTGCCGAACGCGGCCGAGCATGGTCATATTCTTTTTCAATGATGACTATGGCATGAATATGTCAGTTAATGAGGCTCAAACAAAGACAGGGGTCACCGACCGATGATAAGCGTGCCGGGCCCTCCTTTGGGTGACCTCGGGTTGTAAAGAGGCTCCTTGTTGCAGCATACTTGAGGTATTCCATGGTGTGGTTGGCATCGACGATGTGGTCAGGGATCGTGCCCGCAGCGATCGCTATGGGTACCCAGCGCTGCCGTGCAGGCGTTAGTGATGTCCCCTTGCATAAAAACTGATAAAAAACATACCCGCCACAGAGAGAGCACGCTCTTCTCTGTTTGCTGCCCACTTTTTCGCCTTGTGTCCATGATGTATGCATCAATCTAAAACTGGTCATGATCGGCAGGTAGAAGCTTGAGGCAGAAAGCGCGTACCCAAGCTTTCGAGCTTTCTGTGCCTGTGATGAAAGGGGATGTTACTCAAGACGTTGTGCTGGATGAAACTGAACTCACCCAACGTATCGATCTCCATAGAATCCTCGCGTGGCCCATCGTCGCCTTCATCGTCACCGTGGTCATCCTCATCGTTGCTCTCTTCACCCGGACCATCGTCTGTGTTCTCGAATCCGTGGTTGAAGGACTCTTGCATCGCTTTTGCGACGTCAACCGTTTGGTCCATCCCAGCAACGACGGCGCCTGCAGCTGACAGACTGGGGGTCTCTCTTTCTGTCTGTTGGCTCTCGTTACTGCTTGGTATCCTTCGTTAGCGTGAATTGACTCCTGCACAGAAGGCCGAGACAACGTACCTGGGTTTGGGCAAGCATTGCTGGTCATGCTTTTCAAGCCGCTCAACAAGCTCGCCCTTCTTCCCACCGACCTTGAAGTTCCGCTCACGGCATAGGCTCTTTAGAGCAGGGACATTCAAAGAATAGCTGTAGAAAGTAAATAAATCAGCAAACGTTCAGTACTAACCATTGCGGTGCTTACTAGAGTTTTTTTGTGCTCTTCTCATTTGAAACCTGGCCTGAATGAAAACAAGATGTGAGCTCCCATTGAACGATGTACCACGGCACATTGAAGGCTCTTGCCTTGTCCTTTTGAGGTTCTTGCTGGTCCACTGGCAGGCTGTCTCGATGGCAAAAGCGGGGCTGAGGGGAAGGAACAAGGTTCGAACGCGTTCAAAGAGCGCTGATGCGCAACACACCTTCTGCTTTGGGAACGGCTGTGGCGACGCTTTGGGAAGGTGCGGCTACAGACGCCGATTTTTGATGGGCAGACTCCGGAAAAAGCGCTGGATCAATGCTGAAGTTGTCCGTCTGCTGAGGGGTGTCGTTGTCTGGAAAGCGGAACGAGGGCGCGCTCATGAGCATATGACACGACGACGAGGACCTTGGAGTGGAGAATACTAATAATAATATTTATTGAATTATCTACATAGTATGCTAAGTCAGCGGGAGGACTTGGCCTGGTGATTTCCAGACCCTAATCCAAGTCACAATTTGATTGTGATCTGCCAGCGAGATCACACACCCGAATTGTGATCTCACTGCGGGCCTTGGCTTATATCTCCACTGGGTATATTGTGGAAAAATGGGGTAGATATTAATAATAAAGCTCCCTTTTAACTACCGGGATTAGTTGAAAGATATTTAAAATCTTTTATTTCATTTTAGCAATTTTTTTCCGTCGGTATTATTAAGAATTTTCTGGGGCGGATAAACGTCGAAGATATTGGAGAAGAAATTTCTACTAAAGGCAAGTCCATATTTGCACAGCAGATATGTGGAAGATATGCAAGTGGCCATGAGGTGAAGAACTGCTAAATATGGCAGTATTCTCAGACCTGACACTTGCTAAATAAGGTCAATAGTTCCACAAGGACCCTCAAATTGACCACCTTTAACCCCAACCCCAATGCAAGGCTGCTGAGCTTCAGATCCGCAAGGTCAGTACTAGTTGTGCTTTTGAGAGTCGGATCATCGCACATGTACAGTGGCATGATCGCTGGCCAACAATATCGACATGTACGTGTTTCTGCGCGTTGTCTTGTCTCTCGACCATTCCCAACACGATTCACACAGCACGACACTTCGAGCCTGCGCCGTCTGGCTCAAAAATCCCGTTCGCAACGCTTACTCAATCGAAACGAGCGGATGCCCAGATCAAGTTCTCATCCCACAGTCCGATCGCGACGCGCCCAAGATGAATATCCTTCTCCTCCTCGATACTTCGCCTTCCAGGAGCATCGGTCCGAGAATACTGCCATATTTGGAGGTTCTTCACCTCATGGTTATTAACATATCTTCCACATATTTGCTGTGCAAATATGGACTTGCCTTTAGTAGAAATTTCTTCTCCAATATCATCGACGTTTATCCACCCCAGAAAATTCTTAATAATTCCGACGGAAAAAAATCGATAAAATGAAATACAACATTTTAAATATCTTCCAACTATTTCCGGCAGTTAAAAGGGACCATTATTATTAATATCTACCCCATTTTTCCACAATATACCCAGTGGATATATAAGCCAAGGCCCGCAGTGTCTAGGGCCAAGTACTTCGCTTAGGGTTCTTTGTTCCTGCAAACAGCCAATGAGCACCGTGGGAAACGCTTCAAACCTAGCCAAAATACTTGTAAGTATTGATAGGATAGCTGGTACAGTGTGAGGAACGTCAAGTACATTCTACATTCTTTTCGCAAATACACTTCTATACAACATTCAATCAATCAACCATATTTCCTCTTTCTTTTTCTCTATGTCCATTTATTCAGATGCGTGCGTTAAAGGATCAATGCAAATGATTCCATCACGCTCGCTCCAGGGGTATCCCCAACGATGCACCCACTCACGAACACCCGTCGCCAGACGAGCTCGCGAGGCGCCACGGGCGATATCCTGCGTCCCAGTGTGCTTTTCTTCACCTACGATCGCGTATGCTAGAAAGATTACCCGAGTTCAGTCCCACCAAACCGACCACTAGCCTGGAAAAAACTCACCCAATCCATAGAAATGTTCGCGTTCCAGCTGGGGAAGAAGAAAAGTCAGTCAGATGGACAGTAATTGAAAAAAAATTATTCACCGAAAGCAAAAACTTTTCCAAAACCTCCGTTGCTTCGTTCGAATGCAACCCATGTAAATCTAGCATCGCCTCCGTCCTCTCCTCAGCCGTCGCCTTCCCATCCCCAACATGAGCACTTGCAACGCCCAAGCACACCCCAAGTCCACCTCCACACGATTTCCCTCTTGCGCTCCGGTCCCCTGGATCGTCAGACCAACTAGCATCACGGGATCTCACAGCTTGTTCAGAGAGCTTAGCACGCTCCCCTACAAGCTTAGCAGCAGCCTCCGCCATCTCCGCACCCATCTTCGCATTCAACTCGTGTCCTTCCCTGCTAAACCTCTTCGCTGCCGCTCCGTCTCCGCGTCTCCATGCATCAGCAGCACGAGACAAGCACGCGTTGCGTGCAGCCCCCAGCTGAAGTGCACGGGATCTGTACGACATGTACAAACTGTTGACGGCTTCTCCAGTCGGCAAGGTCGGAAGCAACGAAGGAGGACGCAGTTTGAGGCGCGGGGATGGTCTGGGTGTGACAATGGCAGATTGGTGGTAGAGATTATCAGCAGAGGGTCCCATAACCTCACGGCGAGCAGCCACATTGTTCTCACCAGCCTGCGGCGCTGGAGCAGGCTTTTTGACAGCAGCAGAGAATCGCGTCCTCCCTGGGTCGTTGTACGCACGGTCGTGGTACTTTCTTCCTCTCCCTCCCACAGTGGTGTCAAATCCGAGAACTGGGAACTCATCTGGGGGTGGGCTGTGCGGTAGCATTGGTCCCACTCCAGGTGGTGCATTTGCACGCGACATCGCAATGTTAAGGTTGGATATGTCCACACCCTCAGGCAGACGATGAAGGAACTCGCAGCTTTCTTGCTTTGCGCATGTCCCTCGGAGCCAAAATCGACATAGGGCGCGTTCAAGATCGTGGCTGTTTCAAAAATCAGCGTTTATACAAAATCTGTTGACGTCAAGACGCACCTGAAACGACAATCGGCTCGCAGACACTCCCCAGCGACAAAATATCGGCACACTCTGTTGCCACCAGGAGCTGAACGGCCATTTGCGTACCTAGGAGCACCACGTCCGGGAGGACTGGTTGGCGGGTATCCCTTTCCATTGCCACGAGTGGCCGCGTCCCTCCCAATCAAAGTAACTCTCCCGCCCATCGCTTGAATCCGGTTCTGCGGACTTTGAGGGGGTGCAGGAAGTGCACGATCAACAAGCCACGCCATTGCACGCTCGAAATCATATCCATTGGCCGCTAACGCGTCCTCCAACTCGGACGGGGCGAGTGTCGAGCCAAATACGGAGCTGAGGACGTCGAAAGGTGACATTCCGTCGGTTAAAACGGCTGCGTCATCGCCTTCATTTTCAGGCTGGCCCTCTTGTGAATATTGTCCATTAGGGTCTGGTGCAGGATATCCATATGACATCTGAAAGTGAGATTGACTGTCGAGGGACCTTGGATCGGATGACGCTGGAGATGTTGGCCAGGGTGTATTATCAAAGTCTGAGATGGTGATCGAGTGGAAGGATTTGGGGAGAGTATCAGACGAAAATGGATCGAAAGGATCGTTGTCGTCGTCATCCCTAAGATGGCTCGATGCACGGAGAGAAGAGCTGGGAGTGAGTGAGCGACTTAGCAAAGACTGGTCAGGGATGAGCGGAGCAGCTATAGCGAGATTAGATGTAGCACGAGGCGAGTTGTGAGCCCACATATCGGGGGAAGGGGTATCAGAGCGAAGCAGGGAAACGGGGTTAGAAGAAGCAGCTGACAACGGACGGGGTATGGGCCTAAACTCAGATGCCTTTGCGCTCAAGAGACGGGGAGAGGAGATAGGAGATGCAGGTAGGCTTGCAGTGAACTGTGCATGAACATGAGTAGCCTGCGCATGTGAGAGGATGGGAGACGAAGATGGCGAATAGTCGCTTTTAGCCGACATGTATGACAATGCTTGCGCCATACCACCTGAGAGTGGCGAAGTTGCTGGTGTGTGTGGCCTACGAAAAACCTGAGCAAGTGGAGAGTTTGGAGCCGAGTTTGGAGTGTCTGGACGAGCAGGGTATAAACGAGTTGAATTTGTAGATGCGCGAGACGATGGGCGGGAGATTGGGCGTCGTGTCGGAGTTAGGAAGAGAAATGGAACGCCGGCAACGTCGTCGCGATGCTTGTGCATCAAGTCTAAGACATTCTGCTCCAGCTACATTTAAAATACAAACGTCAGCGATGAATGTGTGAGACGAGCGCAGCGACGACGAACTGTTGACTCGTCCATGCCATACAATGACCTAAGCAGCCGTTTGAGCTCATCCTCGTTCTCATCAGTTAGCAGCGACACGACTCTGTTCACAAGGGATGAAGAGACGCGATTGTAATCATCATTCTCCGCGTCACTGTCGTAGTTATCAGTGGGTTTATGTTGGCGAGCGATGGCAGATAGTTGTGCTCTAGTATGGGGAAACTTTGTGGAGAGTGTTAGGACGTTGGCGGAGGGGTATGAGAGATTATTGGTGGTATCATCGGGCGACAGCGATAACTGGGCCATTTCTTGAGAGACTGTATTCGGACGTTGAACGCTGAACGATTGAACGTTGAATTGTACAACGTACGATGTGGGGTAATAAACAAACAACCTTGTATTCAACACCAACGTAGGCGTCTTCCTCAGCATCGCCTCAGGTACAGACACAGCGAATACATCTACACATCCCACTGCACCAAAACTTTTTCTTCCCTCCAGCACTCCTTGTCTTCCCATCCATCATCGTTACAACAACAATCCTTCTCACATGAGAAAATAAAACATGTCCCCCACTCCATGCCCCGCTTCTCATCCTTTCCTTCGCCCTTCAACGCCCTTTCCACGGCTTTCCGCCTCTCTTCATCCGACACTTTCTTTGGCTTCTCCTCCTCAGGCGAGCGCAGCACGTTGATGAGGTTAGGCGTCAGCTGACACTCAAAAACACGCTTGGATTTGCACACGGGGCATACTGGGACTGTAGAGCTGTTATACACGCGTTTGAGCGGAGGGACAACCGTGTAAACCGCTCTCGTTACGGGTAAGGATGGTGCTGGTGGTGTTGGAAATAGAGTCTCGAACACTTTGTCAGATGAGAAGGGCAATGGAGTGCCTCTTAACTCATACCTAGAGAAAATCAGGTTTAGCAGCTGGAGAAATGTGCTTGAGAACAAAGAATACCGAACGCATTGCTCTCCTTCATATCCAACTCGTTCGGTGAACCGCTCGAAAACGTTGTCCACATTGAGTGAGTTCTCATATGCCTCCGATGTCCAAGAAGTGTCCTTTCCGCCTTTACCCTCTTCATCTGGGTCGACAATCTGTGCGCCTGCGGGAATCTTTGGCTTGGGTAATGGTGGAAGATATTCGGACGCCGTAGAGAGGTAGAGAGGACGATAAGACGGCGCCGATTTCCATGGAGACTCATCCATCGATGTCGAGGCCATCGCCGTCAAGAGAGATTTCTCTGATCCAGAATCACTTTCAGTGTCACTTGTGCCCTCATCTTCATCCGGCGGCACGTCAGCCTTCGTTGACTTTAACTCAGATTCGGGGGTTGGCACATCGACGTTGCCGAACACCTGAGCGCCGAATCCAAATACACTGTGATTTGATGGTGCCACGTTGGACATCTGTTTTTCGCCGCAGTTTCGTGCAAATCAGCACCGAGAACATCATATGTTGTTTGGGCGCTCACGGAGAACGGGTTTGATTTAACAACAGCCTGCTTTCGCGCTGTTTCAGCAGCCAAGGCGTCGGCTTTTGCCTTTTCCCGTTCGCGTTTCCGCGCCAGTTTCTGTTCGAGTTTTGCAGCATATTTAGCATTAAAGCGCAGACCTCTCCAAGCACGGATGCTGGAAGTAAATTAGAAGTAAAATTTGCGATGTTGCACATGCATTATGGCTCAATTTACCTTCCGTCTTTGCCTTGGCAGCCGGTTCTTGGACACCCCCAGATATAGAGGGCACGATCCATGGGGCTGTCTTCGAAAGGACACCACATTTGGACAAGGAGTTCCATTGGATTGGAGCACAAATTGCAATGGGACGAGGAAAAGGGTGGTTCACGTGAAGGAAGAAAGGCCTTTGCACAAACATAAATAAGATTGTGTGTAGTGCGTACATTGGGATAGATCGTACAGGATGCCCTCCAATACGAGAGACGGCCGCATCATCGATATCTGAAGGAGTATCGATGGGGCCGTCTGGGACACCGAGTAATACAGATGTCTCTACCTCGCCGAGCAGTTGTTCATCGTCAGAGTCGGACCAATCGTCTTCTTGTATAGGCATGGTGTATGATGTTACCTGTTGGCAAAAATCAGCTTGGGCGCTCTCGGGTAACAGATGGGTGTCAAAAAAGCAAGAAAAAAATCAGAAAAGCATGAATGGTATAATTTTAGTTGAGTCGTCATGTTCAGACAGACAGAGAAACTCTGCCTATCATGGTTCAGACTCGTCATCTAAATATCTCATCATAAAAGAAATCGATAAGATGCGGAACTGACCTGTCCAAAACTTCGCTAGAAGAAACCAAGAAAAGGCTTTCCGCTCAAAATTTAAAGGCTCGAGCCAAATACAAGCAAATACTGCTCTCTGATCTCGATCAGTCTCGATCGCAAGACTTAACGGAGGACTTTCCTGTCCGATCTCGCCAGTATACCCTGCTTCCCTCCCCCATCCTTGGCTACTCGCTCCCCCACTTTCAAACGGAAATGGCCACCTATACCCAACGCGACGAATCTAGCTCATTGGTAGCAAGACATAAACGAAGGGGTGTCGCCCTTTCTTGTGCCGAATGTCGGAGGTGCGTACGGAAAAATGACGTCTATGCATATTCATTCATTCCTGCTGTCCAGGTTAAAACTCAAGTAAATCTCCGTCTTTTTTTTATTACCGGGGATACATGATTAACGTTGCACTTTAGATGCAGTCGCGTCTTTCCTTGCAGGTACACCCTTGACCTCGCTCATTCCCTTCAATCATATTCAAAAATACCGTCAGCAATTGCGTCAAGAAAGGCTGCTCGGCCATATGTCCTGATAGTGAGGAAGTTCATGATCTGACCAACAACTTTTCAGCTAATTCTCGTCGAAGATTCCCTCACAACTGGCAAAGGCAATAGGTCTGCATTTTTTGTAAATCACCCATTCCCTGGATTAAATTCTCACAGATTTGTGCTTGCAAACACTGAGGTTCTCCACGAAAAGATCAACATTCTTTCCAACCGCGTGCGACATCTGGAAGACGCACTTTCTCAATCACACGCACTGCATTCGAACCACATCCATCCTTTACTGACAGAGGAGCTTCTCCAAATAAAACGGCCTCTAGAACGTGAACGAACAGACCAGCCCAGTACCACGGACGAGAAGTCTGAACCAGGCGAAACTATCGACGCACTAGGTTCTTTGCGAGTATCTACTTTGACAATTGACCCTCAGCAATAAATTCATCAAAATTTAGGTCTATCTCCAACGGCGGCAAGGCTAGTTTTTACGGGCCAGCGGCAAGTTCATGGGTGAGTAAAAGTCTACTATGCACAGTCGTTGCTGACACAACATTAATCATGGTCCTTCTAGCACCTCCTCCAGGTATGACTACGCATCAGTCAGCTTGTCCACTGCGGATATTGAATTCACATACTAGAATGAGGTTACGTCAGACAGTGAAGAAGAGATCCTCTCCCCACCCGAGCAATCACCAATGCCGATCGACGTCCCGTGGCTCAGTTACGCTTTCCCCTTTACCTCCGCCGTCAACAAGACTGCAGAAGGAGTCCAGGGATCGATCGTCAGTCTGCTCCCACCAGCCGCTCTTGCCAGAAAACTTTGTGACATCTATTACCGCCACGCGGCCTGGATGTGGGTCAAATCTGCGCAAAATAATGACGCTGACAAAGTCCTTTGTGTACAGGTACACACCAATATCACAGCAGGATTTTTCCGACACCGTTTTTCGGCCGGTTTATGATGAAGAAAGCGTCCCTGAGACGGTGGATTCACACAGCCTCGCTATCCTCTTTATGGTCCTTGCGCTCGGGGCACTTTTGGACCTTGAAACGCCCGCCCACAACCCGGAAGCAATACATTATTACCAGCTTGCACGAGCGGCCTTGGCGCTGAAATCTGTTCTCGATGATCAGACAATTCCCGCTATCCAGGCATTAGTAAGTTCAATCGGTGAGCCCAGGAACGCTAACTGCATTGACCTGTCAGCTTCTCATGTGCCATTTTATGTTTTTGTCTGATATGGGTGGGCCCAGATGGGTGACCATGGGAATAATCGTGAAATTGGCACATAGTGTCAGTTCGTGTTTCATTTGTTGTCCACAATTTCGCTCATCTAATGTTTGCAGATCGGGCTTCGTGAGCTGACTTTTGCTCTTCTGTCCAGCGATTTTCTGATATTTCTCTCAAGACCGCGACAGCGGAAAATGGAAATTGGATGTCCAAGAGACCCAAAAACGACGGGAGCTGTTTTACGAGCTCCTCACCTATGACTCTTGGCAGGTATGTTTTTTTTTTGCGGTGTTTGAGGTGACCCTCATTTTCGTGGCATCTTAGAGCTTAACATTCGGGCGGCCGCCGTCATTGTCCTCAGCGCATATTGATAGCAGTCTACCGCATCCAATGTCAACTACTGCATCTGGAGAAGTTGAGATGAGCTGTATGTTTTTTTGTCTCTTCGATATGTCGAGACCCTACGTCTAACCTTGCTAGTCGCGGCCTGGAAACACAGGTTCTCGTCTCAGTGTTTAAGCGTCGTACACGATCAAGCTTTTGGCTCGCGAACACCAAATTACAAGGTTATCCAAGAGCTGGACAAAAAGGTCCGAACTTGGTACATCCCACCTAGCCTGCAAGTCCCCGGCTTTGGAAACACCAAGATGGGCGTAGATGTGGAGCAGCCTTCTGTTGAACTTACCATGCAGCGATACATTGCCTTTGCCATCAAGGAGATCAGTAAGCCTTTGCTTCATGGAGTTATCTTATCGGATCTGCTTCTAAATTTGTCTTTTTTGTCAGCTCTGTTCTATATGCATCGTGGTTTCTTCGCCCAAGCGCTAGAAGACAATCCCGGTGATCCTATGGGAAGCAAATACTCACAATCGGTGTTGGCGGCATATACAAGCGCCACTTCGTTCGTCGGCTTGATTGAGAGTTTATTCAAGCAACATCCTGCGTTGACTGAACGGATGTGGTTCTTGTTTACACACGTATTTTCATGTGCTGTAAGTTGCAGACGATCATCCCTCCTTCGTATTCTCATATTTGAATTGATCAGATTGTCCTCGGTTCGATAGCTGTGAAGTCGGGTATGGCTCTGGCACCATCCGCGCTTTCACATCTGGATTCTGCTTACAACCTCTTTGCTCGAGTTTCTGACCATACCAGAACAGGAAAGATTTTGGTGTGTCATCTGAGTTCTCGCTCCATTTCTATACCTAATTAAACAATGTTAACATTCGCCCTTAGCCTATTCTGCAGAAACTAAGAGAGCGTGCACGTTCGACACTCTCGAGCGCTCATCAATCTCTCCCATCCGAGACGGCAACGCGGCTATCATTCTTTGGCCCCAAGGTCAAAAGCGAGGTTGACGAACTTTCGGCTTTGGGAGGCATGACGAGGCTGGTTGCCCGACGATCGCCTTCTTCACCATTATATACGGCGCCCAGCCCCAACCCCCGGAACTCACGCACGCCTCCTCCTTTGAAGGAGTCAAACTCATACCCCGCTCCGCCAGTGGATAATACAAACTCATGGCAGAATTATACCCACATCCAGAACTTTAACGTCAATATCAACGTTGGCGACCCATATGCGTCGGCATACCCTGTCACAACGCCGACGCCGCAGCATCAGGACATGCCGCTCATATACCCCCATCATCAACTGCAGTCACAGACACAACAACAGCATCAGTATCACCACCAGCAAGGAGGAGGCCTACCTTTGGAGGTTACAGGCCCAGAATATTATGGATACGCCTTGTCGAACGGATATCCGACATCTAGCATGCACCACCAGATGATATCGTCACCAGAGGTTACGACGCCCCCTCATGACCTTCATGATTCATGGCACAATTTTATGGCCCAATATGGCAAACAAATGTAGATACCCACTTTGCGTTTATGTCTTGCACACGTCTCCAATGTTATCGTCGCTATCTGTACTTGATCTGTACATATTATTATGCCGCAATATCAACGATGTTGACTCCGCAGGAGTCTCCACTTCTCCGCTTCCCTGAGGAATCCCTTCCCGATCGAGTCGCGTCCTGGAAGTTTGTCGTTGTTATGATCCAAGGATTGCTCCCGTCATCGCTCTTCAACGGCATTCCTTTGAACTCCCTCTTCATTGCCAGGTAGTATGCCTGTGCCAGACGCGCGCACACGGACAAAGATTAGTTTGAACCCCTCTAAAGTCTTGTCCACGTCGTAAGTATCTATTGTACTTGCCACAGTCGCCCAATTGACGCGACGCTCTCTACTCGTAGCATTCCAAGCAGGCTTCTTCCCAAATTATTTTTGTCTAATCTTCTTTTTGTTGTCGCACTGCATGCTTCGAAAGAATGGTTGCTGGACTTTGACGTTGGCGTGTTCTGGGTTGTCATGAGGGTTTTGGCTTGTGGCGGATTTGGTGTGCTAGTATGGGAGGGGGTGACGGGGCAGTTGGCTAAACGGAAGACTATTGAGGTCAGTATCGGTGTTGTGTTGAACGGTTTATGTCATTCTGATGTTATGTTCTTAGTGGTCGGTGCTGGGAACGGGTTCGCTCTTGCTCTTTGTCCAGTCTGCGTGCCTATTCACGGCGCTATACCGACTCTCTTCGACACGGTATGGTTTTGAAGTTTTTGTCTGCATTCAAACCAACGTCATCATGCAGCGTCGTTCTCTTCACACATTTCTCCGCCTTCTGGATTGGATCACTGCTCAACTTCACTTCGGTATGTATAGACCCTAGCTCTGCTCGAAGACGATATTGACATTTGCCTCAGCAAACACGCAAGGCGGGCGCAGTCGGCTTGGCAATTTTGCTTTCGGTACTCTCGGACTCACAACTGTCTGCCACGACCTTTTGGAGATATGTTCCAGGATATGGGGCCCTACTGCTGCACGCAGCATCGTCGACTGCATTGGAGCATACCATTCAGGTCTTATCTCCTTCCTTAGGATCGACCTTTACAATATCAGCAATCACACTTGGCGCGTCAATATTTGCCCTTCCATTCTACCTGTTTAGAACTGTCGTAGTGCGTCTATCCCCATTTGTTTTTATAAGCGATTTTGGCTCAGCGTTTTCTTTAGCTGAATTCACCTCCAACACCTGTCCTTCCACTTCTGTCACTCGCTTTCATTCCCGTCATCGCATACTCCCTCCTCTTTCTAACACCGCTGACGACACGCTCCCTGATTCATATGACATTAACTTCCCAACATTTTGGCACATCTTACCCTGTGCTGGCCGTATTTTCGGCTGTCCTGGGAACTCTGGCCTTTTCCAAATTCCCCAATTGGACTGATCTTTGCATTGCTATACTTCTTTATATTGGTATGTCGATACTACATCCTTTCTACAATCTGGCTAACAAGGTTATCCACAGGTATGTACCCAGAGAGCATAGATGCTTTTTCAGCCGCTCCTCGAACCCCTACTTCACGGTTAATAAGGTTATATCTCAAAACAATTCTATCGAATCCGGAATCCAGAAAGATATTTTATTTCCTGATGTTGAATCTCTCGTATATGCTGGTTCAGATGTTGTATGGCGTATGGACCAACAGCTTGGGGCTTATTTCAGATGGTGAGCTCTTTGACCATTTGTTGAATTAACATCAATTCGAGACCTTTCGCAGCTATTCACATGGCGTTTGATTGCATGGCTATCGGTGTGGGACTCTTTGCCTCCGTTATGGCAACATGGGAACCCAATGAATCTTTTACATATGGGTATGTACTATATCTATTTGCATCCTTTCATCTGGTAAACCTGACAGATTCATAGATATGGCCGAATAGAGACATTATCTGGATTCGCCAATGGTATTTTCCTGATATTAATATCGATTTTTATTGTGTTTGAAGCTATCCAGCGCTTGTAAGTAATTCTAGCTCTGCATTGGACAGTTATTGACTTTCCCCCAAGGCTGGAGCCCCCAGAAATGAATACCAGCCAGTTGCTGCTCGTTAGCTCTGTTGGGCTTGCCGTTAATCTCTTCGGAATGTTCGCGATGGGTGGTCACCATCATGTGAGTGCGCACTGAGCATTATGCCGGTCAACCTCGAATAATCGTTTTACAGGGTGGACATGGACATTCGCATTCGCATGGCCACTCACATAGTTCACAGACATCGCATGCACACACCGACGACCACTCTCATTCACACGCACCACTACCCCCACGTTCTCATTCCCATTCACATGCCCACTCGCCGCCCCCTGCAATAACATCGCATTCCCACTCCCATTCATCACATCCACCTCCGCCAACACTAAGCCATTCACACTCACATTCGCACTCTCATTCGCATGAACATGCATCCTCTCCAGATTCCTCGGGCCATTGTGAGGATCACTCACACTCGCACTCTTCCCCTGCATCCCATTCAGTCTCTCACTCTGAGCCTCACTCCCACTCCCACTCATCAGAGGCACATACGCATTCACATACTCCCCAACCAAAGGATGGCCACGACCACACGCATGGACATTCATCTGCAACGAATGGGTCGGAAATACAACAGGCGCATAGCCATTCCTCCAAGCGACATTCCCATGGTCCACCAATGCACTTGAACCTGAGTCGTGAACGAGCTTATAACAATTCCAACACGGTCTTGTCACCCATATCTCCAGATGGCATGCCCCTCACACCGAATTATACCTTTGGGCACGATGACCACTTTCTGAAGCATCATGAACCCGCCGGACACGAACCGAACGTGCATAAACCTTCCTCGCCTCCCTCCCATGAGGGGCACAGTCACAACATGCGAGGTGTTTTTCTGCACGTTATGGCTGTAAGCCTTTCCCTCTCTGTGTTGGTTGGTTGACTAAATGGCGCATAGGATACTTTGGGCTCTGTAGGCGTCATTATCTCAACGCTACTTATCCAGTTCTATGGATGGACAGGCTTTGATCCAATAGCATCGCTATTCATCGCCATCCTTATTGCAGCCAGTGTCTTCCCTCTCGTCGTAGACACGGGCAAAGTCCTCGCCTTAGACGTCGCTGACCGGGATCTTGTAATCCAACAAGCACTGGCAGAGGTGCGTTTTGCTTTTTGCTTTTCCACTTTATCGCTCAATTCCGCTTTATAGTTATCCTCCATTGAAGGCGTTGCGTCATACGATTTCCCTCGATTCTGGCCAAAAGACGCCACGAGTCTGATCGGCTCCATCCATATACATCTCGTTCCGTCGGCATCTTCGCATGATCCAACGGGGCCACATTCGAATGTGAGGACAACATACACGAGAATTGACCGGGTCGTAGAACGCGTGGACGCCCTGTTGCGAGAGAAAATCCCTGGACTGCAAGAACTGACGATTCAGGTGGAAGGGAAGCAAGCTTTCTCAGCGTCATCATGACGGACATAGTTGTGCTTTGGACATTGGTTTTTCAAAGACGTCGTCGTTGTAAACTATGAATCGACGTGTGAATTTCAACATGCATGCGTCGTTCACTGCGGACTCTGTTTGGCGACCTGCTACCTATATACGCATCAAGGACCAATGATAATCGCTGTGAAGTGATGTTGTTTGAGCGGGTTTTTGACTGTGTCTTATTTCTCGCTGCCTTACCTACTTGCAAGCGTGCTTGAAAGCTTGCTACTAGACAGTGGTCAAACCAAATGTGATCAGAGAGAGGGGACATACAGATTTTCTGGACTGATCTCACTGTTCGACAGCACACCTGCAACATGAACTCGTCATCATCCAACAAATGAGTGGTGAGTTGCACTATTATGTAAACTAAGAATGTGTATATATGCAGTAGTAATCTATGCCTTGGCAGGCTGGGAGGAAGATGAATCAGGAGATGAGGTCTGAGCCGCTGGAGGCTGGTCGTCCATATGCTTCTTCTTGCCTTTGAACTGGTCAATCGCCTCCCAAAGATTACCAGGGATTTCAGCTGCCATGGCCTGCTGGTCCTGCTCAAGAAGCTTCTCGAGTTGCTCCTTGTTGTCACGAAGATACTTTTGCTCCTCCTGATATTGCAGCTGAGCCTCTTTCCGCTTTTGCTCGAGGTAAGTCGGCGGTGGAACACCCCTGGGAGCTTGCGGCTATTGCAAGGTATGAAACCTCACGAAACGCAGGGATATTAAGTGGGTACGTACCGCGCTCGAAAGTCCAAACATGCTGGCGAAAGAAGACCCTGAAATGCTCATTTGATTTTTCTTCTTCCAATCCTCCACATGCTTGGCCTTGGCCTCTGCCTCATTCCTCGCATATTCGAGAGGAATATCTTTCCCTTGATAGGCTTGGATGATTGGCCGTAAATCCGCGGGCTTGTAGATGCTGATAGCTGTGGAAGTTGTTAGATGTTTTTGTCATGATTAGTGCATGGGCACCTACATTCCAGGAAGGGAATCATAGCAACAAGGCCCTTGTCCGAGGGATCACCCTTCCATTTAGGAATAATGATCGCATTTTCTGGGTGAGTGTTGATGTGCTCGGGGTCGGTGTCCATAACGATGACTTTCGAAAGGTCACGGTTAAGATATGATAAGTCCTTCACAATTTTTCCGTTAGTGGAACGTGTAGATTCTCGGAAGAGGCGGTGGTTGATGAAAAAATTATATCGGTCCAATTTATCAAGTATGGGCGCTGCGGTCTAGGTGGACTGTGAATTGAGGTAATTAATAGACAGCTGAATTGACGTACGTAGCTGTGTTGGGTCGTAAAGATAACGAGTTCGTAGAATTGAGAGATGTAAGCGAGGAAGTAATCCGCTCCGGGTCGTTTTGCGGTTCTCCAACCGTGCTGACGCTGAAACGAGCGTCAGTCCGCAAGTATCAACTTCTGATTATAAATTGCTTACATCCCATGTCGAAGTGATCAGGAGGTCGTCGAGAGAAATTATGAGGGTGTATGGTTTTTGGTGGGGAGGTGGGTATGGCGGTGGGAGCAGCTCAGGCCACGCTGGTTTATTGAAATACTGCGTAACAAATGAGTGAAAGCAAGCACAAGTGAATGGGCTCAACATACATCGAATATGTCAATGAACCTCTCCTTGGTTCGTGCCCACCGCGTCGAAGGAGCATCTTCGAGTTTCTGAGCGTGGATTGGTATAGGCCATTCGACATTGCAAATGACATACCATCTTTTTGGCCTTCAGCTCATCTTCATCCCAATCCCGACCCATATAAACCGCATTAAGACCAAATCCAAGCGCCAGCACAGCGAGTGACACCCGCCCCATAAACCGCCGTTTCCGCTCACTTGATGACAAGGAACCCTTGGATGACTTTGCCCCTGTTCTCTGTGGACCCCCTGGTTCTTCGGGTGAGACATCGAGGCTAGGTAGACTCGCTGACAGAGGTTCTGTTGGCGTTGACCTGGGGATCGGCTCTGCTGGGGTCTCAGGCTCGCTGGGGCGTTCCGGGAGCTTCCCCTTGGCTGCAGAGGGGCCATTAGGTGGAATTTTTGACATACATCGTACAGAATGTACGAGTGCCCTGCTCGGTATTGACCTGGAGAGTACAGCGAACATCTCTCGTCCGTCCTGCGTCCGTCGAAAAGATGGAAAGGAAGAAACTTTTTTGGCTGGAATTTACATTTGTTATTTTCAGAAGCTTCCGCTATGCTTCCGCTCAGGGTTCGCTCCTCCTTCTGCCACATCCTGCCACATCGAGCCTGCATCGAGCACTTGGTCCTATGACTCTCTCGTCAGTGTCCAGCTGATTCCAAAGTTGAAAGCGCACTTGAATGAAACTATAGCTTATACCAAGTCATGACGGTCGCTGTCGACGAGGTGGTAGCGTTCTCGACAATATTTTTTTCATTCAAGCCAAATTCAAGCAGGTGGTCGGCGGTCAGTGCCTAGTCTCTCGTAGAGATATCGATATTATTTGAAGTCGTACCCAAGTCGTACCTTCAAGTTGGTTCACGATAATATGAAGTTGCTGTTGAGTTGCTGCCATCCCAAAGGGGTTCCAACCCTACGAAGAAGAGCCCTTAGAAATTGCAGGATGGTCTTGCTTATCCTCCGTTTGTAAAGATCAAGTCAGCCGGCACGATGAGATGTTGATGAGATGGCTGAAAATGATTGTAAAATCCTGCCGTAATAAACGGCGAGAGAACTTGGAAGAGAACCCGTTACACGCACACACGTGATGCACGTTTTGTGTGACACTTCGTGTCCTGTCGACTAAGCGTTGGTTCTAGCACGAGCCCTCTTCACTCTTCTCCCGTCTTTTTCCAACCGTTTCTATCCGTACTTTGGGAGTAAAGTCTGCATGATATCAAATGTTTGAAGACGAACTTGTGGAAACGTCAGACCTGGAGGAGTTGGAAGAGCTCGAAAAGCCGAAAACTTTGAAGTCAGAGTATACAGCTAATGGAGACATTCGTCGGCGTGAGGACTCTTACTCTCCAAGGAAGCGCATCAAGGTACTCACTTGTGCTCTATGAAGCCGCTTTATACTCACCGACTCGCGTAGCTACACCACCAATGGGAAGGACAGGGGGAATTCGCCCACTCCCACTTCAGTTCCCCCTCTGCATCTGTGTCCGGCGCGCCCATTACTCCTTTGAAATCCCAATCATCAACTACCATCGGCAACAGCTCCCCTCTTTTTCTTGAACGATCACCCACCCGTGTCGGGAACTCTCGATCTCCGACCAACTCACCACTAGACAAATTGGCAAGCTTCCCTTTAAGTCCTGCTTTCAAAGGAAACTCTCAGGATCCACTTCTTCTCTGCAGTCCTGTAAAGACCTCGCGAGAAGTAGCCGATTTATCTCGTTTACCTTTCACAAACCGTGCACAAATTCAATCTCCTCGCAATGACTATTTGAATCCTTCCCCACAAGAGAGCGATACGTCCATGAAAAGTCTCCTTTATCATGTCTCAACACCATCTGCGCGCGCGGACTCTGTTAATCCTCTCGAATTTCCTGAATCGCCGCCTCCTCGGAATGCCTCTATCCAAAAAAGTCCTCTATCCTACCAAGAACCTTTGAGCCCAGAACCTCTCAAAAAAAGTATAGATGGTGGATTTCTGCCGGTTGCCGCCTTCCTCCCGTCATCTCCCTTATCACCAAGCCACCCGCAGCAGTTGGGTTCAGAGAGAAAAACCCCTCGCGAGATATCCAGGCCTCCCTTAGATGAATTACCCTCGTCCTCCCCCCTGTTTTCGCCTGTAGCTCCTTCACGATCAATATCTCCCATCCGCCTGAATCCTACGCCGCCACCACCACTGGAGGTGGGCCCGATAAGCGAGGAAAATGCCATTGCTATTGTTAAAGCCAAGCAAGGATACTCTTTCCGAGCACGCAAGGCTGTTCAGATCGCTCCGTACTCAGTTGACAAACTCACGTACAAACTTGCGTTAAAGGCAAATCCAGATGCAATCGTCAAAGTCAGAAGTCCAGGTAAACATCATCATCGACATCCAGATGATCGTTATGAAGGGGAAGGACTGGAGGAAACGCAAGAAGATGGATACGTGTACGACGCGGAGGAGGATGAGGATGCAGATTGGGAAGCTAGAGAGAGGAGACGACGGAGGTTGAGTGATAAAGACCATTCTCACGACGTTCGCAGTCGCAGTCCAGGGCTTGCTGCATCTGCTGTACAGTATCCAGAAATCTTGCAGGCTCTCTCTAGCTCAGACGAAGATGAAAACCAAGAAACGTCCTTGCTATTGAAGGAAGCGAAGAAGGTGGCTCGAATGAAAGAGAAGGAACGGAAGGCAAAAGAAAGGGAGCAAGCGTCAAGAGAGAAGGAGCTTCGGAAGGCGAACAAACTGTCAACGAAACGTTTCCCCTTAAAGCGACCTGGATCTGAACGCGACCACAGGCGTCCTCGAACCTCGGTAAATTGTTACATTCGATAATTCAAGTAAAATTTTTGACCAAGTTTTTTCATAGGTTTCTTTATCCTCTCCCCGTCTTGGAAATGGAGGCGAACGTTCAGCTGGAGGGGAGAATGCTACTGACGAAGCCATGGATACAAATGGCAGTGAACCACATTCAAATGTGGACAGGGATCGAGAGCACGCTCTTTTGGAAGACTTCGGGGGAGACGACGCATTGGGCGTTGGCGGCGACGTAGACATGTACGATCAAGATAACTTTGAGCCTCAAGTCGCTCATCAAGATCCCTTCAGTGATGCTGAGGAAGTACTTCCCTTGAACGGTCCAGATTCAGGTTATGAGGACCTTCCAGCACGAACTCCTGAATCCCTCTCAGACGGTGAGGAAAAGCGAACCAATTTTTCTCCACAAGGTTCGGACGCCGAATCTGACCAGCCAATCATACCCTTCGACTCCAAAGTATTCAAGACTTTAACTAGGACGATGCCCGTTTTCATGGCAAAAAAGTACGTCAGTGGCAACGTTACGGCACCAAAACAAAAAGCACGACACTCCTCAATATCTGCATCTGTCGACGACACCGATGAGCCATCTGGGCAACTACTTCCTGGCCAATCTCGGACCCGCCGCATGGCTAACCCTGCGGATTTCAGGACTATCAAGGGTGACTCTGAGAGCGAAAATGAGCTCAGTGACAGAAGCGAGCCATCTGAGACGCAAGGGGCTACACGACGACGACAAAGATCCATAAGTTTGAGCAGCACAAGCAGCCATGGGTCCCGAGGTGGCGCGCCCCATTCACGCCCGCGTTTACAAAAGCAGAGCAACAGTGTGGTTATTGACATCTCCGATGATGATTCCTCGAGCAGCAGTGAAGACGAGGGTGTGGGTGACGTTGATATTCAAGCCTGTCTTGCGGACGACTCGATCTTGCCAGCCAGGAGGGGTGACCATCCAGGCTCGAAATCGCATGGGCGAAGCGAATATTATTTGATTGACTACATGCTATCGCAGGGATTCAACACTGACAGGTTGACGAAAAAACGGGTGAAGTCATCATCCGCCACAGTTGGTGGACACGAAAACAAGTCCAGGCGCAAATTCGACGTGGTAACTGGTGGTGTACGTCGTGAGCGACAAACTCTGTTGGACTTTAGTAAGACTACCGTTTCGAAAAGGAAGAAGAAGTCATCTGACGGGAGGCGTCGTGACCGCGTTGATGGTACAAGATTTGACCATGGTGGTTCAAAAGCTGCAAAGGAGCACTACTCATCCGGCGTTGCTGACTCGTTCGACGATGAAAACAGCAACATGCACCAAATCAGTGGCGATTATCACGACAACAAGATGAGTTACAAAGAACGAGAAAAGCTCAGAAAATCTCGTGCACGCAAACAAGGTGTCTATGTTTTCGATGGTGGAGCGACGCGAATTGTGACCGGCCGAAGACGAGAGACAGCACATATTACTCTTGATTTCGAAGATGAAGAGTTTCATCGAGTCGTGCAACCTGACTGGGATGCATCATTCCCTCTAGATAAGCCCGCTGCGAGGCCCCTTGCGGCAAATTGTAGGGCGAAGAACTTGGGTAATGACAACCAGGCACTCCCCAAGGTCAAATTCGCACAGCGCAATCTCCGAGCAGATATGGGTATCAGGTTCCTGCATTCTGGGATAGCATTCTGGCCCAGAACGTTCATTAGAGTTGGTTATCTTCACGAATTAGTTTCTGTGATCACATTCTCGATGGAACCTCCTCTACCTCCCAAAACTATGCTGTGCGGATTTGAATTTGGCCCTGCGACAAACATTCGGGAGTTTTGTTCTTTTCTTCCAAATATCTGCAGTGCGATGTTGGAGTTCGAAACAAGTCTCCCAGACGAGGATAGCAAGATGCGGGAGAAGGAATGGCAAATAGTGAAACGCAACATTTGCCAACTCGCTTCATGGCTCTTATCTTTCGCAACTCCCGACGACCGCAGGCCATTGTGCAAAGTTGCAGAGGAACAGGTGAAGGCATTGGTATCAGCACTCGACGAAATGCCTTTGGACGGGGTCTCTGCAAACATTAGTATCTTATCAACATGTTGGTTTGCTGTCGACTTTGCTTCGCGGTTCGCCAACTACCATCCAGATCGACCCGCTGGGCTTGCAACGGAGCCAGTGGAAAAATCAGTGGCCGTCCTTATCCGTTATCTTATGACTCTCAGTCTTACACATACCATCAACCCCGTCTTGCAGGAAACGATCCACGATGATGAGTCTGTCGCGGCATACGCAGCACAATTATGGGTCTCCCTGATCCATTTACTTTCGGGTTGGACTTCAGCAAGAAATAAGGTCAACATCCCCACTTTCTGGAAGGTAGTTTCCGACGTTCTGGAAGGGAAAATCGCCAAGGTGACTAGACCGATCGAAGCAAGTGAACAGATTTGGGAGGTTGTGTTCAGTCTTTGCGCATTATCTCAATTTTCCATCCATGGAATGACGAAAGACACCGTTCATCTTACGCCATGTTGGGAGCTCATCACAGTTGCTATCGACAAGGTTCGGTTGGTCTTCACCAATGCTGACGCCAAACTTCCTGAGAGGATTCTGGAACAACGGGATCAATACGTCAAGGTTGTATTGACCCGTTGCTTGCATCTCCGAGATTGCTGGCGGTGGAACTTTGCTGACGCTATTCCCCTCTTGACCCAACTTGGAAAGATCTTTAGCAGTCGAATGTTTGGCAATCTCCGCTGTGAAAGACAACCCAACTTTCCTGTATTTGTGGTGGAAAATAACCTAGAGCTTCTCTCAAATTATCATCACAAGGACACCGCTTTCCTCGTGTTTTGGAAGCTCATCGTTCATGCCTATAGGGACGAAAAATTGGTCAATAATGGCAAGCTGTCTCCAAGGATGAAAAAACTTCTAGGCATTGCTGTGCCTGTCTCCGCATGTCCGACGGTAGCCCCTCCAAACAGGCAAGACCTTTCCATGCTATACAACAGAATGACTGCTGTCATCATTGCCTTGCATCTCGATCACACCCAGTGTGACGCTCAGATTTCCCGAGCTCGAAAATACGTCAACTTTTCCAAGGCGGAACCCGGCACACGGAATGTAATCATGCGCGGAATCATGCTTTGGGCCTTCATTATAATTAAAGACACACTTGAGATCACAGGCCTGATGGAATGGGTTGGGGAGATAGCCACGTGCTTATCTGAAGAGCTCCGTAACGTCGCCTCAGCTTTGAGGGAGGATCCCAGCCCGAGTGCCGAACGAGATCAGCTATGCATGACCGTCAAAATCCTGATCCATTGTGTGTACAAAATCATCGATGCTCAAAAGTCGGCCGGTCTGCCTCCTGATACTACATGGCTTTGTAAGTGCTTGATTGATGATTTTTCGTTCTGGCACTGAATCTTCATAGTGAACCTGACACCTATTTTTACTTCATGGATGGCTACGGGACACCATAGGAATTTTTACAAAGAGCTGTACAACCTGTCGCATACTTTCTTGCTTGCCAGAGCATCTGCCGTAATTCCATGGCGTTCTCGGCGGGTGGTGCAAGAGGTCGATCCAGAAAGCCAAGACATGTACGGGGATGATCTAGACGGCATTGATTGGGATGGTTTAGAGGTTCCAGATGCACTTGCAAGTAGCGCACCCACGAATTCGACCACGGCTAGCGATAACCTCAAAAACGTATGACATTCGACTTTACTCGCGCCACTAGCCTCTCACATTCTTTGTAGGTCATTTACAACTCACGCATAGAATGGCTATTCCACAGGCAAATTTGTGCTCTTCTCAAGTTTTCAGAACCCGAAACCACAGAATTCAACCTATTAACATGCAAAGGATGGATCTTTTGCTGGATTGGAATCAAAGCCATTGGGAATCAAGATCAACAAGTTAGTTGTTCATTGGTTTTGCGTTGGTTCTTATTCTCAAATTGCGATATCACAGGGTCGGATGTATATAGAGGAAATGTTCAAGAAGCTGGGTGAGGATCAGCAGATAAAGGACGACAACTGGCGGCGCGTTATCTTGGTAGCTTTGATGTTGTCAGTCCTACAACACCACCCAGAGACATACTTGGTGAGTGATCACCAGATTGCGTTCTTTGGCAGCCACCAAAACGAACAATCCATCAGACCTACAAAGATCGAGCTCTAGAATATCTTCTGTATAGCTTGGTGTCGGTTTTTTCGGAGATGGAGGGCGAATATGTTGCCTTGGTACTCTCCATTGACGGTCTCAACCACACACTTCTTAAAGGACTCGACGCATGTCTCCCAGCTCCCTCCTCGCCCTCGGCCGACTTCGAAATCACGCCTGCTCAATTTGGTGGAGTACGCCTGCCCCTCTTGAAAGGTTAACATCTTCTTAACCGCCACGTTACACGAGTCTCATCCTTTCATAAGGAATCCTGAAAAATTTAGGTTCCAGTCTTGAAACGCAAAGCTCTGGGGACGTTATGTCGGAACCAGAAAACCAGAAATACGTGGGTTTCTGCACAAGCATGTTTTCGGCGATGCGAAGTATTCGTGCCGTAAGTGCTCAGTCTTTTACATTTTTTCAAACTCAAACCACCATCGATATCTGCAGAGTCTAGCCCCAGGATCCTCAAAGCATCAAACATATACCACCCTTTGTAGACAGACGTCCGACGCGTTGAGAGAGTTTACAGCACTTCGCAGGGAGCCACGACTTGTTTTCTGGACGTCTTGGGGTGCCTCACTGACTTGAAGTCATTTAGTTTCCATATACCATCATTTTCTTCGCAATTGTACCATATCAGACATCTTGGCAACACTCAAGCAACCCTTTAGCATACCATCTTGGAGACATCTGTAACACGTACAGTCCTTACACTTCGTAGTGGCCCATTGAGTCGATCACTTCACTTCACCTCTCCTGAAGGCATAGAAGGTAAGTGGCTAGCCCATTCAAAAAAACCAAAAAGGTTCATACACACAGTCGGCTTTCCGTTACTCGTATCCTTTTCATCCTCCTCAGAATTAAGCTGCGCAGCTACCGTCATAAACCTGTACAACCCTCATCAGAACCAATGCCCATCAAACGTTTATACAAAACACAATACACACTTCGCTGCGTCCAATCCCGCAAACACTCTCATGGCGTGCAGATCCACCTGCAGATGTTCACACAAATCGGCCGTTTGACCGATGGCCCTTGACATCCTCCCCAGACTGCCCGCTAGCTGGGAATAGAGCCTCTCCTTTGCTTGAGTCGCGTTAGTTGGCGCGGTTCCCAAGTTCATGATGGGTGGGTAGTGAACGATCACATGACGTGGAGGCCTTCCACGGACTCCCAGACACCATACACGGCACCAGAGCCTCAAATCAAGGTCCGCCCTTCAGAACCGGTGAATACCGGCCATCAACATCTCCTGAATATCACATAGGAATGGGGGTGTAGTTGCGAGTTGGTTGCGAGTGCAGCGAGCAATCATTAACATTTAAACATTTACCCCCTACCCTCAAAATCTTAGATTTACTTTTATATCCCAATTTTTACGATTATTCTAGCGGTAAAGCAACATCAACATCGTGTCGACGAATATGCGCGTAAATGCTTCTTATATTGTGCAGTACGTACTACGGTATAGGTTGATCAGATCTCTGTAAAACTGTAATGTTTAGCTACCACACAACTCGGATGGCGAAGCGAGCCCCTCGCAGAATGCGGATACGTAATAATCGGTAGTGGCACCTGCACACAATTACAACGTTTAGGTGAGCAAAAAGGGTGCAAAGCAAGGAGAAAGTGTAAGCAAGGTAAAAAAAGTATGATAACAGGCCTAACTACACACATAATCATTGCAAGCCAGTAGATTACTGTACGTGGGGGAGCGGGATCACTTATTCCACAATTACTGACACTGAGGGGAATTCTGTAATTGTGTTAAATTAAAAAAGACCGTTTGGGCTGCGCAAGAATAGTGGGACACCACCCCCTGAAATCCATATTGTTAATCAGGGATGCCAAACTGCCGTTCGTCTCGGCCATCCTATCCAAGGCCGCCTGGTACTCACTATTCCCTGTTTTTGCCAATTGCTCGTAAAGCTCCGCGACAACCTCCATGCCAACCTCGGTGTCCGCACTGAAGGCCTTAGGAAACGGGTAGCAGGAGATATGATCGTTTGTGAAGTATAGTGTTTTACACCCTGGTTGACGTTCCGACGATGCCACTGCCTTGCTTCTGCTCAACAGGTTTTTGTCTGCCTCGTTTGAAGTAAAGTGAAGTTTTGTCTCCCATGTGTTGCCCTTGAGCTGACCACGCATGATGTCAGCTTCGAAAACAGTGACACTGGACACACAGGCTGAATAGCAAAAGTAGCCTAAAATTCTGACAGTAATCTCCATGTCCATCCTGGTCTTAGCGCCTAGAGTGCCATTTTCGGTGATCCTGTCCTGTGCCATCCTTGTCCTCTCTTCATAATTGTCCCTTGCGAGCAGCTCTTCAAAGAAAGATTGAAGTTCTTTGGAGCATTGGCCATGACCTGTTGGTGATTCTCTCGAAATTGGTTGATCGTCTTCTATGCATGTAATTTGCGCAAGGAAGGCAGGGCTGTGTCCTTCGGAGATTGCCTGGGAACATCAGGAAAACTCCAAACGTGTGGCTGGTCTGGAGCCAGACCGGCCAGACGCTTCCAGACCATCAGAATCTGAGTGGCAACATAATACCCTCCCGATGCCATAACACTTTTTTGCGTCATAATTTCATTCTGACCTCACAAACAGATCTGGCAATAGGTGATCACACATGTCAGACCCTGTCAGACTGTCCATAAGTTTTCTTCCATGTCAATTTTTACATAGCAGCAGGCAATAGAATGGTTATTAGAAGAGTACTTGGATTACAGAGATGTACTGGTATCTACTAGATGAGATGATGCGTAGGTAACGCCACACATGAATAAATGGACATGAGGGTATGCCCCATTCAGTTTGGGGGAGGGCAGGTGGAGGGGCACTCGTGCATCCGTCATCATGGTCTTTGCATTGTTGTGGTCGTCCACCACCGTTGTGGTCGTCTGTCATCGCCGCCACATCGCGTCCGTCTCTGTCGTCGTGCTGTCATGTGGCCATTGTTTTGTCATTGTCATGTCATGTTGTCTTCACCAAATGTAGCAGAGGGCGAGGCAGTGACGTGGCAGTCGTTGGCAGGTGTTACCTTGGCCGCTGGGTGGGTTGTGGCCATTAGACGGAGAAAGAGGGGGCTGGTTGAACTTACGACGTGATGTGCTTACCTGCACTACTGTGGACGGTGGTGACGGCATGCATCGTTGCTGTCTGGACGATGTGGCAAATCCGGACAGGACCGTTGACATGCCATGTCATCTGCTGGTGACGTGGCATTGGCATGTTGTTGCTGTCATGGTTGCTGTGTGCCGAGGTGGGTGTGGGTGGTTGATGATGGTAGTGGGTGGTGGCGGCTGTAGGAGGGGGGGTTGTTGTGGAAGACATGGCGCGCTGTGGCCGTGTTGTTGTTGTTGCTGAGCCTCGGGCGCGTGATGTGGCAGTCGATGTGTGGAATGTCGTTTAGCCCATGGTGGGCGCTCACGATGCGAGGTGGTGGTCACGTAGAGTGGGTGACGGGGATGGTGGTGGGAAGAGGAGAGTGTTTGTGTTTGTGTTTGGTTACGAGTTGGACCTCTCATCGAGGTCCATCAGAGTTTCAACGGACTTGAAGTTAAACGAATTGACCGGTTCATAATGCAGTTCTGGTGAGGTTCAGATTCTGAAAGAATATGATACAAATTAAATACTGAAAAAATTCTGACTTTGTGATGAAAGTATGGAAAGAAAATATTTCTGACAAGAAAACTTGCCACACCTGTCAGACAAGTCAGACGCACCAGACCTTCCACACGTGAAGAGTTTTCCTGATGAATAGAATGATTTGCCCAAGGCTGTGGGTGGGTCAGCCGAGGTTGGTGTCGTCGACCTCGACCTTGAGGATCCACCAGAAACAAAGTTCTCTTCCAAGACGGTCTCCTGCTCAACCATGACCTTGCGCTTGACCAAGTGCTGCCTGAAAGTGTGTTCCACTACATCGGCATGCTCGGTGGCTGGGTTGTCGTCCTCAACCATGGGGGGTGGGTCCTCGCCCTTACTTCCTGCATGCTCCTCCTCGGCCGTCGTAGCTTGATCTCCTTCCTCGATCGTGGAGACTGGGTTCTTGTTTTCCGCCACAGTGATGGGGGCATTGTCTTCAACCTTGTGCTCGACAGAGTCCCCATAGGTAACCTTGTGCTCAACTGCGAGCTCACCCCCAGCAGTGTCGCTGTCCTTGTTCTTCAAAACAGAGAGCAGGTCCTTGTCCTTGACTGCAACTATTATTTTTTCGGTTGTGCTGGCCTGCACGGCAGGTGTGGTGTATCGTGGTCTCTTTGAGTCGTTGGGCATAGTGTCAACATCCTCGTCTTCCTTTCTTGCTCATTTATGAGCCGACCCTGTTTGGGCAGCAGGAGGGAGTGAGTCACTCATTTCAATAGCACTGGATGTAATGGGAGGGAAGCAGGTTTATAAATTACATCAGGAAAACTCCAACCGTGTGACTGGTCTGGAGCCAGACCAGCCAGACGCTTCCAGACCATCAGAATCTGAGTGGCGACATAATACCCTCCCGATGCCATAACACTTTTTTGCGTCATAATTTCATTCTGACCTCACAAACAGATCTGGCAATAGGTGATCACACATGTCAGACCCTGTCAGACCATCCATAAGTTTTCTTCCATGTCAATTTTTACATAGCAGCAGGCAATAGAATGGTTATTAGAAGAGTACTTGGATTACAGAGATGTACTGGTATCTACTAGATGAGATGATGTGTAGGTAACACCACACATGAATAAATGGACATGAGGGTATGCCCCATTCAGTTTGGGGGAGGGCAGGTGGAGGGGCACTCGTGCATCTGTCATCATGGTCTTTGCATTGTTGTGGTCGTCCACCACTGTTGTGGTCGTCTGTCATCGCCGCCACATCGCGTCCGTCTCTGTCGTCGTGTCGTCATGTGGCCATTGTTTTGTCATTGTCATGTCATGTTGTCTTCACCAAATGTAGCAGAGGGCGAGGCGGTGACGTGGCAGTCGTTGGCAGGTGTTACCTTGGCCGCTGGGTGGGTTGTGGCCATTAGAAGGAGAAAGAGGGGGCTGGTTGAACTTACGACGTGATGTGCTTACCTGCACTACTGTGGATGGCGATGACAGCATGCGTCGTTGCCATCTGGACGACGTGGCAAATCTGGACAGGACCGTTGACATGCCACGTCATCTGCTGGTGACGTGGCATTGGCACATTGTTGCTGTCATGGTTGCTGTGTGCCGAGGTGGGTGTGGGCGGTTGATGATGGAGGACCCCTGAAAATGCTGCTAAATGGTAGATACTGATCCAGACAAAAAAATTCGAAATGGGGGTGCTAGGCTAGAGACAAACCAGACAAGTTTTCGAAAAAATCAGCAAAATGCTAGATACGAAATCCGGACAGGTTCTTGAGGAGAATGACAGGCTAGATACCATCCAGACATACATGGTCGCATAGTGCAACGGAAAAATGTAGGTAATTTTTGCAGTCAGCCGTGTGGTCGGTGGTTCGAACCTTGCGCTGCAGGAAAAAAATTGGCCCTGAATAGGCTAGATACAAAGTCCGGACAAATTTTTGAAATTTGGTTTACACCAGATAAAATCCGGACAGACTTCGCCAAAATTGGTATGGACAAGAATCTGAAAATCATTGATTTTAGTATCTATCATTTGGCAGTATTTTCAGGGGTCCTGACGATGGTAGTGGGCGGTGGTGGCTGTAGGAGGGGGGGGTCGTCATGGAAGACGTGGCACGCCGTGGCCGTGTTGTTGTTGTTGCTGAGCCTCGGGTGCGTGATGTGGCAGTTGATGTGTAGAATGTTGTTTAGCCCATGGTGGGCACTCACAATGCGAGGTGGTGGTCATGTAGAGTGGGTGACAGGGATGGTGGTGGGAAGAGGAGAGTGTTTGTGTTTGTGTTTGGTTACGAGTTGGACCTCTCATCGAGGTCCATCAGAGTTTCAACGGACTTGAAGTTAAACGAATTGACCGGTTCATAATGCAGTTCTGGTGAGGTTCAGATTCTGAAAGAATATGATACAAATTAAATACTGAAAAAATTCTGACTTTGTGATGAAAGTATGGAAAGAAAATATTTCTGACAAGAAAACTTGCCACACCTGTCAGACAAGTCAGATGCACCAGACCTTCCACACGTGAAGAGTTTTCCTGATGTATATCAATCCTGCCCAAGGTGGCTGACCTCAAACTCGAACGCACCTTCCACAAGCCCCTATCACAGGCAACTTATCGGCACAGGTGAAATGCACGTTGAGATGACATGGCAGTTGGTGGACGATCAGTCATCCTTGACGTCCTTGCTTAATGCCAGGTGATACCACATATACACTAGCTCATGGTTGAATCTGTCCAGCGAGCTTCATCATCTAGAGAAGCTGAGGATCGAAGGCAGTTCTGTAAAAGTGAAGATGATCTTCTCCAGGCCTTTGTAGTTCTCTTCTAGTTAATCAACTGTTTTTTATTTCTCATCCGTCAAATGGGCAGCGACCTCCCTGAGTAAACTGCGAGAGGGTCAATGATTATGCAAATGATAAAAGCAAATTGCCGCTCATTTCTTCTTGGATTTGAGGTGTTCGGCCCACTCCAAATCCACCACATTGTCCACGGCTGATGCAAAAGGGAAATAAACGAGCAAGAAGGCCTTCACAACAGAATGAGTGCTAGCCTGTACATATGTTGTAAGTGAGCGGTGTCCGAGGTCGAAGCTCCAATAAACTTACAGGCACATACTTGTTATCCATCTGAGTTGCAATGTTGTTGATAAGACCCGTCAAGCCAGTTACCATCTTGTCTTCCGGCGCCCTATGGCAAGAAAAAAATATTAGAAACATCTGGAGGGAAGTGCAGTGGATACTTGCACATCGAAAATTGAATCATCTCGCAATTTGTGGGCAGGCCCTTTGACGTGGTCCTAAACTCCCCTAATCATGTCGATGTCATCTGCCTTCAGAAATTCCAAAGGGCCGGTTTCCAAGCTGTTCTTGAGAGGGTCCGACCGTTACGACGAGTTCGGTCAATCCAAACCTCTAACGCGACTTAGTGTGTTAGCTTGCATTCATCAGACCTAAGTCTCCCCACGATAGTGACTGTGATCTGCCAATCGGTCGCCCACCTCTCAACGGATGCGACTGACTTTGGAACGTCTGCCGCTGTGCGGTGGAGAAGGCGCGATGACCGGTCTCCGATATTATACACATAGTCAAGTAACAACCTGGTAGCCAGAAAGGTCAGCTTTCCATCTGCATGCAGTCGGTGCGTGCACCTCACCTTTCCAACAGAGGGATTGCTTCCGTATACGCCTTGAACTTCGTCCACTCTGGTTCTAGCCTTTTCCATTTCTTCTTGATATCCTGAATAAGCTGTTGAATCCCATTAGACGTCGTTTGCTTTGAGGACGATTTAGTGCGCTTGAATGCAGCTTCAGCATTGATATGTGTGAGCAATAGTTTAATCACCTCAGTGGCAGGATCGCCATCAGTGACAGTGATAACCGACATCGTGAAAACTTGGTTGGAGAGTGGGCCTCAAAAGCAAGATTATTGGCGGAATGGAGTGAGGGTTGATCGAGTCAAGTGAACAAAGACCTTTCAGTCACTTTTTGAAAACAATACACGTGCTTGTGAAACCATGCTGCTCGTTCGTTCAGAAAACGTGTCTCATCTCCAGCCAAACAGAGCCCTGCTAGCTTCTTTGCGCAGGGCGAATTGCCGTTTTAGTGAGGGGGACTAAACGTTCAGACGTATATGTTGTGAAGACTGAGTCTGGGATGAGCAACTTGTTTCAATGCAAATGATTGACCATGATGCAAGGAGGAGGCTGACAAGGACCGTAGCAAGGTATGCTGTCAATGCCAATTCGTGTGTCTTCATTTTCGCTTTGTGAGGTTTCACTATGGAAAGCTCCAAGACAGGCAAGGCACTTCTTCCCCAAGGGGTGTCTTACGGTCCTTCATACCCACATCGCAGATTCACTTCCGACAATGATACCAAGGGGGCGGACTTAACCCTTTATGAGATGCTGTCAATACAGCATCAAGGTCCCAATCTTCACATTGAATCTCATTGGAAGCGACGGACAGATTTGCCTTTAGGCTATGATCGGGACATTAATTTGCAAAAGAAAACAAAAAGCATATAATAATCAATGTGGCGCCTATGAATGCATCATGTTAGCTACTATTTCAGGTTTATCGGAAAGAGGAAACACACTGATGGAAGTCTCAACATACATAAGGAAAAGCCATGGCAGCTTCCAATTCCTGAACGAATGGGCTGTATGTTCAAAGATTACGTATTGTGGTTAGCCGAGGCGATGAATTTGAACAAGTATCTGCACCAATCAGTGAGTGTGGATAAAAAAAGATCCTCGTCATGAAAAATTTGCTGCCCCCGTTGCTGAGGGGGAAGAGAGCAGGACCTGCTCCCTCTTGGGGTGTGACTATGCATGCTTAGCAAATGTGAAGCTGACTAGGAGGCCTCATTCACAGCCCAAAGAATGATTATGCCCTGAAGGGAAGAAGCTTGAGCTGATGCACATGGGGCTTCCCAGTGAAAGCTATTGATGGGGAGGCGATGTGCCAGTCATTGACATGGTAGAAATGCATGACAGTCTGTGACGAACACACAAAACCAAACAGAGTTTTCGAAACTTCGTTGTGCAGACGGGATGAGGGAGATTGACTGTCATCACCATCATCATAGGAGTTGCCTACAGGAGACTAGGGCAAAGCCAAAGAATCTGGGAATTGGAAAAAACGCCGTCCTTGCACAGCGGCAACAACCGAAAATGTCACGTGCTCCATCTCCTCCTCCAATTCTCCTGACCTGCACAGATTATCTCCCATCGATGTGCTGGCCGTCTTGCCGCCGTTACTTCCATGCGAGCCCTAGTGGTTATCGCGAAACCGCTCTGGTCGTTCGCCCCTCGCCGGTGTGGTGAGGCGGCTGGCGCAGAAACCTTGCGAGACAAAAATGCTTGACACCTTATTCATTGAGTTGTTCAGAACCAAAAAAAAATGCAGAATAAGCTCTATTTGACGTGTAAGGATCAAATCAACCCATTTTGTAAGATTTTCAAGCTATAAAGGGGTTGGGGCGGCAAAGATCGTTTTTGAGGTGGCTGACAAGCCTTAGATATTTTGAATATTAAAATACATACATCATTCAGGCTACATTTTGAAGGACTTGTACCTACAACTGCAAGAGCTTTCAAACTACGCATTGGGGATGAAGAAAAGGTAATGAAGTTTCTCGCCGCAATCTCGCCATGTTTGCGTCGTGTGGATCGCGAACGCGATCACGTGCGGCCACTTGGTCAGCAAGTCACGCAGCCTCGGGATCGGCCGCCGTTCTTTGATGGCGTTCTGCACGGCGTTCTTGGCTCATGTCTTATGTCTGGAGGTGATCTTGAAAAAAAAACTTTTTTCAAGTTGAGGGTTCGAACTTATGACCTCGGGCATTTGGCCGAGGTCGTGTCAACCACTGTACGACATAACCACTCAACCACATGCCTGTTCATACCTGGTAGCATCACTCTTAATATACCTCGTTATGGTGCTGCATCTAGACAACATAAAATGACATTTCATTCCAAGTGCTGTCTACACCCAAATTAATTTGCATAAATTCACATAAATTCTCAAAATATTTCGGCACAATATAATACACAAATTTATCTCATTGATTCTCCATGTACACCTGTCATTACACAGGTGCACCATTTTCTGTTTCCAGATCCTTTGCAACTGTTGTCAATAGTGGAGAATGCTTATTTATTTACTATGGATAGTACAGGAATCAAACGTAAGACTAGACAGAAGATCAGTAAGTACTCGCATACAACTGGTAGCGGAAGTAGGGTAGCGGAGGTAGGGCTATAGTGGCTTGTAGAAATAGGCATGGGGCTAATTATGTTGTTCATGATGTCTGCGATGGCGATGGTGATGGCGGATCATTAAGTCAACGGAGATGCGTCAACGGAGATGCGTCAACGGAGATGCACAGGTGCATCCCCGTCGACCATCGATTATGCGTGTACACACGGGTGGCTACGTCGATGGCGATGGGAATGTGATCGAAGGGTGGATGTTGTATTTTCACGCGTGAACAAAGTTGATGGGGATGCGCCTGCATGCTTGCACATGCAGTTTGATGGGCAGCAACATAGTTGGCAATGGGAATGTGATTGAGGGGCGAGGGTGATGGTATCCGCAGCGTTTGCGATGGTAAAGGTCTTGGTGATGGGCATGTGCACGTCATCCGACGCGCACATGCCAAGCGACAGGCGCAGGTCGGGCGGCGTGTTAGGTGATAGCAGATAGATGTAGGGTGACGTGGTTGGTGCATCAAACGGGCTAGAGTGGGTGCCGTTACAAAGCCTGTAGAGATAAAAACATGTTAGAAAAAGTGGATGCGAGGAAAGCAGAAAAGTCTGCTTTCCCCGGGTAGCGTACGCACCTGAATGACCCCGCAAAGCCTTGTCCTCAACACGCGACCTACTCCGCTCGTGCCCGCCCAACCACCTCGCATGTCGATGCGTCGAGATCTTGACAGATATTCGTTGAGGCGATGTTGAGATCTTGGCGGCGGTCGTCTTGCACCTGGCGAGTCGGAAGTCGAGCTAGTGAGCGGGGTATGTGTAGAACATGGAAAGCAAACAAAACGCGGGCAGTATCCAGATACCGCCCGTGTTTTGAGAGAGCGTTGAAGAGCCAAAGTGCTCTTCAACGCTCTCTCCGTTGATTACATGTGACGTTACATTTGTGACGTTTGCCTTAACGGGTACATCCGCATATGTACATAAACTTATGTCTATATATGTACATAAGCCACCTCCAGACACCGCATATGAGCCGCGTTCTTTCCATCGGCAAAGCACTGTACCACTATTAGACTCCAAGATACAAGCTGAAGAAAAATATCAGTAAGTAGGTACAACATTACTAACTTGACAGTCTCCATGAGTCCATATACTCACTCACAATTTGTGTCGGTCGTTCTATTTTCCTGCTTCCTACACAAGAAATGGACATCAGTCGTAACGACTCGGATATAGCACTGCAGTCTGCGGTACGACAAAACACAACGCAAAACACTCCACAACCCCGCTCAGACAACAATGGGAAATTAAGCATGAGTTTTTCGCGATACTGTTCTGTTTCCTCTTCAGTAAGGCACTTTGTCGCTTTGATGAACAGTACTATTTCTGCCTTCTGCAAGTGCATAAATTTATGCGTGGAAGCGAGGCAGGTGTCCAACTCCATCCAGTGTCTCTTCCCAGGCTCCGTGGTGAAGCTCTCTATTGTTCGATACTCGGAAAGTTGTATTCCAATTTCAATGAATTCGATTGCATTACCTGGTGTAGCGAGGTTCAACACCTGCGGGGTGTTCCCTATGTTACCCGTTATATAAGTTGGTTCCAGAGCAATTGACAAGCGACGGAGTAGAGGGAAGACAGAGATGTCGAGGCAAAGCGGTCGTTTAGGAACTGTTTGTAGAGAAGGGCTATTCAGAAAAGATATCAAAAGAAGAGAGAGGATGGCCATACAACTTGGATGCCAATGCCACTGAAAAGACTCCAATGTATCTTTGCTTTGAAGCGCAACGTTCCATGGATCGATGCCCCGGTCTTTTCTGCGCCAGGGCATGCTGGAGGGGGCGAACAAGAAGTGGCAAGCTCGGAGTCGAGATAGATCAAGCCCGGATGTAGGACTCAAACTCAGCGCGACAAGCTCATGAAATATTGACTTATGACATGAGAAAAACGAAATACTTTCAAGCCGACACTTCCTCAAGTAAGGCCTCCCATCACCATCCTCTCCCCCGTTTTTTCCTGTCCTTAAGAAGGAATCAACCAGTTTTAGATGCTGAAGGTTCGTGAAATGTTGGAAAAATACGTCGTCCATCCTTTTAATCCCCCGAAGCTCTAGATTCCTCAGACTCGGGGATGAGAAGAGGGTGAGCAAAGATGGACGAAGAGCCGTAGGAAATGTTACGAGGTCATCACTACCATTGTGGATTGTCAAGGATCTTAGATTGACGATCAAGGACAAGGTAGATGGCAATGTTGCATCCTTCTCTAGCTGGTAGTCGTAATCTTCATTTTGACCCATTGAGAACCCCTTTCCAAATCGTAGGCATAAGGAGCGTATAGCACTGGCTAGGGATGAACCGTTTGCACCGGATGTCAAAAGAGCCTCGCGGAAGGCAGCGTATTTTCTATACAGAGCTTCCCCAGTAGGTGCGCCGAGTGCGACGAACCGAAAAAGGACTCTGCGCGCAAGGGAGGACAATCGCATATCAGTGAGAGAACATGAGAGAAGGGAGGAGGTGTCATCCTTTAGATAAGATAGGATAGACTGGATGAGCTCCGTTGGTAAAGGCACTAGTCGTGGTGGTGGGGCATCAGGAAAATCACATCACGTGTGGCACGTGTGGCACCACGCTTCTCATTCAAACCACGCTCAGCCACACTCTCACAAACAAGGATGGGGACATTATACTTGCGGTGGCGACTGACCCACCACAATCCTGCCACAATCTTGTCACAATTCCATTTTGGGGCCACAAACCTAGCTTCTGAACTATTACACCACACTGCCCAATCAATGCCACACGAAAAATCACTTTTTTGTATTCCTATATACATACTACGTACAGAAACACATGTAAATACTGAGTACTGATGTAGAAAGCAATTCAACGACCTTCAACCATCCATCCACCCGTGTTCCCAACAACCGACTTTTCCCAAGATGTTTGATGTTGTCGACGTCCAAGCTGCTGGTGCCCAATCACGGTAAGCGATCACGAAACGGCTCAATCCATCGTCAACGACTTACCAGATTATCTCGTCACGTCAGCCATCGTACTATGTGCACCGACGCTGATGTCTTCGCGTACATTCCAAGTCGATTGGGTAGCAAATGCAAAACATCATCAGTGTGGGTTGGGACAAATGTGGAACGGCAGATACTTACCATCGTGTCTTAAATACACAACAGTGAACGACATTCGTCGTTCGGCTACCACGTCCCTGACAGCGACATGACACCTGGGTTCTGTGTTAGAACGATGAGTGGGGTGCCTTACCTTGGCTCGTCGTAGTCTGCTTCCGTTCATGGGTGTTGGTCATCCTTCGCGTGGATGGTCGTGGTCGAATTTGGCTGATGCTGCTTCGCCTCGGTTGGTGGCCTCGGTTTGTGGGCAATCCTGCTTTGCCGTTGGCGTTGGCTGTAGTTGAGGGCATCGTTGGAGGTGGTGTGGCATGGCATTGCCACGTCGTTATTGGGGGGGATTGATTGGGGCCGGTCATATGATGGTTGTTGTTGGCTACATCGCCGTCAGCGACGTGGCATACCTAGACAAGTGTGAGTATGATTGTGCATAGCGTTGTAGAGATAAAGCACCTTGGTCATGAAGAATCTGGCGATGACCTGCTTCTCTTGTCAAAAAAGGAGAGGTGAGGGAAGTCAGATGGCTCACCTAGTTGCCCGTCGTTTGTTATAACGTTGGTCCGTTCTTGGTTGCCGCGTCACCGACAGCAATGTCGCCCCCTGAGTCTGGTATTAAAAGAGGAGAAAGGGACGGGGTTTGAGTAGCTGACCTCGATAACACGGACAGTGACAACGACGTGCGTCATCACCGTCTGGTCGACGTGGCACGTCCGTTGATGTGCCAGGTCATTGTTGTTGTCGTTGGGTAGGTCGTTGTTGTTGTCATTGGTGTGCAGTGGTGGTTGAGAGCGGGTTACCGAACGTAGTGGTTGATGGTGGCGGCGACGCAGCGGAGGGGGACTGGAAGACCTTGAGGAGGAGGGAGCTTGGCGGGAAGAGTCGGAGAGTGGAGGAAAAGTTCACAAGTCCAAAATTTTCCAAGTTCGGACGTTCAACATGTCGCGTGATCGATACTTACACATGCGACAACAAATCTGTGGCGTGAACGATTATTGTGACGCGCGTGGCTCAATTTATCCGGAGATCAAAATCATGGCGGTGTGGTGCCAGATCCATCACTCCGGCCACACTCTGCCACGCAATCACGACCTGCCACAGATTTGTGATTTTCCTGATGGGGCTTGAACTTGTCATCCTGTATGTCAGGGCAATGACGCAAGGTTGAACCTTTCGAGTCTTTTAGATCCGTGTTACTCTTGCGTGGAAAGCTTTCCCAAACCGATCCAGCTTGATAGCTGGGGCTGGAAATATGTTTTAAAGGCATCAGTGTCAACGGGTACAAAGTCACAGTCAGAAAGTGGAGGGCGCCATGCAGTTTCACTGTTTCAGGCAGGTTTCAGGAGGTTGTCCTCCTTTCTCACAGCCTGTCATGATGTCTCGCCCGTTGAGGTTAATACCATCAAGTTCGAGTCTGAAATGCTGGCACCCTCTCCTTGCACCGACCCACGCAATTTCCCCACCCATAAAGAATCCGACAGACTGGTGGGTGGAAGCGGTTGGAAGAAAGCCTTCACCAGGCACTCAATTGATGGGTTGACATGGATGACAATTGACCGCATGAAATTTCGTGCCAGGAGTATTTCCAGATTGTCAGAGGGGTATTTCACAGTCAAGATAGTCCGTCCCGGATTTATTCACATTGAAGAGACCGAGGATGAGACGGAGTGGACCGTCGAGGATATCTTCAAGTTGCCCGGGGGATATAGAGTTGGAGGTGGCTTGGATGGGCAAAGAATAAAGCTGGACGAGGCTGTCTGAGGAGAAGGATTTGGACAGTACATAAATATTAAATTCGGACGTCCACGCTCAAAGAATTTATCGATTGATAAAAACATTTTCATTTGTATTGGTTACACCACTGCTCAACGTCTAAATAAAAGTGACCATACGTCTACTAGCAGATGGGAGCAAATTTTGGTCTTGGTCTCGGAGCTGGATGGTAGGAGGAAGATGCTTGGGGGCACAGAATACATATTGTAACAGCATTCAATCAAGTGGGGAAGTGAGAGCGAGATAATAGTTGGGTCGTCATTGGGTTGGGATGGGATGGATGATATTTTGGTGTCAACAAGAAAAAAAAGAAGTAGAAAAGAAAGTCTTTAAGAACTATAACATGATGCTTTGAATGCGAGATGCTTGCTGGGAATGGAATGGGATGGTAATAAGAAAGGGAAAAAATGATAGAGACAGAGAAACAAATCCCAGATGGAGGGATGTAAAACAGGAAACAGTTGCGCGATACAGCGTTTTGTTTAAACAAAACAGGGAGAGGAGGATCATAATGCACACGTTGGAGCAGAGGAGAGCCAAAGAGAGAGAAGAGAGAAAGATTGACGGTTTGTAACGCCTTTTATAATACTCTGAGTCCAGGCGTAGGATCAGATCGATTCACATAACGCCTCATGACGAGGCTTGGCCACTCCGCAGAGGTTGCCCAGATTGCGACGGTTCACAAATTCAAAGGTGGAACAGAGCTCAAGAAACTAGACCTCTGCGCCGAACTCGAGCTCCTACTCTTCAAGTTCGGATGATGATGGTGAGAGTGGTATTGATGGTTCTGATGCGGCCGCTGGACAGGTCCAAAGCCCTTCCGTTTAAGCTTCCGCTCCCGGCGAAGCTCCTTGCGCGTTTTATGCGGATACTTGTTGTGCTGATTGTCGTTGTTAGTGTGGTTGTGGTGGCCCCCAGTATAGCCGGTCGGCGTGCGATCACCGTCCCCGCGGGGAAGAATCATGGGCGACAAAGCGGATGGAACGATAGCGCCTCGTTTTCGAGACTTGCCCTTCCCATTGGTGGTGGTAGTGCTGTTGTTAGGCCACAGCATAGCGCTGAGCGGGCTCGATTTCATGATACTGCTGTAATTTGCACTGGTTCCGGAAGTATGGCGGGCATCCGGAGACGAGCCCCACTCGCCATCGAAGCCGTTCTCCCGAGTTTGTCTGAACGCACCAACGGAAATGAGGTCCCAGCGAGAGAGGTTCTTCAAGTGCTTGCGAGAATCGCCCGTTGCAGCCTCAGCCACCGTCTGTGGGTTGGTCAAAGTGCTCTGATCTGCCGGGTCGGGATCCAAGAACGACGCTTCGAGTACATCATCAAGGCCAATAGGTTCAGCTGCTGGCATCCCAGGTGATGAAGGTGCAGCACCACCGAGTTCTTCCGAGGGGACAAGTCTCAATGGGGCATGGTCAGCAGTAGCTACGAATGTATGCCTCGAGGACAACAGGTGCCTCCGTAGTAGATGCTCGACCTATAGATAGGCATGAGATGCTGATACAGAAATGAAAGGCGAGCAATGATACATACTACATTGACTCGCCTACCACGACCACGACCACTAAACCTTGGATGGGGAGAGGGTATGTCCGTGTGTGAGTCATCAATGATGGCCTGGCGAGTTTCCTGAACAGGCGAGAATGCTCCCTTTCTGGGTCCATTGCCTCTCGATGAAGAAAAGCTGCCACACCTCGACCTACCACCATCTTCAAAATCATCATGCTCATCGGAATCCCAGAACACTTTCCCGGCAAGGATATCAGCAGGCTTGGGTGAATCTAATGAGGTCTGAGGCGCGAATGGGACGCGATGGCGAGGTCCAGGACTGACAGAGGGGCTGACGGTAGACAGGGGGTTGATCGCAGACACGCTGAAAGGAAGGTGGAAAAGCCTCATGGCACGCTCGTTTGGAAGGTCATCTTCGCCAACCAGCTCTTCATCAGTGGTATCTCCCTCTCCCTCACCACCATCTTCCTCGTATCCGCCATCATCGACGTCGCTTGTGGACATCTCGACATCGCTGTCTTGGCTAGGAGGGGGGCTGGACGTCTCGACAACGAACTGAGAGGCATTGACTTCAAAATCAATGTCAACGATGCCTTGGCTATCACTAAGCCCGTTGGTGAACACGAGCTGGCCATCCCAACCCTCGGTGACCTCAAAGGGAAGGTTCTCCAGCTCCTCGCGCATGTGCAATAGCTCCGCCTCCATCGAGTCCTGCGATGAAGCATCGGACTGATCGCCATCGTCGCCACCACCACCCTCCGCAGACGAGGACGAGTCACAATCTGATCCAGAAAGATTGGCAAAGAAAAGGTCGGCATCAAAACTAGATTCATCGTCCTCTGACCAGCCGGTAGCAAGCCCAACGTAGCCTGCACCGGTACCTCTCCCATCTGTCTCTTCCTCTTCCTCGTCCATCTCCTCCGCTTGCTGTTCTTCATCTTCATCCTCCGTTGCATCGCTGTCAACGTCCATCTCAGCGTCGCTGAGACCAACGCTCTTCTTACGGGGCTTGATGATCCAGTCGTTGTGCGCGTTCCTTCGTTGAACATCTTCGCCCAAAAGCTCGCGGCGAAAGCGAGTTTTGTCTCTGACCTCAGACAATATAAAAGTCTCTTCCTCAGCCTCGATTGAAGAGTCCGTGTCAAAGTCAGACAACGACGATGAGGAGTCGTCAGACGACATGGAAGATAATGCAGAGGCGGAGAGAAACGTCGGGAACTGGACGGACTCTGCGTCTTCATCGTCGTCAGGATCATAAGGGTTGTGGCGATCACTCATATCATCGGACGATTCGCTGGTGATGGTGCGCCTTCGCTTCTTGGTCGCACCTACAGGCTTCTTCGCGATCATGCCTTTGTCCTTGAGGCTCTTGTGGAGTTTTAATTTCTTCTGTGTACCAAGGAGGGCTGATTTGGACGGTTGTTTTGGAGGGGGTCGGGCGGCGAGGGTCTTTGGAGGGCGGCCTCTCTTTTTTGGAAGGAGGGTGTTGGGGGTTAGAGGGCGAGAAGGGCCGGGGATGGGATGGAGGGAGTGTGAGTGTTCTCCGCCGTTTGCGATGGCGGACGTCGTCCCTGCGGGATTCTTTGATTTGTTGGCTAGCAAGGCTCGTCTCTTGCCGAGCAAGCTGGGTGGAACGGTGAATTTTATCTTTAGAGAGGGCAGGGCAGGTTTTGAAGGAGGGGGAGTGGGGGCCGAAATAGGCATAGATGCAGAGGTAGATCTGGCGTATTGCAGACTGAGTTCTGCCATGGAGAGAGGTGCTGATGACCTCGGTTTGTTGTCGCAGGTGCATTCCCCATCGCAGACGGGACATATGTCGTTGTCGTCCTCGTCGTCTTGATTTTGATTTGTCAAGAAGGGGTCTACGGTATAGGGATAAGAAGGCGACATTGGGAGAGCCGTTTGTTTTGGATGTTGCACTAATATACGAGGATGCAGCATGTCAGTAACAGGGTCGCTTGGCATGATTAGAAAGACGTAAAAACTCCAACATATGGATCGTAGAGTACGGTTAGTCGCAGAGCAGCAAAACAATGCGCTGCGGTGATGTTCGGTACCGGTGGAGTTACTCACTATTGAAACGATTCTTGTGCATTTTTTTGTGATACAAAACATGGGGTGTCCAGGATTGCAACGAAGGGGAATTATTGAAGGAATGTATGTGGCTCTGTCGTAAAGCCACAGAGACAACCTGATCTTGGTTTTGGCAGCAAGGGCTGTCGTTGGTGGTGGGAGGAGGGAATCAACTTTTGATCCCTCAAATTCGAAAACTTGTGCAAAGTCCCCATTTAGACATGAGATAACCCGCCACTAAATAAATAAAAATGACACCGTGCTTCTTCATTTTTTGGTCTTGTGACAAAGGGACTGTGCCAGGTCTGCCCTCGATCTACCTGATATACTCTCAGATACTTGTCTTCTCTCAGCCCTGAATATTCCCGAATCTCACCCGTTTTCTCCTCATGTCTGTCAAGAACAAATCGCCTCGCTGCATTGTACTGCTTTCTCCTTCCATCTTCTGTCTCATGACCATTCCAATCCGCGACACGATGCGCCCCTATTCTCAGTGCATCAACTCTTGACACCCGCGTCTGAGTCCTTGACACATTCCTTGTCAACCTTTCGGTCCTCGACGTTTAAACGGCTCCATAAGCCCGCTCTTAAACTATGAGCCTATCTTCCTCGAGTGCTCTATTACAACGACGCGTTTAGATGAGGTTCACGGACCTTGAGTAACTGCAGCGCTCGCTTACGAGAATCACCCTGAACAGGTACACGGACAGGGCTTCATAGGTCCATTATAAAGTGCCTACAAACGCTGTTGGCCCATTGCTACTGCTAGTCACACCATGTCCTCTCCGCCCCTCCCTACTAATACTTCCTCAAACCCACCTGCACACCCAATCCTAGCCACCTTTGACCCATTTGTCACTCACCCTTTCACGAGTTATTCCACCAAGAGTTCTCAATACACTTCCGTAGAGTCACACTCCCATGGCATACCACATGGCCAACTCTATAGCAATACACCTCCATCGCCCCAAAAGCTAAAAACACACCCGTCTTCCTCTTCTCCAGCTACCCCAGCAAAAGTGCCTCCATCGACATCGACACAACGCCCCTCGATATTCGTCCCCTTCTACCAAGAACGCTCCTCCTCCCCAGACGACCTTTCCTCAATCCTAAAACAAAACCGAAGAACATACCAATTTTAAATCTACCGGTGCCTCGTGGTTTCCGGCTTGCAATAAGCTTGGGCCCCAGTCTTCAAATTTGTCTCACTTGGTACGCTCTATTTCCCCATCCCGCGACGTTACAATTGGTCTGATCTATGATTCTCTTTTTCCGTCGCAGATATCAGCACAACTTCGAATTCGCAATGCTGGGCCATGCACAGTGGGCTTACTTTTCGTCACGTTTTGCGGGGAATTCAATACATCAACGGACGGACGATACGGAACTTAAAGATTGTAGATAGTGTCATGATGGTGTCAATCCCATCAAGTGGCTGAGAGTCGGGACGGAGATGAAATCTAGATACACGCGCTCCTAGAGTTATGCATGTTCAACGTCTGACTCACGAGACACGCAGTACTAATAGCCTTACAAGATCGGATCATGTTCTAGTTATTTAGCGACACGCTCGCGACATAGATATCTAGATTCTTCATGACTTTCAGGCTGATGCGTTTAACGACTTGAACATCCTCAGCTTCTTTCTTCCACGAAAAGCCTCAGCAAGCCTACGTATAAGCCCCAATCCGCATTCGATCATCGGATAATCTTGGCGGCAAAAAAAAAAAACATATCCGAGTAATCACCTGAAACTTCATCGAATCGTCGACCGCGTCCATGTTCAGTGAAATCAACAACTTTGGTTATCTTTTACATATACTTTACACCGTGTCTAAAAATAGACTCTACATCTCAAAGGCTCATTTAGGACGCACACGTGACACAAGGGCAATTAACCCGGTGAACGGTGATGCATTGATCCGATAGCGGTCTCGATTTATTTCTACTCGCTGACTAGTTTATTTTGACGTTCTCTCCTGTCTTGTTCATGAATAAAAATGATATTATTCCGTCCCGAGTCGTGCAGAAGCGAAGGTTGTTCAATCTAGTAAATGAAAGAGTTGTGGTGAACGGTTACGATGACATGACATACTCCCACTCTCAAGTCATGATGTGCGCACACAATATCATTCCGGATTTGAAAGAGCGTAAACCCCTGGCTAGATCTGGTTATATTCCCTGAGAACACCTTAGATTCTTTCTGGCACACAGTCCTTTTCTGTGACTCTCAATATACAACGCGCAGAGGAAGCATGCTTGAGAAAACATTGAAAGGTCTCCGACATCCGACACCATCGCCCAGGGCCGGCGAGATGGACATTCATACGTACAAATGTGATAGAACGATCGCTGGGCCGTGGTTACTCGTTTTCAACTGTCGTTATCATCAGCATGAGTGGATAACTGGCAAAAGTCATAAAATTCACTATCGATCCGAGAAGCTGAGGTCACAAGCTGTCGGAATCATCAAAAAAGCTGAGCTTGGTCGAGAGTCGAGGCCTGTTTCAAAGATGACAGAACTCCCCGTGGAACAAACACAGCAACGGAAGCATCGAGCTTGCGTTGTACACCCTGAGAAATCGATGGCATTACCGAGACAGCCCCTGCAGGTGACACTTTAACCTCCATGATAGGGCTCAGAGCTGTCGAACGTCTTGAAGCCATTGGAAAAAACGCATCGGCCTTAACAGATAACTTTCTGACCCCAGATCTCGTATTGCTGTCAATAGAAGTAGTTGCTAATGGCTGCGATTGGAGTTTTGTGCCCACGGCTGCAGATATACGAGCATCGGATGGTTCATGGTTTGAACAACGGGATTTTTCACAATTTTCGGCCGATTCCCCAAAGGGGGGATAAGCCAAAGAGGAACAGAGGGCCGAACAATCAAAAACCACGTCATCTTTTTGAGAGGTTGTTGGCGGTGATACTGGTGTTGGTAGATGAGATTGAAGAATGTCACAAATGTTTGATGGGGGTGTAACAGAAGGGATATCGATGTTCAAAATATTACGGTTGAACCCAGCTGAAGGAATAAATGCTGGTGAAGTTGGCTTGAGACGCAAGGGAACCGGTCGAGGCCGGATCTGGGTCTCTGGTAGCCGACCATTAACCTTAAACGGCAGTCCAGGAGTCAAAATTGGGGTTCTGAAGAGAGTCGACGTACTGAGAGGACTCACCGTTTGAAAAGAATGCGTCGACTCTTCCCCTGTAACTGGGTTGGAAGAATTCTTAGACGGTTCAAGTAAGGATTCGGCGGTCGTGAGTGGTAACACAGCCACACATGGTGCACATGGTGCAAATGGTATTGCATGTGGATTTAAAGGCGATGGCGAGGGACTAATAGGTGTCGCCAGTCCATGAGTATAACGGACATTCCAGAAATCCAGATGCAGAGGGGAAGGTGTCGAAGGAGATCCCCTGGGAGACCCTTTGTCATTCAAATCATGGCTTTCTCGAAGCTCAGGACAAAGACTCCCAAGCGCACTTGATTCACGAGTGTCTCGGAAGTCTGGAGTTCCTACCCCCTCCTCGATAGATGGGGTAAAAGAGTCAACGACAGCATCTCCCGTCGCAGAATTACTGAGCTCTTTCTCGAGCCAGACCCTCGCGTTAAGGATGTTTTCATTGTCTACGATAAGTTGACGACCTTCGTCGGCGACTGTTGATCTAGATTCTTCGAGGGAGATACGAGCCCCTCGTAAGGCGTTCTTGATCTCCCGAATTTTCATTCTTTCGGTTAATTCTGGCGCCCGCGCTTTGGCAACCAACGCCCACATGTTTTTTTCCTCGGTTGACCATACCCCCGAAGGAGGTAGGGCAGGCCATTCACCTCGTATGATGGCGAACATTGCACCATGACCACGGTCATGAAAGGGGGGGTTGCCTGTGAATATCTTATTCGCAGTTAGACCGAGTGTCCATATATATGCCACGAAAGCGTCTGACCTCATAGATGGTGCAGGCGAAAGCATAAATGTCGCGTGGCTTCTCATCCTGATCAGATGTGGAATCAGGCCTTAAGATTTCAGGGGCGAGCCAACACATTGAGCCTGCAATCCCCCCTGTACTGCTATCGAGACGTTGCGATTGAGCGACGGATGCAAGGCCGAAGTCTGCCAAATAACAAACACCCTTGTCATTCACCAGTATATTGGCCTGACGGAAGCTTTAGCTGTTTACACCACGATGATGGGAGCGTAAATTTACTCCTTTGATATCTTTATGTGTTATTGGGGGATCTAGGTGATGAAGATAATCTATTCCGGATGCAACCTCATAAATCTACCCTTTGATCAGGCATGTTACTGGAAAGCGCTAAAGTGTACGTGACTCACAGAAACAAATCGGTCGTGATTGGGGTGTTGTGATAGGTATTTCATTATATTGCCATTGCTCATCCACGGCGAAATGAGGCAGAAGCGCGAGCCGACAAGACTTTTGCTAACTCCAAGGAATGGTAGAAGATTAGGGTGCTTTACTTGCCTCCAAACTAAGGCTTCGGAAGCAAATTTCTAACTCGAGAAATGAATCAGAATGAAATGCTATCCAGAGCCACAATACCTTTTCCACCTTATGAGCATTCTCTGGTGAGTTGACGTACATCCGCAGCGCCTTTACGCAGACCGGCTTATTCCCGAGCTTCCCCGTATAGATGTCCTATGAAGCGCTGTGATCAAGGATTTACATATAAGAAACTGGGAAAAGAACTTGCTGCAAACCCGCCACCTGATACGGCGTCGCCTTCACGAGTGACATCTGTCAAGAAAAACGAAAAGGGTAGTATCCCCCTCCTTGCTAGTCTATGTAAACATCGACAAGCATTTCGTCTGGATTCTGAATCAGAAAAGGAGTCGTCTAGCTCCTGAGATCGATGTAAGGTGGGCGCATACATAGGAATGTAAGGTGCACATACATTCTGTAGAAGTTGAGAGATGGCGGAAAACCAGGCAGGGCTGGCTTCAGTCTCAAGGAGCTTGTTAATCCCCTGAGGTTCATTGAGGAGATTACGAAGCTCATGGTTGGTTTCTGGACTTGGCAATTTCAAACCTGACACCAACACGATGCGAGAGACAAAAGGAGTTACGAGGACGAAGAAATCAGATTGGTCATGAAGATCAGCATTAATTTCAACCTGAAACCCCTTCGGCAATACGATATTTAAACCACGGAGAAGGTGACGCGACGATCGAAGCGAGCTTGCAATTTGGACAATGAGATTAGTGATCTTCAAGCTAAATATCGGAAGACTGACGTTGATTAACAGCATTGATATATATTATAGCAACTCTTACCTGTTGCGGTCTCTCCAAACGAGGTCGAATAAAAGGTGAAATAGAGGTATGGGATCAGCATCGAGTTCGGAGAGTGCGCCTTTGAGACACTCTAGGTAAGCGATGCTGTCTGGTCCATTCAAAGACTGAACCTGGGCGGAATTCATGGACGCCGACATCCTGCTAGAGAGGCCTAGAGAAATGTGCAAAAATCGCACCACCTCCGCAAGATCCAGGCGTGAGGCACGAAGCTTAATCGAAATTTCAAGCCGAGGAGTTGCCAGACCATTCGAGAAGTTGCACATCAAGATTGAGCCAATCATCGTCAAGACCCAGTCGAAACGCTCAGGAATTGCCTGATTGTAAGCTGCATGTAGGCCGCCATTAGAGGAGTAAAAATTGAGATTCGACGCAGTTGAAGTTCGTTAGACTCGGCAAAAACCAAGCAAAAACTGAGTGTGATTGCGACAACATCACGTGACAGCAGTCCTGGACAAAAAGACCGATTTCAGAAAACGATATGAATTCATGAATGCCGTCAAACAATTGTTACATAGATGAATTTGACTGTGACTGTTTTCGCACAACCGAATGAGCAGATACAGATGAAATCGTGGAAGATCAATAAATTACTTAGAATATGCAACAACCAACTGTCCAGTGTTAACGTTAATAAGGATAGGTTCTTGGGAAACGGTAAGCAATAGCACGTGTAAGAGTGGGATGTTGAGGGAGAGCGAATAATGTATATGCCGTGGGCGCTCGGCGGTTTAGCATACAACTCAAAAAGGAACGAGTAGCGGGGAAAGTTACCAGTACTTCAGCACTACATCGAGCGGGCGACCCGAGATACCAAGCTCTAAACATCCTCCAAAATCACGTACAAAGCTTCAAGCCGAACGGGATTGACCAGATGGGCAGGTATCGCTCCTCTCAATGACATAGAGTGGGCCTTGGGGGGAACAACAATTGCTCATAGAGGGGCCTGAGACGAGAGCGGAAGGGGTGGATAATGGGATATCGTCAGCGTCGCAGACGGCTGCTAATCGGTCGACAAGGGATGGCAAGGTCGATAACTAGCACGGAGACAATCTGTCTTCGGATATTGGTGGTCCAATAAAGATTCGTCGAAGAGGAGAAGGAGATGCAGCTGAAGAAGTACTGCGCCGTTTAGATTGCATAGGCCTCATTCCCACTGGACGTTTGGCCTTTGAAGATATTGATGGGGAGCAAGCATTTGGACTAAGAGCGGGGGATGAGATAGAATGGTGTAATGGAGTGGATTCGGACCCGTCAAGGGCCACCCCAACAATCGGGGGTTTCTTATGTCGATCTACTTGTGAGTTGGATTTACCAGGAACAAGTGAAAAGGAGGAAGATGGCATTCGAGTGGACGGGATACTTATGGTAGGATCAAGGGAAGTGGAGGTATTGTGAATGGAAGAGGCATGAACAGGTGTGCGTGGTGGGGTCGGGGGAAAGTCAGATTGCATCTTCGCCGACGCTAAAATTGGACTTGTCGTATAGGTGGCCAAGTTGTGGGGTGTGTGAGGAAAATGAAAACCATAATTTTCACTGTTGGGCGACATTAATATTGATAAGATCTGCGTTGAAGGAGTGTTGGGAGTGACAAGGCTTTGTGGGTGGCGAATGGTCATCAAGTTCAGGGGTGTGGGCGGTAATGGCCTCATTTCTGAAGATCTCTGCACAAAATTCCCCATGGAGAGGACCGACCTCCCTCCAAGATCACTTGCAGGGGTGTCATAGGGTGACGGATCCTCACGTGCATACTGTTTGCGATATCCTGAGTAAACTTGGCTAGCTGGTTGACTTCTTCTTGAGCGTGGTGGCGTCTTGAAATCGAAATGGTTATCGGCGAATCTAGACTAAAAACGAAATAAACTTACTGTTCTTCCAATGAGTGAGGCCGAATACCCGTAAAGCTCTTTATCAAGCCATACCCTAACTCTGTCGAGATCTCGCGCTGCCTCGCTCGCACTGTCAGTTTCTGGCGATGGAGAAGGCGAACCCCCCTGAGGTCCTTCAAGAGTTTTATCACAGACAAGGTCTTTCAAGAAGTTCTTGATCTCCCTAATTTCATATCGCTCCTCAGGATTTTCAACCCATGATTGCCCAACTAGAACCCATAGTTGCTCCTCTTCGTAAGTCCACGTCCCTTCTGGCGGTAACGGAGCCCTTTGCTTTTCAATTGAAACTTCGCGCATGACAGCAAAACTGTGGGGAAGGTCCCAGAAAGGAGGTTTCCCGGTGTAGATCTGATCAATGAGGTCAGCTTAGAGCCATTTACGACAGCCGATACTTGCTTCATAAACAGTGCAAGCCAGCGCGTATATATCGCCGGCTTTCGCGCCGTGAACTGATGGGCGCACTGGCTGCATGAGCTCAGGCGCGAGCCAACATATCGATCCCTGGAGTCCAGGCGACTTATCCACTCGTTGTGAATCAAAGATAGAGGAGAGACCAAAGTCCGCCAGACAGCAAATACCTTCGTCAGTTACGAGCACGTTGGCCTAATTAAAAGTTTAAATGAAGGTTTTGATCGAGAGTGGGTAGAACGCACCCCTTTGATGTCCTTGTGAGTGATAGGGGGGTCAAGGGTGTGCAAATATTCTACTCCATCAACGATTTGACAGACCTGTATCATATCAGTGTTGAAGAGACAAGTGCATTTTCCTGACAGGTTAACGTACCGCAGCGAATCGATCATGACGTGGGTTTTGTTTTAAGTAGGACATGATGTCACCCCTGTCCATCCAGAGCGAAATGAAGCAGAATCGGGGAGAAAACAGTTCTGTGCTCGCTCCTATGAAAGGGAGGATATTCGGGTGTTTAAGTTGTCTCCAAACAAGAACCTCTGAGCAAAATTCCTAAAGACGCCTTTAGCGCTCATATTAATTAATGATCAACCACGAGAAAAATCACTTTGTATAGTTCTTCGCGTGTACCTGTAACAAACATACGCAAGACACGGAAACAGAAAACTGTACCTTGAATGCGATCCTTGTAGATGTCCTGACAATGAGACTCATGAGAAACGAGCCCTCAAAACTGATGATGCAAAGCTCACGGCAAAGGCTCCTCCCCCCACCGCATGCTGCACTCCACTACTACCTTCACGTTTCAGATTGTTTAAGAACAATGAGGGCGGCAATATAGACCGCTTGGTCGCTAATTGTCGGAGAAATCGTAATGCTTTGCGCCTACAACGAGAAGCCGTCGCAGGATTCGTATCCGTGGTAGTGTCGTCCATGATCTAATCGGATATCAGCAAGTAAACACCTCAAAATATAGTGGCTCCTCACAAATTGTAAGAGTTGAGAAAGGCATGTAGGATACTCATCCCCATACTTTCCGTAGTCTAACTTCAATAGGTCCTCCAGCCCATGATCCAAAGAAAGCCAATCCCGAAGTTCTGCGGCAGAGCCTGGATTCGGTACATTCGACCCCGAGAAAGACCGTATCATTGCGGCGGCGGGAGTTGTCCACACAAAGAGATCTACAATCTCAACTTTGTTGGAAAACTCAATTCTGTAACCCTTCCTGAGCAGAGAATTGAACCCATGTAACAAAGGAGGGTTGGTCCTCAATATACACGCAATGGCAACAGCTGATCGCTCATAAACAGGGTTTGTGCTTTATCAAAAGAACTCAGCCAAAAGTTGGGGGTAACGAAGCTCGATCACCTTTCAGTCTCGATCCAACTACGGATTCGACGCAATAAAGTAGCCAATGCCCCCGAGTCGCCTGTAAAGTGTTGCTTGACACGTTTGAGATACTCAACTGCGTCCGGCGCATCGAGGAAACGAGCTTGTCGAGCAGAGCCCCAGGTCATCTGCATCCGACATAAAGATAGTCCGGAAATGGACTTAAGATGTGAGGATATCGTCCGACTCGAGGGTGGAGGAGGAATGGAATGAGAAACACAGCGGGAGGGTTTTTGAGTGTATCCCTAATGCAGAAGTCCTCGTGGGATGCAGACGTCAGGCGCGTGTCCGCAGGGCTAGATATCCTCCTGAAGAAAGGTAGGACACTGAGGACCTGAGGTGGCGAACTGAAAGAGCTCGCTGGTGGGTAGTATGTTCGCCTTCAGTTCCGTTCGCGATGACAACAACCACTGGCATTGAGCTTTTACATATCTTTCGGCTATGGATGGGCTCCTCTGCCTCGAGGTTACCGCGCAGTAACTGGAAAGGGTTCATGACAGGAAGTTTGTGCACGTTGAATGTCAATTGAATGAACACGCAAGTGTATATCTGATAAGATTGCAAGAAAAACAAATATTCGCAAAGCAATGATGTGCTTCCGACCAATACCATTTTTCCGAATGTCGTCCTTTGCAGGTTCCTGGACAGGGTCATCCTCTTCACTTTTACGGTACGCACCATTTTTCATCTCGTCGTTCATATTTTGGTTTTATTTCTTAGATGTCGCTGTCTTCTGTGGCTCGAATTGCCTATCTGACATCAGATGTCATTGTGGATTCACTCCCACCTTTGCCGTCGACCTCTGCTTTCGCTGAAGCATACCATTTATTATCAAAATCATCAGCACACCAACCAAAGGTCGTTCCAGCACCGTTTGGTGCTGATCCCGGGGCAATAATCCTTTGGAACGACTCGAATCTCGTTTCATTCACCACTTCCGCACAGTCCCAGGTGCTAACACGATTAGTTCTACATCTTGCCGAAATTTCGACACGTCCAGTAGTTCTCCACCTTGCGGTCAAGGACGATCTTACAGACGTCCTTCTCCTTAGATCCGCCGTCCCCTTCTTCCTTCTGTCGACTACCAGCCAACAAGCCCACGATAACGCTTTGCTCGCAGCCCGGTTGGCTCGGTTTGAGAAGAAAGCCGTCGTTCACGCATTCTACACTATAGATCAAGAGCCACCTGTCGACGAGATTCCGGAAGAAAAAATTCTTCCGTTTCTTCTCTCGCCCAAGCACCCTTCTTCCCCAAGATCAGCAAACGGAAATGCGACCCTGAATGGCGTAAAAGGCCATGAGGATGGTAAATCTGGGCTTGTCGATGATCAAGCCCTCCTTTCACATTACAAATCTTATGAGTCGGCGGCACTGGACACCCTGACACTTGTGCGGAGGCCCTTGCGACCCCTCACATCGCGGGGTGATGCGGATCCCCATACCGTCATTTTCCTTTTTGGACGAAACGAGATTACCCAGGTCATTGAGGGTGTTTTATTTGTCACCCTAGCATTGGCAAATCCCATCCCACCATCCTATCTACTAAACGCCATCCCTTCATCAGCAACCCGGGTCCTTGTGCTCGAGCAAGTATTTCGCTGGACAACAAAATGGACGCCTCTGTACCTTGACGTTGTCAGTGCGCTGCAACATCGAGACTCGGAGAACCCCGTTGCTGTATACAATGGTATCCTTGGCGATACTAGTCAACTGCAGCTACCTGAGCTTCTTGGGCTGTTGGATCAAGCATCATCCTCGCCCAAATCAACACGTTTGCAGCTCGGAACCGTTCCAGCTCTTGAATCCTCCACCTCCAAATTGCCTCATGTTCCGAAACATGAAGCAGCTTACACAAAACTTCTTTCTCATCTGTTCAAAGAGCGACTGGAAGTTTCGAATTCCCCCGAACTTGTTGCTTCTCAAGGTGAGATCGCAACGACCCCGGAGTTCGCACTTGGCCGGGTGCGCGGCGAATTGGATCGACGAGCGGAGCTCCTTGCATCCGTGCAGGAGTTACTACAGGAAGCCGAACTTCATCCAGAACTCCATTCCCTGCTGACCAAATGGGTACTGTCCAAAGACGATGGCACGAAGAGTGCCAAGCTTGGTAAGGACATTGTTGAGAGGCTCGAGGCTTCTCCCTCTGCAAGTCCAGCTGCACAACGCGTATTATCACTACGCCAGTATCTTCCATCTCTTTCTCGATGGATTATCGGCTCGGACGCCTGGTCGTATGATCTCGGTGCATCAGGTTTACACCACGCAATTGCATCCGGGCTTAATGTCAACATCCTCATCATTGACACCCTACCCTACTCTTCTCGAAATTCAAGCGATCCTAATCGCCGAAAACAGGATGTTGGTTTGTACGCGATGAACCACGGGGATGTCTTTGTCGCAAGTGTTGCTGTGTTTTCTTCCTACACGCAGGTCTTGCAATCCATCATTGAAGCTGACCGCTTCAACGGGCCAAGTGTTGTCCTTGCCTACCTTCCATACCAATCCGAAGATTCTCCTGCTCTTGAAGTTCTCAAAGAGACCAAATTGGCCGTTGACGCTGGATACTGGCCCCTTTACAGGTGGGATCCTAGCAAGGAGGCGAAGGGTGAAGAACCATTCTCTCTGGATTCGGACGCGATCAAAAATGATTTGAAACAATTCTTGGACCGCCAAAATCATCTTTCACAGCTTGTTCGCTCGACACCAGAGATCGCCACAGAGATCGTGAGCAACCTTGGCGACACGATCCGAGACGCGAGAAAGAAGAAGGCGCAGGCGTCATACAACGATCTTCTTACCTCTCTCGATGCACCACCTGTGTTGATATTATACGCATCCGACGGTGGAGCCGCCGAGAAGAAAGCGAAGAGGTTGGCGAACAGGGCTAAGGCCAGGGGCCTTTCGACAACCATCACAACACTTGACTCGTTCACGCTGGAAACGCTCGCGGAGGAGGAGCATGTGGTTTTAATTACCTCTACAGCAGGGCAAGGTGAACCACCACAGAACGGCAGGACTTTCTTCAAGTCTTTGAATGCTGCTGCGCTTCGAAGGGACCAGATCCTTCCCAAGCTCCAGTATACGGTATTCGCTATGGGTGATAGCCACTACTGGCCCAGAGCTGAAGATGCACATTACTATAACAAGCCAGGAAAGGAACTCGATGCTCGTCTCGAAAAGCTTGGAGCTAAACGCATGGCGGATCTTGGTCTTGGGGATGACCAGGACGCAGATGGATCTGAGACTGGATACAAAGTCTGGGAGCCTCTAGTCTGGAAGGCCCTAGGTGTCGATTCAATTGAAGTGACGGAAGCAGAACCTGAAGCGATCACTAACGAGCACATCAAGGCTGCCTCTGGCTTCCTTCGCGGAACGATCTCAGAGGGTCTCCAAGACTTTACCACGGGAGCTTTGGCAGCAAGCGACACCCAGCTAACCAAATTCCACGGTATTTACCAGCAGGATGACCGTGACATTCGCGATGAGCGTCAAGCTCAAGGCGTCGAACCTGCATACAGCTTCATGATCCGCGTTCGTCTGCCTGGCGGTGTTTGCAAACCTGATCAGTGGTTACAAATGGACCAGATCGCTGATGAACATGGATCGGGGACGTTCAAGATCACTACTCGCCAGACCTTCCAGTTCCACGGTGTCATCAAAAGGCACCTGAAACCTGCTATTCAGGATATCAACCGCGTCCTGCTAGATACACTCGCAGCTTGCGGAGATGTTAACAGGTACGCGTGCGTGTTTGAGAAGAATGATTTTGCTGATACCCTCCTAGGAACGTTATTTGCTCTTCAATACCCACCATGTCCAAGCTACATGAACAGGTTTTCGAGTTCTGCAACGAAGTTAGCAACCACCTCATTCCCAGGACGTCTGCCTATCATGAAATTTGGTTAGACAAAGTGCTTGTGGCAGGCGAAGCTTTGAAGGACTTTGAACCCTTGTATGGAGAGTTCTACCTTCCTCGAAAGGTCAGTCAATCGCACAAACATCTGCAACGGTGTACTCATCCCTATTAAGTTCAAAGTGGCTGTCGCAGTGCCACCAACCAATGACGTCGACGTCTTTGCGAACGACCTTGGGTTCATTGCCATCGTAGACGAAGACGGGGAGTTGCAAGGGTTCAATATCGCTATTGGAGGGGGAATGGGTGTCACGCATGGCAACAAGAAAACTTATCCTCGTATCGGTAGTCTCCTTGGATTCTGCACTTACGAACAAGGCAAGTACGTTGCGGAGAAGATCATGCTGGTGCAGAGGGACCACGGTAACCGTGTTGAGTGAGTTGTGCCTCCGTCTTCGTCTTAATTTATTACTCAATGGACGTTACCTTACAGCCGTAAGGTATATATAACTGCTATTTTAACAAACAAATCAATGAACTGACGCCCCTTCACAGAACGCTCGGCTCAAATATACTCTTGACCGGCTGGGACTTGATGGCTACAAGGCCGAGGTTGAGAAACTTTTAGGTTACACACTGCCACCACCTCGCCCGTACAGTTTCAATCGCAACATTGATGACTTTGGGTGGCACACTGGGCAGGACGGCAAACATCACTTCACTATGTTCATCGAGAATGGACGTGTGCAAGACGAGCCCGGACGTGAATTCAAAACTGGCTTGCGCGAAATTGCGAAAGTTCACAAGGGAGCATTCAGGCTCACGGCGAACCAGCATCTGTTGGTGTCAGACATTGCAAGTGCCGACCTCCCTTTGATCAAGAGCCTTCTGTCGAAGTACAAGCTCGACAACCTGTCGTATACTGGTCTGCGGTTATCTTCTTCAGCATGTGTCGCATTCCCAACATGTGGGTTGGCCATGGCTGAATCAGAACGGGTACGTGTCATGCTTTCCCGCATCTCTCCAATTAATAAAGCTTTCTTGTTATGATAAGTATCTGCCACTCCTCATCGACAAGGTTGAGAAATTGTGCGAAGAGAACGGACTTCGACACGACTCGATAGTGATGCGAATGACGGGGTGCCCGAACGGTTGTGCTCGACCTTACATTGCTGGTGGGCCTACCATCCTCTCCTCTCAATGATGCACCTAACACCGCAATGCCAGAGGTTGCCTTTGTAGGCAAGGCTCCTGGGACGTATTCAATGTTACTTGGAGGCGGATACTATGGCCAGAGACTAAACAAAATTTACAGGGGTAGGTTGGATACATTTCGCAGTTCTGATTTGACCACAACAATTTTCTGTCTAGAATCGGTGACGGAACCGGAAATTCTTGCAATCCTCGGACCAATGATCAAGCGATACGCATTAGAACGCCGAGAGGGAGAGCCATTCGGGGACTTTACGATCCGTGCTGGTTATATCGCCCCTACAACGGAGGGTAAACTGTGGTATGATCGTATGGGCGGAGAGGGAGAATACAGGGAGGTTAGCGCAGCCGCCTAAGCGGGTCTAGCAGGGGTACAACAGGACGAAATGTTGGGTAAGGAAGGATATATTTATTATTGCAATCTAAGGGATATTCCCATGCCTTGAATTTGAAGTCGAATTTCCGTATCCAAGGCAGCTACATACTTACGATGTGTCATGTAAGGTGCGTATACGTCGTGAGTGGAGTTTGCAATCGATGAAATTTCACAATTCTTCTCGAGAATCCCTTGATTACTCTTTACTCGCCCTTGCCTCCTGCAAAGTTTCCTGCAACGAGCTGATCACTTTGTCGATATCACCACGCTGTTTATCTACGACAGAGATGCCCATGTGTCTGTGGAATCTACGTTAGCATTTCAATAGAAAAGGAAAAGCGCCGCGTACCCTATTCTGAAATATTTGTCTGCAACTTCTGGTTAGGTTAGTTTCTACGCCAAACATCGAAGAACGCACCGCGAATAGCCGAATGCAATCCACCAGCAACGATCACCTCTCTTGTAGCCAAGCGGGGAAGCAGGTCGGATGCGGTGATTCCATCGGGGAAATACAACTATATTTGGTTGTTGTAAACATATTGAATCCATGAAAATGAAATCAACATGCAGCAGACATCCCATTCGCCGCTTCCCGTTCATTCAAAGGGACCTGTTTCATCCCCAGTTGGGCCGCAGCCTCTTTCACGCGCCGGCTAGCCTCTTTGTGCAACGCGAATCGTTCTTGCAGTGAGGGACCTACGTTTGAGTTGATGAGTATTATGAAAACTAAATCTGGGATGATCAACAAAATAAATATACCTTGTTTGGATGCAGTGATTAATTGCAACGACGCATGGTATGCATAAATAAGGTTAACAGGAGGTGTAGCAAAGTATGCTGCTGATCCAGCTTCGTATGCTTTCATTATTGGAAGCCACCTGGGAGTCACAACATTGATATTAGCGCCCAAGAACTGATCGAACACGCGCACTTGTCCCAAGAGGCATAATATGAGGTTACGGGCGTTTTTCTCTTCTTGTATACCTGTATCGCGCGTTCGCTGACGACGACGATACTAAGACCTGGAGGTGTCCCCAGTCCTTTTTGTGACGCTGTCAACACAACATCTAAACCCCAATCGTCAAATTGGATTTCCTCAGATGCGACGGAGCACACGCCGTCCATCACAATCTGTATAATTATGAGTCATGATCGGGCCACTGAGGAGAATATGCAGACCAGGGTTTCCGGAGAAACGCGTTTAACAACTTGGGCGATAGCATGTGCGTCAGAGAGCACACCTATTAATTATGTTAGTTACTATATCGGGTTTGGAGAACAGACGCACCAGTCGAAGTATCAACGTGGGTGAAAGTGAGCACTTTGTATTTTTCGCTCTTCAACGCAGTCTCTATGTCGGCCAGGGGAACAGTGCCGCCAATGGGGGCTTTCAACTGCTTTACGGACCCGCCATATGTTTGGAGACTATGTGTCGCGATAAGCCGACGCAAGCGTGCGCCAAAATTGTCCGCACCAATCAGCAAAGCTGTCACCAAAATACCCCGAGTTTAAAACGAGAGCATGATCGCCCCGTTCAACGAGGTTGGAGGCTACCTGTATGATATCATAATCGTACAACAGTGATTTAATTCAGGGGCAAAGCGGTACCTGATCCCAACCAAGCGTTCCGCTGCCGCTGATGAGGAATGGTTGTGCGGATTTTGTGATCAGCACCTCTCTGCGTCATGGGGGTAAGTGAAGAAGGCGGAAAGGGACAAGGCCGACGGACCTGGTCATCCTAATAGAATCTCCGAAGACGGGTACGAAGTCCGGAGAAACGTGGGACATGGATGGGTGGGCATTGGCGAAAAGGACTTCATCCGCAACCTCGATGGGGCCCGGGATGCTTTTGTAGGTTGTGATCAGATACAGTGAATGTTGTCAGGAATCCGTTGGCTCACACTAGTAGTCTGTGAAAGGTGTTCAGCTCGGCAATGGACAATGATGCTTGGTACATACTTATGAGGGGCTTGTTTGAATTCGCTCGTAGACATGGCGCGAAGGAGGGAACGGGCAAATAGCCGGGTAGATAATATAGGTAGCATAACAGAACACAACATTATAAACAGGCGGCATTCACTCCTGCCGCTATCCCGCCAAAGGAGGGCGGCATTCCGTCGCCGCGGATCCACAAAAAAATTCTACACTGACAACAGATACAACACCACCATGGCATGATTACAACAACACGGGAAGACAGCGACGGCTTCCCACCCAACTCGGGTTACCCCCTGGTCGGATCAAGGGGGTCTTAGGATTCCAAAGTCCGACCGGGGGTTGGGTAGGTAGGTCAGCCACAGGCTGAGAAAAAAAAAATATGGAACCCTCTACAAAATGATCTAAAAACAGTCCTGGAAGGCCATCCCCTGTGAATTAGTAGTGCTAGTGCACTCCAAAGCATGTAGATCAGTCCGAATTCAATGATATTGAAGTTGTATTGAAGCATTATATAATATTTCTTCAAGCTTATCTAATCTCCACCAAGTGTCAATAGGGTAGTTCACAGTAGCGTTTTTCGGCTTGTTTTTCGTCTTGTTTTTCAATCAAAAAACGACATCAAAAACAACACAAAAAGAGCTCAAAAACGACATGAAACCGAAAAACACCTGCCCGAGGTGTTTTTCGGAAACTTTCCGTTTTTCGTTCGTTTTTACATCTTGTTTTTCGTTGGGGAATTCAGTCTCCGATTCGGACATCTGCGATGTCACACGTCACCTAGGCTTACCCCTCTTCCATCACCACCACCATCCTGCCACCATCCTCCACCATCTCACCCCCGCAACCCCCCTACGCTACGACCACAACCATGAACCCCATAGCCACGACGGCCACCAATGCGACCACGATCACCACCCGAACCCGAGCGCAAACACAAGCACAAACGCCAAACGCGGACGCCAACCCGAATGCGATTCCCGCGCGCTGTGAACCAAACGCAAACACCAGTGTGAACACGAGTGCCCCCACCAAGTCCTCGTCCATGAAGGGAGCCACGATGCATGCACTAACGCCTCGCTCGCAGTGCGGAGGTGTCGAGGACTGAGTATCGGGCAGAGGGGGGCATTCAGTTTGGGGTGGATCACAAACTTTTGACTAGTAAGGGGTTATTGAAGGGGAGGTGTCCTTGCTCCTGCCTTTCCACCTCTATGTAGTTAGATAAGGAATACAGGTTACACTGCCATTTACAACAGTACAGAAGGACTTACAAAAAAAAAGTGTTGTCAACTTAGCGCGCGTCTAGCGCAGGATCTGGCGGAGTTGAACAGAAGCCGTCATGCCGAGCTCTTGTTTTTCAGCTGTTTTCGAGCTGTTTTTCCAAAATTCCGGGGGCGGAGGTTCACGGTAGCTGTTTTTCGTCTGTTTTTCATTTCGTTTTTCGTCTGTTTTTACCGCGAAAATATTTGAGCTGGCAGTAAAAACAGCTGAAAAACGAAATGAAAAACAGCCGAAAAACAGCTGAAAAACGTTACCGTGAGCATCCCTAATGTCACAAAGCTCATCTTGAAGGTGGAGAAATGGAAGCTGGCACAACCAAAGAAATACAGTCACTAAACATCACTTACAAGTTACTGGCAAGTTGTTTAGAAACTTGTTCTTGCAATTATGTAAAACACCACATGCCCAATTGCAAAACTCGGATAAGCCAGACTTGCCAACAGACTTAGATCTGCCAACATTAAAATATGTTCTATACAATAAAAATTACAAGTCACTCACCTATATTCCAGTAACATCTACATTGCATTTGGTAGGAAATAGATTCACATAACTGGGTTTGCGAGGCATCTTGGACAAAGCGATGAAAATGATGATGTCATCTTACCATATATGGACACGTGCCTGATTACGTAGGTAGGTAGGTCAAGCCAGTAAGGGCTTTAAAAAAAAATCGACCCCAGGTCTATTTTTTTAATCCTAGGACCCCCTTGGGTCGGATTCGAAGCCTCTGACACTTCATCGCCGGGTGAACATCCCCCTCTCCAGCACGAACCCATCTATCGACCATGACCCAAAGCTGGTTGCCTTATTCAGGAAAAAATCACCGACTAGCACAAGCATAGTTTGTGGCGGTCCGTCAGAGATTTCCCAAAACCAAACTGTGCTGCCAGGGTGACGGAACAGTCATTCATACTTCGCAATTAAAACGATGCTCAAGGGCCAGCGCGAAAAGGAGGGGATATGTATCGGCAAGGAAGCCGCCACTTGGCCATTCTTCGAATTGAGTGGGCGAAGCGAGCCGTCGGTCGGAAAAGCGTGATGACATGACATACTCCGGAAATATACTCAGTGCGTCGCTTATGAGGTGGAACATTCGGAACTGGATAGAAGGACATCTTCGTCACCCAAGGATCCCTGCTGTCCTTCCGCAAGTTGAAGCATGGAGAATGGGTCAGCGATCCCTTCCGTCATTGCGTCATGAAGGACATCCGAGTCGCCTCTCTGAACATGAGTAACATGCTGGAGAAAAGAGCTGAATGACGCGGAGTTGAAAATGTTTGGCGTGTAACCTTGACAATTTATCCACACCATGTTGGAGTTGGGGTATCGTGTTGTTCAAACTTCAGGCCTTGGTAAGTGCGACCAAAGAGGAAGAGAGAGATTTATCATTGATTCTGCAACAAGGCCACTTACTCGAGCGTAGAGACGAGTAACATCTCCCGCGATCTGACCACGCGTTCTCTTAAAATCGTGAAGCTGACTTGAGGATCTTCTTTTCTGTTCTACAGAAGGGCTTGACTGCAAACGCACGGCGACCAGGTGAGACGTACTGTGAGGCTGGAAGGGTCCGCTTGACATTATCAGATGTTTCTTTAGATTATCAAGGCGCTTGCGCGGCTGACTGTGGGCATTGCTCCATAGCAAGCCGAGATTGGAAAGCGAATAGGAGCGATCTGGGGTCACACTTAAACATGAGGTCAAGGCCAACATGAGGCAGCAGGCTGACCTTATTCGATGAGTCCGACGCCAGTCGGGGATAAGGAAGGCGGCGTTTGAGAGCATGGGGCTCGCGGTCTTGAAAATATGCATCGCGGAGGAGCGCGGAGGGTAACGTGCCCAAAATCTAGATTTCTTTTTTGCACTTTCTTTGCGGCGAGTGAGGACCTGGCGAGTGCCTGAAGATCCCTGAAGATGAGTCGCTGCGATCTGGTGGGAAGTGCGTCATTACAAGGTACAGGTACAAGTAGGTACATCAAAGCAGACGAGAACAAGGGAGCAGAGAAAGCTAAGTAGGGAGGCGAAGGCTGGGGAAGGCAACGAGGAAAATGAAATAGATGTTCAAGGATGATTGAAACGCTTCTTGAAGGATTCACGTCAAACCCTGTGCAGCGACCTGCTAGCTCAGGTGGTCACGGGGGGCTGGCCTTCCAACCTGGCCTTCGTGCGCGCGTAATGTTCAGTATCGACTTTGATGGCATTGTCGAGCTTGATATTGAGGTCGTTGGTCCACTTGTCGTCCAGCTACCAATTAATGTCAGTGTCAACGAATGAAATATGATAAAGTGCAGACTGTCACTAACCTTGTACAGGCTGTAGAGCTGCTTCATCTTTGCGGCATTGTCGTTGAACTTTGTTGTCAGCTCCTTGACCTCATTGTCGTCTGCAAAAGTTTTCACGCCATGGAGTTTGGTTGACGCTGAATTGAGCATCTCAATGGACTGCTTGATGTTCCTGGGTATGACGAAACGGCGTTTAGAATCAAGTGAATTTCGAGTACGCCAGGTGGAACGTACGTTGTGATGGTACGGCGATTGACGGACGATCGTTCATCCTTGACATCCTTGCTCAATGCCAAGTGATACCACATATACACCAGCACAACCGATCGTCCATGGAATGGTCGTCGAACCTGTCCAGCGAGCTTCATCATCTCCAAAAGTTGAGGGCCGAAGAGTTCAGGTAGTTCCGTAAAGGTGAAGATGATCTTCTCCAGGCCTTTATAGTTCTCTTCTAGTTGCTCGACTGTTTTTTCTTTCTCACCCGTCACATGGGCGGCGGCCTCGCCGACTACACTGCGAGAGGGTCAATGACTATGCAGATGATGAAAGCGGATTTACCGATTCATTTCTTCCCAAACCTTCTTGGATTTAAGGTGCTCGGCCCACTTCGAATCCACCGCATTGTCCGCGGCCAATGCGAAAGGGAAATAAACGAGCAAAATGGTCTTCACAACAGAATGGGCGCTGGCCTGTACATACGTCGTACGTGAGCGTTGTCCGAGGTTGAAGTTCCAATAACTTACAGGCACATACTTGTTATCCATCTGAGTTGCAATGTTGTCGATAAGACCCGTCAAGCCAGTCACCATCTTGTCTTCCGTCGCCCTATGGCAAGAAAAAGCTTAAAAGCATCTGGAGGGAAGTGCAGTGAATACTAACGCATCGAAAATTGAGTCATCTTGCAATTTGTGGGCAGCCCCTTTGGCGAAGTCCTGAACGCCCCTAATCATATCGATGTCATCTGCCTTTAGAGATTCCAAAAGGCCGGTTTCCAAACTGTTCTTGAGAGGGTCCGATAGCTGTAAACGTTGCGATGAGTTGGGTCAATCCAAACCTTTCAATTGGTTTGATGCGTTACCTTGAATTCCTCAGACCTAAGTCTCCCCACGATGGTAACTGTGATCTGCCAATCGGTCGCCCATCTCTCAATGGATGCGACTGACTTAGGAATGTCTGCCGCCGTGTGGTGGAGAAGGCGCGATGACCGGTCTCCGATATTATAAACGTAGTCGAGTAACAACCTGGTAGCCAGAAAGGTCAGCTTTCCATCTGCACGCAATCTGTGCGTGCAACTCGCCTTTCCAACGGAGGGATTGCTTCCGTGTACGCCTTGAACTTCGTCCACTCTGGTTCTTCAGCCTTCTCCATCTTCTTCTTGATATCCTGGATAAGCTGTTGAATCTCATTATAGACGTCGTTTGCTTTGGTTAAAATTTGCTTTGTAGACGAGTTAGCGCGCTTGAACTGGGGTTCTTCAGCATTGATATGCGTGAGCAACAGTTTGATCATCTCGGTGGCAGGACCGCCATCGGCGACAGTGATAACCGACATGAAGAGAACTTGGTTGGAGAGCGGGCGTTAAAAGCAAGATTGGTGGGGGAGTGGAGCGAGGGTAGTCGAGCAAACGAAATTCCCTTTAAAACCTTTCGGTCGCTCTTCGAGAACAACGCAACCTCGCGTTTGGGAAACCCTGCTGCTCGTTCGTTCAGAAAACGTGTCTCATTTCCGGCCAAACCGAGCCCCATTTAGGCGCCTGCTAGCTTGGCAAGGCGAATTGCCGTTTGAGTGAGGGGACTAGATGTCCAGACGTAAATGTTGTGAAGACTGAGTCTGGGATGATCAACCACAATGCCTTGTTTCGATGCGATTGATCGACAATGATGCAAGGAGGAGGCTGACAAGGACCGTAGCAAGGGATGCTGTCGATGCCACTTTGTGTGTCTTCATTTTCGCTTCGTGGCCTTTCATTATCCGAAGCTCCAACGCGAAGCATTTTTTCCCAAAAAGGTGTCTTACGGTCCTTCATACCCACATCGCAGGCTCACTTCCGACGATGATACCGAGGGGGCGTACTTAGCCCTTTGTGTGATGCTGCATCAATCCCTATCGTCGCATTGAATCTCTTCGGAAGCGACGGAACAGATCTGCCTTGAGTTATGATCGGGGCATTAAGGAAATTGAAGGATCTGGGTTTCCGGGGGGAAAAAACGCATATAATGACCTATTCGGCGCCTATGTATGTGTCATGTTAGTTACTATTTCAGGTCTACCGGCAAGAAGAAACGCACTGGTGAAAGTCTCAACAAGTATAAATAAAAGCCATTGCAGCTTTCAATTCCTGAATGTATGAATGAATGTTTGGAGATTGAGTATCGCGGTTAGCCGAGGCAGTGAATTTGAATAAGTACCCACAATGATCAGTGAGAATGGATATATATAAAAACACCCTCGTCATGAGAATTTGCTAGTCTCGTGCTGAGGGGGGAGAGAGCCAGACCTGAGGCCTGACGGCTCTCTCTGGTGGTGCGACTGGGTATGCGCGCTTAGTAAATGTGGAGCTGACTAGGAGATCTCATTGACAACCCAAAGAGTGGACATACTTTAGAAAAAGGGATCTTGGGCTGATGCGTGTGGGGCCTAGAGAGCCTGCCACGCACAGGCCTGAAGCCCCTCCTTGAGAATACGGAGGGACATTATCAAGATTATCGAAGGCCCCTGTGCGGCTTCAACTGTACGCACTGTTCCACCACAAGGATACAGGAAGTTGCGGGCGCGAATAAAAGTGACCTGGCATCACATAATGACATTCAAAGTTGATTTGAGCATGAGGTCGATGACAAGTCGATGAGGCAGCCTGACCTTATCGATTGATTCATCCTACTCCGGTCAGTGACAGGTCATGATCATAAGAACAACGTTCGAAGGCCAAGAATTTGCAGTGTTAATAGTACGGACCTATGTACGGTGGATAGATGTTGAACTCGAAGATCCCTTAGTGGTTATCGAACTGTGAGACAGTATTTGGATAGTAAGTATGTATGAGGCCTCCGGGTCATGTGATCGTTCACTACCATCTCGCCTAAGGTGATACTTACCACGCGTCCACGCAGCTCAACGCATACGCGCCAATTGTTGACGCTACGCATATACAGGCATATAACCCACATAATGGACAGACGATAAGCGCTAAGCCCTCGATATTTCATTCCCTGCTTCTGCCGCATCTCCTCATTTGACCGCTAATAAACTCCTACTTCTACCTATACTCCTGTTTCATCCGGAGTCTCAAAGTTAAAGTAGAGGGAGCCCTAGAGCGATTCGCAGCAAATGATGCATGGGTACTGGTGGTCCTGGTCGGAGCCCGGCGAGGCGTTCATGACAGCCTGAGTCGTCGGCATGAACCTTTTCCGGCATATCGCGCGACGCGGAGCGCGATGAACCCAAATGGCGATATGATTCTAGCTGCATACACATTTTTCAAGTAATCCCAAAGCGATGAGAGAAAATGGTCAACGTGGATAACACTACTAGGGACTACAGCAAGAGCAAGTACGTAGGAGAAATTAGAAAGGCATAAGCTGACCCTGAGAAGTTCAAACGGTTAAACGAAGAAACATGGGCTCCTGCTCAAAGATTCCACAGTCAAATTCAGTGACCGCCCACTCAGCCAGTCTTAACGGGGGCTGGTGCCTTCAACCTCGCCTCTGTCTGTGCGTAATGGTCCTTATCTTCTTTGGTGGCCTTCTCGAGCTGAACCTTAATGAGGGTAGTCCACTTATCGTCCAGCTGTTGATTGGTGTTAGTCCTAACGAACAAAAGAATGCAGACTGTCACCAACCTTGTACTGGCCGTAGAGCTTCTGCATTTCCGCAGACTTGCTAGTGAACTTTGCTGTCAGCTCCTGAACCACGCTCGCGTCTTTGAAGGTTGCTGCTTCAGGGAGTTTCGTCGACGCTAACGTGAGGAATTCAATGCTCTGCTTGAGGTTTCTGGGTACGACGAAATGGCGGTTAGAACGGAGTGTCCTCGAAATATGCCTGAAGAAACGCACGTTGTGATGGCACGGCGGTTGATGGGTAATCGTTCTTCCTTGACGGCATCGCACAAGGCCAGGTGATACCACATATACACCAGCACAACCGATCGTCCATGGAATGGTCGTCGAACCTGTGCGGCAAGCTTCATCATCTCGAGCAGTTGTGGGCCGAATAGTTCGGGCAGTTTCGTGACGTCGAATATGACCTTCTTCAGCGCCTCATAGTCCCCTTCCAGTTGCTCATTAGATTTCGGTTTGTCTGATAGGTGACCGACGACCTCCTGGAGCACACTGCAAGACAGTCAACGACTATCGTAAGCTGCAGATAGATTGAATTCACCGTTTCATCTCTTCCCAGACTTTTTTGGACTTGAGATGTTCAGCCCACTTCGACTCCACCCCCTTGTCTGCGGTTAATGCGAACGGGAAGTAAACGAGCAAAACGGTCTTCACGACTGGCTGCGCGGTAGCCTGTGTGTACGTTATGATCTGGTTTACTTTGAACTCTATTCAAATGCACTTGCCTGATCGTATTTGGTGTTCACTTGAGTTGCGATTGTGTCGATTAAGCCCGTCAGACCCGTCACCATCTTGTCTTCCGGCCCCCTATGGCAAGAAAAAAATTAGAAACATTCGGAGGGAAGTGCAGTGGATGCATACGCCTCGAAGATTGAATCGTCTGTCAACTTGTGCTCAGACCCTTTGGCGTAGCTTTGAACTTCCTTGATCATATCGATGTCATCCTGTTTCACCGATTCTGCAAGACCGGTCTCGAGGTTTGTCTTCAGCTCCGCCGATAAGTCCTGTAATGATATATTCACAATATGGAAACATTGATTGATGCGGTGCGTTACCTTGAATTCATTGGACTTCAGTAATTCAACGATCTTGACAGTGATCTTCCAATCGTTCGCCCATCTCTCGATGGATAGAATCGACTTGGGAATGTCCTGGGACGAGTGACTGAGATGCTCCGAGTGACTGACAAGCTGTGATGACTTGTCTCCAATCTCGTAGGTGTAGTCGAGCAACAACCTAATAGTCAACAAGATCAGCTTTCGAGGTAGACGAGGTTTGCTTCGCACAATTCACCTTTCCAGAGGGGGGATTGCCTCGGTATATGTCTTGAAACTTTTCCACTCCGCTTCTTCAGCCTTTTCCGTTTTCTTCTTGATAACTTCGATATGTTTCTCGATCCCATTGTAGACGGCGTTTGCTTTGGTTAAAATCTGCTTTGAGGATGCCTTGGACCGCTTGAACTGGGAAGCTTCCGTGTTGATATGTCCCAGCAACCGTTTGATCATATCTGTGGCGGGATTGCCGTCGGCGACAGTGATAAACGACATTGTGCGAAGTAGTCGATAAAGCGAGGCTTAGTTGTGACTTTTTTAATAGCAGAGAGTAGCGGGGAAACGACAGCGCTTAACCAAGGTCGAGGAGAACGTTTGCTTTTTAAACCTTTCGGTCTATCGACAATAAATTCCTCGGTGGTATTTGGCGGCAACACAATCTCGATTCAACACATTTGTGCACCTCCACAGGCGCTCTGGGGAGATTGGTGGCTTGACAAATTGAGCAACGACAGGGAGGAACGCCCTTGCGAATCGGAGAAACTCGGGCAGGCGTAGAAAAGCGTGTAAAGGGCATGGTCGTCCTGTGACTCTTGTCAAGAGGGAAAGCAATGTATGAGATACTACTTACACTTCAAACTGACGGATCTAAAAGACGGACCACGAGGAATCAGATTGATGAGTATGGACCGGATAGTTGTTTTCTCCAGCTTATCGATAGGGCGATGTATTAATGTCGACTTCCGGCCCAGATGTTGGAAGACGCTCGATCATTCCAAAAGAGGGCCGATATAATTCGGTGTAGCGCTCGTCATTTGTTGTCTGCTTAATTGATCCGAGATGCTGTGATGACGTCTTTGGGACTTCTTCAACTTTAAAACGTGCTGATCGACAACAAGCGCGCGTGGCTAAATCGGGTTGATCACAGCGTTCTTGTAAAAATCGCAGCACTGATCCGGGGTAGACAATCCTCTTCAATCCAAGACCTCCACGATGCACAGGTCGTTGGCATCCACCTCACGCAAGACACGTGGAATTGGTGGTGAACCTAATATCGAAACGTGCTCTGATCGAATACAGACGCCCCACTTGAAGTGTCGCTGTATCAGGTTGATCGCAGCACGATCGCACTATTGGAGGCGCCAACTCGTCTGAAAAGGACAGTCCTCTTTATTCCCAAGCAACGATCATTGGTCCTCATGGGTGATGCGTGGAGTTGACGGCGAGCCTAATGTCGGAGATCCCACTTGAAAACGTGCTCATGAAACGTATACGGGCGCCCGTGAGTACCACTAAATTGGGTCGTTCGCAGCGTGATTGTATGATAGAAGCGCCGACCTAGCTGAAACTGAGAAATCCCTTCAATCTCTCAAGTTGCGGGTTGCGTTCCTGCTCACCTCATGCCTGACGCGTGAAGTTGATGGTGAGCTTAATGGCTGGGATTGGGAGCTTCTTCCCACCAGTGAACGTCGCCATTAGAAAGAAAGCTCCTCAAGCGCTCGGTGCAATTTTCAGATTTCTGAAAACTGAAATGAACGCAGCTTTGCGTCAGAGGAGAGATAGGCGAAAGAGTGAACAGCAAGGCTTACAGTTACCAGACTGCATCGCCGTCTCTACAAGCCGGGAGGGGTGTTTGCTCTGAACAGAAGGCTTCAACGCGGGACCCAGGGCCAATCAGGGCGTATGCTTTTCCAGAAAAGCGAGGAAGGCCACGGCATTAGCGTCGAAACTGCCTGTATCGTATGGTATTATGTCGAAGCGTCAGTGAAAGCAAATTTGCAAGTTGACACTGGGGTACTTTCGCGCTTGCTTACGTAAGTATATTTGTCAGCCAACGGTCAATCATACTATTTTCGGACAACCTGCTGCTTTTTCTTGCTCCCGCACCGGAAAAAACTGACGTTTGACATCTACCGAAGACCGTCCCGAGTGGGCCTTTGTACTTATAATACAACGCGTTGGGACTATTCTCATCAACCTTGTCTGCGAGCAAGGTCCGAAGAAGCACTGACCAGGGTATGTCGTACCTCCAGGACCAATCTTCACGAGGCTGGGCATTCGAATAACTGGCCGCAAGCCATCCACTCAGTTTCTAATCTTTGCTCCAAAGAACCGGCGGAGCTCGCGACTCGTTCCTATCTGTCGTTGTCTCAAAAAAGCTTGATCTAGGGTGGGGCACACATGGATTTTGGAGATTTAGAGGCGGAGCATGGTGGTTATCATGAGGAAGGGGGAATCGTCGAAAATCTTGCTTTCTCACCCAACACGTGTTGGTCTCGTTGCAACGCTCCACCCGTCCCCGAAACCCAAAATTTCATCCTGAGGTTGGTTGAAACTCGAACTGAACAAGAGGAAATTTACAACAAGTCGTATGGTCGAACTTTGGCCACTCAAGTTTTTGCTTTGAAGTCCAATCGTTTTCTAGATTTCGTATGGGGGAACTCGCTGTGTCTTCGGACTACACAACATAGTGAATGGGGGCCCGATGATCTTTCACCTTATCTAACAACATCCAAGGAAGGACAATAGATTTTCGTTTTGGGGAGGATCTATCTTGATCTTGTGAACATACGGATACCCTCGACCGCGTACTACGATAACGATACGCCATTCTCCTTATTTCGTGCTCGTTCTGTTTAAAACGTGTTCGGGCATAGAGTCTTCACTCCTCGCTAGGGGTATGTTCTATACATGATTTGCTGACTCGTGTCGAAAGAGCAATCGACATTCCACTTGTAAAATCAACCCCTCTATCACCCCTGGAGCTAAAGATACCAAAATTTCCCCTCTGCCCACCACACAATCTCAACTTTGATACCAAGCAAATCTTAGTTTCGCGGCCCTTCTCGTACAGTCATGCAGCGTCTCAAAGACACACAGCCTCCGCAATACACGCTGCAAGCCAGTCCCTAAAAGACATGAGGTTTAGCGATGATGTTGGGGATTTGACTTGCCAGTTGTTGGTGTTGTGGTTGGTTGGATAGAAAAGCAGGAGTGTGTTGATGACTGGTACTTGCGTATTGATCCTGCCACTTCCGTTCGGCATGAGAAAAGGAAATCAGGTCAGAGTCCAGACGATGGACAGGCATTTGATCAAGCTCAGTTGTTTCAGGTTGTTTTTCGTCTCTGTAATTCAGCATCTTGGCATTGCTGATCACCCATTGTTCGCTTAGGTGACTAACGGAGCTAAAAGAGATCTTATGATGAGGTCTTAGGAGTACGAGTCATGTTAGTTGCAATCGAACTTTTCATATATTTTTGTTCTCGTCTTGAAGCCTTCATAGTGCAAGCAACGTATCATCAGTGGCCGTTTGTAAACAACCAAACAGTCTACTACGTCCTCTGTGAAGCCCTTTTCGAGGGCATCAGCTCTTTCGCAAAACGCATAAGGAATGCCGCAAAGTGGCAGGCGACTCGTTTGGATAAGATGTTTTCTAAGGATGAGGTCCACCAAGTGAGTGCCATGCGTGGTTTTCAAGTTGCCGCGTGCTTGTCTGGGGCGTCCCATGAGTTTTTTGATTTTTTGGAGAGAGGAGCAGCTGCCGGGATTCTGTCAGCGGCAATCTTGGCTTCATGGAGTTGTGAGATCCCAGTCAATCGCTCATTCACCACTGCTGCTCTGCTTGATGAAAGACAATGCTGCATGCTAGTCAAAGAGAGTATCTTCGTTACCACGGCTCAGATCGCACACGCTCACCTAAATCTGGTCCAGGCCACTTGAGAACATCGACTGTGAAAGAGAGTTGTGGTTTCGTCCAACCCAGCCAATGGTCACGAATGTCTAGTTGCTTCTTATTGAAGAGCCAGGTCTTCAGAAACGCAGTGTTCCATGAGAAAGCATAATCCAATTTCAAATCCTCGAAAACAGAAATAAGGTAAAGCTTTGCACAATCAGCCAAAAGAAACCCGAGGGATAAACGAGAACCTTGCAAATAATACATGCAAATGCATCATCGACCAGCAATGATGCGTGCCGTGTCACTTTCCGAAACGCCATTGGCTTGCCCGCCACCAACAATTCCAGCAACCGTCTTTTGCATGTCTGTCCATTCAGACTCCCTCGGCAACGCCATGTCTCCAATGTCATAAATATATAAACGACCATCACTACCTCCGAGGGCAGCCCGCCGGCCATCTTTCTTATCCCATTGCAACTTGTTGATCGCCCTTCCAGAGCCGACTGTCGTTGATACTACAGGAACCTGAAAAAGGCGATCAGTGAACTTCAACCAGACGACACATTCAGATAAAGGAGTACCTCTGTGTCGGCGTTCAAATTCCACAAATCAAACTTGCCAGACCCATCAACAGTGGCAAACACCGCCGGGTGTGCAGGATGCCATTTCACATCGTACACATAGTCGTCAGCCTCATCGAAAGAATAAATGGGCGCAACGTTATGAAGCGTCGTCGACGGCTTCGCGAGTGACTTGGCTCTCCAAAGCTTGACAGTCCAATCGACTGAGCTTGTCAGGAACAGGTCTGAGAAATCCACAGGCCCTACAAGCGGATGAAAGTGCAGCCCCATGACAGGCCCTGAGTGCCCTTTGTAAACGTCGTATTGGTTTAGGCCGGCTTTCGCTCCAGCGCGGTCATACCGATTTGCTTGGTAAACGTTTCCCTCTTCGGTACCGACCCAGAAGGTTGTCGTCTCGTTGTCTGGGAAGTCTAAAGTGGTGATGGCGACCTCTCCTGTCTTGTTGTGTCCAGCATGCACTAACTCAAGTGTTTCCTAAACATAATCGATATCAGCATTGAACCATATGAGAAAGGGAGGAATGACATACCTGAGGTTGAGCTAGCATATCAACAAGCCAACTGCAAACGGTACCGTCGGTGCTACTGGTTATAAGATTGTGTGCGTTCTGTGTGCCGACCATTTGCATGGCATAAACAGGATGCGTATGGCCTGCGGCTGACAATGGCGTCTTAAGAACGGGAAGATGTTTAGATCGGGTATCCCAAAGAAGAATTTGCCCTGAGTAGGTTCCACCAAACACGAGGTTTGAATGGAAGGGAGAGAAAGTGACAGAAAGGACGTCCGACTACATGGCAAAGTTAGCATTGTGATTGAAAAGGATTTGGTTGGACTATGCACTTGAGAATGGAAGACAAATTCAGGTCTTTCCAGCATATGTAAATTCCACACAGCAACGATACCATCAGGCTCGTTAGGAGCCGCTGGATTCTTGTTATATGAAGCCACGCTGAGTTCAGGGTACTACGAAGATAACGTCAGTATTCATCAGGTCAACAAACCGTTTGAAGACTTGCTTTTGGTGACCAATCTACATCCGTTATTGAGCGATTCTTCCCATATCGTTCATCCCAGAATTCGCATACGCGTTTGACGCGTTTTCCTTCAGAATCATCACTGTGTTGACTGAGCAACTGCGTGCCAAACACGAAATGACCTGTTCTCACCCTTCTGATTCTGCTCCAATGCGATAGTCGCGAATATAGTCATAACCGTCATTAAGAGCTCTTTGAAGTATTTTTGATGATTGTTCTACGAAATCCAGAAACTCAGGCGCTGCCAGGATGCTCGCGCGTTCTTCCTCGGAGAGCTCTGTACATGTCGTACCGTAAGTCCAAGGGTTATAGAAGGTTCAAGTATTGAATATGTACCTCGTATTTCCTGCTCAATTTCCTGCTCAAGCTTGACGCTTTCTTCCTCGAGTGCTTTGTCCCGAGCAATCCTATCAGCTTCGACGTCCCTTTCCCGATAGATTCGTTGGCGGAGTTGCTCCTCATAGTCATGTGGAACTTCTGTCTCGACGGCCATCGTCTGGACTTCCTTATTGTAGATCACACGTTCCTGCAATGGTAGCCTCATGTCAGCCAAACCAATAGATGCCAGAACATTGGGAAAGACCGTTTGTGGCAACTCAAACAACTCTTGCTCGACGTCAATGAGATCTGGATACATCCTGGGTGTCATCGTCCTGTAATTGTCGCTGAATCGTTGAAAAAAAACATAGTGTCGACTCCAACATACCTCTCAATGACATTCTCGGTCGCTGAGCTACTAGAGCCTGGTACATTGGTTGTCCCCATACTACCGCCTCGGTCAGAATGCAAGTCACTCTGTCGACTCGCTCGTCCAGATATCGACAACGCAGATGGACCTGGGAGACCGATAGCGCGTCCATGAGCTGGAGAACCAGGAATGGACGAGGAAGGGGTCAAGTCGCCACTATCCAGACCACCCCGACTCGAGGTTCCAACCAATAGGGTAACTAGATCCTCAACATCTCTCTTCGCTGGAGATGCTGCGACCTGGTGGCGGTGAATATAAGAGCCAGTTGTGTTGAGTTGCACTTACGTCGGATGTCTTCCGTTCCGTTTCCAACTTTTGTCGATCTGCCCTTGCTTTCCTGAGTTCTGCGAGTTTCGCCCGTTTTACCTCGATTTCAGCTCTGCGCCTATCAGACATGATGAATTGGGGGGAGGCTTGACGAAATGGTAGGGTTCTATGTTCAGACGTGTTCAATGTATTTGCACGCGTTATAAACAGAGGGCTACGCTGTCTATGATTTCCAAAAATAATCATCTTCAAGTTACTTTCAATGTCGCTCATTACCCCTAGCTCGCGTCCCAAGGGACCTTTCAAAGGCGGCGCCCGTAGGAATGACAACAACAGAATATACGCAAACCCTCTTCCTCTCCTTTTCATTGAGCCACCCCGTTCGCGAGTCACCTCAATCTTAGGATTGCTCGGCCTCTCCCTAACCCACATCGAAAATCCTCATTGTGAAGGAGTCTTCGATCCCACCACGCGCTCAGTATGGGTATCCAACATTGACCACTCTATGCTTCTTTGGAGAAGAGGTTTCTTTGGCAAAGGTGATCTATCGCGTAGCGAACCAAGCTGGCTCGCGCGACAATTAAATAACAGAAAAATGGGTGGAAAACGTGCGTATATACGTCCCCTTCCCCATACGCAGTATTAACGACATCTTTTGTTTAGAATTAACTTCGGAAGAAATCACGGCCCGCCGAAGAGCAGAACGTAAACAGTTCAAACTTGATCGCGCTGCTGCAATCGCAGCTGTTCATGAAGAAGCTGAAGTGATTTTCGAGACTGAGGGAAAGGTTATCAGACCCGCACTTTCTGGTCCTGCCATCCCATCCGCTGCAACATGGAAACCTGCTCCGAAACCAGAAGAACCTCCAGCTACTCCTCTCATAGAGGACGAGGAGCTGGAAGAAGAACCTATAGAAGACGTTGAACATCTTCAGCTGACCCTCCAAGAAGCCTTCCTCCTCCTCTGGAACCTCGACTGTCTAACAGTTCTTGACCCACAGTCTGTGCGTTCACCTCAAATAACCAGATTTATGCTCGTCCTGACACTTCGGTCTTCATTAGATGACCCCAATGTCACTCAAACAGATATGGATCGCATTCCAAGTAGCCCATCTTCCACCCCGACTTCCTTCGCAGCCAACGCAAAAACCTCAGCTACAATACGACAACCCCTTCCTCATCAACTTTGTTGTTTACCACCACTACCGATCCCTCGGATGGGTGGTGAAAGGCGGGATCAAATTTTGCGTCGACTACCTCCTGTATAAGAGAGGACCAGTATTTCACCACGCCGAGTAGGTTTCTGCTTTCTACAATCCCCTTCCTTCGATTGACAATGTCTTCGTCAGATTCGCACTTGTCGTTATCCCAGTATACGAAGATCCAGAGGATCAGCAAGTGTCCGTAACTAATCTTCAAAACGCTTCCCCGTTTGCCTGGTCATGGCTAAGCACCATTAATCGTGTTAACTCTCAAGTTCAAAAGGTGCCCCACCTCTACTTTCTTGGAGAACACCGTTGACCTCTGTCCAGACTCTCATCCTCGTTTACGTCACAATTCCAGCCCGTTCAAGACTGCCAGAAAGCATTCTGGAGTCTCCTGCGTGTCTAGCACACTACTCAGTCAGAGAAGTCATTCTACGGCGGTTCATTCCAGCACGTATGCGTGATTGATATTGGGACTTGCACATGCTCTATTTGCATTATTGGCGTATAGTGACTTTTTTGTGGGGCGAAAGCAATCCTGATTATTGTTTCTCATACAATTCACATAACATTGTACACTACCCTCTGCCACCACACCCCGTCCTGACCTGACTCCAGGACAACCACCACCGGGGTAACCTCAAGCAGCCACTAATGGTAAGGCCGGTCTTCCGCAGCGAAGGTAAAATCCAAGGAACGCTATAGCTGTCGAGGTGTCCGCCTTGATTGAGGTCCGTCGTCGTCGGAAGAGGAACGGGAATGGGAATCGGATAAAGCAAAAATAACGAAAGGAAACGGAAATAGATAGATGAGAACGCAACCACAGTAAAAAGTCATCCAGGGCCGTGAGTGGGGGAAAAGGATCATATTGCGCCTTTAATCAGAACCTTGCGATACTTCTCCTCAAGGACTTGCGCAAGACGAGGCATTGCAGATTTGCAGTCTAGCGTCTTCTGTTCGTCCGGACTATGGGCGTTGGTAAAGAATGCGGCTGAGTGCTCTACGAGGAAAGTCCGTGCCAAATCCGCCGAATCAAAGGCTAACTCATTTTGGATGAAAGTGAGAGATATTGTTTTGTACCTGACAAAAAACAGTCAGATGAGAGAAAACCCCATTACAGCAAGAAACATACGCTTTTGTGATAATCATCAGCGCCTTGACCCGCTCTCGGTCAATGAAATGATCCATAATGTACGCGCCCATGTTCGGCGATGTCAGGTACAGATCGAAAAGTGAATGATAGTTGCCCATCGCCAACGCTCGCTGCACTCCCAGTGCATGCCGAACGGCCGGATCCGCTTTCTGTTTGGGTGTTAGCTGACCTACGAAAAGATTTAATTCTAAAAACAAAACGTCAGATTGGCGGATGAACCCGATGAACTTCACGCACCACTCCGGTTTCGGCCGTGCAGAAGCATCAGAATACGATAGGCCGTAAACTCCTCAACTTTGCCTGGTATTCCAAGGTCATAAAGCGTCCTCAGAGTGGCCTGGCACTGATTGTATTCCACCATATCACTCTATCGTTTGTTATTAGTACCCCGCACGCAAAAAAATAAAAACAACACTCACACTCTCCAACGCCATTCGAGCATGAATCTCATACACTTGAACTGTAAATTCGTTCTTTATTCGTTGTACCTGTAGATAACAATAGTTGAAAATGGAAACCTGATGACCCTCTGAAATACAGGAGAACAGCGACGCACTGTGAGATCCTGCCGAAGACTCTTAAACTGGTTACAAATCCAGTTGTAGGGGCATTTCTCCCGCCAACGTTTTTTAAGTTCTAGCAGTGTTTTTTGGAGAACAGCATAAGGACGTATCGTCTCTGGTTTCGGTTCCTGATTTGTAGCATAGCATCAGGGATGTCACCTATTAGATAGTAAACTTACACTTGTTAATCGTAGATAATCTTTGAAAATCTCCTGAGAGGTACCGACAATGGTAAAGCGATCCCAATCCATAACGTTCTAGGGCCAACATCAGGCTATGCATGGTAATCCGCAAGGAGACACACCGGGTCCGCTCCTGGCTCTTCCAGGCTGCCGTAGGGTGATGCTGACCGCAAAGCCATAGAATGACCGTTATTAAATAAATGGGCATTTTGAGAATTTGCTCGCAAGGGCCCGTTGCTATTAATCGAGCCTTTAGATCGTTCCAATTCATGTTCACGCTGAAAACGTTGTGCTCTGCGGTTCAACGCAGCTTGATCATTGAAATCGGTTGTTTGAGGGCCTGTGGAGTTGTTTTTAAGTGCAGCTTTTTTGGCCTTTTTATTCGTAGGAGCATTATCAAAGCTGCATGGAGATCGCATGTCAATGCAGGGTCAACGCAGCAAGCCAGAGAGGACGTACGTCTTGCGTTTTAGGTGATTGAAACTTGGTACGGGCTTTGGAAGGAGACTGAAACGGAATTTAGTGCTGATGATGACTGGGCATGCAGGAAACTTGCGGGACCTTTGCAATTGAACCCCGGCCCAATCCGTCGTCCAGAGGGTGTGGGCAGCGAAAGCGTCAGCAATTACCTGTCTTAGTTCGGCTTGAGCTTCTATCCTATTCGTGTCGGTCATTTGGCCCAGACATTTAGCGACCCATTCTCTGAGAGTCGCATAGTCAGCAGCATGACTCCTCCATGATGCGACCTTCGACGTACTTGAGCTGAGGCGGCCACGATTCCGCAGACATTTCTGAGGTATTCCGTCGTGATGGTACGGATCAAGATTGAGATGTGTTGGGAGAATATGAAGACGATGAGGATGAGGGCCGTCGGGAAAACGATGTGGAGTAGGTGCTGTCGGACTTTGAAGTGACCTTTTGAGAACTCCGATCATAATAACAGACAAATGGTAGACAACAATTATATAGGCGTTGGTCCAAGAGACACGTATGAACTCGATTCAGACAAAATATTACTAGGGGGACCCAACCTCTGAAGCTTCAAAGTCGTGTCCTGAGATAAAATTTAAAAAAACTCCGACAAAAGAATAGTCACAGCCGAACTCCCAACTCGAAACGTGCGAGCGAGTCAAGGCTTGTTTCCCAATTGATGAAGGGGACTGCTCACTTGCCGGAAAAAACAGAGTTTGCAAATGGTTGGAACCCCGTGGATGGACAGCCCAACACGAAATTTGAATGAGCCCATCTAGGAGGGAAGAACTGACGACAATGTGTGGCGGCATATTCTTCAAAGGTAGAGAGATCTTGGGATAAATTTTGAAGCCGAGATGAAGGACATTGAAACCGCACCCAAACGAAGACACAACAAGGCATCTGTCAAGATAGAAAAATTCAACAAGAAATTTGAGGCACTCGTCAAACACACGCCGAATTAGCAAGGAGTTATCATTAACCCCCGATCCGTTGCTATCTACAAGAGTACGAAGAGAAAACTCTTTTCTAGTGGGTTTTGTCAACTGGCGGGTTGTAGACTAATCACGAATATCGTCAGTAAAACTCGGGTTATATAGAAACAAAAACTCACAAATCTTCCTGTTCTTGATGACGGTCCATTTGAAGCGTTTGACATACAGACTGAGAGCAAAGCACGCTGAGAGGATGATGACGGCTTTGATACCGTACTTTTTCCTTTCGTCGTGCTCAGGCTCGGCAGCCCAGCTGAGGAATGTCACGACGTCCTTTGCCATTTGAGATGTTGTAGCGGGCGTTCCTGAAAAAGGGGACCATTAGCCATGTATCAACAAGCACAGAATGATATCAACCATCGTCATATTCCACCAGTCCGTCGAACAAGACACGAGCCATTGAAATGGCACCACCAGGGAAGAATGGGTTGTAGTTCATGCCCTCACGAATTTCGACGCCTGCCGGGGCATCAATGTAACCAGTCAGGAGAGAGAAAACGTAGTCCTAGATATGTCCGACAGGATTCAGTATCAACCGACAGCCAGACGAAAACGACTCACAGCGCCACCGTGACGAGCTTTCACGATCAAACTCAAGTCCGGAGGGGAGAGCACCTGCATTGCCAGCCCTAGCAGCCTCCTCATTGGGGTAAGGGGCTGGCATGTAATCCGCCAATTTACCAGGTCGCTGGAACATCTCTCCTTCGGCATTGGGTCCGTCTGTGTACTCAACTTCTTCGGCCATCGCTCGCGTTTCGTCGGCGGTGTGAGAAACACCAACAAGGTTGCGCCATGCAATGCGGTCCAAAGAATGGCACGCCGCGCAGACTTCGCGGTAGACCTGGTATCCTCTCCGGATGCTATGCAATGACTTGAGGGTTAATCCTTGTAACTGACACGGATGAATTCGGCGTCCTCACCTCGCATGATCAAATGTATCAAGGATACCCTTGTGTGACCATGGGTATGCAGCAGGGTGAAGTCCCTCGTCGCTCAAGTGGCTGGCGTGCACTTCGCCGACAAAGGGAAGAGTGCCATAAAGATGGGTGTACCATGCGATCGTTCCGACGGTAAATAGGGAGACAGACGCGAGCGCCGCTCGAGAATTGACCGCTGTCTTTTTTCTCAATTTTAGACACAGACTTCTATCCCAGGAATTGGAAAGATACCTCGAAAGCCGACGAGGAGGCATTTGAAGAAGCAAATCGGACCTGTGACGACGACACGGTTCAATGTACGCTTGCTAACAAAATTTCAAGACCCTTACCGAGGCAGAACGCGAAGTAGAAAGGAGAGTCGAGGAGCGTGCAGCGCGCAAGTTAGCAGCGTGCTTCAAGGCTCCTGCAGACAGCCTCGACAACATTTTCGTTGCAGGTTTTTGGGAGGAAGGATTGGCTAGTCACGCGTGACCAGACGGCGGAATGAATCGGAAAATGCCTTGGGCCAATCGAGGTCCAGTTATTATTTCTGATCTTCACGTGGAGGAGCGTATCATACATATAAAATTGAATGAGACCGCAAAGTGCACTTGGACGGATTTGGGATGATTTGCAGATAGTTCATAAACATTGCGTGAAAAAAGACATTAATATTTTACTGACATCCAGCAAATACGTGATTCAATCAGTGCAAGCGAATTTCATAAAGAGGGTGGCAAGAATCCAGAAAGGAGACAAAAATCCTAAGATACAAATCCAGTGTCCAGGTCCTAGTGTCATGCTGGTGCAACATTGCGAGACTGTCGTTGCTTCTTTAGAACAGACATTCACATAATTCTTTTTGAAAAAATCAGCGGTTACAATGAGCCGAACAACCAATCGCAAATTTCACGCACCTTCCGCGCAGCAACAGAGACACATTCCAGCAAGACAAGCCATGCAACCACCTGAAGCCATTCCACCACTCTTCTCGGGCGGTTGTTGACTGACAAACCAGCGTAGGTTGTGGAAAGCTAAAACACAAAGAGACTCACTTACACGTAGACGGTCTGAGGCTGACCCTGGTATCCCGGCTGAGGATAACCTTGCGGCGGCGGGCCCCCTTGGTATGGAGCGTTATAACCTTGTTGGTAGGCTTGTTGGGGTTGCTAAATCACCACAAGTTCAGATTATGAATGTAGCCTGAGCGTTTATCACGCACCTGGGGATAGTAACCCCCCTGCTGAGGCGGGCCACCTAAATTATGACGCGTCAGCTCCGAAAAACTTCAAGACCTCGCCAAGATCGCTGTGCAACATGTTCCCGATACGTTTGGTGTATCCTGCAGCTCTCACGGATATCGACAGTGAAATGATTTTGGTACTAACCTTGAGGCGGGTAATAACCACCCTGCTGAGGTTGTCCTCCATGATAGTAATCTTGGGCACTCATGTTCGTTGCGCGTGTGTCGAAGCCGGAGGGAAGGACAGGAGGAGGATCAGAAAGGCGACCGATGCGGGTCCTGAAGAAGTGCCACTCTTGTTTGTGCAAGTTATCTTGACCGCAGTGGTCTTAGCCTTGCCGATGCATGGCCACCACACAGCGTTCGAAATTCGACTTAAGGATAGTCAGATCACAACGTGGACAAAAACATGTGTACGAATGTCAGAAATAGCTTCCAGGCTGTGATGAATTTGTCTTGACGTCGTAGCGACCAGTTCGCAAGTAGTACTTACACTGGATGCTGTGCAGCAATCACAACGTTAGCTACGCATAGTGCAATTTCCGAGAAAAGCTGTCCAGACATGTTCGGCACGGATTTACGGGATTGCTCCCTAATTGAACCACGTGGCTTTGGGGTGGTCATGCATTCCGGAAACATCTGTACTTATACATTTTTTTAGAAAATCTGCATGAATGTGTCAACATTAGAAAAGTGGAATGAGTTCAAAATTGGAGGAAGAAAGAAAAGTATCTAGTATATGAAATAAAAACGGTTGAAATACTTGATGTCCACGATTAAGTCCAAATTGTGAATCGTCACAATCAGTTGTAAGAGACATATGTGAACATCCTTGCACCTTGTCGAACGAAAGATTGCGTCAACCGCGTGGTAGCTTGATACATTCAGCTTTGAAACCCTCAGAGTAAAAAAGAAGCGACACACGAGCTGCTGTATATTGGTCAAGAGCAAGGACGTCAAATGTTCTTGTGCGCGCTTCGGCCAGGTGAGTGCCGTGTTGAGCCAAGTTGACATTGCCAGTCAAATCAGCCCTACGCAACGCGTCAGTCAGACAGCGAATTTTCGACAACCCAACACTCTTACATTGACAGTCTTGACAACGTGATACCTAGCTGATACTGACCACGCCATCGCACGCTGACATCTGGAAAGAGGAAAAAAAGTCCCATGTTGCCCTGCAAGTCTTCAAGCTGATCGACCGAGGACACCAGATTACCGTACAAGATGGGTGGTGTATGGCCTCGTCCAATGGAGGAACCCATGTCCAGTGACCTGGACCCGTCACCCGAATATAATGATAGGTGTGCGATGAGAAAGGGAAGCTCCGCTTCTCTGAAAACAGACCTGCTTCAGATCAATTGTGTTAAATACAAGTGATTTCAAAAGCATACGGAACGACGGAGTTGCCAGAAGGGTCTCTGATAATTAGCTGCGCAATCATTGGCGGCGTTAGCGGGAGACGGGATAGATTTGCCAGTCCAAACTCGGCTGTTCGTACTGGATGCTGGACAACTCGGAGATCATATGTTCTATCCTGAAATTAGTAAAGGCGGTATAGGTAAATCAGACGGAAATACCTAGTATGCGGGTCTGCTAAGAGGGAAGAAACTTGTATTCGAGGTTGCCGCCGAACAAATGGGCTGGCCGTCGGAAGAGTCAGGTCAGAAAAGGATGCATGGCTTGTAGCAGGGCTTCGGCTGTTGTTGGAGCCTACAGAAGAAAAGATAACTGAACTGAACGAAGATTGCGGGGATGAATGCCCGCTACTGGGTGAAGACGGGGTTGTAGTGTAGGTGTCGTGATCATGTGACGAAATGTAATTTATGAGCGGGGTTCGTATGACTTCTGAAGGAAGAATTAGAGCAGAGGGCGCGGGCGGCACATGTCGACGTCGAAAAGATTTTTTAGGACTGAGAAGAAAGGCCTGTCAAGGATGAGTATTGGTTCAGACCACCGAATGGAGCTAACTACTGACCATAGGCTTGCAGCCACACCCGTGGATGCATTTTTGCCTCCGCTTCCAACTGTTCCTAATGGGATATTGCGACAAGGCCTTGTACCGCGCATTCAGTATGCCATGATCACATTGCGGCGTGGAGGGTTTTCTCCTAGAAGCCAGAACTGTATGCCGAATGTCAATAAACTGAATCATCAAGATTTTGAACTTCGATGTCGCGTTCGGTTGAGCGACCAAGAAAGCTTTGACAGGAGAACATTTATAAGATTTGTGCAAAGGCGGTGACTATATCAAACCCGACTAGGAAACGAGGTAGAATTTTGATCATCTAGAGTTCTGGAATTGTGTCAACTTACTTGCCCCATATCAGAAGGGTTAATCTGGGCCAGAATACCGGGAACCAAGTCTCAATCTTGATGGAGGGTAAGGAGGCAGATTTCGTCCCTCGGAAATTGCTCACAGATTTGCCAAGACGGATCCGGAGTAGAGGGGCAATTAAGGTTGTAGATACATGTAGTGTGATCAGATCAAACGCTCTTCTTCACATAGCTCCAGATGCCTGCCATGCCTGAAATGACGGTAGCGGCGGCAATGGCAGGTTTTACGCCAGCTGACAAAAAACCATATGAGGATGGCGCAGAGGAATTGAATCAGAAGCGTTTAAACGTACCCGTCGATTTGTATAGAGCACCTGTCAGTGCCCCGGCTGTCATACTTCCCAGCATGTCGTGTTTTCCTCGAAAGGCATCTATGGAGGAATTAACCCCATTGTAGACCAGGGCTATAAAGCGGTGAGTTGGGCGGATCATAGAGAAAATATGATTCAGAATTATGACGCGAACGAACCTAATACGCCAGCCGAGTTACCGATGAAAGTTCCCCTTCGCGTGACAGAGTTCAAGATACTGTTCAACCGCAGCCTTGAATTTGATACGGCAAGTGGCCTTGAAGCGCCTTCCCGTACGCCCCATGCGCCGCCAAGGGCCAAACCTAGAAAACGCAGGGTGAACATGTGACAAATTAGAACAATAAGAGGACTAAAGATGGGTCGTCCGAGATGTTCAAGATAAGGTGAGAGAGGGTCAGGGAGAAATCGAGGCCCGAAGCAAACACACCGAAGCTCGAAAAGAGTAATTTGAAAGAGATCTCGTACGCACCACTGAGATACATGGTACCGGTCCCATAACATAAATCATCACTCCACCCCCTGGATGGCACTGCCGTACTTGACCCCGGAAGGTCACTAGTCTTGTCATCATCAAGAAGGAGGTAGTCTAATTTGTCCCCCAAATCGGCGAGTGGGTGCAATTTTGCGGGGTCATAAGCAGCCATGAGCAAGTCCGATGCTGTGATGGCATTTCCTGGTGCTGGCGCGGTTCCTTCTGTCCGCGAAAAGTTGGCAGAGCGAAGGAAGTCGGAGGTTGTCTGTGAGGAGGAGGCCTCTGATTGTGTGCCAGCTGTATTTGACGATGACATGACGGTAATGAACGACGAGCAAGCAAGTAATGGTGGCGTTGAAACGACGTGGTCAAAAAATTGGATCCTGGTTTCAAGGTCCGCGAGTGTCCCGTTCACGTGATGAGACTCATTCCAGGTTCTGTTGGAAGAGTCACAAAAAACAATTGGACATGGCCCTCCCAATTTGCACACGCGCCTCGCGCAACCTTTCTTCAGTTTTCGCTAAATCCTTTATTTCCGCCTTCAGATCCAATCCGCCATGTCACCGGCCGACGTCCTTCGCTTCCTGGAAAAGTTCCGCTACAATACCGGCAGGACAGCAAAGACGTACGTATATCACCTTCCGTTCCCAAAGAAATCTCAATTCTTTTGTTTTACAGGTTGGGCGACCGGCGTTACGCCCCAATCATCTGCATTGGATCCAGCAGAAGTCGAAGCATTGCGATGTCTCGAGCAAGGGACGCTCAAATTGGAGGAGGGCGATGTGCAAGCGGCCAAAGAGCTGTACCAGCGAAGCGCTGAGATTAAACGCAACGCTAGCTCACTGTTTAATCTCGGCGTGACCCACTACCATCTTAGTTCGTCCCAATATATTTAACGATGACATTTCAATGACGTTTGACACAGAGGAATATGACGAGGCTATCGAAGCTTGGAAAGAGTCGATATCATTGCAACCATCTAGTCCAGATGCGCACACAAGTGAGTTTGACAGTCTTCCCATGTCATATGAATTCATTCGAGTCATTCCCAGACCTTGCCAGTGCATACATCATTTCTCCAAGTGACTATTTGGTTTTTTTGTAGACCCTGAGAAGTCATATTTACCCTTCTTCGCCCACAACAGTTTCCCGACCAGATCTCGCATTACACCATCTGGAGTAATCATTTCTTTCACGTCTCCTCATATAGCTCACTAACGAGAATGTACAGAATTGCATCTTCGCTGTCCCCCGAGGACCCTGAGATCGCGTTCAATCACGCTGCGGTCCTCGAAGCCAGTAAGTTGACAGCTCAAAGCGCGCATCGCTCAATCACGTTGCTCACTATACGCTCCGCCTAGCCGGCAGACTGGAGGAGGCTCTTGACAAATACAAACGCAGCAAAGATCACGGCGTCGAGCGGGCAGCCATTCATATTCGCAACGTAAGTACAATCAAACCCCACATCCTGGTCCAGGTCCAGACTACGCGTAACATTACCAGGTCAGCGCGAAAATCTTGGGGAAAAAAATAAAAGCCGCAGAGCAGGCCGAGAAATCCGAAGAATAAGGGCATCAGAACAGGGTTTTTCAACTGGATCTTCCGTCCTTGATCAATCAGTATATACCAAATCCCAACCCCACGCTGAACGACATCCTCTCTCGCACCCGCGATAAGTGGGAACACCATTCTATTGTCTCGGAGAACGATCAGGGCGTTTAAAAGGCGATATCCTACACGTCAAGGTTAGTCGGGCTGCTCTGAGAAATTTGACTTTATCGTGTAAGGCGAAGCTATACACTCGTGATTACAATGTAACATCAAAACGTCTCTTCCTCATTCATCCATCTCAATCCACCGTAGACGGGTCACCGGCACCAGTTTCTTTGCACTCAATCTCCGACCTCTTTGCATTGTCCCGGTTTTGACTTTCCGTTGATTCGGACGGAGAACGCGGCTCTCCAGCAGCCACAGCAATGGAGCTTTGCGAATCTATTGGGACACCCGCTGGATGGCTATTGTTTCTAAGAAATGCAGGAGGTGTGGACCACGAGCTGCGAGATCCGCCGGATAATCCTGGCACGAAGGTGCTTCCTTGCCCCGAATAAGAATAATTGTTGTTACGCGCACCCCAACTGCCCCGACCTCCTCGCGCAGAATTTCCTCGAGATGAGAAAGATCCACGTGCGTTTGCTCTTGAAGCCCCGCGACGAGGTGTGCTGTTGCGGATGGGGGCTGTCACTGGCGAGCTCGTCGCTACACGCTGCAAGACAGCGGCGATGTCGGCGCGAGCATATGGCGGGGAGGGAAGATCTGACGGTTTCACATATAAGATGCGTTGGTACCCTTCATGGGGATCCGGCGACACAAAATCAGCTGCGAAGCGCTTCAACACGGACAATCCCTGTTCGGGACTCTTGATGGTGGGGTGTGATTTTCCTGGTGTTGAAAGTTAGATAGACACCTCACGGTGATATTATTGGATTCACGTACGTTCGCGGAGCCGGGCTGCACAGATCTTTGTGAGGAGATAATCAGCGTCACGATCGGAGACTGAGAGGCGCCATTCGTCCGTAGGGATGTGATCAACTGAGAACCCACCTCGTATGGAGTATCGAAGACAATAACCCAAATCGCAGTTCCTGGAAACTCGTGAGCTATATCTATCCAGTAGGATCTTTGCCTGGGTAAAACACACACATTCCCCGTTAGCAATGACAATGGGACTTCTTCGTCCAATAGCGACTCACGATTCATTGAAGTTTGTCCGGTCGATACAAACAGAGAGGCCTTGACTCAGTGAATCCCGAGCAAGATGCTCGACTCGGCGTCTGTCGCCCAAATCATCTTGATTACATCGGCGAAACTGGGGAAAGTGGGACTGCAGACTCTCTGCGAACGTTGACTGTACAGAAGAGAAAAAGATGCGTGAGATAATCGCAGATACTAGTGTGGAAATTCAAATTATGGCTAACCTTGCCAGAACCAATGAGACCACATAAGATCAAGACGACTTGGCCTTCTATGTTGAAATCGGAAGGGGCGACCTCTGCGGTATCACTGGGGCCAAATGATAACATGGATGTTAAAACAGACCACATGCGGTATCAAAGAGGCTTTTAGGATAACAGAGGCGGTGGGCGGCAGCGCTCGCAATGTCATGGTTAGTCACAAGGACTAACTTTATAAAGGCCTAGTCAATTTGTCGTGTCGTCGACATTGTAAGTTTTCAGGCATTCTGATTAATAAAACAGGACATCGTAAAAAGTCAATGGAGTGCAAGACTGTAAGTATATTATGAACACCCATCCCAGAATTTAAATAAAATTATCATAAACAACGATGTGCAAATGAGTGTCGGGGAATCATGCCACAAATCCGAATCGTCCTTGATCACCGCCCGCTCACCGTAGTTGAATCCTTTTGCTTCGCAGGAGACGCCACTGGAACAGTTGATGTCGCCTCTGGAGTAACCGGAGCCTTGTTGGGATGGTCTGGCATCTTCTCAATTTCCTTCTTCGCATCCTCCCATGCTTTCAAATTCTAGGAGTCACCGTTAGGGGAGCAAACAGAAGAGACGAAGATGTAAGCACCTTCTTACACCAATCCCGATGGCTCCTTGCCATGCTAATACACATTTCCCTCATGTCAGCCACCTTCTGTCGTTGAAATCTATCCAAGTCAGCTTGAATCGTTGAGCTCGAGTATTTGAGGTCCTGAGCTGCCAAATGAAGCGCATCTTCAAGCTAAAGATATACATGACCTCAGAATACAACGCCGGATGAGTAGCAGTGAGTTCAACTCACCTGCGATATGTTCTCTCGTGTTTTGGTAATGCCATTCCGACGGGCGACTTCAGGGTCGACGTCCATCATACCATGCAATGTATAACTCAAAGCATTCAACAAACCCATACCGGGAGCTTTCGTCCGTCTCCGTGCTGGGTTTGGACCAGGGTGTGGAGGCAGAAACGCAGAGCCAGGCGTAATTGGTGTTTCAGGTGTATCACTATTTCCTTCTGAGTCCTGAGTGGTAGGGGACGCCAGTCCATTGGTAACCTTTCCCCGACCCAAGGCCTCTTCGAGCCGTCTAGCCTCCCGCTCACTCTTCTCCAGTTCTTCCAATTGCTCTCGTTTATTTTCAAGAACATCCTGAGTCATTTCGTACTGAACATGCTTTTGGTGTCGATAAGCAAGAAGTCTCTTGATGATGGCAGCAAACTGCGCATATTCATGAAGCGGCTCTGCCCAGTTTTGCTCAAGTTCTTGTATCTAAAAGTTTTGTTAAAATAAGGATGGAGGCCTTTTTTTTGTTCTTACCAGTTTTGTCGTTGACATGAACGTAGCATCGACGGCTTGGCCAGTTTTTTCGACAGCCGCCGACAATGAACCAGGTTCATTCAAGCTGAAACCGTTCAACGATGCGCCAAGATCTGAATGATCAGAAGCATAGTCTGAACTTCTTGTTAAGCCCTTCCAATTGAACGAATATTGAAAGTGAGACTCACCTGACCAGCGCTTAATCACACGACGCGTCACCTTCTCCATTGGACCGCTGACGTGATTAGCGAATTTGTGGGTAAAAGCTTCGGAGTCCAGGAATCGTTGATCTGGCTGCCGTAGAGGATGCGCAGCTGAGGGGTTAGGAAGCGCAGCATAGGCGAGCGAAGCATTTTGGTCAGTAGGATTATGTGACGGCGCTTTGAGTATATTCTTTGGAAGTAATGACAAGGGTGGTGAATTCAAGACCTCGGTCTATTCCAGAGAAGAACAATTTAAGGGTGGAAGGAAGATGAACCAGGACATGTAACGCACCCACGACACTTCGCCATCAAGGAAGCGATGAAACACATGCTCATTTGATAAAATAGGATGACGAGCGACACGGTTCAAAAACGTTTGCAACATTCGTTTCCTGCGTGCAATCAAGGTTACATCCTCTTTGGCCTTACCTTGTTTGACCGCATAGTCCGTAAGGGGTTGTTTCGATGGGATTGGAGGAACGATTATCGTCGGGTACAACTTGACAAGGCTCTCTCGAAAAGACTCGAACTCCGAATAACGGTGTCTTGCTTCTGTGTTCTAAGAAGACGAAATGAGGACAGAGACGTTCCGCAATTGAGAAGGGGCGTACACCTGTTTTGATAACATATGCTATGTAAGTCGAACCAGCACCGAGAGAGGTCTTTTGTGCGTCTGTGATCTATGCAGCTTTCAAAATCACCATGCATTGCGACTTGAATGTCAATGACGTACAAGTATCTCGACGTCGTCCCCCGAATGTAACACCCTATCGCGTGCACAACAGTAGTCAGTCTTGTAGTTCGAGTATGGTTGCCGGTGGGAACCCGAAGAGGGAAATGGGGGACGATTCGTGCGGGGTGAAGTGGGTGAAGTGGGCGAAAGTTGGCGAGAAGGGTGTAGGGGTGGTGAAGAGGGTTCATAAAGGGCTACTTTGGATGTTGAAGATGCTTCTGAGGGTATATGTTCCGCGTCTTGTTCAAAAGGGTTCTCATCTTCGAAGCCATCCATGTTCATAGCTGCTAGTTGTCTCAGGACTAAGCTCGCAGTTTCTGTACTGCGGTTGGTGCGTAAATTAGTTCCAGGGCTCTATACTCGATGATCTAACTCACAAAACAAGCTATGGAGAGCCTTTCCACACACAATAGAAAGACACTGGCGCAGGATGTACTGTGTTAGCTGTTGTTGGCAGTCGTGGACTGTGATTAAGCCTCAACTGCCAGTATGTTCGTCCTGTGCTTTGTATATTTGTCTTTGTTAAAATTGAGTGGCAGATCTACCCAAACACCCTAAATCCACTTTTCAGTGCGTCGTCCACCTCTACCGTATGCTCTACGACCTCATCACCATTAATCCCGGCATGGTCGAATCCCTTTCCTAACAGAGATCCAAAAAGTTCATCGATCTGCTCTTCATGCCATGCTACCCTGGAAGGCACGGGAACCATAAAGTTTTGGAGTTTCTCATGGACTTCATACCTATAACCACCTTGTAAACATAGTGTGAAGAATAGGATGAGAGATTGCGAACCGTAACTTCCGTCCTTTGCTCGCCTTGGTATCAACCTTTTTCTTCGCCTTCTTCTGTTTCTGTTGCACTAACCAATCATCCCCGCCTTCGCCGCCACCGCGAGAATCGATGATATCCCTCAGAAGCTTCTGGTAAAAATCTGTATCATCGAATATCTCAACGTCTCCTCCAGCTTGATCCTCAGAGTCCTCCGGCACTGCCCCAATGCGGGCGCTCTTCCCCCTCCGTACCTGGGTCTTCTCAACGAGCTTCTCATGGTCCGCAAGCGTTTCGTCAATGAGCTGCACGGCTGATTTTATGTTTTGGGAGCCCTTTAAGAAAGCTCCACGATTCGAGGGAAGGAGAACGGATGGAGCGACGGCTTGAATTTTGGAAGACCATTTTGACAGCGTTTGATTGAGATATGGATGGAAGCTTTGAGATTAGATAAATCAGATGAATTTCAAACCAATGGGGAGAATACACACGCTGCTTCGAGGGCTGAATTAGCCTCGGACGACTCAGACACACTTGCCGCGTAGTCCGCAGGTGACTCAGGTGACTCCAATTTTCGCCGTTTTCGAGCTGGCGGTACTATAATCTCGTTTGTCGTCAATAGACGCTAAACTCACAAATTGAGCAACAAAACTAAAGTACAAAACAGGTGAACCAACCTCTTCCAAATCAAATAGATCATCCGCCAAGAGCAGTGATTCTTCAAGAACCTTACGAAGAGCACCACGACATGCCGGTAGCTGAAGTAATTCTTCCATCTGCGACGGCTGAAATACAAAGTTAGTTGGGGTAGAAAGCTTGGCAAGAGAACAGAATACCAGCGGTAAGTCATTCGACGCGACGACGGCCTTCTGGAGACGTATTCGGGTGTCTAGTAGAGTATCCCATAATGCCTGGAGAAGAAAAGCAAATTTGTCAAACATCCTGGCGAAGCTCACAGGAGGACAAAATGCACTATTTGTTTTGCAACAGCTTTGCCCTTCTTTCGGTCCTCCTCGCGCTTAACCTTCATAGCAGAAGTCATATCTTCCGCAGCTTCCGGAGATTTTGACCGTTTACGCGACGTCTGAGGAAATTCTGGTTCCGAAACTTCTTCTTCCGCGTCCTTTTCACTCCCCGATTGCACTTCCTCTTCTTCTACACTTTCCTCAGAATCCTCGACGCCCCCATCCACTTCATCATCACGCTCATCCTTATCCAAGTCCTCCCCTCCACCTTCCTCGTCCTCTTCATCAAAATCTTCCCCTCCGTTACTCCCCTCCAAATCACTGTCTTCCATAAGCTGCTTCCTAGAGGTCCGTACGCCGTCGTATTTCGGATCTGCAACGCTCGCTTGTAAATTCCGGAGTGCGCTCGGGCTTCAGAATATATAAACACTGATATCAGAGCATGAGAAGCAACGACTACTTACCCGACCTCCACGTAATGTTCCCGGGCGGCAGAGAGATCCACGTCCATTTGATCTTCGCGCTCCACGCCATGGTATTGGACATCCTCTGGGTCAAAATCTACGGTAACACTAACATCAGCGCAACATCGAAATGCCACCATACTTGTGTAGCGTACCAACAGGCGCTGCTTCCTCCAGCTGCGTAATTTGTTGTGCTAGGGATAAACCTGTTGACGGGTCAGCCTACCAACGAACAGACGTTTTTTTTTGCGAAACCAGCGTACGTCCTGGGGCCATTGTGCAAGGAGTTTCTTACGAGTAGTGGAAACAAAATGGGTTTGAGGCTTCTGTGTCCTCTCGTTGATTCGTTTCGCGTCAAAAGTCGGTCAAAGCTCTTCATGGCCAACTCCAAAAAATCTGAGAGGATGTTTCGTTATTTGGTTGTCCCAGGCTTGGCAAGCACCGTCATCCTCCACCAAACAATCATTTTGAACTTCGTCGTTTCCCGGCTTCATCGGAGCTCCTTGCTTGCCCAATGCTTCTGCACTGTCTGGTTTCAATTCCAAAAGGTTTGTGTAGCCATTTATTGTGGCTTCTTTGCGTCGCAACTTCCTACGATGGACGACAGTGGGTACCCAGGCAGGGGATAGGTACGAAACGGTCGAAAGTGGACGAAAAACGCAAGAAAAACGCATGCTAATTTACACATAGCCAATTTTCCAACAAGCAGAAATAATCGCGTTGCAAAGGCAGAAACCCATAAAAATGCATTGCTCGTACTATACCACTGCCGCCTTACCCGTCAAAAAACTACTAGGACGATACCGTTACAAATATTATATACAAAGGTAAAAAGTTACTCTGACGGATTTTCGTAAGGTATCTAAACGTTCAAGCGATCACCCAAGATGGAACAATATGGGTATGGTCTCCCTCTCAAAAGAATGTGCTATTTTCCCCCATCCCCCGGACCACTAGGACCTTCAAGCTTCAACCTTCTCGGGCGTAATCCCAACCTTCTCGGGCTTAATCCCCACCTTCTCCTCAGTAGTAACCCGCCTCGCGAAAACCTCATAGAGAATACTCTGAGGAGGTAGCACGTTCCCAAACTGATCCGGATCAAGCATCGGCTGCGGCCTCGCAAGATCCACGCGAGGACCTCGGCGCCCCACGACCGCGAGAAAATCCGTGACCTGAAACGTACGCGCCAAATCCAGAGAAATGCGCCGATTGTCCAAATCTTCAAATTCCAGGCGGGGACTTCGCTGTGAGCTTTCTGGGTCAGGATTATCGTCTGCCTGCTTCGGAAAAGCATGTCGTCGAGGTAAAGGGCTGTTTTCGGACACCGAACCACGATTGATATTACCCTGAGCTCTTGTCGGGTTCACGAGCGCCGCTCCAACGATGCGATCTTTCGGCAGTGGTGGTGGCGACTTCAAAGAGGGTGGAAATGGCTCAGACGACGGGAGCAAGAGTTCCGACGGCATTCTGACAATAGTACCCCAAAGGTTCTTGTGCGCATCCTCAAAGTGTTTCGGGAATGATGCAAGACGCCAGGTAACTGACCCACAACCTAAGAAAACATTTGATCAGTCTTGCGAAATAATTACTATGATACCAAAGAATTATTGGCCGGTGTGAGCTTACCACGGATAGGACAATCAAGAGCAATGCGTAACAGATGTGATTCATCAACATGTTTTTCAAGATCTTCACACGACTTTTGTAGCTTGAAATTACATCGCGGCAGCTTGCATTCTATCGGAATCCTAGTATTCTAGAGCCAAAAAATTCAAATAAATGCCGTGAAAGATATAAAAAAGTATGTATGCCAAACCTTTTTCCCCTGAGAACGACAGTGGGTGTGCATATGCTATAAAAATGACAGTAAGCCCGAAAATATTCTTAAAACCTATTCTGGATAGCAAAATTGACAAGAAATAAGATAGCAAAATACATGTGACAACCCCCCCCAAGTCAAGGAAACAGCACACCAGGAAGACAACACACACACCTTTCTCAACAAATCCCAGCTTCCCAAAACAACTTGACATGTCTTAGGCTTGCCTCCAAATTTTCCAATATCCCAATCACATTCGAATCCACCTGGCTTGAGTGCATGTTTTGCAACATCTCCAATTGTTTCTGGTGAAAGGATTACACCACGCCCATCAGCCATAGAGAAACACTGAGTTCTGCACAGTTCTTGAACAGCAGACAGGTCACAGGTCTCAAGGTTGGCAATACTACCTGGGAGAGAATGCCCAATGCCCAATGCCCACCCAGCACAGCGTACACCGTACTGCATGGAAGACAAAAGAGTCTTCAGAATTACTAAGTGGAAAAGAGCTAAAATGCCCACTCCAAGGACAAAAGGAAGGAAAGGCTCAAGCTGGAAAGTGGCTTGAGAGAAGGAAGGGGTGAAGGGGGGGGAAACATGTAATTTAAATTCAACAAATTCAACATATGGTCACGTGGTGTGACATGATCCTGATCCAAAAAAAAACTTAAAGGAATTGACAGAAGGATAGTTTGTAGTGTCCTTGACTATGCATAGCAGCCAGCCAACAAGACATGTCATGATGCTATCAGGGTGTGAGGATATATTCAAAGATGTGCTTAGAAAGGTTGTGAGTTGCAAGCAGCAACCATTGATAGTGTGACCGAGTCTGTGAGCTGGAAATCCATGAGTCGAAATTTGAGACTTGGTCTCTTGGCCTCCGCTTCCTCTCCCTGATAAACTCTTTTGGTGGACCTTCTTCTGCTCCTTCTGTTCTTCCTCCATCTCCTTGCTCAACGCACTCTGGATGCGTGCCAAACCAAGCCAGTCCCACCACTCGGGATGGGCAGCTGCACATCACCGGAAGACGGGCTATCGATATCCTGCCGGCGCCGCGTCATCCGCGTCCCCAGCAACGCATCCCAACGCACGAAAAATGGCTGTGAAAAATTCGACTTGATTCCAATTACCTGTTATTTGGATAATCAATTGAGGGAGCTCAACAAAAAAAAAACCGGCTCACCTGATGGTGGATATCATGATAATCCGCATTATTCACCGTAAACATCTGTAACGGGTCCCACGGAAATTGTATCCGTACTGATCATCCACAGTCTTCAAACTCGACACGCTAAACAGGGGCATCGCCTGTCGCGTGCTCAGGCCCATAGCCCATTCCGCAATGACAGCACCAAGGGTGTCTAAGAGAAATCCCTCCAATTGGTAGTTGTATAACGACCCAAAGGCGTAGGGTACGTAAAGGCGGTGGCGCCATGAATGGAATTGCTTAATGTCGGCGTGCATGAAACGGTGGAGAAAGTATTGCCAGATGTCGATTATGAACTTCAGATAAGCTTGACATGAGTAGGGTAAAAGGGTGAAGGAGGGACGGGACGGACATTGCGGCAAAGAACTGAGCAATCGGAATCCCCCACCAACTCGAAACCTCCGAAACCACACACGGCCTCTCCCCGCCCCTCGACGTCTTCTTCATCTTCACCGTCCTCAGAATCCTCGACGCCCCTATTCACTTCATCTTTCATCCTTATCCAAGTCGTCCCCTCCAAGTCCTCCCCTCCACTTTCCTCATCCTCTTGACCAAAATCTTTCCCCCCCGTTACTTCCCTCCAAATCACTGTCCTCCATAGGTGCTCCCAGGTCCGCCCGCCGTCTTATTTCGGATCTGCAATGGGCTACAGAAAACATAAACATGGATATCGGAGTATGAAAAGTAACGGCTACTACCCGACCTCCATTGGATCTTCACGCTCCACATCCATTGGATCTTCACACTCCACATGGCGCTAATGCTCTGGATCAAAATCTACGGTAACACCAACGCCAGCGCAGCTTCGAAATGCCACCGCAATGCGTAGCGTACCAACAGGCGGCGCTTCCTCCAGGTGCGCAATTTGGCGTGCTAAGGATAAACTTGTTGACGGTCAGCCTACTAACGAACAGAAGGAGAGAAAAATTAACCAGCGTACGTCCTGCGGCCATTGATTGTGCAAGAGAATTCCTACGAGTGGTGGAAATAAAACGGGTTGGGTCGCCTCGTTCATCTTCATCCTCTACCAAACAAATCATTTTGAACGTCGTCGTTTTTCTAGCTTGATCACAGACCACAGTTCCTTGCCTCCTTCTGCACCATCTGGTTTCACTACCAAAACTTTTGTGGCGGTATGGATCATAGTGTCACAACTGAAGTTCATACTATGAATGACAGTGGGAATCCCGGCACCGCTACGTGGAGGTGGGATAGGTACGAAACGGTCGAAATTGTACGAAAAACGCGTTTTAAAATAACCCATAGCCAAGTTTCCAGCAAGCAGGCTTCAAAAGCAGAAGCCCAAAATTTACATTGCTCATACTATACCACTGCCGCCTTACTCGCCAAAAAGCTACTAGGATAATGCTACAGAAATTATGTACAAAGGTAAGAAGTTACTCTAGGTGACGGATTTCCGTAAGGTATCAAAACGTTCAAGGGATCACCCAACATGGAACAATATGGGCATCGTCTCCCTTTCAAAAGAATGTGCTATTTCCCCCCATCCCCTGGACCACGAGGACCTTCAACCTTCTCAGGCTTGACCCCACCCTTATCCTCAGTAGTAACCCGCCTTGCGAAAACCTCATAGAGAATACTCTTAGGGGGCATCACGTTCCTAAATTCGTCGGGGTCAAGCATCGGCTGCGGCCTCGCAAGATCCACGCGAGGACCTCGGCGCCCCACGACCGCGAGAAAATCCGTGACCTGAAACGTACGCGCCAAATCCAGAGAAATGCGCCGATTGTCCAAATCTTCAAATTCCAGGCGGGGACTTCGCTGTGAGCTTTCCGCGTCAGGATTATTCTCTGTCTGCTTCGGGAAACGATGTCGTCCAGGTAAAGGGCTGTTTTCGGACACCAAAAAACGCTCAATATCACCGCGAGCTTTCGTCGGGTTCACGAGCGCCGCTCCAATGGTACGATCTTTCGGCAGTGGTGGTGGCGACTTCAAGGAAGGTGGAAACGGCTTAGACGATGGGAGCAAGAGTTCCGACGGCATTCTGACAATACCACCCCAAAGATTTTTGTGCGCATCCTCAAAGTGTTTCGGAAATGATGCAAGACGCCAGGTAACGGATCCACAACCTAAGAACACATTAACCAAAAATTAATTAGCCTTCCGAAATAAATATCAGATCAAAGAATTATTGGCCGGTCTTACCGCGAATGGGACAATCAAGAGCAATGCGTGACAAGTGTGATTCATCAACATGTTTTTCAAGATCTTCGCACGACTTTTGCAGCTTGAAATTACACCGCGGCAACTTGCATTCTATTGGAATCCTTGTATTCTAGAGCCAAAAAATTCAAATAAATGCTGTGAAAGATATAGAAATTATGTATGCCGAACCTTTTTCCCCTGAGAACGACAGTGTGTGTGCATATGCTAGAAAAATACAAAGTAAGCCCAAAAATATTCTTAGAAGTTGTTCCGGATAAAATGGAACGTGGAAAAATGATAAGAAGTAAGATAGCAAATGCATGTGACAACCCCCAAGTAAAGGAAACAGCACACCAGGAAGACAACACACACACCTTTCTCAACAAATCCCAGCTTCCCAAAACAACTTGACATGTTTTAGGCTTGCCTCCAGATTTTCCAATATCCCAGTCACATTCGAATCCACCTGGCTTGAGTGCATGTTTTGCAACATCTCCAATCGTTTCTGGGGAAAGGATTACACCACGCCCATCAGCCATAGAGAATCACTGAGTTCTGCACAGTTCTTGAACAGTGGACAGGTCTCAAGGTCGGCAATGATACTGGGGAGAGCAAGTACAATGCCCACCCAGCACAGTGTACTGCACCAAAGACAAAAGAGTCTCCAGAATCACCAAGCAGAAAAGGGCTGCAATACCACAGCTAGAAGAAAAGGAAGGAAAGGCTCAAGCTGGAAAGTGGCTTGAGAGATGGAAAGAACAAAGGGGAGGAATTGTCAAATGAGGTGCATTAACAAATTTGAGATACAGTCACATGGTGTGACATGATTGTTAGTTGTTTAGGTGTTCACGCATCTAGTCAGTGTCTGTGTTGCAGCTATCAGCCAACAGGATGTGTCAAACGGTGCAAGTATTCTAAGATGTGCATTTCCCAAGAAGGTCTTGTAAGCCCACAAGTCAAAATTTGAGACAAACATGAGCATGCATGAGGATGGTAAAGGGCAAAATCTGTTACCATTCACCAAGTTGCCCCCAGTAGCTTCATACGAGCCTCAGCGGCCCGTGCCCGTCTCTCCCTCTCAACCTTGGCCCTCATCTCAGGCGTAAGACCCATAACAGCATCAGCCGCACCAGCATTCCCTCCAAGCCGATTAGCAACCATAGAGGAAGGCTTTTTTTCTTCCTTAGTCTTGGTCTGAACCACCACAGGCGGCGTCTTTGGCCTCTCCGTCTCCCTCTCCCGGTCCTTGGCCTCCCGCTCCCTAACACGCTCCTTCAACCCCTTCCGGCGGACCTTCTTCTTCTCCTCCTGTTCCTCCTCCATCTCCTTGCTCAGCGCACTCGGGACGCGCGCCGAACCAAGCCAGTCCCACCACTCCGGGTGGGCAGCTGCGCATCGCCGGAAGACGTCCCGGAGGGGTTTGGTACGCGCCAGGTCGTAAGCTGTACGGCGCCCGGTGGCAGAGGCGGTGTTGAGCTTGCGCGGAGAGTCAGAGGTGTCCCCACCGTCGTCCTCCGCCTCTCCGTCAACGTCAACTTGTCCGGACTTTGAAGGCACGGGGATCGTCGGGTCCGCACGAGCCTCTTCAAGCAACCACTGCGTCACGTCCTCGTGTCCCGCCTGCGTCCCCACCTGGAGCAACGTGCCCCAGCGTTCCCCGGTCCATTCGGGCACGGGTGTATCGATGTTTCCTCCCAACGCGGCGTTTTCTCGATCCCAAAACGCTTTGAGCGGTTCCAAGCGTCCTTTATGTATCATTTCTAGAAGACGAGACCATTTTTCCCGGAGAAGCTCTTCTTCCTTGCTTAGCTTGGGTTGTTTTGGCTTTTCGGGGACGATGGGAGCGGAGGGAGCGGGAGGTGGTCGGGTTTTAGGGAGGAGAGAGGCGAGGTGTGCTTCGTCCTGTGCGCGGAGAGCATCTTCTGTCAAATGAGATACTTTGGTTCTTGTGAGTTCCGCGAGACAGCGAGTAAGTTCTGCTTGTGTCTGTTCGCTGTATCAAAAAAATGTGGGTGAAGAAAGAAAGAAAAGAAACGTACAGGACGACGTGTAGGGAACGGGAAAGTACGTAAACGTGGATCACCTTTCTTTATGACGGCATCCTCGTAATTGAGGAAGATCTTGCGGTTTGAGGTGCTAGCGCGGATCCAGATCCTCTCGCAGCCCTCGATATCTTCAGCCCATTCATTTAGTAGATTTCTGATGTCCTAATATCGTTTCGTCGGACATACGAGGATGATGGAAAGAAAAAGAGCACACCTCGCGTAAAGCTTGTTCTCCGTATCGTCGCAATTGAGCACCAGCGCTCTTTGCATTGCCTTTTGCGTTATCATTCGTCGATTGAGAACCACCCTGCTTTCTCCGTGCTAAATTCAATCTCGTGAGCCATCAACCCCCCACACAGACTAATGAAACTCACTGGTATACCGATGGAACGTCTTATGCCTCAAAACCTCCGTTTCCGGCTTCGGTTTCTTCAATTTCTTCTTCCTCCCCTTCCCCGTCGTATCTCCTTCACCGTGAGCCCCCTCCTCCTCTACATCATCCTTGGGCTGGCTAACCTGCACCAACGCACCCGCAAAATGCCCTCCAGCAACCATGAACATCGCCCATGTCCTTCCCTCCAACTGGGGAGCTTGCATCTCTCTCAGCTCGTCTAAGTACGATTCAGGTTTTGTGCGGAGGGGGAATAGAGCGCGATATATGCCCAGTTGGGTAGAGGGTGGGGAATGAAACCAAGTCACTGCCGTTTGCGGTGTATTCTGCGATATGGAGTCGGGAGAATCAGGCCGTGCATTGAGTCGTTTCGTTTTGTTCACTAGCGCGTCGACGGCATCGGAGTCGTTGCCGTCATCTTCATCTGTAGAGGACTCTGAGCCAGATATGGAATCTTCCAGCGCTATACATCCAAAATTGAGACCAGTAGAAAAAATGGAGTGAAACAACGAGACACACCATCAATGAGCTCCCCAAAAATCGCCTCGGTAACTGGCTGTCCACCGTTCAAGCGGACCTTGACGTTATACCTATGCCAATCGGAACGGAAATGTGTTCGCTGTTCATCAAGATCACGAAAGGTGATCCCAAGGCAAATGCTGCAGGCCCTCAAGCCGCTTGTGGACGCGGGAGGGAGGACAGGCTCAGGTGTGGGTGCTCGCGAGGGTGGTCGATTTAGCAGGGTTCTAGGGGTGAGTGTGTGTAGAAGTTCTGGTGGAAGTGAGTAGACGTGAAAACTCTGCATTTCCTACTATGTGAACGCGTTGTGGGTGGGTGATTTCTGTGAACACTTGTTGGGTCGGATTATAAGGAAGCGAAATGACTGCAAGTTATCCGAAAAAACGTATTACTGACTCGTCAATCTAAGCGCCCGGAGATTGCCGGACCGTAACTTTGATCTACCTCCACGTTCACTTGTCTTCACCTCAACCATGGTCTCTGCAGCATTCGCCAGCAGGCCTGTGAAAAAGCTTTGTCTCTTCGATGTCGACGGAACACTCAGCCTCGCGCGTCAGGTAAATCTCCATCCTCCTTCCAAAACTTCACAGGACTTCCCTTGTTTTTTGAACTGGTAGGAAGCCTTGCCAGAGATGCTCGCAACCCTCCAGGCCCTGCGCCAAAAGCTCGTCATAGGTTTCGTCGGCGGCTCCGATCTCACAAAGATCTCAGAACAACTCGGGAGCAACGGTACGCTCTCTCTCTTGTATTCGACGGGTTTACTTCCCACTTATGTTGACGGAAAGCGATCCACGACTTTGACTACGCATTTTCCGAAAATGGGTTAACGGCGTTCAAGCTCGGCGAACCGCTCCCTTCGCAGTCGTTCATCGACTTTATAGGTGAAGAAAGGTATAAATCCTTGGTCAAGTTTATACTTCATTATATCGCGGATTTGGATATACCCATTAAGCGGTACTGCTCACTCATTCACTCTACCTCGAATTCCTGCTAATGGTGAACAGAGGAACGTTCATCGAATTCCGTAAAGGCATGGCAAACGTCAGTCCAATCGGCCGAAACGCCACGTCAGTATCATGTACCATCCACACGCTCTTCTCCTTTCTCAAATCCACATCATAGGATCCAAGAACGTATCGACTTTGAGAAATACGATTTGGTTCGTGTTTCTTGTCCTTTTTTCCCTTCCTCTTCCCTTACGCCAACAATCACAGAAACACGGAATCAGAGCAACACTCGTTCAAGCGCTCAAGGACAACTTCCCAGACTACGGTCTAACATATTCCATCGGCGGGCAGATATCATTCGACGTATTCCCGCATGGGTGGGATAAGACGTTCGCGCTTGGACGCGTCGCGGATGAGGAATTCGAGGAGATCCATTTCTTTGGTGATAAAACGTACAAGGCAAGCTTGGGTTTCCTTCTTGTTTTGTTTAATTCTCACATGGGCTTAGGGTGGAAATGACTATGAGATCTTTACTGATCCACGGACCATTGGACATGCTGTTAAGCACCCTGAGGATACCATCCGCATCGTAAAGGAGTTGTTCCTCAGCAACTAAGGATAGGAAGGATATGCAAGGACAGTAGGAAGCATCCACGACATTTTTACATACATAGATGCAAAGGACTATCAATGTATTAGAGGTCAACGTTAACTGTACAATTTTTTTCCGGGACACTACTAAGTAGTTGTATGAGATGAGATCCAAAAGACATTATATGACGACCAAGTACTGATCAAAAGAAAAATTACAAGTGAACACTATGATGAACAACCAAGCCAAGAGAAATAAACAAGAACTCAGACTACTCAGCCTTGCCAGCCTTTCTCTTCCGACGTTCGATATCCTGCCGCGTCATCCGCGTCCCCAACAACGCATCCCAATGCACGAAAAATGGCTGTGAAAAATTCGACTTGATCCCAATTACCTATTATTCAAACAATCAATCTAGAGAGCCCAACGAGAAAAAAGCAACTCACCTGATGGTGGATATCATGATAATCCGCATTATTCCCCGTACACATCTGTAACGGGTCCCAAGGAAAGTTGTATCCACAATGATCATCCACAGTCTTCAAACTCGACACGGTAAACAGGACCATCGCCTGTCGCGTGCTCAGGCCCATAGCCCATTCCGCGATGACAGCACCAAGTGTGTCTAGGAGGAACCCCTCCAGTGGGTGGTTATACAACGACCCAAAAGCATAGGGTACGTAAAGGCGGTGGTGCCATGAATGGAATTGTTTGTATAGGAATTTGTTGACGTGCATGAGGCGGTGGAGGAAGTATTGCCAGGTGTCGATTATGAACCTGAAATGAGCGTGAAGTGAGTAGGGTATGTAAAAGAATGAAGGAGGGACGGGACGTACATCGCGCCAAAGAACTGAGCAATCGGTATCCCCCACCAGTACACGAAACTCGCCACCTCCAAAACCACACACGGCCTCTCCCCGCCCCCCAACACTTCCACAAATGGGTGTAACACTCCCGCAATTTCACGGATCTTCAACGCGTGATTCACCGCACCAGGAACCTCATCGGCCAACCAAAACAAGCCCATAATAGTTTGTATAACCTGTTGAAAAATGACGGCCCACACGACCTGAGAACGGGTTACGAGGTTCCGCGACTTTACTTCTTCCGAGGGGTGTATTCTGTATTTTTCGAGGCATTTCCAGTCGCTTGTGTCGAGGTAGTGGAAGAGGAGGGAGAGGGACCAGTATGCGAGGATGGGTGAGGCGAGGGTTAGGAGGCGGTCTGGGATTGGCTGGATGAGGGATTGACGGGAGGTGTAGTATATTGGGTAGGTGAAGTGATCTTTGGTGAGACAGGCTGTTTGGTTGGATAGGAGCATGGGTGGGGAGAGAGTGAGGAGGTGAGGAGAGGAGGAGAACGGCGGGTGGAACGTCGAGGACGACGAGGAGACAAAAAGAGTCGATGAATGTATTATGACGAAGGCACAGGAAAGAAATTACATCTGCTTTCTCACGGGGTACATAAACAGTAAATTATCATGAACGGAATCGCAAGTAGGCCATTAGAAGCGCAGAACAACCGGTCACTATAACCATTGTAAGAAAACGAAAGGAATGTATCGGATTGACGCACCAATTGTAACAAGGTATTGCAACGTCGTAGCCTAAAAGTACCCATTCAATTCAATCACTCTCCGATGTATTGTGAACATACCTTTGACGCCTGTATCGTAGTCCTCAACCCAGCAATCTCCTGCTCTATCCTCGTATCCACCTCCTTAATCTTCAACTCCTGCCCACTACTCTCCTCCCTCATCCGCCCCTTCTCCAAATTCAAATCCAACCTCACCCCACCCTGCGTCCGCATAATCTCCTCCCGAAGCCGTTGCTTCAACTTCTCAATATCCGCGACGAGCCGGTCGTTCTCCGCTTTGATCATCGCGAGGTCGTTCTTCTCCATTAACTGCAGCTCGGACTTGATTTGTGCAAAGTCGACTTGTTGGGTATAGTGATGCTGCGTTCGTTTCCTCAAATTAGTAGTGAATAGAGTACATGTTGTGCGGGCGCACCTTTTCCTGTTCGGCCTTTGTGACCATGTTACTCGTCATATTCCGTATACTCTCGTCGATAACCTCAGCCATTGCCGACATGATGCCCTCGGCCTGTGCCCGATTCAGCCCTTCGCGTTCCAGACGCTGGACAAAGTGGTGTGTATCGAAATGGAAGTCTTTGAGGCATGATGATCGAGAGAAGTGGCGGGGGCGGAGAAGGCGGGATGTGGAGGAGGAGGAAATTAAGGGGACATTGAGCAAACGGAGGGACATGCTTTGAGGGGAACTCGGAGAGAGGGCCCGGCACGTGCATGGGGAGCGGAGGGTTATGGATGCGAAACCAAACATCGAGCGCCGACAACTTTTGAAGATCGAACAGACACCTTCACAAAATGCAAAGTGACGACGTGATTTGGTCAGTTATCAATCACCAGTTTTGTTCCTACAAAGTCAAGTATGTTTCTTTTACTCTTTCACCCGTCTACCTCGCTGATCTTTGGCTGGCTGGTGCAGGACAACGACCCAGAATTTTTGTCGAAACGAATATAACGTTACAGGCCTCTGCAATCGCCAATCATGTCCACTAGCCAACTCACGCTATGCAACTGTCCGAGAAAAAGAAGGTTCTCAACTTTACCGGAACGTGTATCAAGTTTCCTCGGCTGACCACTGGTCTTTTACAGGAATTCTATACCTCTATGTTAAAACTATCGAGCGGGCCCATTCGCCAGCTAATATGTGGGAACGCATCAAGCTTTCGAATAACTACACCAAAGCCTTGGAACAGGTTGGTTTCTTACTAGTTCAATTCGCACCGCTTTGCGTTGACTTTGACGAGATTGACAGCGAACTCATCCATTGGCCTAATTTCACCATTCATAAATGCAAGCAGAGGATAACGAAGATAACGCAGTATCTCATTAAAATGAGGCGTTTAAAACTGCGGCAACAGTTCGTCGTTACCTCTTTACCAGCCCTTACCTTTTGAATAATTTTTTTTACCAGACCGAAGCTTATTGGCGTGAAGAAAAAACTAGACCGCAGAGAAGCCGTACGCGAGCGAAAGGCTCTCTCCGCCGCACATCTGGAACGGTCGATCGAGAAAGAACTAATAGAACGACTTAAATCAAAAGCGTACGGCGACGCACCATTAAACGTGAACGAGTCCGTGTGGCAAGCTGTTCTGGACCGGGAACGGAATGGGGGAGAGGCGAATGTGGAGTTGGATGATGGGGAGTTGGGTATGTTGGATGACGAGACGGACGAGGAGGATGAGGGTGAGTTGGAGGAGGAGATGGAGGATGAGTGGGGTGATAGAGAGTTTGTTAGTGATGTTAGTGGGGATGAGGAGGATGATGGGTTGAGTGATCTTGAGGAGGCTGCGGTGAGTTGCTCGCATGGCGTTTTTGGCTTAAAACTCATTTCTTTTCTTGCAGGAGGGTTCGGAGGAGGAAGAGTCGAGCGAAGAAGAAGATAGTGAACCTGAAAACGATGTCCCGAAAACATCCCTGGGGAAGCGGAAAGCGCCTTCCAAAAACGCACCGAAGCCTTCAAAAACAAGACCAGGAAAGAAAACGAAAAGTGAGTGTCCTTTCTTCATCACGGGTTTTTTTTTGGTTTCTGACGCCTTTCATTTGGCAAGGAGGACCGAGGGTGGAGGTGGAATACGAACAGGAGATGGAGAGCGTACCACTTACGAAATCTATTTTGGCGAATTGGTAGCACTTTCTTTTTCTTGTAGATATTAGGGGAATATACAATTCCAGTGACGGCGTCACAAACATACGTAAATATCGCGTCCATCACGCTCACAAATCTCCGCGTTCAAGTCACCTTGCAAACCCTCGTCTTGAATACGTTCATGAACAACCAAAACTAAACGCACCATCATCACATACCCAGTTCGTTGCTTCCCATTGCACGCGTCGCCAACGATTGTTAGTGTCACTGACGCGTTTTAACTTTTCTAAAGTAAACACAAATGGAATCCGAGCGAGCAGCAAAGAAACGCAAGTTGGGTCCGACGCAGTCTTTCAATCACAATCAGACTCGGAGTCAGTTAAGCCAACAACCGTCTTTTACGGACGTTTTGGCACGGTTGAAGGAGGAAGCTGCGGGTGTTGTTGGTGAGCTTTCATTCCGATTCATCCATTCATTAGAGGATTTCTGACCAAGGGCTTGAAGATGTCGAGGGCGGAGCTGATAAATGGGCCAGGCCACCGCTTCGGAAGATGAATGAGAAGAAAGACTCTATAGGTTGGTTGTTGGCCTTTCTTATTCGTCGTGTTTTCTGATTTGATTCGGGGAGCAGTCTTTCAGCAGATAGACATTGATGAAACGGGGGATGGGAGTGGCGGGATTGAGTTGCGGATGTTTGGCGTCACGGAGGTTCGTTCTTCATTCCCAAGTTCTTCATACTCCTCCGAGCTGAAAGAAAGTGTTGTGTATTAGGATGGGCACAGTGTACTAGCACACGTAACCGACTTTCCGCCGTATTTCTATATTGGAGTTCCCCGAGGGTTCCAAGATGGCGATATAGAGTCGTTTCGACAGTATTTGAACGTTGGTCCCTCCTCCAATCTTATCCTCTGTTTTCGCGTTAACGTATAACAACAACAGTCCGTAACTCAAGGTTGTGTCAGGAGGATTGAGAGAGTATCAAAGAGGACGTTGTGGGGCTACAGAGGCGACGACTGGATACCATTTCTCAAGTTCATCATCACTGAGCCCAGAAGTTTGCCCAAAGTTAGAGATGAGTATCCTTTGGTTTCAATTATCACTTGTCAAGCAGACCCTCACCGTTTTTTCTTCTGCTGGTAATTACGCATCTTCGAGCGTGGCGAATGCGATTTCCAAGGCCTATTCAATGACGTTGTGCCCACCTTTGAAAGTAACATCGCCTACACTCTCCGGTTTATGATCGACACAAAGGTAAGCTTGCCCACATTCATGTCGCCTTTCCTGCTTATAATCCCGAAGGTTGTTGGGATGAACTGGATCGAAGTCCCCGCAGGAAAATACAACATCTACTCCCCGGATAAAAAGCGATCGACGTGTCAGTTGGAATTCGGTATGAGGTTTGTTCTTCCTTCGTCTCGTCTCTTTCATTTGTTCAATTTTTAACACCAGATACGACGCTTTCATCTCCCACGCACCCGAAGGCGACTGGTCCAAGATCGCCCCTTTGCGAATATTAAGTTTCGATATAGAATGTGCTGGTCGGAAGGGAATCTTCCCGGAAGCGTCGGTCGATCCTGTGATCCAGATTGCTAACATGGTGACGATTCAAGGTGCTTCTTCACCCATTCTCTCTTGTAGGAGATGCTAAAATTGAGGGACAGGGGAACATAAACCTTTCATCCGGAACGTATTCACGCTCAACAGCTGTTCACATATCGTCGGCTCGCAAGTCCTTTCATTCGACGACGAGGCGAAAATGCTACATAGTTGGCGAGACTTTGTTGAACAAGTTGATCCGGACGTTGTCATCGGATATAACATTGCTGGATTCGATTTCCCGTACCTCATGGATCGAGCAAAGGCCATAAAGGCGATCAAGTTCCCATACCTTGGAAAACTGAAAAGTGAGTTCTCCTTTCCTCCCAACTCCCTCTTTCTGCTGATATTAGCTTCATTGTAAGACGTCAAAGTTGAGACGAAAAACACCCATTTCTCATCAAAAGCGTACGGCCAGCGTGACTCGAAGGATACACCGCTGGATGGGCGTCTACAGCTCGATGTACTGCAATTCATGCAGCGGGAACATAAATTGCGGAGCTACACTTTGAATTCTGTCTGTGCGCAATTCTTGGGGGAGCAAAAAGAGGATGTCCATCACTCTGTGATTACGGAACTGCAGAATGGTACTCCAGAGTCACGGCGGCGGTTGGCTGTGTACTGTCTCAAGGTATGTATCTGTTTTGTAGCGATTTAAGCAAGTGCTGATGTGGGTCATGCAGGATGCGTATCTCCCCCAACGGCTTTTGGACAAGCTCATGTGCTTTGTGAATTACATCGAAATGGCCCGTGTCACCGGTGTCCCATTCAACTACCTCCTCTCTCGCGGTCAATCTATCAAGGTTCTCTCGCAGCTCTTCCGCAAAGCCAACGACGAGGGCTACGTGGTACCTTCGATGAAGGGAGAGGGTTCGCCCAGCCATTTCTTCTCCACTGCTTTCTTTCGGCTGACGTGAACGTTATGTCATAGGTTCTGACGAGCAATACGAAGGTGCTACCGTCATTGAGCCCAAAAAGGGCTACTACGATGTGCCGATTGCGACTCTGGATTTCAGCTCACTTTACCCGTCCATCATGATGGCTCATAATTTGTGCTACACCACTCTTTTGGACAAGGCGACTATAGATCGCCTAGGCTTGGTCAAGGACGTTGATTATATTCAGACTCCCAACAATGGTTGGGCTTTTTCTATCTTGTAGGATTTGTTGATCATTTACCTACCTCTACAGATCTGTTCGCAACGACTAAGAAGCGGAAGGGCCTGCTGCCAACCATCCTGGAAGACCTGATATCAGCACGTAAGCGGGCCAAGGCAGATCTGAAGAAAGAGACAGACCCATTCAAAAAGGCCGTGTTAGACGGACGACAGCTTGCTCTCAAGGTATTTATTTTTGTGTGCCACATTTTGCTAGGAACAAGCACAACTCAGTCGTCTTATACAGATCAGTGCCAATTCGGTGTATGGGTTTACGGGTGCGACGATTGGCAAACTCCCGTGTCTGGCTATCTCGTCTAGTGTCACGTCGTATGGTAGGCAGATGATTGAGAAGACGAAGCAGGTTCGTGGGTTGGACTTTACTTATCTGCCTTGCGTGCTTATCGATGAGAACAGGAAGTGGAAGCTGAATACTGCATCGCTAATGGGCATACGCATGATGCTGAGATTATTTATGGTGATACCGATTCTGTTATGGTTCGGTTTGGGCCAAATGATCTTGCCAAGGTTATGGCTTTGGGTATGTTTTTTCAACAACAGAAGCCGCAATTCCAGGACAACAACTGACAGTTTTTTTTATATAGGAAGTGAAGCGGCGGATCTAGTGACCGCGAAGTTCGTGAAGCCCATCAAGCTCGAGTTCGAGAAGGTGTATTATCCATATCTCTTGATCAGCAAGAAACGTTATGCGGGGTTGTATTGGACAAAAGTGGATAAGTATGATAAGATGGACTCGAAAGGTATCGAGGTCAGTAGGGACTTATTTGATCTTCTTTCCTTGAAGGTTTACCACTGAAATAGACTGTCCGTCGAGACAACTGTCGACTCGTGTCTACCGTGATTGAGACTTGTCTGCACAAAATGCTCATTGATAGGGACGTTCGGAGCGCCGAGGAGTAAGCTTCATCCAAGTATTTCTGACCTCATCACTAAACTGTCTTTCTAGTTATACCAAACAGACTATCGCAGACCTGTTACAGAACAAGGTGGATATGTCACAGTTGGTGATCACCAAAGCCCTTTCCAAAACCGGTGGGTGAAATGCCAAGTTGCATGAATTGTTCCTCAACATCGACCTTAGATTATGCTGGCAAACAAGCACACGCGGAACTTGCAGAGAGAATGAAACAACGTGATGCAGGTTAGCATCTTATGAACTTCTCGAAAATTCGCGTTTACGCCTATCTCTTTTACAGGTTCGGCTCCAGCACTGGGAGATCGTGTTGCCTACGTGATAATCAAGGGTATCAAAGGTTTATCTTTCTCTTTCTTCTCATTCCTCGTTATTCAACACCTCAACCGATTATAGGTGCTGCCGCATACGAGAAATCCGAAGACCCCCTCTACGTACTCGAGAATAACCTCCCTATCGACACCAAATATTACTTAGAGAACCAACTGTCAAAACCTCTCATGAGAATTTTCGAACCTATCCTTGGCGAGAAAGCATCTTCCTTACGTTGGTGGCTACCTCATATTTCTTGTGGATTAGCGCTCATCGTTATGGAGTGTAGTGTCGGGCGACCACACGCGCACGATACAAATCGCTACCCCCACGGTGGGAGGACTGATGAAGTTCGCGGTGAAGACCATCACTTGTTTGGGGTGCAAAACTCCTCTGCGCGCGACTAACAGCGTCAAAAGTAAGCCGTGCTTAATGACCTCTCGAACTCCCCGACTAATTGATCCCCCTATCACAGATGGTGCCCTGTGCAACAACTGTCGACCGCGCATGGCTGAAATGTACCACAAGCAAGTCTCGACAACGTCAGATCTACAAGTACGATTCTCGCGTTTGTGGACACAATGTCAGCGGTGTCAAGGATCACTGCATCAGGTATGCTGTTCTTTCCATTTAGAAAGAAAGGAAGGCGCCTAAATCAATTCGTTCCCAGGATGTGTTATGCACGAGTAAGGATTGCCCGATCTTTTACATGAGGAAGAAGGCACAGAAGGATGTCGAGGATGCGAATGCTGTGTTGCAGCGGTTTGATGACGATGTGTGGTGATGGAATGTTCCTGCATTTGTGTTATGCATAAACTCAAGTTTGGATATTTTTCTTGTTTACATTCGGTGTATACGTAACTGAGCTTTGCATTATGCCAAGCGATACGCCAGGAACCGCAATAGACCCACAAGAGCAGGAAAATTCACAAGTCAGGAATTGACCTGACATCGACCGCTAGCTGGCGGGGCTGTGTTGTCTATCGGAGGATGGAGGCCTTGGGAAGACCGGCACATTCAAGCGAACCCAGGAAGACCCGACCCTTTGAAAGCAATCTAAAATAACCAGATATTTATGTGAATCAATCCGCTCTGGCCCCGCCTTACATGGTCCACCGAAATCGCCCATAGGAGACTGGGAAGTTCAACTAATGTTAATTCCGCACAGCTTTCTAAATGAATCGGTTGGCGCTCGCCGCGCCAGGGCACTTGGTACTGCGACTCGAGGTTCTCAGCGCTAAGTGTGTTCCATCTCTTTCGCTTCAACCCACTCCCTGTAGAACTTTGCACTCTTTTTCTATGCCTGGTCACATAGCTCTTTCCACCGGCTTGAACATCTGTGCGCCTTTTCAGTGTCCAAGTTCTTTATTCATTCACTCAGTCTGCCTTCAGTGACATCCGTATACTCCCATGTGGAAAAAGTTAAATTATGTCAGGTGCCTACCTCGACGGACTCTTGTTGAACTCATCTAACGCTGCGGCTCAAAGCAACAATGCAGAGACATGAGCGGACGATGCGTTAACCTGCTGGTTGCGCTTCAGTCGGCATCAACAGATTTGGAAGGCAGTAAGGCTCTTGAAGTGGCAGATGAGGTTGAAATGTTTGTCACGCCTTCTATTCTTGCTGCAGGGAGGGTTTAACCACGATGCAGTGTTATGAGTCGCATCGACAGAAAAGTAAAAGAATGGGCGTCATGGAGTTTTCCCAAGAGTGTTGTTCTCCAAGGGCAGATCAAAGACGGGATTGACAAGCTTCAGCGCGACATCGATGTCGCCATGATGAAATTTCAGGTGCGTGAGGTGTCTGCCGTTGTGTCTTGAATGGCAAAACATATTAAACCTCCACACTTAGGTCAGCATGGGCATGGAGCTCGCTCGTGGACAGATGGCATCGCAAGCCATCCAAAGGGGTACCTCAGAAGAGATTCTACAAGTGCTTCAAACAATCATGAAAAGAATCGACGACAGGAGTCTTCTTAACGTACAGTCATCACAAGTTGCTGAGGATAAAATGGAGAGTGTGCAAACGGTCTGCACCCTACTTTCTCACATTGTATATGCAACCTTGAAACTCATGTCAATTCAGGATATCTTAGGTCTATCTTTGGAATCGAGTCAAGGGTGGTTAGCTACAGAAGGATTTCCGTTGGCCGCCGATTGTAAAACCCCTGCTTCTTCTTATGCACTTTTAGACTAACTAATCACCGTTCATTCTAGTTATGACTGAGGAAAAACTCTTGGAAACTCCTGGAATACCGAACTTATCTGATGGTGATTTTGTTCCCCTCTATCTTTTGACTAGACTAATTTTTACGTGTTGAAAGATTCCAGGCCTATACCGAAGCGCCCTTCTATATTTTCTCTTCCCTCTCTTCCTTTAAGAAGTGATAGCGAGTCGAGTATCAGGTCTTCGAGCTTTAGGAAGCCGCTTGAAATGTTAATCATTCCGGGCAACGAGATTTCAGAGGCAGATAAGCTGTCATCAATCTCGCCTTCCACTCCATCTGCCTCTCATTTTGGTAGCCAGACAACATTTTCGTCCTTCAGTTCTCCATCCACGGTTCGGAGCGCGATCTCCACTGACTCGGGCATTTATATGCCTGAGGTTGTTAGTGAAGCCGTGACAGATCCGAGATCAATTGTAAAGTTAAGTGCAGTTGGCAACGTGATTTCAGGGACGTTGGAAGGACTCGTTGGGCGCCTTACAAATAACTTCAGTGAGTATGTCACCATGGTTTAGTTGACTCGTGTTGAGTGCTATCCTCTAGACTCCATGAGGGATCTTGGCTTCCACGATACACTCCTCCTTGCATGTGCCGATTTCACGACGCCTGAGACCCTGTTTGGAATACTTGCTCGTCGGTTTCATGAGGCAGAAGGTGGAGTTAAAAATCGCGTGGCCGTCCAATACGAGTCCGTCTCTTTTTTTTTCGCAAAAATCATTCACCCTGACTAGGTCATAGCATCTTGACGGTCATAACGTATTGGGTGTCGCGTTGTCACCTTCCTGTCAATCAGCAACTCCTCTCGCGGATGAAGAACTTCTGTGAAGCAGCTATTATCGCGAAAACGTCCCCAACCATGGCCAAGAAGGCTAGCGAGCTCTTACAGATGATCGATGAAAGAGTGGGTAGATAAATTGTTTTCTTGTTAATTTGTTTCTTAAACTTGATTTCACAGTCAAGTAAAGATCTGATAATCTCACCGACGTTATCGCCTGGCAGAAAACTGCTACAAGACTCAGACATTGCTCCTCACCACCTTGCAATCGCACTGACTCTTCTCGAGGGTGACAAGTACAAGGCTATTGTCCCCTCCGATTACATAGCTCATCTCAGGAAGCATCCTGGCTCAAACAGCGTCAAGGTCGCATGTTTGGTGAACAACAAGATCGTGCTTTGGGTCAAGCAATCCGTTTTGCATTATGACACGGCAAAATTACGGGCGCAACGTCTTGAGTTTTTTCTCAACACAGCACAAGTAAGCAGGCTCACGAGTTGCACATTGAGCCAGCTGATCAAGTCACTCGACAGGAATGCCGGAAACTCAGAAATTATGAGTCGCTTATTGCTATTGGGATCGCACTTCATTCGGCGCCTGTCGAACATCTGAAGCTCACCAAACAGAGCGTATCTATATCTATGAGGCGTGAGCTAAAAGAGTTAGGACACGTCTTGGATCCCTCTTCAAACCATCGTGGCTATCACAAGGTTTTGGATCAAGTCGTTGACCAGGAGATGCGTAATTACTGCGTTCCTTGGCTAGGTGAGGACCGCTTCGTTGATTTGAGTATTGGACTTACAGTGAAATTCATTTGCTGCTAGCTGTGCACTTGAAGGAGTTGCGTTCAGTTTTGACGCACAACCCAATCGTAGTTGAAGATGAAGGCCGTCCATTGATTAACTTCCAGCGATATGTTAAATTCATGGACAAGATCAAGGAAACACTCCATCACAAACCTCCAGATCTGGAGCAATATCGTCAGCAAGGCTACCTCGCGTACCTTGAGAATCAACTCCAGTTCGTGCACATTGGCGAAGATACAGACGACGAGCTCATGAAAAGGAGTATCGCACTGCGAAAAGGCGAGGTGCTTGAAATCAAGCGCAGATATCAAAGTGTTGGTTTCAATGTAAGACCGTGAAGCTTAGAATGGGTGTGGCTCTGTAATTTCAGAGCCTCCGACTGGGGCCAGTGGCCATTCAAGCCGACGGAGATGTCGGTTCCTCCGCTGTAGAGCAGCATTCTAGTCTGCCCCGCACGTCTCAATATCTGCTTTGCACACAGCGCCGAATCCTTGGGAATTGGGAGCGATGACACCTTGACGTTTTGATTTGGCTTGGGTTCACCTTGATTTTGACGGTATGATCAACGAGTTGCAGCGCTATTAAATGATGTTGCTATACATACCAGACACGATATACATATCAGGCACGAATTTACCCCTACATTTGTGTATACCCGTTTTGCTGCATAATCCTTCTAAGGCTGACTAGGATGTAACGTTTACAGGATGTGAACGCAAATAACAGCCCTCCTCATTACTCTTTCGCTGAGTACGTGAAGTTGACGTGAAGACCTCCTGATACAACAGCGTTCCCTGGATCGGCATCGCTTTAACCCGTCTCGAGGGCCTGAGTTTCTCCAGGAAGGTCCATAGTCGTGGATTCGTCAGGTTTATCCACTTGATTGAACAACGCTATACGATCCACTTCTCGCCGTGGCAACTCATCCACATCAATCAGTGTCGATACCTTGTAGAGTTCCATTTCCATGTCTTTCAATTGCTCTATAAATCCCGGATTGGGCGAGACCTGTGGTCGTATCCGCACAACATGGCCCAACGCCGTTCTGAGGGACATATTCCGATGCTTCATAAGATACGCAACGACGATTGTAGGCGAGCGAGACACGCCTGCAGAACAGTGCACTAGGATCCGTCCACGGCCTTTGTTAGATTTCAACGCATCCTCAATTGTTTTGACAGCAGATTCGATGGTAGTTTTCACGGAAGACCTGATGGCATCCTTCAGACCAAGTCTGTGATATGTAACACCGTCGACTTTGGGTGATGGGGTTATACCGATACTTAGAACGTTGTTTATTGAATTAGAGTTTAAAAACGACGGTGAGGACGCGGATGAGCAGGGACCAAGATAGAGGGAGGAGGGAAGGATGACAGACGCCGAGTCGGAGCCTTTAATTATTCGTTTGGGTGCCATGGCTGTTAGGTAAAGGCGAGATCTATGAACTTGAGATCAAACCAACGCTTGAAACACTACACTTACCAGTACTCCTGTAAAAAGTATCCTCACAAACCGGACTGACGTTGAATAAGTTTGACAATCGTATATCTGGCGGTGGATAAATGCCACACATCGAGCACGACAACTTCGTGACATTGTCTTACTCTTGACTCACTCTCCACGCGGACCCGAATCCAGGCAAAGTAAGTACCTCGGAATTCTTGAGAGGTCATTTCACTGGCTTATATTTGACTTCCAGCACAGTTCTTCCAAAATCTTGTATCCTCAGATAATTATGCAGAGCACACGGACTTGATAGCATTGGAAAGTCAGATCCCCTCGGACGGTTTTGGCGTCTCTGAGCATGGAAATCTCATATGGGTGCTTATAATAGTGCCCTGTGAACGCTGCTATGACGCCTCAGGCCTTCCTACTGGTTAATTCGAGGGTCATTCGACACTGTGCACCATTTTGCATCCACGCTACGGGGAAATTCCTCTTCAGCAACGACTTGCCTTAGCGGCTCCACGACCCTGACTTGGATAGATTTGGTAGTTGGCGCTCAGGCCCCGTCAAACGTTGACCACGAAGCCTGTAATACCCCGTGCAAAGATTGCATGGCAACCTGCCTCGTAACTTCTATGGAACACATCTGTCCAGCGGAGGATGCTACATACTCTAGGCTTTCTCTATCACGCATCCATCGCGCTCGGCGACCAGTTCCAATATCCAAGGGCTAACCCACTGACGCGCGGCAAGTTCATTCGTCGTTAAGAATTTCGCGCCCTGTATCGTCCCCAGACAACTCTGTCGAAATTTTGAAAAGATTAAAGCTGAAGCGGCGAGACACGGGCGCCGTTAGTGACGTACCGGAGTTCCGCATTGACAGTCGAATGGCTGGTCCATCTCCCACTCCGTGCTCGGGTAAAAGAAGGTCACTAAAATGAAGAGTGAACTCGGTAAGTTTTCCAAAGGAGGCACTGCACTTACGTGTTTCTCCAGGCTCGATGCGTCTTAACGCCCGGAGGTGCCAATTGGACGTGTCGGGCGAGGAGAGGTCGAACGCTACATTTGGTTCGCACGAGTGATTCACTGCAGAACAAGGCCGTTTAGTCAAAGAAGGCCAATGGTCAATTCCGTTGAAGAACTTTACCATATACCAGGTCGGTATTAAGCTCGATATGGTCATTCGCGCCGCGACCGCACTGGACGGATGTGTACGCTTTCGGTCCCTTAGTGAAGCCTTCAAGGCGAGCCAAAAGATCGCCGCCTTGAAATCCCTATCAATCACGGTTAGCCGGTTATCATCATACAATCATCCGGACAAGTTCACTCGCCCTTTTGGTCTTCAGGGAAGACATATAGTCTCCCGGAACAAACTCGACGACGAAGTCGCGATGGGTTGGGACATAAGACTTTTGTGATGGTTTCATCTCTATGTAAGGGAGTCGGTTGATGGATTATTTAGGTACTCCTCACCATAGTCACTGCTTTATTAAATAGCTTTTACACTTGGCTATGGATAGCCTAGGAGCGCCGCCGCCGTCGTGGGCGCGTGATATAGATATTTGTCCTCTTGTAAGGATGACGACTAGAACACGATTATCGATTAGATAGTAATAAAAAAATCAAACATTCTGACGTTACAGTCGTGGACAAGCAAAGCCCACTAATAAAAATGGAAATTATTGATGGCTACCAAAGTGCCCGGAAAACGTGCAGATACGTTGAGGGAAGCTTCTGGCCAAATTTCAGCTAAGTCTCACGAGCCGTTTTGGAGAAAATGGCCATATACAAAAATAGACCCTAAATTTTTGGCCGGACACCAAAAAGTGCCAAGAAAAATATGAAAAATAGCGGAATCGCTTCCTTTCACGGAGAAAAATCTGCCCATCAAGTTTCGAAACAATTTATCGAGCGGTTCTTCTGGAAAAAATTGCCAAACATTGACCCAAATTGGGCACTTAGTCACTTTTTGATGTGACATCTATCACGGGACTAAGAAATTCCATCACACTAGGCTTTCGAAATGCAGGGAAATCCCTTTCTGATAGATTCTTTGCCCTTTCTGAGTAGCTTCCAGCCGAAGCCCAGCACAGGTACCAACTTTCGATAATTTCTGGCTGGTTTCGACCTGTTTTTCTCCCCAAATGTTGCAGTTTTTTGGTCCAAAATTTTGGCCACGCCAATTCCTCGTGTAGCGTTGGCGGGAGCTCCACGGCAGAAAGTTTTTGTTTGGTGAACTTTGATCGGCAGGTCTTGCAAGATTGGCAGCGAATCTTTGTTGGCGATAAGAGCATTGAGCATTTCACGTCATGATGGAGGAGCCTTGATATCGATATATATCATATATAGTACTAACTACCCACTTGATCGATCAATTGTGCCATAGAGGAGAAAACAGACCATCCAACGGCCATAGAAAGTGGGGGCCGACCTATCACATTGTATGCATCCTCTGCGGCTTTCTCAAATGATTCGTCTACCCAGCGCATCGAATCTTCCCGTGAGACGGGTATCTGTCCACGGAGAGCATCGGTCACGGCCCGGTCAACCTTGATACCACAATTCTCGTACGGGGCTTCAGGCGGGACTGTGAAAGCGTGTCGAGGGGTCTGACCTGACATGTTGGGTTTGTCTTTCTGGTATCGGATTTTATGGTTGTTCCAATATTCGACAAAAATATCAAGTTGGAGCTGGAGAATCTTCGGCCACAGCCAGTAGAATAATTGGCTGGTAGGAAGTTAAGTCATAACTAATCACCGATATGATACATAAAGAAACAAATGATTTGACTTACGGGTGCACGGGGTTATTCGGATTGTAAATCCCATCGAGGTATCCCTGACGGATAAAGTCTCTGACATTAAATCCGAATGTTTTGAGAAACCAGTGCCAAAGACCCTCGATTGGCGTGTTATGAACGCTGCGAAGATGTTGGGCGGCCGGAAACCTAGTTGCGTCAATATCCGGGGCATAAGCCGCCCTGCGGTCAATGCAGAATTAAATAAATCAGCGTCGTGCATTCAAATTCCTGAGGCAACAAACACTAACCTCAGGCCGGTTTGATTAGCAAAAATATATGCGGTCTCCGAGCCCTTGTCCATTATAAACGTGATGGGAATGACTTAAGAGAATTGAAGTTGAAGAAATGAATGCGAAATTTCAAATTTCAAATTCTTTACTTACTTCCCGTTGTTTCAACCGTATCGAGGTGGACATGGCCAGTGGTGCATGCCAGTCGATTATTAGGAACAACGACGAGCGCTAGCACAAATGATGTCCACTGGTCCTTTATACCATAGATACCAAAGCCGACGCCGCCCATATTCAGCGCCTGCGCATTCAATTTGTCATGTCCATCTGCATGGTGCTGATGATTGGGGCCGATTGATACTAGCGCAGAGCGGTGAATCCTATTGGCCCCGGGAAAGCGACGTGCTAAACCCTCTGGGGCATGATTTGCCAATACATTCCGTATAAAGTCTCTGACAGAACAAATGACATGAGAATTAAGCAGTGGAAGATACGTCAAGAAAATGCAACCGCACCTTGGCAAAGATATTCCTTCGTTACAGAGGAGAGTTGCAATAGTTCCTACCCCGTTTCCTTGAGTAAGGTCCTCTGCAACCTTTTCAAGGACCGCCTGAGTAGCCATATCTCTTGGGAGAGGCTTCCGAACACTAGGCACGCTGAATTTATTGTTAAGCTGGGCAAGTTTCGAGCTCCTGAGATAATTTTATTTAGCATAGCAGACCGTTCAAGGGGCGCACCATCAACTTACTTGATGTCAAGCCCATGGTCGACCTTGAGGCGCTGCAAGCGTTGATCTACAGTGAGTCGCTCCTTGGCGTATTGCAGCAGCGAAGACTGTAGTTCGTTGTCTGGGGGGTCTGTAAAATAAAATGAATCACAATACATGGATTTGCCAGCATGACGAAGTTGACGCACAATTTTTGACGCCATAGCCATTGACATGTGTCGCCGCCAGAATAATTATTAAGTAATACATTGTTGAGGGTTGCCAAGCGAACAACCAACAGCAACGTGACAAGTCTGCCGTGGAGCTCCCGCCAACCTTACTCGTGGGAAAAACTTCGGAGGTGCGTTTTTCGACGCATTTCACAAATCTGAGCCAGAATCTGGAAAAATCTCAGCTCTAGATACATTATTTACCAAGATACCAAATTAGTGGGCTTTGCTTGTCCACGACTGTACTATCGGTAGATTGACATACGGAGGTACGCCATATGCGATTGGCGCGCTCAACTAATATCACGTGCAGGGTAAGCGGAGTTTAAACCTTAATCAGTAAACTGCATAGGCCTTTGTGTCGAAATTTCGATAACAACGCCATAGGCAATTCATCGACAAGCCCATCCCGACATCGACACCAGCAGCAATGGCCCCAACAAAAAAATCCAAGGCGACCAAGTCCACCGAGTCCATCGCCGCCAGGCTTGCACTCGTCGTCAAATCGGGTAAATACACCCTCGGGCACAAATCCGCGCTGAAGCAAATGCGCAGCGGCAAAGGTGAGCTCGTCCATCCAGTTGTCTCTCGGGGACTGGAGCGTGAGGCTGAGAAGGTCCCTTGAACTTACAATGTTTTGTGTATAGCTAAGCTTGTGCTGATCGCCGGTAACTGCCCCCCGCTGCGCAAGTCTGAGCTCGAGTACTACGCCATGCTCTCAAAAACCAGCGTGCACCACTTTGCGGGTACCAATGTCGCGCTTGGGACCGCTGCCGGAAAGCTCTTCCGTGTTGGGTGCGTGCTTTTTTTGTTCCTTCCATGGCGGCGTCATTAACCGTATTGTGCAGTGTCATGACTGTCAGCGACCAAGGAGACTCCGATCTCTTGACTTTTGCTGAGGGTAATGCTCAATAAGCAATTAAGAGTCTGTATTACCATACGCTTCATTCATGTCCGTCACCATGTCTCTACATGCAATTTATGAGCGTCGCTTTACAATATTCACCCGTTCCGAATGTCAGCTCCGTTCACAGCGCGTTATGTTGCTTCCTTGCACTGACATTTAGCGATGGCATTCCGAAGCCAACGAAGGGATCTAGAGATGCCCATGGTAGGAGGAGAATAGCGGTGGGATATGTAACGCGTTTCGAAACCCAGTAAACGAATTGCAACTACAACAATGACGGGGTCATCTCTATTATCGAATGAGGCCCCTTTGCCGCATAATCCGCTTTTGAAACAAAGTTTTTCCCATTGCTATCACTGAAGATGATCTGCAGCTTACCGATCAACGCAAATCAACATATGAAGGAGGGAATACCCTACCTTTGCAATAATACTCAATCCCAGGAACGCAGCGAACCCGTTCCCCGTCTCCCGGTACTCTGCGTAGTAGTCCGGTATCGTCACGACGCGTATAGACCGCGGCTGCACGTCACTTTGTAATTCAGGACTGCCGATGAACGGTGCCAGTCTTGACTGCAACGCTACCCCAATCCCTTTAACATGTCGCGTGACGTCGCCAGTCACCAACAAACCCTGCCAGACGTATTGACGCTGGCCAACGCCGACATGGCTTACCGCATGCCCCACTGTCTCTTGCAACGGCAGAGGTTTCGCGGATTTCGGGTTGCGTGGGGTAGAATAGGGGAGGTTGTCTAATAACGACGGATCGTATAAAGGCTCGCAGAACCGATGACGTTCTTTGCCCAACGTAAGGGAATGCTCGCGGAACTGAACAGTGATCAAGTCCAACGCCTCGATCTCCCTTGCTCGAGCCTGCTCTGCCGCAGACTGCTTCGCCGTAGCCTTCTTCTTCATCCCACTCTCAATGACCGCTTTTTCCCGGCCAGCAACAATAACCGCAGCAATGTCCGTTACACCTTCGTCCTCTGGCGCTGCGGTCTCTCCGTCCGATGGTACTTTTACGAAACCATCTTTGTATAGCTGTTTCACCAGCTCAAGCAGTGTGTAATGTAGCGTCTCAGGGTCCGTTGGGTTTCCTGGGGGTGATAAGGCCTTCAAAACATTCTGGTTCGATCGTAGAAGGTGCGCGAGGTAGTTCTGACAATCATGCAAACCAAGCGGCGTGGATGTACGAGCGGAATGGATTATGAAACCCTCGTACACGGGAGTGATATCAGTTTTTTCGTCCCCAATGTCGACTACGACCCCGCTGAGGGTGTTGACGGCGTATAACTGGGCCATGGGCAGCTCAAGAATTCCAAATCCTGCTACGTTGAAGCGCTCGAAGAATATTTGACAGATGCGCTCGTACGTGTCGCGTGAGAGGCCTGGAAAGATGGAGAGGAGGACTGGGGACTCGTTTTGTACGCGACGGCGTTGGAGTTGGTTGAATATGATGTATTTCCTACGTTTTGGTTAATTAGATTGGCCTTGGGGGTCAATGGAAGTGTGCCCGTACCAGATAGCTTCTGCCTGCGTCCAGTCGCTGACATCTCCATCCGCAAATGGCCATGAAACGATGATATCCTGGCCATTTGCCAATGCCTCGTCGAGTTGGGTGCCGACAAGGTAATCAGTCACGGACGCTGTTGGTCTAGATGTCCCAACGCGACTCGTGGAAGCTAGGGGAGGTTCCTCTGAAACCCCATTGGTATTTGAAATACCATTCTCTGACGCGGTTTGGCGCAGGCCAACTCGAGCTTGGATTTCCTATGTTTTCTTTCCGTAAGGTTTAGAGAATATATGAGTAGTTGCTTCAGATACGTACAACTGTGGGAGTTTTTAAGAGATCATGGAGGCCGAGACCAGCACGTACGACAGTCCTGCCAGTCTCAATGATCACTACGTTTGTGTCGCGAATTGACATTGGATTCGATTTATAATTATTTTACCCTATTTACAAAACTAATGCGATCAGATCCGATGCTGGACGTCCGATCTGTCACGTGCCACTGCAGCGGCTATTCCCGAGCTTTGGAAACGCGTCCGAGTCAACGCTAACATTGACAACAAACAACATACCGGCACAATGAATTCTTTGAGAAGACGAAGACTGACGTCGACCGTCGACGTCCTCGATCTGATCCCTATGATTGACGGAAGGTGAGCCAGGGAAGAAATATGTAAGAAGCCCCATACGCGTCGCTTCTGCGTAAGTGGTACCAGTGAACTTTTTTGTGTCCCTAATAATATTCTCAATAGAGGCGCGGGTTTCAGGCGATGAAGCGGGTCGTCTACGGAAGAATTCCTGAATGACCTCCTCATCGGTAATCAGATCGGGCTGGATCCGGGCAACCTCTACCAAGGCGACACGCAGAGTTTGGGTGATGTGTCGATATTCTGTACCCAATAGACTTGTTGCGGCGGCATGCCATGCGACGATGGCACGCAGGTGGCGAAGGACCTGATGCCCATCACTGTCATCGGGCGCTTTCTGCATATCGGCACGTTCATCTCAAAGCGGCCTTTCAGTTTATTTCAGAGAGGTTTGCAAGAATCTGTTGGAGGTTGCGTATCGACCTTTCTTTGGCGCTCTCTGCCAATGTCGGTTCCATGCTGTCTGAGTGATGGCCTTGGCTCGTCTGAGAGCGAATGCTCTTGATGCTCCTATTGGAGCGCCCAATGCTAGCTGTGTCGCCTCCTTAGCTAGCTCGTCCGCCCTGTCGTTGCCCTGGATGTTGCACTGGCTAGGGTACTATGCGATTTCGACCGCGTGGGTGATGTAGAAATGTTTGTATGCTACCAGCGAACTAGACTCCAGCCAAGTCCCTCCTGAGTAAATGAAGACAGTCGTTCAGAGACAAAACTGTCACAAGACTGGTCCTCGGAGTCTACCAGCGAACATTGACCTTGATCGTGAATCGTGGGGTGTTTATTTGACAGTGGTTCCACTTTCTCTTTCTTTCCGCCACTATGTGGGATCCTATCGTTGTAGAGCAATCTGCTACTCAGCCATTCACGGATTATACTCGCTGGAGACTTCTCGTCAACGACGGTGGTAGGCATACATGGCACTATCTCCCAACAGACGAGCAACTCCTCAATTGGCCTCAAAATACAGTTGATAAATATTGGTTAGGTTTGGACATCGTACGTGGCGCGTTTTCACATTAGAGACTTACATCTTACACGCTTCCAAGGGCCTACCAGATCTTCCCCCTGCAAAGGATGCGTATGAAGCTGCGCGAAATGGTTACAAGTTCTACAAGAACTTGCAAGCTCATGATGGCCACTGGCCTGGAGAATATGGAGGACCCATGTTCCTTCTTCCTGGCTTGGTAATAGGGTCCTATGTTAGCGGCATGGGATTTAAAGAGGAGGAGCGATTGGAGATGATTCGGTACCTAATAAACCGTGCTCATCCTGAAGATGGAGGTTGGGGAATGTGAGTGCACTATCATTCTAAATCGACATCGTCAGGTCTTTTTTCGCAATTTCCTTTTGCACTCAAAAGATCTAGACACCGGGCTTGATGATCGCTCACACTTCATTCTCATAGCCATGTAGAAGGCCATTCAACAGTCTTTGGCACTGGACTCAACTACGCTGCCATCCGTATACTCGGCCTTAATGCTGATCATCCTGTCTGTGTGAAAGCCCGTGCTACTCTCCATAAACTTGGTCTAGCCATTTTTTCCCCACCACTCCGAGCTCCATTTGACAAAAATATACAGGTGGTGCGACAGCTATACCCGCATGGGGTAAATTCTGGCTATCAATCTTAAACTGCTACGACTGGGCAGGCAATAACCCTGTACCCCCTGAGCTATGGTTTGATACCGTCTTTTAGACAGCGGACGTCCCACTAAAACACGTCATGTCAGGCTCCTCCCAGATTGGGTCCCATGCCACCCTCACCGATGGTGGATCCACACTCGCACTGTCTACGTCCCCATGAGCTATCTCTACGGCGTCAGGTATACCATAGAAGAAAATGATCTCATTCTTTCTCTACGACAAGTACGTTCTCATCCCTGGGTAAGCTTACTTCAAACGGTGAAAGCTGATATTGCAATCAGGAATTATACCCAGAAGACTATCATACTATCAACTGGCCAGCCCAACGAAACAACGTCTCAAAAGCCGACCTATATGCACCCCACAGCGGGATCTTCGACGCTCTCAACGTTGTTCTGTCAAGCTACGAACACTGGACCATCCCTCCCCTCCGACGTGCCGGTGTTGCCAAAGCCTATGAGCTCATCGTGCGTGAGGACGAGAACACAGAATACCAGACCCTTGGCCCTGTCTCGAAAATGTTCAACCTCATCGCTCGAGCACACGCTGAAGGCCCCGAGAGTTCCGCATACAAACAGCACGCTATCAAGCGGCAGGATTTTATGTGGATAGGAGCCGAGGGGATGATGATGTGCGGAACTAATGGAAGCCAGTTGTGGGATACGGGATTTATCACGCAGGCGTTGGTGGAAACAGGCTTGGCGGATCTGGAAGAAAATAAGAAGGGGTTGATTAAGGCTCTCGAGTGGCTCGATGACGCTCAAATCAGGGAGAACCCGAAACACTATCACTCAGCTTATAGGCACACGACTAAGGGCGCTTGGGGGTTCAGGTACGTTGGGCTGGTGCACATCTCGTTGCTTTTTACTCATCATTGGGGCAGCACGAAGGAACAAGGATACACTGTCAGCGATTGTACGGGAGAGGGCCTAAAGGCGGTCATGTACCTGCAACATGACCTCGAGTACGCGTCTCTTTGCGTCCTTTTTCTGAACATGGCAACTAAGCTGATAATCTAGCTTCACACCCAAACTTGTATCCGAGCGCAGAATGTGCGACGCTATCGACGTAATGCTGACTTTGCAAAACCCGAACGGTGGATTCGCAAGCTACGAGCTTATACGGGGTCCCTCCTGGATGGAAATCCTCAACCCTGCAAAAGTCTTTGGTGAGCGTTCTCCTTGGTTCGCGAGCGAACTGAACAGATGTTCATCCTCATGATACCAGGTGATATCATGACCGACTATTGTTACCCCGAATGCACAACCTCCGTCATCACATCCCTCGCCATCTTCAGGAAACACTACCCCAAATATCGTTCCAAAGACATCGAGTACGTTCTTCCCTCTTCCAAATCATGTTGACTCCCTGATCTTACGCGTTCCCTCTTCGACAGGCGCACCTTGAAACACGCGATTGAATACCTCCACAACGCACAAAAGCCAGAAGGAGGCTGGGTGGGTTCTCGGGGGATCTGCTTCACCTACGCTACTCAATTTGCATTAGAGAGTCTCTCCCTCGTCGGCGAGACCTATGAGACAAGTGCTTCTTCACGCAGAGCCTGTGAATTCTTGCTGAAGAAACAGAGGAAGGATGGAGGGTGGGGTGAGAGCTACAAAGTCCGTCGTCTCTCTTTCGATGGCTGAGTTGGGCCTGATATTGACAATGAATAACCAGTCGTGCGAGCAAAGTGCATGGGTCGAGCATGAGAACAGCCAAGTTGTGCAAACGTGCTGGGCGGTGATGTCTCTAATGTATGCCCGGTACCCATACCCCGAGCCCATCGAAAAAGGCGTGCAGCTTGTCATGTCGCGCCAACTTCCTGTACGCTCTCGTTAGCTTCTTGTCTTTCCCCCCTCCTTTTTTTTCTACCTTTTTCTTGAATGGTTATATTGACACAACTCTTGATTCTCTAGAACGGCTCCTGGCCACAAGAAGCCATCGAAGGGGTGTTCAACAAAACATGCGCCATTGCTTACCCCAATTTCAAGTTCTCGTCCCCGATATGGATATTGGGCAAGGCGCACACGTACCTAGCAAAGCTCAAGGGTGGGAGTGCGAGTATGCAGTCCTCTCCAAACACAGCATTCGACGTCGTCGAGCGACACATCCAAACTCTTACAACTATTCTCCAGCATAATCCCTTCCCCAATTTCATGTTCTCATACCCAATCTGGATGTTGGGCAAGGCGCACAAGTATCTAATCAAGCTCAAGGGTGGGAGTGGGAGTATGCAAACTTGTCCAAACGCAGCATTCGACATCGTCGAGCGACGCATCCAGACTCTTACAACCATTCTCCAGAATATGGGTAGGCAACGTCGCCCTACCAGCGATCGGAAACGGGTCCCAGCTTTTCTCCGTCACCTGGCGACTCTCCTTACTTGTGGCCGCAAAGATGATCCAGACGCTAAAAGAGTCATCGCTGTTACTGGTAGCTTGACTAATGAAGAGTTACGGACCTTGGTTGTGACCCAAAACCCTTTTGATTCCAGCAAAGTTTCCGAATTTGGAGTGAAAGAGATTACGAAGTCAAGTAGGACATTTGAGGAGGTGGTGAATGGGTACGTCTGTTGACCATCCCCTCTGTGTAATCCTAACCGCCTAAAGGGACAAGAACGCTAAGCTCTCCCAGCACATTGCCGACGTTTGGGATGCTATTGCCTCTTATAATCCCGATGATAAGGACCAATTCGATTCGTTCTGCCTCTTCATCGTCGCCCGCTGTTTCCGGAAGTTGTCCAAACGCGTAGTTCAAGACAAGGGATGTTGGGGTGTGAGTGTCAGGCAAATGATTCACGATTGGACTCCTCTCAGTCAAGAACTCCACGATGTTCGGTGGATAAAACGCCCAGAATGGGCACCCCCCCATGGAATTGACGGAATGAGGGAGAGAACGACAGAGATGCATGGGCTATCTGTCACTGAATGGGAGTTCTCAACTGCTACCTTGCAAAGCTAGGCCCGGCTTCTCGCGGCTATCCTCAAGGGCCTGGAACTCGCAATAGAAAGAACGAAGGAAGCGCGAAAGCAGAATAAGATTGATGTTGAGACATTGGAGCGAAAGAGTATCCATTCTTGGTGCCATACCCTGTATAAGTACGTGCATTGGAAGGAGGATGTCGTCAAGACCCTCCTAACCAAGACGTCACTGGCATCTGCGTTCTATCTACCAACGATGAGCGGTACGTAAATTCATCGTCTGTTCATTCCCAATCTTATGGTTAACCCGCAAAAATGCAGTTGGTCCTGAACCTGGTGAGTTTGGTTAAATTCATTCTTTGAAATAAACTGAAAGGCCCGCTTTCAGATGAACTTGCCGATATGCGCAAAGAGCACGAAGAAAGTGATGGGCATCAAGTCCTTCGCCACTTGCGGGCCATCGTCGCATGGCATGCCGCCGCGAAAGGTTTACTGGATGAAGAACATCGACAAATCGCCCAAACTCTGCGTGTCGCCTTAGTGGAGGTTGTCCCGATCCAGCCCGATCTGATGACCGATGAGGAGGTCATTCAGGAATTTTTCCGTAGACGACCCACCGCATCGCCTGAAGCCCGCATCTCTATTGAGAATATCATTAGGGAAAACTACACAAAGAAGAAGTTCGCTGGCACCACTCACGCAGAAGCGACGCTTATGGGGCTTCTTACATATTTCTCCCCTGGCTCACCTTCCGTCAATCATGGGGATAAGATCGAGGACGTCAGGCTTCGTCTTCTCGGAGAATTCATTGAGCCGGTATGTTATTTGTTGTTGTTCTGCACATCTAATAAAATTCTTGGATACAGGCGATATCTCAGAAAGCTATCGGTGTTGGTAAAAAGTGCTGTTGGTGCTGTGACAGGCTCGGTAGCCTTCTTGGTGATATCAAGTTGCCCGGCTCACATATGGTTTTATACTCTTGGACTCCTCCTCGAGTGGGAGTTGATGTCACTGTCCTCCAAGCACTTGAGAACGATCTATGGGACGAAATGAACGCAGCTCTACATCAGTACAGCCTCTATGTAATTTCTCGTCAAAGCTCTGGCTCTAGCACAGTTGATGAGGAAGAGGAAGGCGAGATAATTCGAGGTTCTGGGCTTGATGAAGTGACGGAC